ATCCATAAACGCCGTGATATACAGTTATTAGTTGCTCTGAGTGGATTGGAGCTAGTCTATTTACCCCCTTATTCTCCAGCATTAAATGCTATAGAAGAATTTTGGTCAGTCTGCAAGTCTAAAGTAAAACGTTCTAACCTAAGTAAAAAGGAGCAATTAACTCCAAAGGNGAAAGATGCCACAAGTAAAATCTCTATTGAAAGCTATGAAGGATTTTGCAGACATGCTGGTGAGCATATGGAATTGTGTAGAGAAAAGCGATTCTTCTAGATGAGCAGGCAAGAGAAATTATGAGAGGTGCTCGTCTGGTTTTTTTCGATTACATTAAAGCACAAATCCCTAGGTATGCTACACGAATAATTTGTAGGCAGGGGAGAGGGTGGCAATTTTTTTTGGAGGTATGAATAATCTGCCCTTAGTATGAAAAGTTCCGGCCCCTATTACGAAAATCAAGTTGCCCGTATTACGAAAAGCTCCGGGCCGAGGGTTCGAATGTACTTTGGAAACACTGTAGCTCAGCCAGGATAGCTCAGCCAGGATAGCTCAGCCAGGATAGCTCAGCCAGGATAGCTCAGTCAGAATGACTAATGCTGGACCTCGGCTAGAGTGGCTGGAGTCGGCTCGAGTCTAGCCTGCTTGAGCCTATCGCCAAACTCGCCAGTTTGACGCCTGCACCGAAGCCCCTCGCTCATATACATGTGATGATGCACACAATTAGTAACATTAGTCACCATTAGTAGTTCACGTGACACACCCAGATTCAGTGACCCAAACGTGGCCCAAAACACTGGACCCTTTGTCAGAAGTCTCTACATGTCACCTTAACCTCCGCAGCAGCTCTCCGACTCTGCGCTCCCCGTTTCTTACTCCCACCATCATGAAGGCCATCATGGTGCTCATGTACACCTTGAAGGTCAACATCCTTCAGATCTTGGTACGAAACAGCCAGAACCACTCGATCTCGCTCAACTACATCGACAGCTCGTTGTTCGAAGCTTCGGCCAGCACTAGGTGCCCGGACGAGTATGCCGACCTGTCGTTCGTGAACAACATCACCGAAGTGCCGTTTGTGTGATTATTCAATTCTCCGTGTATAGATAATATATGATTTGATAGACTATTGTAGTGGATCTTCTCAGAAGTGGATCCTCTTAGATACGAATTCGAGTTCGCCTCCTGGGTTGAGAAGAATTAATGGGTTTCTATAATGCTTCCTCCGGTGATGTGTCTAAAGTGGTCCCGAGATGAGGTTGTTTCGTGGGGCCACCACACAGAATAATACTATTGTGGTCCCTCGAAACAAATCGACTCCAACTACATTACTCGATAATGGTAATGCTTGATTTACGCTTGCAACTTGACTCAGAAAACGAGTTTGATCCAAGGACTGTTGTTGTCAAGGTAGTTTCTAATCGATTTGGCATCGTGGCACTTTTAACCTGTTTTAAAGTAGAGTTCATTCGTGATCAAATGTACATGATAGTGGAAAAATCATGGTAAAGTAAGTAGAAGGGTTGGGTTAGAAATTCTAGTTATTACGGGTTCATGTTCATGCTTTTCAAGACCAGAATTAGCCAACCTATCACCACCTAGAAGTCGCTCACATTTTGGATTCCCTGGACCCCAAATCCATCATAGTAGCCTAACCGCTGGATTGAAGGCAACTCGTTGGTCCACTTGGCCCGGCCTAATATGCTATCCAACTCTTGCACCGAAGTCTTCTTTTCCAACACACACATTCTGATGACAGCATCCACCTTCTTCTTTTCCCTCTGTAACTTTTCGGCCACTCGTTCTCTCAAGCCTCCAGGGGTATTTGAGATGTTCATGGCATTCTTCAAGAGTGTCTTAGTATTCTGTAACAATATCTGCTGGTTCTTTTGGGCAGATTCGTGGCCCATGATCTGGCTCCGTTGCAAATCAATATCCGCACGGGCTATAATAACCTCACTAAGCTGGGAAATCAAGGCCCCCAATCCCAAGTCCACTCCAGAAGGAATCTTTTTCTTTTCCTGCAAGTTTTGGTCTAGTTTAGTCTGAGCTTTCTTCAAGTAGCTACCCATTTTTGTAAGTGCATTCCAGTAAGTGTCTGCCGCTTGTGCATCGCCTGAGGAGTTCACAACAGCGAGAGTTATGTCGAACCGATCCAACAAGCTCTGAATGTTGTCTGCTGCAACCATGTATCTTTCTGAGGTATCTGGTAGGCCAGAGTCATCCCAGAGTTGTAATATCTGGTCCAAGTCATTCATGGTCAAGCCGATGATAGCAGTTTTTGCAACCTTCAACTCGTCAATCTGGCTCAAGGAAATGTTGGAAATCATCTCGTTTCTTTGGCTGTTGGCTTCACTGTACTTGTCAATCAAGTTCAGGGTGATTTCATCGCACTTGCTTAAGAAGGGGTTGATCAAGTCTGTTGCCGATAACTTCTGTTGGTCACTGTGGTTGATGTTCTCAAGCATGGACTGGCATAGCTTATACGATGCAATGATTGTTTCAAAAATGTCTGTGGGCTGGACCACTTCCACACTAGTATATTCCTCTTGTTTTGACTGTTCTTGAGATACCTGTTGATTAGAAGACACTGGTTCCGATTCAAAGGACGCACTGCTAGTCTCCTCTAATTCCTGTAAGAACTTGTGGAATTCTGACACTTGTCTATCGAGAAGAGTACCAAGTATCTGTTGTGCATTGAAGGTCAATTCTAGCAACTGATTATAATCAGAGGTGTCGTTCTCCTGCTCTGCTTCGAGAACTTCGGTGTAAACCACAGCAGTATTGAACAAAAGGTCCATGGGAACAGGAATGTTCATGGTGGCAGCAACTCTCATCGAGACCTCGTGTGCTTCCACAATGTTAGACAACGGCTGGACCACCGAGCTCTGCCCACCACCCAAAGCATCTTCCACGTTCGTAAGCTCATAAACATTGACTCCGTCAGTCTTGAAGTACTGGTAGTACACCTGGTAGAGCAATCTGGATGAGTTGTAGTAGCTGTCCAAATTTGGTTCTGCAGGCGTTTGGAGTCGGATGGACTCGAGGTAGCTGGTATAGGCCCTTTGGTAGAATCTCAAGCTCTTGGAGAGGTCCGATCCTAGCCACCTATCGCCCGATTCTTCGTCAATTGAGCCTTGCTCAAGAAACTCCTCTGCGGTAGAAGGTTCTTTAGAGAACGAGTTTTCTTCCTGCTTCTTCAAGAGAGCTTGTGCTCTCTTACCCAACTTTGGGCCCTTGGGGTCTGGCGTTAGTTAGAGTGCTGGAGCAGACGGATGAATACGTACTCTTCATAAGATGTCTATGGGGTAGTGGTTACAGATGATGGATCTGCGCGCGACATCAATGAGTGGGGCTACAAAGTGGTTGGAGGTATGGTATAAATACGCTAAATACACTAGAAATAACTCAATAAAATCTAACGGCTATTAATGATGGTAGTAGAATTGATTCACGATCTTTCTATTCTGATATGCCACGCAGAGTAAACCAGCCTGACTTATTTTAGATCAGACCAGTCATGATATCCAGTGTGGTTTGCCCAGCAATAATGGAGGAGTATTGAAATATTAAGATAATTTCCTTCAGAATCCAGTTAGTAGCACTCCACCACACGTACTTTCTACTATTCTACTGCCCAACTTACTCTATTCCTGTTCCCATTCATCTAGAAACGCGACACGCGACACGACATGCTCATTAAAGATAATTAACATAGATATCAAAACACGCTCCAAACACGCTAGCGCCTCACCCAGCAATATCGATGGCCCTAGTCGAACTCTCCTCCTTGGGCCAACTTCCCTCCTCGAAGGAATTTAAAGAAAAATACACCAGAACCAACGTTTTAAAAGTGTCTGTATATGTCCATCTCTTAGCTGTGTTTCGAGATAAGGAATGGAATCCAACCGGCCCAGGAGCCGTGGTGTTCACCGATTACACCCCAGTTAAGGAATCTGCAATCATAGGAAAAGTTTTGCCGCCATCTGTCCCTCGTTCCTTCAGAGCAAATGGGCGCCAATTGGATCAAAATTACTTGCACGCCTTGAGCTTAAGTCATGAGCAGTTTCGCACCTATTCAGGAGCACTAGCGTCAACTTACGGTGTCGAGAGAGAGCGTAACATGGATGCTGAGCTGGCAGACTTGCAGGACTTGGGAATTCTAGCGAAGGTACAGTTCCGGGTGATTGAAAAGTTCAACAGCGCAGGCTCCGGTATGTCAGGGTATACCAATAGTATCGAGTTCATAACAAGGGAACTGCTCGCTGCATACACACAGGACTCTTCATTTAAGAACTTCATTTACAGATTCAAGAGCATGGTGAGCGACCTGACATACCTATCAGCCGATAAGAGGTTGGGATTAAACTCGTTTCTCGGAGATCATTCCTCACGGTCTCCGGCCCCGATCTACCCAGACTCGCAAGACATCAGCATGTTGCAGTCACAAAGGGTGCAAGAGCCTGCTTACAAGAAAAAGAGAATTAGTGGGGCAGCACTTATCCATGCACCAGCCAATTTCGAAGAAGAGGAGCTAGGATCCCAAATGACATCGAGCCAATTGGACCGACCAGTGCATAGCAACCAGTTCATGAGTCAGAGCAGCGAGTCCATCATCAACCCAACCATTCAGAACAGCCAAGGCACCGAAAATCTCATGCTGCAGATCCAAGTGGATGAGGTGCTTATCGATAAAGTGACCATTGCAAAATTAAATGCGATAGCAGACACTACAAAGGTGCTCGGGGACAAGGTGTTTGCCATAGATACCCGAGTTATGGGCATGGCACCTCTTATTCCTATTATTGTGAAACCATATGGCCGTACAATGAAGGTAACAAGCTTCAAACTCATATTGAAGGATGCTAGTGGGGACCAGATGTACGTGGAATTTCACGAAGAGAGAGATATATGCGCATTCTTGGGGGTTAATGAGGTCGAAGAGCTAATCGACTTAGTGGAGGATGTGGAAGAGCGAACACTCAACCTCGTGAACTCTGGAACCCTGCATCATCATCGAGACGTGAGAGTAAAGAGAAAATGGTTACAACTCCCAGGATACAAATATGGGTACTGGACGATAGTGGGGACGCTACGGGATTTGACCAAAGACTTGGACTAAAGGCAGAAAATGCTTGACATCAAGTGTATTATAGTTAGCATGAAGAGCACACGAGGTATCCCTATTAATATTTAGTAGGTATGTTATGTTAAGGTATGAAGAAATGAGAAAGTAGAAAGGCAGGATAAATAGACATTAAGTATAAGTAAGGTAGATGTTGTAAGTAATTTAGCGAAAGATTAATTTCAATGAATATTGAACTACATTTTACTAACACGCCGGCCTTCCTAGCTAGCTCACTTTATTGACTACATACATTCCGCCATGCTTTGTATAATGACTTCCATTCTCTTTATAAGTTTAGACTAAAAAACCTCCAATTAAAGGCATGAAAGGTAATTAATATTATAAAATACAAATAGAATCTTGTGGATTGGGGGTTGTGTGGATGTGAGTCGATTAGATGTAACCAATTCTGTTGGCAATGTCCAAAGCATCGTGGTCAGCAGTCAATCTGATGTAAGCCTTCTTGGTACCGTTTGGTCTGACCAAGGTGTTGACGTATTCGACATCGACTTGGTATAATTCCTTAACGGCAGCCTTGATTTGATGCTTGTTGGCCTTTAAGTCAACTTGGAAAACCAAGATGTTACCGTCTTCGACCTTCTTCATGGCAGTTTCAGAGGCAATTGGGGAAACGATGATCTTGTAGGCATCTAATCTGTTGTAGTGTGGAACGGACTTTCTAGCGTATTTTGGAGTTCTGGACAACTTCAAGGTCTTTGGCAATCTGAAGGTAGAAGAAGTTCTGACCTTTAAAGCCTTGGATGGGTTGGTACCTTTCAAAGCGGATTTCTTAGCAGCAGAAGCCTTAGTAGTAGCTAGATGTTAGTATATGTTTCTATGCGAGGGAGCAGGGACCAATACGACGTTTGTTGACCTTGTGGTACTTCACTGGTTTTGTTCTGGTTCAAGTGTTTGGGGATGGGTAACTTTTCGAATTTTTCACCTGGTCCACTGGGGAGTTGGGGACGGTGTTGCTGACGGTACGGTCTCGTTCATGCTGGTCTATTCCGCTCGTTGTATCCTCTGCTCATTTGGTATGATTCAACTTACTTGGAGCCATTTTTGATTAATCCTGTGGTATATGTAAAACCGCTAGTAAAAAATTTGATATAGTTTCAATCCAACCAGGCCCAGGAGTGAGAAGACGAAAAATTTTCGAATAGGGACTGCCTGCAGGAGCAAAGGAATGCGGGTTTGGTGGTGCGGGTTGAGTAATTCCCATAGTTAAGGGAGGTGGTCTTAACCTGCAGACCACTTAACAAAAGTGCGAGTTAGAGGTCACGCGATATTTCTCGGGATAGGGCTGGAGCCCTAGATCCATGCTGTCCCCCACTAAACCACGGCAATAGCAGCAAGCTCCAGCTACACCCATTCATGCGCTAATGTATGATTCTTACTATGTACAGCATCTATAAACGACGTAACTTCTTTGGACGCACCCCACCAAATCTCAACTTGGTGTTATCACTGACCCTGGCAATGTGAGGTCTGATGTGGGTACCTTCCTTTCCTTGTAATGCAGCGAGGAATGCCTCTCTTCCCTTTCCGAAGTCCTTCAACACCAACTCGATCTTGTCGTTGGGGCCAATCATTTTCTTTTCTTCGATGGTCTTGAACATCTTACTGGCGACCTGGAACCCGGCCTCGTATTCCTGTCTCTGGGACTTCCTAAATCCCAACTGACCAGCAGATATGTGAAGTTTGGGGTGGTGGGGCAATTGGAGGTAGTAGATGACTTTTTCGTTGTAGGAGAGGTTGGGGTTCTTTTCGAGGTAGTCCAAGTCTTCCACCACTGCCACCAAAGTAGTCAAGGTGTTGTGTCTGTGAAAGGTGGCGTACAACTTCCAAAGAACGATCTTTTCGTTCTTTCTCTCGGAAGCCTTCTTTTGGAAGCCAGAGATCTGGGAGAAGCCTGCTGGGGTGTTGCTGGTGCTGGTGCTGGCAGTGTTGGTGGTGTTTTCGGCGTTCAATGTTATGGGGGATGCCTTGGCGAGGAGCCCTGGAGTGGTATATATGGATCTGGCGAACACGGCACTGGTAGCCATGGGCCATGGCCTGCTGGCCATTCTGGAGAACCTGGACAACATGGGTGGTGGTTGGTGCTGGTGATGGAAGTTGGCACTATGAAAATTTTAGTGATCGCGGCTGCTGACTCAGCATAGCATGATGCTTAGGTAACTCACCCCCCGGGTGTCGCAACCTCCTCCACCACCACCACCTTCCTGGCACCAGAATTGGGTGAGGATACCTTGGATAGGGGCCTCGTTCCAGTGCCGGGATCTGCTGGTGGCACATTCGACTGCCACTGTCCCCCTCTCCTGTAGTTTCTGGGGAAAAAACCCCCAGCCCCTCGTTCCGATTGGCTATTATCATGTGGCATTATCCACCAATATGGACATGCGCAGATGCCAGCATTCTGACACATGCAAACGGCCTGGTGGCCACCGATAAACCGCTGAACGCCGGACGCTGTCCGATCTCGCCCCCGCGCCCCAGCTCGCCCCAAAACTGGTGGATTGTTGGCTTTGTCTGCCACACCCTGACTATTGTATGGACGAGTGAGTCCTGCACACACCTACCACAACACTAAAAAAGTGAGGAATAAAACTCACAATTTAATTATAACTATCTGGAGATAGACGATTGAACTACCGACCATTGCTATCAATCAATCCGATAGCTGCCGTGCCCATCGCGTCAATTGAACCGTTCTGACCTCACCACGCCCGCCGCAGGTCCCACCCGGTTTCCGTTCTCCCCCAGTCGTCCTACCCCTTATACTGACGCGTGGAAGCTTGCCACCACCACCTCCGTCCTGTTGATTTATAGACATTATGCAAGAATTCAGTGGTCCCGTGAACGAGTACACCTTGAACCAGGTGATAAATAACCAGACGTCCGCGTCCAGCCGCATGACCGTCAAGGAGTACAAGCGGATCGGAGAGGGTGCGTTCGGTACCGTCGTCGAGGCGGTGTTAAAGTACGCCGACGGCTCCGAGGACTCCAAGACCTCCCAGGAATGGATTGGTCCGTTCGCCATCAAGAGAGTGCCTGCGCAAACCGAATACAAGTCCAGAGAGCTTGAGATCTTGCGGGTGGTCAACCACCCCAACATCGTCAGCTTGAGGTTCTTTTTCGACAAGGCCGGCTCCCTGAACGATAAGACCGTGTACCAGAACTTGGTCATGGAATGCTTGCCCTCCAACTTGCAAAGTGAAATCAAATATTATAGACAGTCCAAGTACACCATACCTTACCCCCACATGAAAGCATACACATTCCAATTGGCTAGAGCAATGCTTTACTTGCACGGCTTTGGTATCTCCCACAGAGACATCAAGCCCTCCAACATATTGGTCGATCCTGCTACCGTACAGTTGAAGATTTGTGACTTCGGTAGTGCCAAAAAATTAGAGCCAAATCAACCGTCGGTTAGTTACATTTGTTCAAGATATTATAGAGCCCCTGAACTAATTGTGGGCTGTTCACTTTACACTACAAAGATTGATATTTGGGGATTGGGTTGTGTTATTGCGGAAATGTTTTTGGGAAAGCCAATTTTCCAGGGCCAGTCACCAGAATTGCAGTTGAAAGAAATCTCAAAATTATTGGGTCCCCCTCCAAACACATTTTTCTTCAATAGCAACCCAAATTATAGAGGTAACATGTATACCAACAAGCTCTTCAGTTGCACAGTGGAGGAAAGATTCAAACAAATCTTCAGCAACTCTCCACCGGATGCGATTGATTTGTTATCCAAGATATTAGTATACGATCCTGAGTCAAGAGCCAGTGCCAGAAAAGTGTTGGTCCACTCATTTTTCCACGAGTTAAAGAGAAAGGATTTCCAAGTCTTCCCAAGAGGCTCCTCCGAACCCATTGTGTTGAATTTGTTCAACTTTAGCGAGTATGAATTGGAGTTGCTTGGCCCCTTGAGAGATGAATTGCTATCACCAAATAAATAATTCTCATCAAAGCATTCATGATTCATGTCCAATTTCAATAATTCCAGCCGTGCGTGCTGTGTTTTTATCGCTTCTGGGAAGTGTTTGGTAGTCTAACCCTTGTTCTCTACATAATATTCTTGATTTTGTTGCCCATGCCCTCAGCACTGATAAAATATACCCCTCAAACGCAGGGATCTTCTCTCGTATTTATTCTTTGTTTATTTCACCAATTTATGTACTAATCGATGTTACTGTGAGAGCCGTTGACGTACAGGTTTCCGAGTATTGTATTTTAGACAAGGAAGTTACCAACATACGCGCTATCCAATTCGATGGTGGTCTTTCGAGAATTGAGTATCAATTCACTTCAACACAATGTGTCCGGTCTTGATTCGATTAAAGCACTACAGCAACTTGACTACCTGCAACAAGTAGAAATACAAGAATTGACCCCTGGCTGTAAGCTGAAATCACATCTTCTCCGTTCACCGTGGTCTACCTGAGCCCTTGTATTATCTACGGCTACACTGCTCATCCGAGCCAGTCTAGACATTAACATATCATTCTATACCCTATGAATGGCTCACAATGCCAAGCTGTAGCTGTACTCGTCTTCAATGTTCTGGGACAACCACAACACAATACAACTCAACATGATGCACAAGTTGCACACGATGTTGGAAACCCCCATGCCCAAGGTAGGGAAGGAGTAATGCTTCAATAAGAACTTCAAGATCAACACCATGAACGAGCCAGCCAAGCCGCCCGCCAAGAGAGAGAACCCGAAGAACAAGATGACTCTGGCAGCCCAGGCGTTGGGGTTGGTGCCGTTGCTCAAGAACGAGTTGTTGGAGTCGCTGAACAAGTTGGACTTTTCGATCAGGTTCACAATCAACATCCCCAACAGCGAGCAGATGAATGGGATCCAGTCGACAAACGTCACATGTACCACGGACGCATTGACGGTCTTGGAGAATATGGCAGCATCGATGATCAGCCAGAAGCCGATGGCGTATAACGCCCCAGCCAAGTAGACGCCGAACGCCCTCAACTTGGCGCTCTTGGGGAGTTTGAACAACGAGGCATTGAACTTGAACAAGTGATTGGATTGGTCCATGGTGGCGGTGTGGTTCAGTTGGTGATATGAGATTTCGATTAGGGAGCGTGCGGGGCCAGACTGCGATAGAGCATGCAGAACCACCAGAGGCCCATAGGCAAGAAGCGAGAAAAGAGGAACTGTGAAGGCACTACGAGGGCGAGGATTGGTGGATGGGTTGCTGGCCAGCTCATCACATGGGATTGCTCGTTTGTACTAGCTGGCCATTCCAGGTGGCCAATGTGTGTTCAGACTGGCGAAATCGCAGCCATGTTGTGACATAAGCTGGTCCATTTGTCAATTTGAGTAATATGTTGCGGGAACCCCTGGTTTGGTAAGTCCATATGAGTCTAGTTTACTCGTTTATGTTGTACAAGGTATTTCAGTTAGAGAAAGGATCTGGGGTTCTAATAGCTCCTATAAGACAATATCCTTTCTTAATGGTAAGACGATTCACTCGGTATTGATGCAGTTTCCAGTTTTTCGGCCCCACATGGTTGTATCCAACACTTTTGCTTGTATTTTAAACTCCTCTTCGTATTCTTTTGAACCACTAAGTTCAATTTCTGTTGAGGGCCAGCCATTATCATGGAATAGGGCAAAAGGCGGCTCGGAACCAGGCACTAGTTACCTCAAACTCCATCAACAATTATGCTCGAATTCCATGCAAAATATTTACTGGCTTTCAAGGTACAATAATACGAAAGAAGCAGGCTTTCAATAAATTACAACAATTCTATGCAGCATCCTCTAAGGATTGCTTGTCAATTTTGATGGAAGGACCATTTTATCAGCAAATGCATACATTCAAAGTACACATATTTACATTCAAAGTACACATATATCACCCTTCGTCGTGGTGAATGAATGCATACTATAGCTAGTAGAACTGACCAGGTCATCGGATTAGCTGGACTTATTGTGCCGAAGTTAGGGAAGGAACTAGAAGTCTTATACTATTTAATTAACTTGTATCATGGCTTAACCATTGCTGAATCCACCCCACATTCAATGCCCTCCAAGTATTTCCAAAGTTGGAACTAGCCCGTTTCTTTGACCTACTAGGCAAAATTCCTGGATCATCACTTTTCAATTGGAGTAATGGGCGTTTCTTCTCGAGTCCCCGATCTCTCCAATTCTGTTGCTGTGAACTCTTTGATGTACTCGGGCTTCATTTCAAACACATTTATCACCCCGTCAATGCTGCAGGAAACCAAGATCCTGCCCTCGTCGAATGTGTCTACCTGAAGCACGCATTGGTCATGTTTGTACTGATACTCGATAGCCTTGGACTGCACATCCCACACGAGTATTCCGCTGGACTGTGACCCCGACACAACTTTGGGGTCCGCGGTTTTAGTGATGAATTTGGCTCCACAGTTGTACTTTTCACTGATGGGAGAGTCGATGCCGTTGTAAGTCTTGATAACGGTGTTGTCCATGTAGTCCCAAAGTCGGATTTTTCCGTCCAAGCTCGAGCTGAGGATGTACTTGCCGTTGGGAGACAACTCCACGTTGGAGATCGGGAAATTGAGCACGTCGTTGGTGGATGCAGTGGCGGTTCCGTGACTCGTACTGTTGTAGGTCAACGTTTTGAGACACTGGCCGGTTTCGAGGTCAAAGAGACGCATCAAACCGTCGTATGAAGCACTCACGATTATCGAGTTGTCGGGAGTCAAGCTCAACGACAGTATGGGGTCCGAGTGGGCTGCTAGAGTTTTCAAGGTTCTGCCTGAAATCAAGTCCCAGATGGTAACGGTCTCATCGGCAGACCCGCTGATGAGCATGTTACCCTTGCTGGTGAACTTGATGGCCGTGATGTGATAGGTGTGCTTTCTTAGTATGTTGATACACTTCTGCTTCTTGATGGACCATAAACGGATGGTGAGGTCGTCGGAGCACGAGGCGATGATGTTGGAGTTGATGGGCGAGAACTCGATGTCAGATATCCCCTTGGTGTGGCCCCTGAGCTGGGCTATCACCTTGCCGGTGTTGATGTCGAAGATATTGATGGTAGCGTCGGATGAGCTGGTGGCATATTTGGTGCCATCAGGAGAGATTTTGATTGACGTAATTGCACCCTTGTGTTGGTTATTCGACGAGTACTTGAGGCGATACAAGTCGGGGGTTCGGAGGCTGTTGCCGTTGAGGACCTGCCCGTTGGGAACTGACTCGACCATGGTGAAATATGGTGGTAGTCTGTAAAATCATAGATGCGATATGGGCCTGCACAATGCGGTTTGGCACTATGGGGTTACTTCTACAACTGCAAATCAACACCATTAATGTCTTGAGTCCTTGTTCCTTGTACGGTTTCTATTCAGGTATATCCTTTAATTTCAGCCAAATTGAGGTGGTTTCTGATGTTCGGTAGCTCGACTTGTTGGAAGATGTAAGCAGATTGATAACGATAACGGTTCATTGATGCACTGAAGTTACAAAATCTACAAGATTGGTCGCTATTAGAGCCTATGATTACTGTGAAAATTGCAGGCCCTAGGGCCATCTAAAAGTTGTTGGTGTGATCAAATTTTCAATTTATTGTAGCTACATCAATTCTCCTCGAATCGATCTCACTAGATTCTCTTGTGTACCTTCTCGTGTCTAATTCAACAATTTTGTGTACTTCGTTGTTGTCTTGCAGCGCATCTGATCCCATTCTTCTCTGGTCTACATTCGTGTATATCTACTTGTCCTTTATTCCTATGCCCATTTTTCGTTCATCTTGTCTATCCAAGACTCGAATAAACTATTCTCTATCTCATCAAATTCCCGTATCGAACCACCTCTTTCGGGTGTAGCCTCAGATACCTGTCGTTGGCCCACGTTGAAGTTGGAGGGTATGATCAATTTCTGTAGTATTACTTTGGAGTTGCTTGGTCCATAAGTTTCAATATCATTGGATTTGCTTATTTCCTTCAAGAAATACTTCAAGTGTTGGAACACCAAAATCTTCTTGTAGTTTCCTTGCTCGTTGGGGTCTGACGACTGTGTGAAGCTAAAGAGATTCAAGAGGTCGTTGTTTAATGATACCAAGAGATCATACTGCTGGGTTGTCAAGCTGTTCTTAGTCTCCAACTTGTGGAATACCTTATTGAGTATACGATGGAATTCGGGCCGGATGGTTTTTTTAAATTGGTCCTGCTTGGTAGTTGTTTTCATCAAGCTCTGCAAGTTGATTGAAGCATTATCTTGTGAACTGGGTGGCGTGATTTGGCGTGCTCCAGATCTGTCTGGGGTGACTGTTCTACTCTTTTCCGGTGACTTGGACTTCTCTTGGCCCCCAGGAGAGCGAGACGATTCCCTTGAAGTCTTGGGGCTCGGAGGAAACCCACTGATCAGACTAATATCAAATTGAAATTGGTTGTTCTCCTCATCATCTTCGCCTCTCCATTTCTTTTGGTTTTTGACCATTTCTGTAGGCACGTAAAAGTTGTGGTTTTTAATTACATGGTTTTCCTGGTCCCAGAGTTGCTTCTTGGTGATAAGACTCTTCACTAGCTTGAACTTTTCCGTTGATTTGTCGTATTTCTGAATAAACTTGTGGTTCAATAATTTGATTGCTGAAAACCGCTCTTTTGGATCCACAATGAAACATTTCTCCAAGAAGTCCCTGAAGACGCTGGAAATTTCCATCGAACTCAATTCAATGATGTTGACGAAATCTTCATTGTTATGGCATCTGCTGATTTGTCGCAATGCTTTCATTGGGGGGAAGTGGTTCTGCAACGGGGGCTTGCCGTTGAAAATCTCATAGGCACAACACCCCAACGACCATATATCGGCCTTGAAACTGTGGCCCCCGTTATTGTTCAATATTACTTCGGGTGCCATCCAGTATGGAGTTCCCACGGTGGTGTTTCTACGGGAGAAATTGGAAGAGAGCTGGGTGGACACCCCGAAGTCGGTCAACTTGACCTCTCCGCCTTTGCTCAAAAGAATATTCTGTGACTTGAGGTCCCGGTGGATTTTGCCCTGATTGTGGAGATACTCCAACGCCACAAGGATTTCCTTGACGATGATCAGGATCGTGCGCTCGTCGTGGATGGGGCCTGGCTTGAGCATTTCAAACAACGAGCCTCCGTTGACAAACTCCATGATCACCCAGAGCTTGTACTGTTTGACGAAACACCCCAAGTAGCCAGTGATTTGCTCGAGCCGACACTCGGAGATGATCTGGATTTCTTTGTTGATTTCGAAGAGGTCAGTCTGGTCGTTTTCCAAGTCGATCTGCTTTATTGCCACCTCCTCGTTGGTGGCCTTGATGATCCCACGGTAGACGACCCCGAAGCCTCCACGGCCCACTTCTTCACACACCTCGAGCTCGTCAGCAGAGTGGACGCGACTCATGGTGAAATTGGTGGAGTTGGTGCTGCGTAGTAGAACCGTCTTCTTGGTTCAAACTTGCAGGTTCTGGAGCCTGCTGCTGGAGAGCTTATGAGGTTTTCTGGTAGTTGGTGTAGGTTGACGGCTTCCGGCTTATTGGTGAATGACCGGCAAAATGTCAATTCTGACAGCAAACTGCAAATTATAGCCCAAGATGGTGGTGCACTTGGCTGGCTCTCCCGTTTGGCGTGGACTGTGGCCCTTTCTTTGCTATTCAGTCTTTCTGCAACGACTGAAGTGTTGTCAGTGCTAACCTGCTAGTTTCAGCCTTGCGTCTCGTCTAGGTCGTGCTTATCAACAGTGGGGCAGATGCAGGTCCAAATGGTGCGAAGACTGTCACACTGTCAATGGCAAAATAGTACAAACTACCGCAGAATAGTCTCCCGTGCCATGATCCAGCGAGTGCTCCAGCGCAGCACAGTCGCTGTCAGCACGCCACCAGTTTGGCGGCTGCTTGTGCTACCGCAGCGAGGCTACGCTTCCAAAAACACCGGTGCAAAACCCTCCAGAGATGAGCCCTACTCGGACCTCTTTCTCACCAAGAGCTTGTCCAACAAGTCGTTCGACAGTGGCTTTATTCGATGCACTACCTTCGACAACCACGGCACCATCGTCCACCACGGCAAGGATATCCGCAAGGTGGAGTTCATGAAGACCCACAACTTGGTGGCACGAGACTTCAGAAAGATCTCCCGCCATCTGCACGCGGGCGGTAACTCCGCCTTCTTCGACATGGTACCATCCATCGTGACCAGAAGCGACAGCATCCTCTTGAACCTCCTCAACGTGCGGGCCATGATCAAGAAGGACATGGTAGCCATCTTCGATAGCTCCAGCTACTCCACGGGAGGAGGGCGTGGCAGCAGGCTCAATGAGTCCCGTTCTCAGTCCATGTTCTTCAAGGACTTGAGCGAACGGTTGGCCATCCAGGGCGACGAGTTGCCCTACGAGTTCAGGGCCATGGAAGCAGTGTTGGTGCACGTCATGACCAACTTGACCACCGAAATGAATGTTCACATCAGGGTGCTTCAAAACATCTTGAACGGCCTCGAGGACAATATCGACAGAGTGCGATTGAGATACTTGTTGATCGAATCAAAGAAAATTGCCCAGTTCCACCAGAAGGTCCTCTTGATCAGGGACTTGTTGAATGACATCATCGACAACGACGACGAATTGAACGACTTCCATCTCACCGACATTCTGAAAGGCCAGCCACGTACGGGAACCGACCACGCCGAGATTGAGTTCCTTCTTGAATCCTACTACAAGACCAGCGATGAGATCGTCCAGACGGTCCAGAACTTGAAGTCCCAGATAAAAACCACCGAGGAAATCATCAACATGGTGTTAGATTCCAACAGAAACGAGCTCATGTTGCTAGGCTTAAAGTTCTCCACCGGCTTGTTGTCTACAGGTATAGCCTTGTATGTCTCGGCGTTGTATGGTATGAACTTGGAAAATTTCATTGAGGAATGCGACGGAGGGTTCGAGCTTGTGGTGGTAGTTGGCTCTGTTCTTTTCGTGGCATTGTTATTGTTTAGTGTCAACAAGTTGAAGAACTTACAAAAGGTCACAATGACTGGTGTACATAGAGAAGGTAGGTTCAAAAAGTGATAGAGTAATGAGTTATGAATTAATTTTATACATTAGATGTAGCCAAACTTCGTGTGATCTCCGCTAATGAAGGATCAAAGTAGCACAAATAAATGCCAAATTCTTTACTGGAAGGCACATGCAGATTCTTCTATTTCGTAGGCAATAACCAAGCCGTTGAGAAACGAACTCATTTCTGGATATCTTGGGAAATATAACGATCTTACCTATCAAATAAATTCGATAGATGAATGACTTATTCTTACCAACTCTACAACTAAGAAAGTGAGAATGACGGTGCCATTCTCCAAAAGATTCATTCAAATGGCAGTACATATTCACATCAAGTGCTGTTGATATGCTCATCCTCCGTTGCGCTAGCTCCACTAGCTTCAGTTTACTCAAACTCCACATCTATACTTGGAGTCAATGAGTTGCTGGTACTTCTGGGTCTGCCACTGCTAGACTCCCTTGGAAGCGGTATCGAGTCTCTTTTCCTTATCCTGTTGTCACCAGTTCCATTCAAGTCCACAGAGCTCTGAGGAGTATGTCTGGGAGATGTGCTAGGAGATGGATTTGGAGTAGCTCTGGTTCTAAAAGGCCTCAATGCAAAGTTATCACCGCTTAGAGGTCTTGGACTCTTGGGGACTGATCCACTGATGATTGTACGCGTTGGGTTCTTAGATGGAGTGGTTGGAGGCTCGGTAGAAATCGTAGGAGGTGGAATACTTGGAAGTTTCTTTTGTAAACCAAACTTCTCATTGTCCCGCTTGGTTTTATAATTCTTCTCATTGTTGATCAAAGTTTTGAGCAACTTTGTTCTTACCTCCAAGCTTAATAGGTCACCAAGCAACTCGCCATATATTTCCAATGGTGGCTTAAATCCAGAGGAATTTTTCACCGCCGAAGGTCTGAATATCAAATGGATAAATGGAATAGCACCAATAGCTTCCATCTGATTCAACAGAGTGACAGCGTCCTTCAGGTCAACCTCGTCCAAGGATGTGATTGGTAGATCGTCGGCTGTTTCATATGACTCAATGACCCCCAATTTAAATGCTGCACCAATGTGCTCCAACATAAATATCAATGATGCCAAGTTGCTTCTGGGAACCGACCCTATGATTCTGGTAAGCTCATTAACTCTGGAATTCTTGTTTTCGCCTTCATTCTGGTTTGGCAATTTATAGAGACTAATCACTGAGTCATAAACTAAACATGGAATCAATGAGTCGCTGATTTCAAGAAGCCAATTCTTCAAAAAGTTAACAAGCTTGAATGTGGATAATGGTTTCAAACTCACCAAAACCTTGTCCAAAATGTCCTTGTGTACAACTTGTTCTTGAGAAGTGTCGATATCAGACGCAGGTTCATATTGGTTTATTGCACCAATCACCTGTTCTTTAACAGTCCAATAATTTTGATGGTCTAATGGACTGGACCATGCACTAGAAATATTAGAAACATCCCCTTCAGTACTTTCCTCGATAAGCTTGACTAAGTTGTACAAAAATTGGGGGATAGAAGCGATGGTCAACAATTGTGACTTGTCGTCGTCCAAGTTTGATAACTGCAAATGAAGTTGAATGTCCTTGTAGAGATTAAATTGCCGTCTTAAGTTTTGAAAGTTATTGTTGGATTGATTTGTGCTGAAGTGTCTTTTGGTGAGATTGTTAGGAGAGACAATCGAAGGAAAATAAATACCAGTTGTGAAATCCTCAATTAACTTATCGAAATCATTTTGATAATTGTCAGGCTTGTTGACCTTTTCTATAAATTCAATGGCCAACTTGTGCAATGCATTTGTGGAAGTCAAGGAGAAATTGTAAACAATTTCCAGTAGTTTAGCCAAACTCTGATAGATTAGCTCTATCTTCGTTCTTTCAAACTTTTCCAAAACCTGGGAGTTCTGCAAAATTTCCAAATCCAAGAGATGCTTAAGACGCTGAAGCTCTTCATAGGACTCATTGTAGTCATTCTCTACTTCTACCAACTGCTCAGCATAGTTGCTCTTCATCAATGAAGATCTGACTGACTTAAACATACCATTGAATCTCTTGGAAGTTTCATTCATGAATTTGGCGGTGCTTTCATCGATGACAATCTTTGGAGCTTTCTTTGGAGTTTGGGGTTGCGATGTTGATCCAGTGGACTCGCTGGGAACCTGTAGGTCTGATTGGCTTTGCTGATACTGGGATGTGAAGACTGCTAAATCGGACCATTCATACCACAGACCTTCACTTTTAAACTTGTTGGCACCAAGAAATCCAGTTCCCACCAAAAGCTTGTGGTCTAACAATGACTGCCCAAACTTCTCAAGGTTGACTCTGGTGGGCTCGATTGGAAATGGCCTATACTTGGTGATGTAGTCACACAACAGATCACTACTGAAGATCTCATTCTTGTACCCAGGAATAGGGATTTTTCTTCTGACTGTCGGTATGGAAGTAATGAGTTTCTTGATGATGGAGCTCAAATCAGATGCGTTGGAAACCTTTACGGAACCGATGTGGAGGGGGAATTTGAAGTCCAACTCCTCGGGCGATGGAGATGCCTGTTCGACCACGTCTGTCAGTTCGTCCACACTTCTGTCGTAGGACGAATTGAAGGAGTCGTCGTTGGAGTTCTCGTCCTTTTGTTCATGCCTGGGAGGTTCGGTCTCCGAGATTTCTTGCAATCTGACGAGCTCGTCATACTGGCTCTTCAACTTTTCGACTTCCTTGTACGTGCTCTCGTAGTTGGAGAACAACTCGTGGTAGCTGTCCACAATCTTGCGCACCTGGGGCTCGTTGACCTTGATGAATGCCGATATCTTCTCCAACACCTCGCGATCGATCACGCCTGCTAGTTTCATCAAGGTCTTAGATTCGGCAGCCAAGCTGCGGACATACAACTCGAAGGTGGATCCAATGGACACCAAAGATGACTCAGTGTGTTCTGGTTTCTCGAGAATTTCAGCCAAGTTGTGCTCGTTGGAGGATACCGAGCGGAACGAGTCGCTGAAGCGCTTGAATGCATTGTTGCTCCTGGCCCTTCCAGGAGAGCCCAAGAGCGAGACGTCGCTGTTGGTGCTGCGGGTGTAGGGCCGGAAAGTGCTCTCCAATGGGAGCGAATCAATGGTTAGCTTGGTGAGGTACTCGCTGTTGGAATGGAAGTAGTTCATGTAATTGAACACGAGTTGGCGGAGCTCGTGAGTCTGCTGCACAGACCGCAAGCTCTGCTCGCAGAGACGGTCGATGCCTGACTTGTAGTCTGCCGACCAGTAGGAGTTGGAGAACTGGGACATGGTGGCACGAATGATGGAGAGATCATGATTTTGTTTTGAGAGGATTGGCGCGGCACGGCGGAAGCGTAACGACACGAAATGTGATTTGGGAGGGAAGATAGAATAAAGGCTACAGGAAGTGCTAGAATGCCACGGCTAGTAAAGTGATGCTCGAACCGGCTGGTGGAAGTCACTTGAACGGCCGTGGCGAGAGGTCTACATCCAACAGGTTTGTCCATCTCAGAGGCTAGAATTGCTTGAAATTGCATACAATTAAAAATCAAAATTAACTTGAAGACAAACTGATTCAAACATTATTATCGCTAATTATGCCAATAGCTAAATTACGTCAATTGATTCAAGGCAACAGGTCCACCAGTGACTGGCGTTTCCTAGACGTTTCGGCATTACACGTTGGTTCCTGGCGATTTGCGCACAGTACTGGAGAATGTCCGTTTCGGGGTGAGCCCCACGCATAATCAATTGTGTCAACGCGCGGGATGATGTTGACATAACTGTTTGTGGCCAGTCTCCCCAGCATGAACTTGCAAGTACTTGAAACAGAGATAGGCGACGTGCGGAGCGATATCCAGTCGTTACGGCTGGAGGTCGCTGCCATCGAGGTCGAACGGGCCCAGCTAGCACTCAAAGTCCTGGCCCTCCAAGATGAGCTCCAGCAGCCGTCGCCACAGCACCGTCCCCACGAAAAGGACGCTGACCCCGTTCCGCCCATTATCCAGCATAGCCACTTCGATCCGTCCATCAGCAGGTTCTTCCAGGCACCCCAGGACGAGCCAGTGCCCCAAACAACCGCGTTGCCTAGGTTCCTTCCCCAAGCAGAGGCTTTGGTAGAGATCAAGGAAAACATCCTCTACGAGAACACGTACCGCATTGGGGGTGTGACTGCATTCCCGTTGAACCAGCGGTTGTTTGCGGCCAACGACGAGGTCTTGGGGCTTCGGTTTGATATGTTTTCCCATGCCAAGTGCCAGTTTCTCCAACCCCACTACGCCATTCTCAAGAAGTCCACTGTAACCGACAAAACGGGGCACCAGCTTCGCCAGTGGACGCTCTATCGCCACACCTTGCCTGTCTACGTGCCACTCGAAGACTACACCAAGGAACTCAATTCGGAGGATGGGGTGACCACATTTGCATTGCACATCCGCAACTTCCTTGTCAAAATACAGCATAAGCACGATGTGGTTGAGGAGTTGACCAAATTGGACCTCCAGACGTTTGAAAAGGGTTCCATGGTGGCTGGTCCATCGGGAAATAGTTGCAGAATAATTCAAAAGGTAGACAAAGATCTCCAGTGCCAAAGATTGGTATTGTACATCCTTCACAAGGTTGGTGAGAAGAGAAAATTCCATCAGGTCGAACTTAATTGCAACTTGGACTCAATTGAGACTGCAAATATATCCACTATCGATTTGAAACATAATGCAGTGATCGCCATGTGTGAAGGATTACTCCGTGGGTGTAAGTTCTCCGATTTATCTACGACCTTTAGCAAGGTGATCGAAATACTCCTTTCGAATAAAGTGATTGATCCCTTAACGTGAAATTGACCTAAGGGACTATTTCAACTATTCTCATCTATACATCCTCCCGAGAATTGAGTCCTAAAGTCTATTCTTTTGCTGAGTAATATCCTTATTTACTGATTGAATGAGCATAATATCGTGTGATACATAAAGTATCATCCAGCTTACAATTTTCTTGCCCATTTGCTCTTGCTCAGCAAAGCAAACTCCAAAGAAACTCCCTAGCTTAAAATTGTTAGCGAGTTACTACATCATTAATATAAACAATCATATTCATTTTTTAAACAATCTAAAACATAAAACGTTAAATAATGGAATTAAACGTACTTCTTTTTGAAGTCTATAATTTGAAACATCAAAACTTTTCGGCTTGTAAACTATTATGAAGTTTGGTCTAAAGCTTCTCTAAAACGCATTACCAAAGCCAGCACCAGTTGGTTGGTAACCCAAACCAGTGCCGTTAGTAATCATCAATGGTTGACCAACAGATGGGGAGTCTTCTTCTCTCTTTTCAGCGTCCCTTCTCTTCTTCAAGTCTTGATACACTTCATTGATCTTCTTTTGGTTTTCGTAAGCAATGGAGATTTCATATGGTTTAATGAAGTTACCCAAGTTGTGTAACCAGGATAATTCAAGAACATAATCGTAAGAGATGATTTCATAGGAAGAGTATAACAAGGTGATGAAGCATTCATGGTTACCAGTTTCGACAAAGTAGTCCAACAATTCATGTGCAAGCTTGGTGGACTTGGAAATGGCCACGGTCTTGATTAATCCAGGCCAGTTTTTGTCGTTCTTCAAGATAGAAATAGCCTTGTTGAACTTCTTTTCCTTGGTATACAAGGTGGCAGAGATTTGTCTGAAAAAGATGAGATCGTGATTCTCTAATCTTTCAGCTAAGTCCAACTTGTTAAATCTGTTGTTCGATTCGTTCTCGATAGAAGATCTCAAAGACTTGTAGTCTTCTTCTTCAATTAACAAGTCGTGGTAAGCAGAGTTCACAACAGAATTGTTCTTTTCCAAGACTGAAATCAAGAATGGCTTGATCATTGGCAAGTTATCAGACTTGACGAAAATTCTAACAACTCTTGGTAAGTCCAACTTAGGAGTTAAGACAGATAACAAGTCAACCAATAATGAAGGGTTTTCATTCAAGTAAAAGTTGATGGCCTTGTAGTAAATTTCCAAGTTTGGTGCCTTGACAATGATTTCCTTGAAGGCAGAGTGGTCGAAAGCAACTTCGGATCTCTCAATCATAGTCAAAGCAGCATTGTCCCATTCTTCATAGTGGCAGTACAAGAAGATCAATTCTGGGTACAAGTGGGCTTCCTCACAAGCGGTCAATACCTTTGGAATATTGATTCTGGACCAGAACAACTTCAAGTGTTCCATAACCTTTTCTGGGCTGTACTTGGCGTACAAAGTAGCCAATTCGGTGAACATACCCATATGAGCTCTCTCCAAACCCAAACCACTCTCGAAAAGAGCAATCAACTCATTGAAGTAACCATTGAACTCATAAGTCTTAACCAATTCTGGCAATTCTTCGGCATCGATGATCAAGTTCAAACCACAAATCTGGGCCAATCTGAATTCCTTGTTCTCGATACAAGCACTGTTAACTTGTTTCCAAACACTAGTGTTTGATGCCTTTCTGGCACAGTCAACGGCACCTTGGTAGTCTTCTAAATAGACCAAAGTGGTGGCCAACTTAGAGTACTTGGAGACATTGCTATACAAAATCTTAGCTGCCTTGTAGTTCTTGGCTTCAAACAATTTGTCACCAATAGATTCCAAGTCAGCGACATTAGAACCGCCAACAAACTTTTCAATGTCAGACAATCTGTCCAAGGAAGCGTAAGCGTTGATAAGAGCACCATCAATGACTGGTTCTCTCAAGTTCTCTCTGGCCATGTCCAAAAAGGCGATCAACTCTTCTTCCTTTCCTGCATGTTCAGAGATTTCAATCACTTGTTCATAGTTGTCTGGAATCTTAGACTTAACGTAAGAGTTAATGGCTTCAGGAATACGCAAACCGTTCAATTGAGCACTACCCAATTGGTACCACAATTCAGGGGTATCGTATTTTTCAGCATATTGTTCACCTCTGTCCAAAGACATAATCTCTTCAACTAAGACCTTGATGGCTTCTAATCTCAACTCAAACTTATCGTAAACCTCGAATGCTTCTTCATACAACTGATTGTCAATACACAAAGGAGCGATTTCTTCAGGGTCAAACTTGTCCAACTTTTCAATGTAGTTGCTAACCCTGGAAGAATCAGCCTTGATAGCAGTCAAGATCATCAATCCTTGTAATGAGGTGTTGTCATTGAAAGGAGATGGTTCCAAAATGATCTTTTCCAACAATTCAATCAACTCTTGTGGTAAGTCGTTTTCCATGAAAGCCTTCACAGTAATAGAGATTGGTTCAGGGTCACTCAATTCTGGAATACCAGTTGAGATGACTTGGTCAACCAATTGTCTTCTGTGAATGTTGTCTTCCTGCAAGACCTTGTTCCACAAGTCGAAATCAGACTTACTTAACAAGTATCTTGCCTGGTACTTGTACATTTTGTTTTCGTTGGTGATGTTGATCAATTCATCATCGTTTCCACCCTTAGAGTAAGAAATGTAAGCCAAGTATGGATCCCTCTTTTCACAGTATTTACCAACAGCCAAGGTATCGTAATTGTTGTTTTCTTGTAAGAACTTCTCTGGTGCATTGTTCGAATCAATGTAAATCTTGGCCAAGGTGTTGTAGACTTCCTGATCGTTAGAACCACCTTCTAAAGTCTTTTCCAAGAATGGCAATAAGATCTTTAATCTGTTTCTCTTTTCAACTTCTGCAACTAATTCCTTGATTGGAACACGGCCCAAAACTGAGAGTAACAAGTTCTTGATAATGGATTCTTCACAGTCAACATCTAATAAACCAGCAATAACCTGTGGGGTGTTGGCGGGATTCACGGATTGAACGTAGACTTCAATAAACTTGAAATATTGGTTCTTGTACAAGTACAAGATCAAGTCATGAACGAAGTTGAATCTGTCACAAACAATGATCAATGGCAATTGGTCGTCCAACTTGAACTCCTTCAAGAAGTTCTTCACCTTTTCACCATTGTAGACGTTGTTGTCTCTGACAACTCTTTCGATCTCCTTGGTTTGGTTCATCTTAGCAGCAGCTTGAATATACTTGAAGACAACATCTGGTTCTTGAGTCAAGTTGACAATAGAAGACAAGTAGTAGTACAAACCTTCAGTACACTTGAAATCTTCGAAGATCTTGATCAAAGTCAAAGCTCCGATTAAATCAGAGTACTTGGTAGCAACTTGAATAACAGCCTGCAAGTTTTGTTGCATGTTGTTGCTCAATAATTCCTTCAAACAAGAGACAGATTGTTGTACGTTCAATTGACCAAAGTATCCGACCAACCAGTCAATTGGCAACACGTTGGTGTGAACAATAACTCTCTTGATGTCCTTCAAGTCATCGTAGTGTTCCAATGCTCTTTGGAACAAGCCAGACTTTTCACACAACTTACCGATAGTTGGCTTATCATAATGGCTGAACATGTTGTTACCCAAAATGGCATCGGCGACTTGTGGAGCATTCAACAAGTTAACTTCCAATACCTTGGTTTGTAAGTGACCTTCAGCAGGTGAGTCGTTCTTCAAGGCATCTAACAAGAAGGCAGTACCTTGTTGGAAGTAGTTCTGGGAGAAGAACAAATCAGCAATGACTTCAGTGTTCAAGTTGGCCTCTCCACCAGCCAACAAAGAAACGGCGAATTCGCTTGCCTTGTCTGGACTAACTCTGATCAAGTTTTGGATCAAGTTGGTGTAATCTGGGTTGTATCCAACCTTTTGGCAGTATGGCAAAATTTTGTCAAATTGGCCTAATTCAGCCAAACAAGATACAACCTTGATGTTGACATTGGCTCTGATGTAAACAGCCAAAGCCAATGCAGGGTCATTGTAAGACTTTACAATATCACCCAATTCTTCAGAAGAAGTTAACTTGTCCTCCTTCAACCACTTTTCAAATAATGGTTTACGATCCTGTTGCAAGACTGGCTTGGCCAATTCAATGGATTCGTACTTGTTCAAGGTTCCTCTGTCCAACAATGTGGAGAAATATTGCAAGATTGGAGAGATTTGACCTGGTTGAGGGGTGATGTGCTTCAACTTGTTGATGGTGTCCTGAGTACGCAATTGCTCGGAAGAAGCAGCTACCTTGGCAGCGTTGGCGTAGTCACCTTGGTTCAAGTAGTTTTGGAACTGTTGGTTGAACAAGTTTTCAGCGCCTGGGAAGCCACCACGAGAAGACAATGCTAATGCTAATGGAACATTGGACAACTTTTCCAAGACGTATGGAATGATCTTGTCCTTAGCCACTTCAACAGTCAAAACTTGACCAGATTTGTTGATGGTGATAATACCAGTGCCAGAATTGTAAGCAGACGCAGTGAAAACTGGATCAGCGGTGATTCTGTTGACAAACAAGTTGGCACCAGTTTCCATGTCGTACAAATGGATGAAACCGTACTTGGTCAAAACATAAACAATTCCGTACTTGTCAGAAGCTTGCAAGCTGATTGGGAAATCGTTAGCAGCATCAGGAGGGAAGAAAATGTCGACCAACTTCTTTTGGAAAGGAGGGTTGCCGTCGACATGGTCGATCTCAATGATGTGCAAGTTACCTTGACCACTGGCGTTCTTGTTACCAACACAGAAGACCTTGGTAGGAGAAGCAGCACCGGACAACTTGATGGAGGCGAACTTGGAGACATGACCCTCAATAGCTTGGGAGACATTACGGGCCTTGGAAAACAATTGGATGTGACCAGCAATACGACCATCTTCTTGGGCAATACCGTTGACGGCAAACCAGTTCAAGTCTGGCTCGGCGACGATGTTTATGATCTGACAATTGTTCAAGGTGTGGTGTCTTTCGGTCAACTTGACGGGGCCATTGTTGGAGCCGTCAAATACGTTCCAGTAGAAGATGGAAGATCCGGTGACCAACCCCAAGTGCTGGTTGTCCAACCACTTCCAGTACACCACTGGTTCGTCCATGGTGAACGCCTTCAACCTTTGCTTGGATTCCAAGTTGAAGATCTGCAAGGTGGTTCCGTTGGCTCTCAAGGAAACCACGTTTTCGGTTGGATGCATGATGGCGTTGTCCGCAGTCATGTTCTTTCTGGTGACCTCGTTGTTGTTCTTCAAGTCGACGATGGCAACGGTGTTTCCGCTGGCTCCGGACTCTCGGACACAGACATAACGGTCAGACTCCAAGGTGGTGGACTTGAAGTCCAACGATGATTGTTGGATCCCTAATTGAGTTAACTGAGTTAACTCAGTGAAGTCGATCGGGATATCATTCGACATATTGGTGGGTGAAATTGACAATCTCCTGGGTGAATCGGCCTAAGGCGGGGTAGTAGTACAGCTCGTAGTAGTTGCTAACCTGGAAGATTCAGAGTAATTGATGCCTGGAGATTGGTGGGGGAGAGGGAATGGAGGTTGTGGAAGTTGATCTCAGGAGTGTCCACGTCGACGACGGACAACGGTCACGTGTGCAGGAAGTTGCGGGTGCGTGGAGGTGGGGCAGTTGAGTGAGGATATAAACGTTAACGTATATGTCTAGCTCGTGGCCCTGTAGATGGGTTTAATCACCTGATACGTTGGAGTTGTATCGTAGTGGAGGGTATGTCTGGAATTGGTGTGTCGTTCTGGTTGTGGCTGGACCTTTATTCCTTCATACCTCAATACTCTGGAAAGCCTCTGGTTGTATGTATTTATTGTCCTGAGAATGTTATTAATGCCTTGAAAAGCACCAATGGACAAAGAGCAACTCGAATTCCGAGGTTTCGCTACGTAGTGGTCAGAAACTCGTTCTACAGCACTGGAGTTCTCCCCAAAAAGGTCGCTGTGCCTCTGTGGTGACTACGAGGAATGGGTCACGTGTACCGAATTTTCACATATTTCATGGATCCATATATGTGCTATCTAACGCCCCAGGGTGATGGGTGGTAGCTATTGACCTCCATAGCAGTACTGCGGTAGTAGAAAGTGCAGTGGCTCGGCGCCATGAACCCAGGAGCCCAATTGGGCTAGGTTGTGCCGTTGATCTTTGGGCCGGAAATGGGTGTGCACGTGCGCAGACCTCGGATATCGTCATCAGTTTATATACATTACCTATCCAGTTATAGGGGCGGATTCACCTTGCGTATGGCCTCATCTACAATCCGGTTGCTGTGGCCCAAGGGGTTCTTTTTTTCTACCTTAGACCGGCTCTCCTCGATATATTTGTTCACGTAGTCGTAGTCACTTCCGTACCAGTCTCCACTTAGTATATCGATTTCGAGTCTTCTCCGCCGCCCATCATGTTCGGAATCGATGCTGTTTGCAAAGAGCTCGTTGTATTCCCAATCGACTAGCCAGTAGCCTATTTTGCGGATCGCCACCTTGACGAAATCCGGGGTAGCGTAAAGGTGCTCTGAGTCGTTTTGCCATAGGACCAACGCCCTTGTGAGGTCTGCCACATCATCGATGGAACGTGTGGGTAGTCTGGTCTGCTTGGGAGCTAGCGACGACAACCTATGGTTTCGCATGTGGACGATCAACGAATAGATGTACTTCTTTATATCTGGACTCACATACACCTTTTGCCAGCTGGCCCGCAAGCTCAAGATATGGTCCTGGTATTCGGGAATCGGCCTGATCTTTGAGAGCTCCAGCAAGCACACTTGCTCGGAAACGAAGGGGTAGTTGACGGAAAACCAAAACTTCTCTTTCAAGTACTGATACATTTTGTTTTGATAATACTGGGGCTCCACCACCAAAACGATCGAGAAAAGCTCAGGCTTTCGCACAGTTATATCCCGGAAGTCCACGGTATCCGTGGGGTACCATTTGGATGCATTGGTGTCATACTGGTCGATTTGGGTGAGGAGTTCATATAGCTGCTTCTGATGGTCATGGCTCAAAAGGGACACATTTCTCCACATCACGATGTTCTTGAAGGTATAGACAGACTTAGAGTAGGAGCTCATGCTGAGTACGAGCTCATTGATGTTCTTGTGGGTCAAAACGTCCAGGACGTCGATACTGGCAAACTGGTTGGGTTCATAATGACAGAGGTTGTGGACAATCAGATGCTGGAAATGGTGGATGGTCTGGCGAGGAGAGTCTGTGGAGATGACTATGCGCTTGTTGCGGATCAAGCCGAGGGATAGGGCGGTGTAGAGCGAATCCATCGGGGTGGATATGGCTGATTCGTGTGGTCCTGGATGTAGTGGGGCGGCCTTTACGTAATCCGCACGCATTGCTTACGTAATCCTAGATCTGACGGCCGGCTCAGAAAAGGGGTGGCATGCCAGATCGGTATGGGTACGGCGAGATCTGAAACCCTGGCAACCATACCGGGACCCCACATTCTGGAGGACTGCGCGGATCACCACCACCCAGCATTACTACCGACTCGTCTAAAGACTGAGGGGACGACGGAGGTGTCTAAAAAGTTTAATTCGCAGTAACCATCTGGTGATTGTCTGGTGTAAATGCATAAATCTCAAAAATTGATAATTTTGGCAAAATACTCAGAAAAGTCGCCTAAAAATATTTTCAGCTCCGATTGTACCCTGGAGGGCAGGGACCGGAAGGAGTGAGGTAAGGGGAAGAGTCCACGAGCGCGAGCAACATCGGTAATGCCATACTCCGAAGGTTCCCAGGCTTTCTACCAGCTCAGTAAACACCCACCCTGCTACTATTGCCATACTCTTCCACCTCGACCTCGGTTCCAGGCACGCCTGCCATGGCGGGTTGCGCAGCCCGCGCCCATCCCGCGAGTCCACCGCGTTGCCAAACAAACTTTGACACGCATGGTCTGCACGAGCTCTTTGTGACGCGAGAGTGACGATTGGCCATCAAAACAAACACCGTCCGTGGGGACGAACAGCGATGGTGGTGAGGTGAGGATGCTCCCTCCAACATCGCCACTAGCATAGTAGCCCCCTTGCACGCACCCACGCCCAGCTACTTCATCGCTGCCAGCCGTCCTCTCCCGCCATCGCTGTCGCTGACCGCCCCGTGGCGCGTCTCGCATGGATTTATTACTGCGTCGGGGAGTGCGTCTCGCTTTGCGGCTCGCTCTGCATTTGGCAGCTGGCGATATCTCCACGACCAAATTTGCATCAGCAACGCTTGTAGATTTTGATCGTTTGATTGTCTTCTGTTTCCACCACCACCACTCTATAACTAACACCAACACCACCATCACCACCAAGCTGTAACTGGCACATACCTCACCAACTGCTACATAAAACACCACCACTACCATCGCAGCCCCTCCCGCCATGGAATCGTTCCCCAAGTTCCTAAGGTCCGACACCCACCAGTTCAAAGACTCGGCGTTTCCTCCGTTCAAGGTGGAGCACCGCTACAGGGGAGTCTACGAAAGAGCAGGCTTTGACGTCAACTTGGGCGGATCCACCGCCCAAGATAGCCGCTCGATCCACTCCAAGTCGTCAGCGTCTCGTCGCAGGTACCCAACGCCTCCCAAGTCGACCTCGCCCACCTCCACCACCAGCTCGCCATTGAGCCCCCACTTCAACCCCCACAAGGGCTACCAGACGGCTTCCAGCACCCCCAACATCTCGCTCCACCACCAGCAGCCATTGCCGCCACAGACAAAGCCTGCCAAGGCCTATGGCTACGGGTATCCCTCCAACAAGAACCCCTACGGCCAGCCTCCCCAGTCTGCGCCTGCCACAGGCTCGTTTCCCGACATGAACCGCTCGGCTCCTCAGTTGCGCAACGAGTACAATCCCTCGACCTACTCAGGGTCGGCAGTGCCGCCAGCAGTCCCCCAGATGGCGTCTCCCGACTCCATCCACCACCAGCCCTACGCTCCCAAGTCCCAGGGCTACAGACCTCCGCTGGATGATAACTTCGACTTCAGCCCCAGCTCCAACATGTCTGCCAGTAAGAACATCAAAAACCTCCACCTCGACTTGAACAACGAAACCCCCGACATAGACAGCTTATCGGAGAGCGAGAACGAAGCCAACCCGTTGTCGCCTAAGGCAGACTCCTTCAACGACACCAGCAACACATCGGTCGACCAGAACTACCCCCGCGGCCACAGTCACTCGTCCAGTGTCCAGTCCACCAAGAAGTTCGATCCCCGTCAAAAGAGACACAACAAGTCGGCCTCCTTCAACACCTCACCAAACTCACAGAAAGATAGGTTATCCTCAGCCTTGGATGAGTTCAAGAAGGACGTCGAGGTCCACAAGACCCAGGCAGTAGCCACCCCACCCTCCATCAACGTCGTACCACCTGTGTCTGAGTCCTCCCCTGCCAAAATCCCAAAAAGCCACAACCAGCACGGCGCTACTCATGCACCATATCCCGTGGATAACGATTTCTCTTATGGCAACCCAGTGGACTCTCCAGAGCCCTCTAAACAGTTCGATCAGTTCCGCGACCAACACCATAATGCAGACGAGGGCTTGAATACTGATTATCAAAAGTTCTTGGGTGGAGGCACATCTAAAATCAACAGAACCAGTCAATTGTCGATGGTGAGTTCTATCATCTCGAAAGACTCCATGTACAACGAAGAGGATGACGAAGTTGAAAAGGAATTGGAGAGGCAGTTGGAAACCTTAAAGTTGGCTGGTAACTCCAGTAATATTGAGGGTAACGGCTCCACCAGGTCTGTCAGTAATGACGACAACTCCACTATTCAATATCCCCCTCAGGCGGCTTCTATTCCTGTGTTCAATATTGTGGATGCAGACAGCGAGCCCATCAAAACCCCAGCAAACCCCACATTTACCATTCCAACCATCACCACAACCTCACCAGAACGCTCGATGAAGGGCGTACCACAAGACGAGTATTCTCTGCATGGTGGAAGCGACAGCACTCGCTCCGAGTCTGAGAACATGGCAGACTTAGATGATGTTTCTTCTACTGCATCCTATGAGTCTGTCAAACCATTGTCAGTTCGTCACTCGCACATTCCGCCATTGGAAAGAAGAGCCAACCTCTCGCAGTCAGAAGTTCCATATCCGCAGGAATACGAGCAAGCCCCCAGAAACGTCTCCTTTAACGACGTGATATTGAGCAACACACCAGGAGCAAACCGTCCTGTGAATTTCAACGACTCTTCGCCTGACTCCAACGATGCTTTGGATCTTGATGATGTTAAGCCATTGAGCCCAAAGAACCATCAAGTCGAGGAAGAACTCAAGGGCATCAATTTCAGACTCGCACAACCAACCGAAGAATTGGACGAGGCTCCAATGGCCAGTCCTTATATTCCAAGCACCACCACTACCACCAGCTTGCCCTACCCAGTGGACACGCCACCTATGAGAGACCTGGTTCAGTCATCAGGCACTTTTGCTAATGAAGAGGTCAAATATCCACCAGGGCAAGGGCCATGTCGTAAGTGTGGGCTTGATGTGTTGCCAAATGCTAGGGGTCCCCAGAGATCAATTTACTCTAAAACAGGAGAATTATCAGGACAGTGGCATAGAGGCTGTTTCTCGTGTAATCATGAGGGATGTAACATTTCATTTAACAAGCATGTCCAGTGTTATGCTTACAGTGACCGTCCATACTGTAACCATCACTACCATCAGTTGAACGACACCATTTGTGAACACTGCGCTTTGGGAATAGAAGGCGAGTGTATCGAGAATGAAATCGCTCAAAAATGGCATTTGCACTGCTTGACATGTCACAGATGTCACAACACGATCAATGCCGACTATTACTTGATCAATGGCCACATTATTTGTGAAAACGATGCCCTTAAGATTATCAATGGTGGTGAAGCCTACAGCGATGAGAATGGAAATTTGATAGCTGGAGGTATATCGACAAATGATAAGATTGAAAAGAGAAGAACCAGACTTCTCTTTGTTGAATAAGTGAGCTATTTTCCTATCTTTTTTGTGTTCGAGTCCGTATTATTATTTCTGTGGTTCTAAAAGTTGTCATTATATGTAACATATCATTCTGAGAAGAGGCTGATTACCTGTCATCTTATCTCAGACATAGCTAGGTCTGCTAGCACTACTAATTTATCATACTCTATAATTAGCGTTTATACTATAAACAATCCCATCAATTCGCCTGTAGAAATATTTTGAGGAGGTTTTGCAAGCTTCCTTTAGTAATTCCTGTTTTTGGAGGAATTGGATATCTTACCCACTTCCAAATCTTCGAGATTGTCGTCCAAGATTTTGTCCATTTTTGATGATGCTGAAGAAGGTGGCTTTGGGGAGGGATAGTCATCTTCATCCTCGATGATAAAGTTATCGGCATCGAAATCGGCAGAGTTTAACTCCACGTTATTTGCAGAGTCCAAGTCATCTTCAAAATTACCGAAAATCATTCTGTCATGTTGCTCTGGATTGGTAACTGTTCCCTGAGCAGCGTGATATGATTGCAATTTCCGCTGCATCTTGTTGTAGATAATGTAGGTGGTTAACGAGGCAGCAATGCCTGTGATGATGATGCTAACAAAATCGACCCACTTGGTTGATTTTGGCTTAGTTTCGTCGCCCAATTCCTTCAATTTTTTGCCCACAAAGACATGGATCATCAACTTAGGACAAGTGATCAACGATGCAAGGAGAAATGTGGTTGCTGACAACTCGGGGATAGCGGCCAAACCACCGTTGGAAAGCGAGTACGGCAAGGGACATAATCTTATGAGAATAAGGAGCAATAAAGATGAGTCTTCCCTCAAAATTTCCGAGAAAGCTCTGAATTTCTCGTTGTGGTTGATCAATTTAGTGGCCTGGTTCCTCAACACGTATCTGAAGACAAGAAATGAGCAGAAAGAACCGGAAACTGAGGCCGAGGCCAACAACGGCCAGCCGAAGCTGAAGCCATAGATCATGCCACAGAGCATGGAAAGGGCTGAGAACCCCAACAATGGCGGAAAGCCAACCAAGAAGATCAACGAGAAGAGGATCACCAGCCCAAAACGGAGCTCTGACCAGGAGTCGGACAACAGCACCAAAATATGGATAATGTACTTGTGGAAGACGAGAACCAACAACCCAGCCACGAATCCGAATGCCACGAGGATCTGGAGAAGCACTCGTTTGTAGCGAGGCTGGGCGTTGTACCAGTCCATGGACTGGCGCGAGAGGGTGTTGAGAAGAGCCACTTTGTCTTGGACGAACTCGTTGGCACTGGCAGCGTAGCCAGAGCTTCTGGTGGAGTCGTCAATGAATGGGAGCTGGGGCATTGTGGGGTCTTCTAGGGCCCGAATTGGCGTAATGAGAGTTTTGATAACATGGTCGTGCGGGGAGAAACGAGCCCAGGCTGTGATAATTTGGCCATCTACAGATTCTACATACACCAGCGCAATGGGAGCTGTTTCGATGTGGAGGAGTAGAAAAGTTGTTGGCTGGCAGATTAATGTGGAGTAGAGATAGTCGCTGGAGGTTTTTTGTTTAGTAGATGGTAAGAAATGTATAAACGATAAGATAAAAGGTCTAGACATTGTGAGCGAGCAGCATACAATTGAAATACACTAAACTATAAGCATTATATCCCAATATAGCGCGGGTGCCATAATAGTGAACTGGGCGAGTTTTTACGGTCGAGACAAGCTAAACTATTGGCATTATATCGAGCCCATGGGCGTGCTATAGGTGGGGTGAATGGGACGAGTTTTAGACACGGATAATGAGAGGTGGCGTAATTTACATTTTTAACCATCTCTTGTCGTTTATATTGTGTGAAAGAGAGAGGGCTTGGTGAAGGCTTCGTGAAACCATCCAGATATCTTGGTGGTTCTTCTTTACGCAGAAGTTATTGCTTATAAGTCATCTCTGGCGTGTTTGAAATGATATGACCAATCCCTCGAGGTTTCACGCAGGCAAAACACCCAACAATCCCGTTGTTTTTGAAGGTGCGTTAGAACCGAATAGATACTACTATTAGCGACGACCCCAGTGGCAGGTGCTAAGCTGGCCCGACCATCAGCCACTTTCCGTAAACCTACCCTCACACCCTCCACGTGGTGTCCATCCAATATCCTTACTACTGCCTGCCATTTCTTTGTGTGGTTCAACCCGTCTCGTCAAATGTCTCTTCGCACCGAGATTCTCGCTTATCAGCGCAGTCCGTTTTGGGTGCCAAAGGCCAACGATCGCTGGCCGGTGCATGGTGCCGTCACCAGCCGATCCCGATCCCACCACGATTGCCAGCCCCACGGCCCATCGTTCTCGCTCGCCCAACCTACCTGGCCTCCTGTCACCTATTTCAGGAACAATCCCAAGCCCCAATCCGCCCCGTTTAGAAATGCGCTCGCTGGTGCCTCGTTCCAGGCCCGGTGAGTTTTCGCAGCTTTGATTGTCGTTGTTCAAAGCTTAAGACGCCTGCAAGACGATCAGGAGGCCTGAGCGTGTTGGATCGTCGGTGGTCAAAGCACAATGGTCACGGCAAGCACCAGCGTGGTTTATAAGGCTCGTGGGAGCGCCACTTTTGCCATGCCCCCAAATGCTCTGGTGGATCTATTTGTTGCTTGTTAGTCAGGCCCTCGCTACCCTGCCCTCTGGCGGCTACGCTCCTGGCACCATCAGCTGTCCTGGCGGACTGCTGTTGACCAGAGACGCTTCCGAGCTCTCGCCCAGCGAGAAGGACTGGTTGGCAGTCCGCCACGCCGTGGCGGACCCCCAGCTAGCAGCCTTCCTCAAGGCTGCCAACATGTCTGACTTTGACGTCGACTCGTTCTTGGCCGACAAACACATCAACATCGCGTTGACGTTTAGTGGAGGTGGCTTGCGGGCCATGTACTGTGGAGCAGGTCAGTTAAACGCGTTGGACCTGCGGTCGTCTGGCAACTCGCCGTTGAAGGGAATACTCCAGGCATCCACGTACGTGGCAGGCCTCTCGGGAGGCTCGTGGTTGGTGGGGTCGTTGGCGCTCCAGAACTTCCAGTCCGTGGAAGATATCCTTTCCCAGGGCAAGCTCTGGGACTCCTCGGGGTCGGTGATCCGCCCCTATCGATTCAATGTGGTGGAAAACACTCTCCAGTTCACTAGAATCGGCTTCGACATCTTGGCCAAGCAAGCCGCCTTCTTCCTCACCTCGATCACCGATATCTGGGGAAGAGCATTGTCCCATCAGTTGTTCAACACATTCGATCATGACGGCAGAGCTGTCACTTACTCGGACATTGCTGCCAGCGCCGACTTCAAAGCAGGCAAGTTTCCGTTTCCCATCGTGGTGGCCGACGGAAGGGCTCCCGGAACCACCATCCTCAACTTTAACTCCACCGTGTTCGAGGTCAACCCATTTGAAATCGGTTCCTGGGACCCCTCGTTGAACCAATTCTCCCAGCTTCGGTACCTCGGCACCAAGGTGAATGCCGGAGTTCCACACGGCAAATGCTACGCTGGGTTCGACAATGCCGGTTTCATTGTTGGAACCTCGTCCAGTTTGTTCAATCAGCTCCTTGTCCAAATGGACCAGTCGGTACTTCCTCCCGTGTTGAAGAAGTTGCTCGACATAGGCACATTGCCATTATCCTTGGAAGATGTGGCCTATTACGACCCTAACCCCTTCTTTTCCAGCAATGGTTCCACCTCTATCCAAAAGGCCCAGAGGTTGACATTGGTGGATGGCGGTGAAGACACCCAGAATGTGCCTCTTACACCCTTCCTCCACTCGGCCAGAGATGTGGATGTCCTTATCGTCAACGACAACAGCAACGACAGACACGGCTGGCCCGATGGAACCTCTTTGGTATCCACCTACCAGAGACAGTTCACCCCACAAGGCAAGGACGCTCCGTTCCCCTACGTTCCCGGGCAGTCGTCGTTCCGGAACTTGAATTTGACCGCAAAACCTACCTTCTTTGGGTGTGACGCCAAAAACTTGTCCAGCTTGACCAACAACATCTACGATGTGCCTTTGGTGGTATACATGGCTAACAGGCCTTTCACCTATTGGTCCAACACCTCCACCTTCAAACTCTCGTACACCAAGGACCAGAGACAAGGCGTGATAGCCAACGGGTACCAAGTCAATTCCAGAGAAGAGGGCAAGCTCGACTCCGAATGGGCTGCATGTGTGGGATGTGCTATCATCAGAAGGCAACAGGAGAGAAACGGCCAGGACCAGAGCGACCAGTGCAAACGTTGCTTCCAGAAGTACTGCTGGAACGGAGAGATTTACCAGGGTGAAGACCTTGGTGACAATTTCACTCCTGACGGGATTACCAAGGGGGCCACGTTTTTCAATGGGGATAACACCAAGGGAATTCACGACGGGGGTGATTCGTTGTGAATAAATAAGCGAGCTGATAAGCCAATTCAACAGGTTGCATACAAACTAAATTAGGTGTTAATGTAAGGTTATAATTAGTTACTGAACGATCGACCGCAAAATACCAAGTATTGCGCAACTTCTCTGCTTCTGTAGTTTCCAAGTAGGGGTGCTACCAGAATTGCAGCCTGAGCCACAAACGATCGTACCACAAACTTCTACGGCACGAACGCCCAGAAGCGTTTGAACAGTATCTTGCCAGCGTACTCTTTGAAAAGCCCCGAGCCTTTGGGAGCTACCCATAATAAATTAGTTTTTGATGAAATACTCAACGGTCGGTCGCTGAAACTTGAGGCTACGGGTTCCATCGGGTAAATTTACCAGAAGAAAACACCATAAATAGCCCAAGTGTTATTGCCAGGCTTTGAAACACGTTGGTGGGTGGATTCGGCCATGTCGAAACAGAGCTCATACCTCGTGAGTCACGGTTACGTCATACAACATGGAGACGATACCACCACCACCAATCTGGCACATTCCCATGCAAGCCGGTGCAAAACCGTTGGAGTTTGGTGCCCTGGACTAACATATTGATCCGAAATAGTCGTATCTTGATTGCGCCACCAAATGAAGTTCTACCGGGAGATTCTGTGTAAGTCGTTTGTTAATCTATAAATGAACGATACTAATATACATGTAGCGACGAAGTCAACCACTCATAGGATAGGAGGAGTTCTTACTCCAACAACTCTGGAAATTCGTTGACATCGGCGTTTTCGTAGATGACTTTGTAGGTGGCCTCGAACAAGGGGAATTCGTGTTGCAATTTGAAACTCTCCAACAATTCGTGGACTTCCTTGGCAGTCAAAATACCCTGGGAGGATTGGCCGTTCAACAAGGTCTTTTCGGCTTCCCAGGCATCTACCTTGTGTTCAACCATGTACTTGGCAACTCTGACGTTTCTACCTCCAGAACAGGTGGTGATCAAGTCAGCAACACCAGCACTCTCTTCGGTGAAGGTGGATGGGTTGGGAGGAGTGGAGGCCTTGATTCCGAACTTTTGCCAGTAGGAGGCAAAGTGGATGGTTTCCTTCAAGCCAATTCTCATGATGGCAGCCTTGGCGTTATCACCCCATCCAGCACCCTCGACGAAACCAGCGGCGATGGCGACAACATTCTTCAAGGCACCGGCAATAGAGGCACCCACCACGTCCTCGATGACGTTGACGTGGAAGTATGGTCTGTGGAAGGCTTGCTTCAAGACGTAGTCGTCGATGTCTTGACCCTCACCCTTGAAGTCCTTGGGCAAAGTGTAGGCAATGGAGGTCTCGGACCATCTTTGTCTGGCAACCTCGTTGGCGATGTTGGCACCGGACAACACACCACAGTGGATGCCCAAGGTGTCGGTGATGGACTGGGACAACAATTTGCAGCCTTCGGGGCCGACTTCCAACCCCTTTAAGCAGGAGATGGCTCTGACCGATGGCTTGACTTGGCCCACCAATTGCTTGCAGATTCTGCCCAAGAACTGGTGGGGGATGTTGAAGATCAACAAGTCGGCGTCCTTGACGGTTTCGACAATGTCAGGCTTGGCCACCAAGTTTTCAGGCAACTTGACTTCTGGCAAGTACTTGACGTTTTCGTGCTCGGTGTTGATGATTTCAGTCAACTTCTTGCCGTTGACCTCTTCTTCGAACACCCACATGTTGACGTCTCTTTCAAAGAGTTCTGGCTTCTCGTTGGTGTTTTCCGCCACCAATTTGGCGACGGCAGTTCCCCAGTTTCCAGATCCAATGATGGCGATTCTGAAGGGATTGGCGATTTTGTAGGGAGCGGTGGTGGTCATGATAGTAAGGATGTGTAATGAGGAGAGAGAATGGGGCCCGAAAGGCACCTTTTTATAGCGGGAGGGGCCTCTGAGGCATCGGACTGTGTGCAGGAAAGGTCTTCCACAAACTCCGATTCCGTTGGTCGGGTTGCTTTTCTTTTTTTCACGACATACCCTCCGATGACGTCGTTTCTTTTCCCTGCTGGATGATGTCACCATGAAGTCAGATCTCCGGCAATGGTTGGGAGGAGCCTGGCTTCTCGCCTCTAGGTGCTTCCACCATTGGTGTCTAGATGTCTAGGTGTCTGGCCCAGGAGGGGACCCAGAAAAAGAAAGTTCGGGTTTAAGAATGTTGGGCGAGATTTCCACTCTGGGGGGATCAGACAGCATGCTCCAAGCGACCATGCGGTCTTCGGGCGCCAGTGATCTGCCAGGGGTGTCAGGGGCCTGCTGGGATAGAGAGTGTATGGCTGTAGTGCTGGGAGTCGCAGGGGAGGTGCTGGAAGTCGCATGGCACCGTTCGTCATCATACGCACCATTTCATCATCAGTGCCCAAGACAATGCTGGGGCCGTCTAAGACTAGGCAATGACGAGAGGAGACGACGTGTGAGGGGGGTACAAGTACTGGTCACAGAATGGGCTAGAGGTTGCCAGCATGAGTCGAACCTGGCACGGGCTGGCGACTGCTAACGGTCGTCCGACAGCTCGGAAAAACGTCGCCCACTCGGACTGTATGCATGCTGCGGACACCTGCCCAGAACGCCAGAATAGGACGGATGTGTAGTGGCTCTAATTACGGGAGAACCCTGGCGAGTGTCAGTGGGCGGGCGATGGCACCAGGATGGAGGCGCGGGCAATGCCGGATGCTCCAGGGTGATCTATTGTTGTGGCGCCAAGGTGGTGGGCATGCGTGGTTCATTTCTTTTGGAGATTTACGGAAATAAGTGTCTGTCGTATATTGCTATGCAAATATGAGGTGTATGTAATGGTGCGTAAATGGTAGATGTGCCATGGTGTATCCAAGTTGTCAATCTCTAAGAGACCGTTGGATCGATATTGATACTGTCTAGAATGCTCCAGCGGCTTTGTGGAAGCTCATATGGCTGGAAGTACAGCGTTGCTTGGGAGCATTGCGCTGCTTGAAATTCTGCTTGACAATCCTTGCTTGACAATCCTTGCTTGGAATAATTCTTGCTTGAACAATTGTAGCATTGCTTAACAATTGTAGCTTGTAATCCAGCGTTGCTCGGAAACCATCCTGTCACTTTTGAAGTCTGTCTGTTTATGTTGTTGTATGGTCTATCCCAGAGTGTACTTTTCTATGGTCTACCCCAGAATCTATATGTTCTTCTATGGTCTACCTCCCAGTGGACCCTCCCAGTGCCCAGGACAAGCCTGACAGACTGCCCCTAGTGGAAGTCATCGTCGTTCCGGTAGTCCTCAAACACCTCCTGCCACTCGGGGCTGAGAATGCTGTTCTTGGGCTTCCTGACAGGTGCGCTCCACATGTCGTCTTCCATCCAATCGCCAGACTGGACTTGGTTGCCACTGACGACCTGCGCAGCAAGTAGCGGCTCGCTGATATCACCGAGAGCCCCGTCCATGATGTGGGCCAACGGATCGGGTAACTTATTCTCGTGTGCAGGGTCCTGGTGAGTCCTGATGGGGCCAGTGTGGGGTATGTGCTGGTGCAAACTGTGGTGGTGGGATGGTTGGTCGTGGGATGCTTCGTGGTGACATGTTTCGTCAGTACATGTTTCGTGTTGACATGTTTTGTGGTGGGATGTGGCTGTGACAGGGTCGGCGAGCTCAGTATCACGGACGTCCTGGCGGGAGGATGCGTCCACAAGCTTGTCACCCTCGAGCTCCACCTGACGTGCTCCAATGGAGCTCATCAATTTTAAGAACTGCGAGTTCTGGATCTTGTTGTTCATGTCGGTGTTGGCAGACTGCGAGGCCTTCATGGACATTTCCACCTGCTGAGCCGTCTTGGCAAACTGTTCCTTTTCGAGATCATTGTCAGCAATGGTGGCCAGTTCGCCTGTCACTGTCTCGTTGGCAGCACGGAGCTGCTGGGCCTCGAGCTCCTTTTCCAAGAGATCGAATTGCGAGTCGAAATCATGCTGCTGCTGCTTATGCTGCTGGAGCACCTGCTCGGCAGGCTGCTGGGCATAAAGAGGTGTGGAGAGGTTGGTTCGCATGTTCATCTGGAATCTGGGCCCGCTGGAGTACTGGGCTTGGCCCATGTCGTACTGGGCATGTGCTTGTGACTGTTCGTGATGCTTGGTCTGCATGTTGTTGCTTTGCATGAACTGGTGATGCCAGTCGTTCTGTTGTGGCTTGTTCTGGATGCTGAGTCCCGCAAAGTCCTGGACCCAGTGGGTATTCTGGGAGGCTTGTGCTGGCTGGTGGTGTTGGTGTTGATGCTGGACATGCGGCACGTTATAGCCACCGGATCTCATAAAGCTGCTGGCAAAGTCGTTGCCGCTGTTGAACTGCTGAAACTCGTGGTTGAGATGGGCATCGACTGCCTGGCCCTGTCTAAAGCTCTGAGGACCCTGGCCAGGGTGATTTCTGGCTCTGAACTCATGCTGAAGCGAGTTGTCTCTATTGGAGTGCTGGGTGAGCTTGGATACTGCGTTGGAGGGACCGCAACTTGCTTCCATGGTGAAATGTGGGGTGGAAGAGTGGAGGATTCGGGTAATTTATGACAGTGATGACTCCGCGTAGATTCGATGATTCTGGGGTGCTTATCCGAGGCCCGAGAATCAGATGATAGTGTCACGTGTTGGGGCCCCGCAGTGTGAAAGCTAGCCGTTTCTGGGGGCAACACCCGAGGCACGTGACGTGTGGGGCACTTTTGGAGCGAAGAGCTGCCAAGGTAGGAGCTGATCAACTCATCGTAAACCTTGTATTGTGCTGGTGCATGTTAGAGTGGATCAAGCTTAGTCGATTTTATCAGAAGCTGTATTTATCGCATAAGCTGAATTATTCACAATTTTGAAAAAATGAATAACGATGGAGTTGGCTAATTCGAGTGCCTAGCAAAGGCTTCGCAATTCTACAAGTACTGATTAGTTGTAACTAATCCAGCATTACGATAATTTGAATTTGTATAGTAATACTCCCGAACCATTTAAAACTGAAAGAAAATTTCGGAAGATGAGTGAATTCTGCATTGTTTAAGGAAAGGTCACTTTTCATGGAAAAAGTAAGTCACAGTGTAGTTGTAGATTACAAATTACAAAATTATTCTGCTTATTAATTGGTCTTTGTGAAGAATGGCTTACTGTTTGAGTAGTCGAATAAGTCGCTTTGGATCAAGCACATATCAGGCTTAATAGAAAACGCGGATCGAAGGACAGTTCACCGTTCATTCCTCCTAAACTAATGGATTCCCGCAACCCCAGATAGTGTGTGAAATATGCCGGATTCCCTGTTCATCTTCCAGTGGTACTATTATTTTGGAACAGTATCTTGATAATGCTGTGCTGCTAGATTTGACTTCTTCAATTCTTCGCAATTCAGTATCACATCGGAATTGGTGTGCATAATGTCACCCTTGTTGAAACAATTAGTTAATGATGTCAACCATTCAAATTTGTCGATAAGATGTCACCCTCGCCCATTCACCTCAGATACTACAGGGGTTCCTTGGTCTACAATTTGTGCTCGATCACTCGTGCATCCGTATATTCCGTAACTCATCATTTCGCAGCCACTCAAAACTTTAAGAACACCTGGTTTTCGAACAAGTCCACATACGACTCGCTCAAGAACTCGTGGATGTTGGAGGTTTGCATAGAGCGGTGGTACTTCTTGTAGGCCTTGGAGCTGGCCATCCGCACCAACGAACAGGCCGCAAAACAGGCCAAGAGGTTGGCCTCGTCCGCACTCAAGCCTGCACCGTCCTCAGGGTCCCACACCTTGTTGTTGTAGTTGTACGACCAGTTGACCAAGGTGGCGATAGCACCTGTCAAGGTGTCGCCTTGGCCCCCGACGCGCTTGTTGGAGCCAGCAGTCTCGTTGACCAACACCTGGTCGCCCTTGACGATGAGCTCGTGCAGGCCCTTGCGCACCACGGTGACGTTGCCCAAGGCCTTGGACAACTGCACTGCCTCGCTGGTCAACTTGGCAATGTCGGACTCGCCCACCCGGGCGTCGATGCCGAGCTTGGCAGCGAGCCTGCTGAACTCCATCACGTTGGGGGTGAGGATGGCCTTGGGATAGTTCTGCACCAACTGGGGGCTGGCAGCCACTAGAAACAATGCGTCTGCGTCGAGGATCAATGGCTTGTTCAACACCTTGATCTCCTCGATGATGCGCACCAACGACTTCAACATCAAGGGGTCTCTGCCGAAGCCAGGCCCCACCACCACCATGTCGGACCTGGCCAAAAGGCTGGACACCTTTGGCAACACGCGCGAGTCGATCACGGAGTCTAGGACTGGCGATTTGTTGTCCAAGAGCTCGCTGACCAGGAGCTTGGCAAGCAGAGCAATGTCGTCGCTGGCGAGTCCTAGCTCGGGACTGTGCAACTCGTACAAGTACGGGTGGACCATGAGGTCCGGCGAGTACAGCTTGATGGTGGGGGCGGCTGCTCTCTCGCACACGACATGGGCCAAATCGGCGCCCACTAAGGCGGCTGAGTGGGCTGAAAAGAATGGGGCGCCCGTGTAGTCCTCGGAGCCACCTATGACGGTGATCTTGCCTGCCTGGCCCTTGTGCAAGTGGGGGAGGAGGGGCTGGACGATGTGCTTCGACAACTGGAGCAATTCGTGGTGGGTCTTATTACGTAACATTGGTGGGTGCGGACTGTGGGCCGAGCGGTGGATTAAGTACCGATGACAGCGGATCACGTGGAGCCAGGGGCCACAACGGTTCTAGCAACCTCCAGCAACACGTCGAGGAGTGGAGATGAGGCTGCGCCGGTTTATGTCGGCCGAAGCGACTACCCCTGGCTGCTTACACTTGTGGGCGCAACCATGACTAATGGCCCTCTGAACCGGGCGTTCTGCATACAACCAGTCCCAATCGGGCGCGCCTCGCCAGCAATATAAGTACCCTGTGGCTGCCAGCCAATAGCCACCCACTCAACATGTCCTTTGCTCACCAACTCACCAGATTGTCCAACCCAAGGGTGCTCTTTCCCTTCGTGGCCGCTGTCGGCTCTGTCGGCTTGGCCTACCACTACTCCACCCGTCTGTCGTTCATCGCCAACGAAACCGCCAAAGCGTTCTCCAACAGCGACGAGTGGATTGACTTGAAGTTGGCCAAGTCCTACGACGTTTCCCACGACTCCAAGGTCCTTGTGTTCCACTTGCCTGAAAAGGACCACGTCTCTGGCTTGGTCACTGCCTCGTGCGTGTTGACCAAGTTCGTCACCCCCAAGGGTAACAACGTCATCCGTCCATACACCCCTATTTCCGATGTTGACCAGAAGGGTACCATTGAGTTTGTGATCAAGAAGTACGAGGGCGGAAAGATGTCCACCTACACCCACGACTTGAAGGAGAACGACACCCTTTCGTTCAAGGGTCCTATTGTCAAGTGGAAGTGGGAACCAAACCAATACAAGGAAATCGCCTTGATTGGCGGAGGCAGTGGTATCACTCCTTTGTACCAATTGGTCCACCAGATCAGCAAGAACCCTGAAGACAAGACTAAAGTCCAATTGTTCTACGGCTCCCAAACCGAAGAAGACATCTTGATCAAGGAGGAATTAGACGCTCTTGTTAAGAAGAACCCCGAACAAATCAAGATCCACTACTTCGTTGACAAGGCCTCCGATAAGTGGGAAGGCAACACCGGCTATGTCACCAAGGAGTTCTTGGAAGCCAACTTGCCTGGTCCATCTAAGGACTCCAAGATCTTTGTCTGTGGCCCACCAGCCTTGTACAAGTCTGTTTCTGGTCCTAAGGTCTCCCCAACCGACCAGGGTGAAGTCACCGGCGCTTTGGCTGACTTGGGCTACACCAAGGAGCACGTATACAAGTTCTAGATAAATCAATTCAAAACGTCAACTGAGATACCAATTGTAGACCCTCTAGAAGCTCAATTGCCAGGGAAATACATTTCTGGAACCAGGGAGTCAGGTTGCTGAAAAGCCTTTCGTGATAGGGGAACTCAGGTATTTGTAGGGGCATGGCCAATCGATTATTGACTGGAAATATGATGAAAAATCTGCCCATGCGATAGTAAAAAAAGGAGCTGCTTCTCTATGAATGATTCTATAGAGCAACTGCTGTGCCCATAGAGTGGTTCTGGGCTTAGGGTTGCACGAACTGGCGGAGCTAATAAATATAAATACCGATCTCGTTGATGAATCTTGCCTGAAGCATGGTTGATGTATCCTCAACATCTACCGCAACTTCGACGTAAACTTGTTCTGACTGGTCTTCGAGGAACGGAATTGGTATCAATGACTCTGGGAACACTCTCAGCTAGGGTCACAGCCATCCTCTATTCTTTTTGGCAGCTTTTATGCCCTGGATTGAGGTGCAAGCCCAACCGTGGGGTTTATTTCGCAGAATCGCATCCCATCTTATCATCACCATCTCCATAACAATGCCAGTCGTTGCAATCGAAGGATGCTGCCATGGCCAGCTAATCAACATCTACAGGGCCCTACCACCCGAGGTCGAGCTTTTGATCATATGTGGAGACTTCCAGGCCATCAGAAACGAGGCCGATTTCGAAACCATCAGTATGCCCAAAAAGTACCGCCAGCTAGCAGACTTCCACAGATATTACAGTGGGGAGCTCCAGGCCCCTGTGTTGACGGTTTTCATCGGAGGCAACCACGAGTGTTCGTCATACCTCCAGGAGTTGAAGTATGGAGGATGGGTGGCACCAAACATCTACTACCTCGGAGACTTTGGTGGGCTATGGTACAAAGGAATCCACATTGGCGGGCTCAGTGGGATCTACAATCGGTACTCGTTCGTTCAGAACCGACTTGAGGACGAAAAGCTTCCGTACGACGACAGCACGGTTCGGTCGGTGTACCATGTGAAGCCCAAGGACTTTTTGAAAATGTGCCTCATGGACGAGTTGGATATTTGTTTGAGTCATGACTGGCCTGTGGGCATCGAGAAGTACGGGAACGAGAAATGGTTGGTACGGGAGAAGAAGTGGTTTAAGAAGGATATCGACAATGGGACCTTGGGAAGTCCGTTGAATAAGTACTTGTTGAGAGTTCTCCGTCCCAAGTACTGGTTTTCGGGGCATTTGCATGTACGATTTGAGGCCAAGGTGGTATGGGAAGACCAGCCGGAGCAGGGACAGAGCACGCCAGAGTCAAAGAGAGCAAATGAGAACGAGATAGCTATCGATATGGGCGAATCTAGAAAAATAGACTCTGGCAAAGGAAATAGCAACGAGATAAGTATGGACATGGATGAGCCCAGTCCGAGCAAAGTATCAGGGAGAGGAAGAAATTACAGTGAGATAAACATGGACATGGACGAGCCTACAAAATTACCTACTGGTAGAGGAAATTACAACGAGATAAGTATGGACGAGTCCGCTAAAAAACCCCCTGGCACAGACAACACAATCCATGAACTAAGTGCAAACTCAAGGCAAATCTGCCAACACGACCAGATCACAAAAAATACCAATGAGATAACATTGGACATGGATGACGACATCAGTCCATCTGACAAGAAAAGACCCCCCACAGATACACGACGCCAGGTCGCCCACACGACCACCCCAGAGTCTTCCCCCGCCGGTTTTGCACCCAGAAAAAAGCCCCGGCCTCCTCACACCACCCAGTTTTTAGCGTTGGACAAATGCCTCCCCAGGAGGAAGTTCCTCGAGGTATTTTCCGTGGAGGGCCACCAGGGCCATCCTTCGTGCCACCACCAGGGACTCTGGTACGACCCGCGCGCCATCGCCATCAACAAGGTGGTGGAGGAGTACCTCCGCAAGCACGGCCACAAGTTCCAGCAGATTGATATGGCGAGGGTGGCGAGAGACCCGTCCACGCTTCACGTGGTCCACGAGCTCAGGCGGTTGGTAGACATCGAAACTGCTCACTATGCTAAGCGACCCTCTAGCCAGTTACAGGTGCCCACGAATTTCCGCCAACTTGCACCCACCAGCGAGACCGGGGGCCTGGTGCCTGTGCAGTACTGGCCCAGCAACCAGACCACGGCGTACTGCGCGGGGTTTGGAGTGCCGCTTCCGCCATGGCACGAGCCAGGGTCCAAGCTGAAGCAATAATATAGAGATGAGATAGAATCACAAGATAGAATAACGATAGAACTGACATTTTCCAGCGTCTCCGTCAGTACATAATCGACCCACCTACGGAGGGCTCGGAAGTGAGACACCGCACGTGCGCCGCGCACGTGACCAGCCGCACCTCCCCGCGTCATGGCCAAGCGTAATAAGTGGCTGGTGATCGGTGTCGTCAGATGACTTTGTCGCCAACTGCTAGCAATAGATTTATATAACCCATCCACGGTCCATTCATCTCCCCTCCACCTCCGCCACGCTCCTTGCGCTCCACACATCTCCCGCTTCGTGTGCCAGCATCCACCGTCTCCTCTACATCCCAATACCCAGCCTTAACAGCGTCTATTGACTCCCAATACCGGCTCCTCCCTCTATGACCTTCGACCACAACAACCCGCTTCAGGTGTCGCTACCTTATGTGTTCACCAACCCCCAAGACTACCCCACCGAGGTGATGGCGTCACGGTTCCAGGCGTGGCGGTCCATCATCAAGGACTTGGTCAGCTACCTCAAGGAATACGCCAGCGTCCAGGAAGAAATCGTCAGACAGCAAATGCGCCTCCAGCAGGCAGTGGGGACATCCACAGCCCCACCAACCTCCCTGGGCCACTCGGCACATCACAACAATGCAGCCACCGCCCGCAAGGAGGAGTTGAACGCCATCAACAAGTTCTTCTTGCCGATTGGAAACGGCTCGATTCAAGACATCCCTAGCATTTTGACCAAGTTCCACCAGCAAAACGTCACCAACGCCTCGAAAACCCTCAAGGAGATCAACAACGTGATTATCCCCAAACTTGAGGAGTTGAGAAAGGATTTGCAGGTCAAAATCAAGGAAATCAAGAACTTGCAGAATGATTTCAAGACTAGCTTGGGCAAGGAAATCACCGAAACAAAGGCGTTGATGAACCAGTACCAGCAGGCAATCACGGCCTCTAACAAGTTAGACGATGGCTCGTCTCAGCACCATGTGGACGGAAGCTCCGACCACGGGAAAAACGACCCCTACTTGGTCAAAATAAGATTGGACAGACAATTGAAGAGACAGCTTAACGAAGAAAACTACTTGTACCAAGCCTACGCCAACTTGCAGAATGCAGGGGGTAACTTGGAGTCCATTGTCGTGTTGGAGATTCAAAACTACTTGTCCCAGTTCTTGAACCTTTTGAACACCGAAAACTCTTCCCTCCCCGAGTTTTTACTTCCTAATTTCAACAACGGGTTCTTATCTAAAGAGGCTACTTTCGAGTGGAATTCCTTCATCTCTAGGAACTTGCCTTCTAACTCAATCGCTAGTGCTGCCATTGGAAACAATTCGTTTGCCATCAAGGCAGGTACCTTCATTGACCTTTCATTCCCATCTAGAAAGGTGGCTGACCTTAATGTACCAAATTTCGATTCTACCTTGAATGCTGCTGTTAGAGAAGGCTTTTTGGAAAGAAGATCAAAATACTTGAAGAGTTACTCAAGTGGCTGGTACGTGTTAACTTGCAACTATCTTCACGAATTTAAAACTGCCGATCGTAAGAAGGACCAACAACCTGCAATGTCGTTACCTTTGGATTCCTGTACTGTGACTGAACACTCAAAAGACGATGGTAAGACTGGTGGAGTGTACAAGTTCATTTTGAGCTCAAAACTGGCCAATGGTTTGATGCATAGAACTCACAACTGGGTTTTCAGAACCGATACCTACAAGAGCATGATTAACTGGTATTCTGATATCAAGGCCTTAACCAGCTTACCTACTCCTTCCTCGAGAGCAAGATATCTCAGCAAGAAGAAGGGAACAGAAACAACCACTACATCTAAGAGGCTCTCTCGAAACTCCAGTGTTTTATCGTCAGGAACTGCTGCCAGATCAATCAAATCTGGATTGACCAATGCATCTCCCCCTCATGGTGAATCTCATGTGAATGGTAAGCAGAGGCCGTTGTCGCAAGCTACATCCATTCTTAATGCTCATAGATTATCATCTACATTTTCACAGAAGAATAACCAATCGCCAAGATTGGCCAACATGATCAACAGTGATGGAACAATTATAACACCTGTGGACACCTTCGACGATGAAGCCAAGTCGCCAGAGCAACCCGGTCACACTCATGAACAGAGAGATCATGAAAATAAGCAGCCAAGCCAATCTCAGGTCAAGAATGCTCAACCATCTGTTCCATTCCCCAATCAACAATTTCTCACGCCTCAACAGAACTATCCCTACTACTTGGCGCCTCAACCTGGACAAGCTCAGCCACAGCAGTTTTATGATCCAGTTCAACAGCAGTACTTCACCTTGACCCCTTCCATGCCCAACCAAGGTCAACATCCCCAACCTCAATACTTCCCAGCCTCACCACAACCCAACACTCAGCAGCAGCAATTTGTAAGTGTGCCGCAAACAGCGCAAGCACCACAAGTACCAGGCTCTCCAGGAGTACCTTCTCAACCAATTGCGATTAACACTGCAAATTACTTTCCTCAGTACGTCCAAGCAAATGGCGGCCCTGCTCAATTCGGGGAGGCACTTCCATACCCAGCACACCTCCAACCTGTGATCACCTCGACCGATAGGTTATCCATCAATGAAGACAGAAACGGTGGAGAGCACGAGAAGTTGAACAAGGAGCACACTTTTGCCAATAATGATGTTCCAGACGAGGTTTCGACTTTACAGAGCAACGGTGACATCCAGTTGGTAGTGACCACTAGCAACAATTCCTAAGGACGCTGAAGCCCAGGAATCACTGTAGGGATAACTAAGAAGCGAAGGAATGTTTTTTGATAGTACTAGGAGTTTTGGGGCCAGCATGTACAAAAAGTCGTAATGGCATTAATAAATGAATTATTACAGGTAGACAGAGTCTTTTTGGTACAGTTGTAGTCAGGACTAGTCCAAGTAGAGATTGTAGTTTAATTGCAGTTGGAATACAGAAACTACATAAAAAATCTCAAGTGTGACTTTATAGGCTAAGTAGTTGCATAAAAAGGTTCGAGATGCCTCCTAGATCTTCAGCATGGAAACGGTAACTCGCATAATCAGTTCTGGAATGTGATACACTCTATAATGATTACTCGATGAGCTTTCTCAAATTCAAAAAAATCTTACAAATGTTCTACCATTAATCGATGTGGATGTACTATAAATTACTTAAAATACAAGACTCTTAAACGACAACACCTGAGTTAGAGGCGATACGTGGCCATAAATCAGCACATTCCTTGGCGACAGGACCAGTGATGGCAGAACCCTTCATTTCACCCTTTGGATTGACAATGACACCGGCATTGTCTTCGAAGTACAAGTAGACACCGTCCTTTCTTCTCCATGGTCTGGATTGTCTGATGACGATGGCTGGCATAACCTTCTTTCTTAATTCTGGCTTACCCTTCTTGACGGTAGCCATGACCATATCACCAGCAGAAGCAGCTGGCAATCTGTTCAATCTAGCACCAAAGCCCTTGACGGCTATGATGTATAAGTTTCTAGCACCAGAGTTGTCAGCACAGTTGATGACGGCACCAACTGGCAAACCTAACTAGAGGGGTTAGTATTGTTTGATAAACGGTATCGAATGAGCTCATCGGCTTTTTGGGATGGGCATCTCGTTGCCTGCTCGTCACTTCGAGGAATCCTCCTTAGGGCTTCGATCCTCTTGCTTTGAATAGTTGCACATCGCTGTTCTGCTCTCCACTAAAACTTTTCAAGATGACCATTTTCAACGACGGCTTCGAGGGGGCGAGTTCCATCCGACATTCGACTTCTATTGGTTTCCATGATCGTTGACACATACAGACATACGGAACTTGTTACCGGAAGCACCAGAACCAGACATTTTGTATTATATTGATGTTTCTAAAGATCTTCAAAAGAAAAATCACCTATATTTTAACAGAGTGAGGAGGCAGTGGTTGTGCGGGCTGAAAATTTTTCGGGCAGGAGCCGCGAGCACAAGGGCGCGAGCCCTCATGGATGGATGAGAACACGTGACGTGACCGCTGTCAGCTTGACACCCGACATCTGCACACGTGACACTGTTCACTCGCAGCCGCCATGCGGGTGAATGTTTATCCGCTTAAGCAGGGTTCACAGAATAAACACCACCGCGAATGGGTTTGTAGCATTGAAGCCAAACAATCGAGTCCCACCACAGATCGGCGCAGCTAGATCAAGCCAGATTATTGTGGACTCTCAGGGGGAGGGGAAGCACCCCTCCATGCTGGGAAACCATCACAACGAGACCCGATCCGGCCTCTGCTGAGAGTCTCCACCGATCTGGATGCCAAGGGACACCATCAAATGGTGCTTGGAAACTGGAACGCTGTAGTAAACAAACCACAAAGCCCCGGCCCACACTGACTAAGCGAAGTGGGCTCAAGACACTGTTCAGGTAAGTGTTTGCCCTGTTTGGGGGTGCGAAGGCTTGGAACTATTCGCGAGTCTGGGCGACCACAAAGCCTGGAGAAATGAGATCCTGCCATTAAGACGGTGGTGGCCGTGGCGGTGGCGGCGGTGGGCGTCCGAGAAGGTGGCGAACGTCTTCACTCCCAGCACCTGATTGGGCTGTGCCATAGACCAACCTGTACGGCAGGTTGACGTATTTTTGTGCGCATTACTAGTATGGGGCGTAGCCTTAAAGGCTAATCAGCAGACGACAGATACTGAGTTTGGGACACACCACTAATTTTGGACACCACCAATTACGTCCGACTACGGGAACAATTACGTGTCGACTACGCAGATTACGGTGGAAACGAAAATGTATTAGTCTAGTAAAACACAGGAGAAGTAAGCGGAGCATAACGTAGAGAAGAATCGTGAGGAAGGGGCGTTCAGTTGTTCACCACCTTCAAGGAGCCCGGTTGGCGAGCTATCATGTCCGGCAACGAGCCGTTGCTCAATCTGCGGCGCCCAAACTCGGGCGAGGGAGGCCTGTCCTGGCCCCCCAAACCGTGGGAGTTGGTGTCGTGGAAAATGAAGTCTTTTTCGGCGTTGCTGGAGTTGAACGATTCTCCGTGTGAGTTGTGGTATCCGTGGCCCAATCCAGTGGAGTTGGACCGACTGTGTCCATTTTGGCTGTTGGTGTTGGAGTCGGAGCTGGTGCCATTGTAGTGCTGGTTGGCGTAGGCCAATTGTTGGTATGAGTGGGGCTGCTGGCCCATACTAGGGGTTCGAGTAGGGTCCTGCAGTTGCTGCGAGGTGTCGAAGTTGTTGTAGCCACCTGCAATCAAGAATGGGTTGGGATCGAGGGGAGGCTCGGGGCCAAGGCCGTCAGCAGGCTTTTCGCTGATGGGGCCAGAAAGCGTGAACTCGTCGTCGAAGTCGTCGTCGTCCTTTCTGTATCTCCTGAAGAGGAAGAAAGCTAAGAGGGCCAACAAGGCCACTCCTGCGATGGAACCCACCACGGCACCGGCAATGCCACCGCTGGAGAGTGACTTCTTGCTGCCACCGTTGCTAGAGGAGGAGTGGGCGCCAGCAGAGGCCAGGGAGGTGGGCAGAGCCGAGGCTGAGGGGGTGATGGTCTTGTAGATGATGGACTCGGACCCCTTGGAGGGCTGTGCGGTGGTGACGATCACCGACACGGAGGCCGAGGGTGAGGCTGAGGAGGAGGAGGAAGTGGTGGTGGAGGAGGAGTCACTGGAGTCACTAGAGGAGGACGAGGAGGAGGAGGAGGACGACGAGGACGACGAGGATGACGACGACGTGGTCCGTGACGAAGTTGTCCGCGACGAGCTCAGGGACGATGTGGATGATGACGAAGATGATGATGACGAGGATGACGATGACGAGGTGGCAGAGCTGGCAGATGCAGACAGCCCCGTCACGTCGCTGTTGATGTAGATGAGGAAGGAGTCGGAGCCTCCACATTTCTCGAACGGATATCCCTGGCAGTTGACATTGCAGTTGTCGCCAGAGTCTACCTGGTCGCTCTGAGAGGGAACGGTGTCGCCACAGTAGCAGAACTTACCGTTCAACAAGGCAGCCACCTTGCTGTCGGAGCACTTCTGCTCACAGTGGCCCGACAGCTGGAAGTTGAAGTTGTCGGCTAGGGTGACTGATGACAGGAGGGCGCTTCTGGGAAAGCACCCGCCCGAGGACCAGGCGGCAGCCGCCAGCTGGAAGCCGTAGCACGACAACACAAGGAGGGGGAGGATTTGCATGGGAGCGAAAGACAGTCCAGATGAGCCTACCAACGATGATGGCGGTCTGAATGAAGTAGCGACCTTTTGGTGTTTTGGATGAAGAATCAGAAGGCGATCACTGCGAAAAACCAGTGCGATTTCGGGCTGATTTGCTGCTTATATACAATCTAAAAATATTTGGTAAACAGACAAAGCCTCACCGGAATTAAGAGATGGGCAGGTGGGAGCAGGCGGTGGTGGTGGGGGAAGGGGAGAGTTGGAGGATGGGGAGAGCGTAGGGGAGGTGCTGGGCGACGGCAGGGGAGCGTAGGGCAGGTGCTAGGGTAGGTAGAGGACGGTCCTGGTAGCTGGGACTGGGGCTTTGACCTCGAGGGTGCGCTTCACAAGGGTATGACACGGGCGCCAGGGCTGCGGGTGTCGGCCTGTGCCTGTGAAACCTGCACCATTCGGGGTCAGTGCGAGCGAAGGGAGGATAAGGATGGGGAAGGCTATGTATTAGCAAAGAAGATAAGGGGGACGGTTGACTACCAGCAGGAGGCTACGGAGGGAACACCCTCGCCATTCCCTGGTGGTTCCAGAGAACAAGGACGGCCGATCGCTGCCGGTGCACCCGTGGGGCAGATCCCGATAGAAGGGGCGTACCCCCCGGTTTCCAGAACGCTACTGGATGGGGATGCGACTTGCACCACCTGGCGTCCAGACCGATCGGGACGCGAAAAGGCTGAGAGGAGAAGGTGCGAGATGGGAAGATGGAGTGTGGAAGATGGAGGACGGAAAGACCAGATCGGTGCCTGTCGGGCTTATCTGGGCTTTACGGGCTGTCCAGTTTCTCTGGCTTGGCTAGCCGGCTTGATTCATTGTCCACTTACGAGCTTGCTGTCGGCAGGAACATGAGTGGTGTGGCAGAACCGAGCCTGTGGTGCAGCCCTGGATTTTGCAGATTTTTGTCAATTTCTTGAAAACTCGAATAGGCTGGATAAACACTCTCGACTCAGAAGTAGATCGTGGATACCCAAAGTAGTGGAGACGGATACCTGGATAGCGAGGAAGACAACAGCACGGTTGTCGGTTTCCAGCCATCGGCGGTGTCTCGAATCCATCACCACCAAACTCTTCTGTCCCAGAACCGGTTTGTGTAGCTTGCACCTGCAGGAGATCACATCAAAATAATGGGATTTCAGGTAACTGTCTAGGAAGCCCCGGTTGGGGGATCGGGTCACCCGATCAATAAGCCCAGTAAGGAACCGTTTCAACATGCAATGGGTTGTGAGTCTCGTGGCAGCTTGGGGCAGAGAGGTGCTACAGTATTGTACAGATGAAACAGTGAGGGAATATCCAGAGCAGTTTCTACGGCTGGACACCTTAGCTGGTGCCCTGTCAGCTGGGATGGGAGGCTTCGTATCATCTCTCTCACCACCCACGTCTCACCTCCCACGTCTCGCCTGTCACCACCCACGTCTCTCACCCTCCTAGCCCTCCTTAGCCCTCTTCTGCCCTCCATCATGTTCATGTCCGGGTAACCCCCTGGCCACTACAAAAGCTCGCTGGCCACCAAATTCATTCTCCAGGACTCGAATACTCAAATCAGGTAGAGGAGCTTCTCCCCCATAACCTGTGGAAATATTCTTGTTCTAGAGAACCTTGCCCTTTTCGCTAACCACGATCATATCCCATAGATCGTCGTTTGATAGTAGTTGGGCGCACATTTGTAACCATCCACTTTGGCCCAGTTAGTAACACTCCCACTACTGGCCAGTCTTCCCACCGCTCTACACCACTGTCTTTGGATCAGCACCCGTACTCTCTGGTAGCCATCCGTGCTTCTGATAGCCAAGCATCCCTCTGATAGCCATCCTTTCTTGCCCTACTAGCGGTGGTCCTGGCTCGTGCTCCCCCAGTTCCTCTGATTATTGAGGCCCGCGCAGCTTCTACATGTACACCCATCAAATCCACCAACCGATTTCCGTTCACCAAAACATCCCGCCATGTCGCTCCGCTCCATCGACCTGGTGCTTCTCCAGCATTCAGCAGACATACAGGCGTTGCGGATCCCCAACATAGCCGAATACGTCCAGTTGCTGGCACATGTGGCCAGCTCTCCGTACGTGGATCAGTTCAAGCTACGTCAAATCAAGACGGAGTTGAATCGCATAAGGCACAAGGTAGCCACAGAACATGCAAACGACAGGACCCACACAGATACCTTGAAGCAAGTGGACACTCTCCTCAGCAGTGTGGACGAGAAGGAGTTTGTTCTCTGCAAATTGACAGCCGCCTACACCGCTCAGTACCAGCAAGAATTGCAAAGGGACACTGAGCCAGAGGCCATTGACAATACCAACGAAGCAGAGCCAGTGGCGGAAGACGACTTGACGTCGCTCCGCCAGCGCCTTTTGTCAGGAGGCCAGCACACCCAACATCTCGATGAATCTCTCAACAACACTGACAGCCTCAACGAGTACCACGAGTCGGTGCAGGAAAACATCCTCAACGACTTGACCGAGTTGACATCGACTCTCAAGAACTCGGCCATCGCATTGAGCTCCAAGATCCTCAACGACGACTTCCAGATCTTGAACGAAACTAACGAGAACATCATTAAAAATTCCAGCATGTTCAAGCTTATCGACAGAAACTTAAACAGCTATCTCGAAAATAAGTCAGGTGGCAAAATCAGTTTGTTCTTTTTGATTAAGGTCACAGCTGCGTTGATTGTGACATTTTTAGTGATGATAATCTTTGTAAAGATCATTCCCAAGATCGGTTAGGGAGCCACCGCAATTAACCCACAATGCTCGGTAGGCTGATTCTTCAAGTGGCCCAAAACAAGCCTGAACTACCTGGTTCGCCACTCCAGGTTTGCTACATTCACGATCCAACCCATTGTAAGGTACTAAACGATTGCATCAAGATCTGACAAAGCAAATTTTCCTGGCACACAGAACCCACCTTAATCGATTTCAATCAAAACGGAAGATAATCACAACAGCCCCGAAATGGAGCCCTACAATGGATATCCATATTCCCATGACTTGGACGGACTTCTTGAATAAAACATATTACTCAGTATATATAGAAAGCCTAGAAGTTTTATGTATAAATTTGAAAGTTATAGGTAATACTGAATTACGAAGTATAATAAAAGATAATGCTAATGATATTTTTTTGGGGTTTTTGAATAAACTTCTTTTGTATTTTGTTCCTATCATTCGTACTATCATTGATCAGACTCAACAATAATGAAATGATGTATAAAGATCGAAACGAATCATAGTTACCGCCGGTATATCAATCAGTATCTAAAGAATAGGACCGGAAAATAAATAAAATGGAGACAAAAAGATGTGATTTCATTATACATAACCAGATCATGATTCATGTATGTGTCTCATCCATATGGTGAGCCTGTGACAACATAAACACCTTAAGGAAACATGTTCATGAAAGGTCTATTGCTGTTGCTGGTTTTGTTGCTGTTGTTGGTGATGATGTTGCTGTTGATGATGGTGAAGGTTCTGGAGGTGTTGTTGGTGTGGCTCTTCATTCATAAATTCATTATCGGAAAATGATGGATTGGAGACGTTTTCAAGTCCATTGAACCCAACTTGAGCATTTTGACTTTGGAATTGTCTTGGTAAGTTACCACATCTGTCCTTACCAAAGTTGATCTTTAAATTCTTGTAATCATTGAAAGATTTGATTCCATCGATAGCCTTGATAGCATTGGCAATGTTGACAAAGTTGATGAAGGCACAATTCTTTTCTTCCAAGTAGTTGATTTGTTCGATATCACCAAATTTGGAGAAATCTTCTCTCAACTTTTGAGGATTGTAGTAATCAAAATCAATGATGTTTCCAATATAAATGTTTCTAGAAGCACCATTGGAAACAGCTAACGACAAAGCGTTAGACAATGGACCGGAATGCTTACCCCATCCAACCTTGATTCTACGGTTGTGAATGGTCAAACCATGTAATTGACACATAGCAAAGAATTGAGCAGCAGCAATGGGATCAATGAAGGTGATGAAACAAACATGTCTCTCCTTCAAGAATCTAATACTTTGTAACAAACCACCTCTGACAACGTTACAAATCTCTTCGACAGAAGAGTCTTGATGTAAGTTTCCCAAATAAACGGTTCTGTTACCTAAATTGTTGGCTCCACCAGCTTGAGTGGCAATTTGAGCAGCAGCAGCAGATTGTTGAACTAATGCAGAAGAAATAAATTCCCGGTCGGCAGCAGTAACGATGTGTTCCATCCCTGGAGCCAATCCTAAATATTGTGCAGCATTGTGTTGCTGGGTCTTTGTGATAAATGCACATCTATCTTTTCCGTAAAAGCATTTCTTATCCAAATACTTTTCTTTCAATGGCAAATTAGCAACACATCTGATAGCACTCAATATAGATAAGAAATGAATAAATGCAATACCTTTTTCTGGAATGATTTTGATACAGTCAATTACACCATAACAAGACAAGTCTTCTCTCAATTCTTGTTCAGTTATAATTTCTCCATTGACTGGGTTGTTCAAATTACCCAAGTAAACGTTTCTAGTGGCTCCATCCCTTTGAATAGATTCCAAAACAGCAGGCAAAATTGGACTATTCTTACCCCAGCCAATTCTGATGTCATGACCCTTGATACTTAACTTTTTCAAGATACAATCAGAATGGAATAACAAAGCTGATTGATGGTCTATGAAGGAAATGAAAGCACAGTTCTTGGCAGGCAAAATCTTGACACTTTCCAAAATACCCGATCTGACGTAATCCAACAATTCATTTGGTTGGATATCAGAAGGAATATTGCCCAAGTACACAGTTCTAGAAGGAGCCGCATTGGAGTTAGCAGGCCCACTGTTCTGACCGTAGACCATTTCACCTTGGTGGGATTGGGTTTGCGATTGCATGTTTGAGACTGGTGGCATATTGGCGCCTTGATGGTTAGCACCATTGTTCATTTGAGCGTATTGGGATTGGTTTTGGTTTACCATACCTTGGTTAACCTGAGGCATGGAGGATTGCCCTGGGGCGCCCGTGTTGCCGTTGATGAACACACCGTCTTCATTGTAAAACTCGTTCCCAGTACCGACAGTAGAGGAAACGTCGTCTTGAAACCCGAAGGAGGCATCGTTCTGGTACTGAGGGTACTGCTCGAACGAGTTTTGCCTGGTGTCGAGCGAAGGAGGCATGTTACCTTCAAGGATCAATTGATCCTCTGGGTTCTGCTGGTAGTATTGCGGGTAGTAAGGCTGGGCCATATACTGCTGAGGTATGCCTTGATAAGGGTCGTAGTAGGACATGGTTTTGTCTGAACTTTTAAGGGTCTATAAGTAAAACTGCAAGTGACAACGAAGTAAAAGAAGAAATCAGCCAAATATATCAGACAACGAAATGAAGGAACCAGAACCAGTGAAAAAGGAGAAAAAACGAACGAGATCGACTAAATCGAATCAATCACTGATGATGACACGGTGGATGGTGAATGCAGTGATGGATTAACAGAGCTCAACGAAGCACCAACTGATCTAGGATGTTAATCAATCAACTGAGGCGTTTGCTGTACGGGAGTGGGGGTCTGAACAAAGAATGTGGCAGACCTTTGAATAACCAACGGATGAATCAAATGGACAAAATGAGGGCCACCAACTTGAGTATCCACGAAAAACGAGACCTAGGCCGAAAAATTTTCTTTTGATCTCTGCGCAGAACAAAGCCTGGAAGGGTTGAACAAAATAGTGGTGGGATGGCGAGGGACGCGAGGGGAGCTACCGCCGCCAGGGGAGAAATTACCGGCATTGTTGGGCCGGCGCGACACGACAGGTAGTGGGAGGACGGTGGGAAAAAACACCACGGTACTAGTACCGGGGTGGCATTACTGGGACCTGTGAGTGGCATTATTGGGGGTTTGTAGGGGTTACCACCATGCTTGTGGGGATGTAGTAGATCACCCCCCAGGGCCAGCACCGATGTGTCAGGGTTGGTGACGGGCTACTGTCACCATGTCTCAGTTTCTGCGGGGCCGATGCATGCGTGGTGGTGCCGTGATCCGTGGAGTCTAAGGACAAATAACGGCCGAGGAACGCCAAAACCCGGGGCCAACGGCCGTGAGCTACTCATCGTCGTCCGAGCTGCCGTAGTCAGTGTCTTCCTGGAGCGGCTCTGAATCGGGCCGCTCGGGAGTGCTTTTTGCAATCAGGAGGTCTTTTTCGCCATCACTGGAATAGTCTGTGTCCTGAGCCGATTGGTGGGGCGATGCCTGTGCCGGGTCCTGTGCCGGAAGGCTGTCTTCGATTTCTGATTCTGATTCTTTTTTGACCGTGACCGGATATGCGGGGCTATTGTTCTCGTTGGGCACTGCATCTTCAGCAGGGTGTAGAGATTCGCTCATGGAGACCGAGGTTTCTTGGTTCAGTAAATTTGGTGGGTATTTTTCTCCAAGTGCTTCTGCTGGGTGGTTGTCATCTGTAAAGTCCTCTACCGGCTCCTGTTTGACCTCCACCCTCTGTGAGTCCATTAACTCCGGAGATTTTTCTCTTTCTGGCGTTGGGCTTTCGGAGGGTTCAGGCGTGGTCATCTCCACATCCGAGGAGTCTTTCTTGACCTTTTTCCGCCTTGAGACCGGCTCCTTTTTGATCCGCTCTCGCTTGACAGACGCTGCCCGTTTCTTGATGTACTTCTGGTCCAATTCGTCTGCGATTTCGTCCTGGTTGATGAAATTCAACCCACTGGTACGGTACCTCTCGTTGAGGCCCTCTAGGTGGTCGGTGGGGTACTTGTCCTTAGTCAAGCTCCAGATCGTCTCTTTCTTGGAGTCCAACAATTGGTAGAACTTCTGCTCCAAGTCGTCCACGATCATGCGGTGACTTTTGGCGCTGGTTTCGTAGTTGGCACGGACGGCAAAGTTCTCTTGTTCGAGGGTGCTGATTCGCTTCTTCAACAACTCGATCTCCGAGCTCATGGCCGTGCGCTGGCCGTGGATTAAGTCCAACCAGTTGAACAAGTTGCCTTGGTGCTCGTCTAGCTCCACAGCAGCGAGATCGAACGACCCCACAGTCAACGGGAGCTTGTCGGTGGTCTTGATAGATACAGCCAATGCACCGCTATTGGGGTCATCGTCCGACTCGAGCAAGTCTCCCGTGAGCGGGTCGTACTGGGATTGTAGCGCCATGAGCCTGGCCTCTACTTGTAGCCGCTGACTGATTTCAGAGTCTCTGTCCTCCTCGTCAATGGGAAACAAGCCGGCAAGGACACTAGTCCATTCCTTCTTGGGAACCCTGCCGCCACGAAAAATGCTCTGTGACAACTCAGCAGTGATGTCCGTGTGGAAACTACCGTCTTGGTACACTCCGGTGATGGAGATGTTGGTAAAGTTGGGGTCGTCATTGGAGATCTGGGACCGAGCAACATGGAGATAGATTGTGGTGGACTTGATGATGTCGTGGGTGTTTCGATCTTCCACTGTCAAGGGAATTGGCCATATGGTGCCGCTTAAGGCGCTCTCAGCTTCTTGAGACATGGTTGATTGTCGCGATAAATATGGAGATGGCTGAGATAAGACGATCGCGACAGATCTGGGGAAGACGAGGATATTGATGGTTTTATGGATAGAGCAGACGGGACCACTTGGTGTAGTATAGAACAACGATACAATTTTGGGGTGAATTGCATTGAGTACTTTCATGGGCAAGATACTTAAAAGTGGCCAGTGGTGCTGAGTGACGGTATGAACTACAGAGGGAAAGATAGACTCAGTTATTGACTGGTCAATTCTACTCTTTATACTTATTAAACACAAGTTATCTACTACAATAATAATAGCGATTTTTACTCTGCCGATTCTTAGGATTTCCTGTCATATTCTTAGTCAGTTTGATTAGCGTGTAGTTGGTAATTTGGTGTGATATCGCTGCAATGAGAAAATGTTGAGATGGCATAGAGCAGAATGATACAATTAATCTTCAAGTGCAATCTCAGGCAAAAAGATCAGTCTGAATACCAGATCTATGCTGCCAATATTCGATCACAATAATGACTGGTTTGTCCAGAGTTTGAGTTAAGTCCGTTATGTAGAATAAGAGAACACACAGAACACATTAGAAGAAAGGACACCAACCAAAGTAGATCAACGCCAAATTTGACTCGCTGGTCGCTTCCTGGATCAATTCTCTCACCACTGCCTCATCGCTCAAACCACCTGCTGTCAATTTATCCATTACCGTCAGCACTGCTCTTCCTGCTTCTGAGCCGTCCTCCTCTGGCTGGACCACCCACCCCGTATCATCGTCCTGCAACTTCTTCTTCCGAATGGGAGACAATGCCCAGGAGTACAACGGATCCCAGCGGAGAACGTCTAGGATCGAGATGATATGGTCTTTGTTGGCCCTCAACACCTTGAACGTAAGCTCACAAGATCTCTTGAAAACACCCTCCACTCCAGTGACTCCTAGTCCATCCACTAAGTCTCTGGTCAACCTGAAAGGCACGGTTTCAGGTATGGGCAATCGTTTTCCCTGGTCAAATGCAACTCCAAGATCAATATGGATAGGTTCTCCCGTGCTTTTATCAATTAATATGTTATTGCAATGGCGATCACCCAATCCCAACATATGGCCTACCATAGAAGTGGTTGCCATTCCATGACTATAGGAGATTCTGCTCTTGAACCAGGAATCGGGCGTGACAAAGTTCTCAAAGAAGAAGTACCGTAGTACGGGGTGAATACCGCTAGTAACTTCTTTATAAACCCTGATACGCTCCTCTTTATCATTCGACTGACAATCTTTCATTTTGATTCTCGCCTTGTCTAGCTGAAGCAGATCGTACTTTATATGGTACGGTTTGACAATATCTACCAAGGCGATTGAATTGGCCACAAACTCAATGATCCCCGATTGTGGTCCAATGGGAACGGCCTTGTAGGTTCTAATAGCCAATTTTCGACGCCTGGTTTCTCTGGCACGATGGAAAATATGATTAACTTTTTCGAAGACTTGCTCCATAATGGAGTCTTGTCTGAGATCATCAGTACCATGCTTAAAGAGAATCTTATGCGTGGAGCCGTCTGTAAGAGTAAAAGTGGCAATCTTTGGCAAACTCAAACCAGATGTTGCAATGGATATTTTGCAGTCAATTCTATGCAATTTTGGAATGTTTTTGTACATTGTCGTCTGGTCAAGAGGCAAGTTCTTTGTTGGTGGTGGAATATGGGGAAGAGATTCAAGCCAGTATTTTCCAAAGCTTGCTCTGTCAAGGTTAAGACTTTTTCCTTTAGGAACCTTGTATTCCGCAAGTTTGACACTTTCATTGCAGAATAGTTCAATCGTGGACAAAATTTCTTGATATAAAGGATTTTCATGACTGAGTTCATTCCATAATTTGTTCGCAGCCATGTATTTCGAAATAATGATACCACTTGTGATATCACTGGAATACGCCTCATGCTTTCTAAGTGACATTAATTGATAGAGAGTATGATGCGGATGATCCACACATAATTGAACCAACAAGAGGTGAAGAAGGTTCTGAAATGAAGTCTGTTCATTTGAAAGTCTTGAAATGAGTTGTGCACACCAGCTTATTAATTTATAAGAGGGTAGCTTTAAAAGGAAGTTTTTAATAGAGGCATTAAGAACGTCTCTGTTTGTATTCTCCAACCATAATGAAAAAAACTTATCAAGACATTCCTCGCTTCCACCAAACGAAACACTTTTAAGATATAACTCCACAGCTTTAAAAGAGAACTTTTCCTTGTTGGACTTGATGTTTTCGAGTTCATTCGTCTCCAGTTGAAGTTGATGCTTTAGTTTAACATAAAACTTCTGAACATTTTTCTTTTCTTTGGCCGAAACTGACGTTTTGCTATAATGTGATTTTAACTCTTCAATTTCTTGTTTCTTGTTAGCGACCCTCTTTTCAAGTTTCAGTATATCTTCATTCAAACCCCTCGACTTATACTGTGTCTCACAAAAATGAGCTAATGCTTCATATACCTTGGGATCATTTCGATGGGGCTGTTGAGATTCAAGGGCCAAAGTTTCTTCACTCATCCATCTATAAGTTGGAATCACATATTTTTCCATTATGTTCGATGCCAAATCTTGACGAGATTCAGACATCCATTCAACCAATCTAGAATTAACAACACTAATTGAAACACTCAACTGATTCACAGGGAGAGAGATCCCACCATCTTCCTGAATTTCCTGAAGCATTAAAACTGGAATACTTGTCTGTCCTTGTGACCATAAGGAACAAGCATTATGATATTTGGAGAGATTAGAAATCTGTTTAGTAATAGCATCAGCAGAAGATATTTTGTTTTTTGCTATCCGGTCTAACAAAATAGTCGAGCTTATCATTTTCTGTTGCTTTCTGTTGTTACGAGCAATGTTATTAAACCTGGATAACTCGTTAATGATAGCAAGCCAATGCCAACGAGACTGCTTACCAGATTGGCCTGCTAGAATTTGAAAGGCTACTTGTCTTGCATTGAGTATATTTTCCGAAAAGTCAATATCACAACGTTCGAACCACTTAGTTTGATCATTGAAATTCTCAATGGGTTTAACAAAGTCGAAATCTTGATCTTCATAGTCAAATGCAGTCAACCCTAGCGGGTTCAGTGTGCTTTTAGACTCTGCCAAACCATTAAAATAATCAATGATATCCCTAACACTCTCAAGAGTTGCAATCAGCTTCATCCAGCTAAGTGACTGATTCCCTATAGTCTTAATATCCAGGAAACTATCAACGAAGCGATCCTTATTCGAAAGGACTTCAACAAGCATATTCTCACATATGTTCGTGCCAGGTGCTGAGCGTTCAAGAATTAGTTTCAAGGCTTTGTAGAGTATCGCGTTTTCATTATCTGGCTTCTGAACTGCTGGTAAATCCCAACAATTCAATTTCCATGCCCACTCATAATTATTAGAACCCTCCTGGTTAAGCATTTTGGAAACACCCAAATAACCGTTGGCTAACATGGATTTAAGGACAGGCCCCGAAGGAGTATTCTTATCATCCAATGTAATATGTGCATCAAGGTATCCACTATCAAAATTGAAGAGATCTGATGAAGTGGTTTCGACCAGTTTAAATGCATAATCCAAAGATGTCTCAACTGGCAAGCCATAAACAAGATCTTCATCGTCAAGAGATTGGTATATTTTCCTCAAGATAATTGAATTTGGATTTTCTGTTTTCATATTCACACAGTTGATATTAGAGCCATTCATTTTATCTTCAAAAATCATCAATGCAGTGTGATACAAGTTGATCTCCGAGGCAAGTTTATAGCATATTTCAAGGTCTAGTGAGTCAAATATGGCTCCGAAAGCGCTTAATCCTTTTCGAAAACATATACGCATTGAAACCAATATGTCCATAAAAAGTCGTATCATCTCGTTTGGCATTTCCATGTTGTGCATCTGAAAGACGGCCTCAGTAACAAGTTTTAACGCATCATTTTTGGTGTTGGCATAGTAGCAGAGAAGAAATGGCAACTGTTTTCTTGCAAATCCAGGAACCTTAGATGCAAATATGGCCATTAAAGGAGCAAGACTGATTTTCTCTGATAACTCGTTGAGAATGGACAGGAAAAATCGGAAAGCGAACATCTCAGCACCTTCTTTCGCTTTCTCATGGATGTTAGAAATGAAAGAATGGACATTTTCGTTCAATTGATAACTGGGTTCATCATTCAACTGGTTACAAGACTGATAACTCAACGGAAGTATGTATGTCAAATAGGGCGAAAGCAACAGCGAAAAGTCCTTTGCGTGTATGCTTGACGAATTGCTTGATTTTAGCATTTGGATCAAGGAACCCATGATACTTTCGGCACACGCACATATTTCTGGATTCTCATCTGACAAGTAGCTTTCAATCAGCCTCAATAAAATACCAAATGAGGATATAGCATTAAAGAAATCATTACCATCAATATTCTCAAATTCCCTTTGTTCCAAGATTCTTTCTGGACCATCCATCAAACCACCATTGAGATAATACTTTCCCAAGTATCTTGCACTCCAAAGTTTAAAATTGTTTGATTGCTTTGGATAATCAGTAGACTTCACTTTTAAAAGAATTTTAACCACGTTGTCACTGTAATCCAGTATAGTGCTCGAAATTTCGGATGGAAAAATGTTTGAAATTAGACTCAAGATATCATTCAAGTTTCCTCCACCAGTGCAAATCTCTATCTCTTTTGAATCGGCCAAGAATTTCTCAATTGACCACGGTGGTAAGTGCGTTGGAAATGATCCCAAAATCTCAACTGCAGTAATCAATATTGGATAGATGGATCTTTTCGATTCCAAATGTAAAATGTACTCCTTTAGATTCTTCAAAAGACTTTTCGAAAGCACTGCTTTTGGAGCCTTGAGGAGGACTGAGATGAGATGAATCATCAACGGAAGGACATCTTCAGCATACCTTGAAAAATACTGAATATCAAATGACTGGAGAATACCCAGAATGTCTTGACAAAAGTAAAGAGTTAATTCTGATTCTTCGTGCACTGTTGCATCCCCAGACAAAGCGCACAAACATCTTATGATGAGATTAACAACCTGAAACTCCAGACGAGTGTGTGATCCACCTAGTAAAACAATAAGTTTGATTTGCCTTAATAATTGTATCTTATCTTCGATGGACCTGGAACTTTTATATGTTAGAGAAATTCTTCTGATGAGAAAGTAAACCGTGTGTACATTCCAGAACTCTTTACCACCCTTACCATACTTCTGCACCAACTTTTGAATCAAATCTAAACTCGAATTAATAGAAATCGAAGTTTTTTCATTCTTTGGTAAGATGTACGAACGCAAAAATAATGAACTTGCCAGATCCGACGCGAACAAATCTTTCAAAAGAGTATCATTTGAAAGATCTGTATGACTTATGATTTGTAAAATGGCAATCTGAAGATCTTTAGTAAGCAGCAATTTGTACTGAATATTCTGATTAGCCAATAGCTCAAATATTTGGTTACGTATACCATCTTTGCTATAAGCCAAAGCAATGATTAGGGGGATACTTTCATTTATGATATTCGTCAAGGAAGAGTCTCTCGACTGTGCTATCTTTAAGTAAAGATTATCGACCTCTGAGTCTGTTTCTAAGGAGTGTTTTTCCTCTTTTGTTGTCATTGACACAGCAACAATTTCTTTGTAATTGGATTTTAAGAATTGGGCCTGATCATTGAATCCAAAAACTTTCCAAGGAAACAAACTTAGATTATCAAATTTCCACCAAAATCTCAATATCTCTAGCTTGTAACAGGTAAATAATTCTTTTGTATTTGATAAGTTCATAATATCGGCATAACCTTCAAGCGTGGGTTCCAAATAATGTGCAAACTGGCCAAATTTTGATAGCTTGAGTTGGTTAAACAACGACGTAATGAAAATGGATGTCGAATTTCTTGAAATAATCATGAAAAACAACGAGTAAGTTGATGCAGTCTCTCTGAGCTCCTCGGGATTAACAAAACAACTTACTAAAGCATGATATTCTATCGTTCTTTTCGAGCCAAGGAGCAGGTCAAGCCATTTGAGAATACTCACAGCCAAGCTTATCTTAATGATGTTCGGTGACTGGCGTACATAGTTGAGCATATTTGATTGGACAAGCATGTTACTTATTATCGTTTCATCGTTTCGCAACATGAATACACATAACCACTTGCAGTATTCAGTTACTGATTCTTGTGTATAGATCAATGCCTTTTCTCCACATTCTATTAGCCACCCAGACATATCAAAGCAATCTCTTTTAAAATCATCATCAGTTCCATTGACAAATAGTGATACCAGTAGAGTTAATAATTTTGAGACTGTGATTATTGTTAACTCGTTTCGTTCTAACTCATGATTTGTGAGAATTCTTTCACCCATTAGCCGTACGATTGAAGATAAATGCGGTGAAATGCTAGATGGTTCAATATGAGAATGTTCAATATAACCAACAAGGAAATAAACTGTACTAAGAAAATCAGGAAGGTTTAGTTGATCAAGATATATCGCCAATGAGGACAAACTGCTAGCAAATTGGAGGTTTCGCGACTTATTAAAGTTGATCAAAAATTTCGTTGATTCAACCGAGGGAATACAAGAATACTCTAATTTAAACTTGTTTTTTGAGTTTGCAACAGGGAAATCTTTCCTTGACCTAAATTTGACTTCATTGAACTCATTGCCAAAAAAATCCCCCAGCACATCCATTCCCAGATTATCTGCACTAATTAATTCCATTGGGGCGGCCGATGCTTCCCTGCTATCTTCATGAGAGGTAAAGTCATTAAACAACAAATAGTCATCAAGATTGATCGGCAAGCTAATATCCCACTCCATTCTACTCGCTAGACTCAAAATATTCAACTTGCTTTCGTCTGAAAGTCCTTTTGAAGACTCGAAAAGCTCTTCAGAATTCTGTTCAATCCTCGCACAAATAGACCCCATATTTCCAGAAACACTGAGTAATGACCCAAGTTTAATAAGTATTGATCCCCACTGGAAGTTAAGATATGGATCCAAACTTGACTCACAAGATCTCAATAGCACTTCAAATAAACCAGTAAAATCCTGCTTTGAGAGATGATCTAAGGCAAAATCTTTTATCTTAGAGTTTTCAGGTTTTTGATGGGATGTTTTTATTAGCATGAACTCTTCAAGCTTGTGAAATGTTTTCTCAAATAAACAAAATTCTGCCATTGGGCCACAATACAAAGATGGTAGTGCAGTAGGGACATTATACTCCACCTCAACTCCACATAACCATCCGATGAATTTAGGCAAACCTGAACAGCTCAATAATAAATTATTTTCATTAATCTGGTTTCTTTCTAATTTGTCAATCAGCCAAGTTTCAATTCCACGAGAAATAAGCGCTCGCTTCTGAAAGTCTATTCTTATCATGAATTTGTAGATAGCATACCAAAATTGAATAGCTTCGTTACTCAACATAAGCGGTCCATTTATTTTCGGAAGTTCAATTAGGCTGTCCAATTGTGTCACCAATGAAATGTCTGTGGTAATTTCTTCATTTGGTGAAAGTAGTACTAAGTTGTAGAATAAACTGCATGAAATTTGCCATGCTGAAGGATCTTTTAAACTTTGGAGTGAAAGCTTCAACAATTGCACGTGTATATCTGTCATGTCTGTCTGATAATAAACGATTGACCCGATGGAATGGAAAGTCCAAAATTTGAACTCATCTTTAAAAGACCATAGTGTCAATCTGGAAAGCTCATTCAACACAGAATTGTCGACATATGGGTTTTGTTCATCACTTTCTAGATAGAATACCAATAACTGTAATGTCTTTTGTTGTTCCTGTGCAGAAAGATGTTCTTTTGCTAATTGAATAAAAAATTCGGAGGGATTGGCCGCTTTATCTAATACACTGCTGAATCTATCCACTTTCAATCTTTTTCTAGGGGTCTCGAAAGATTCTATTCTAGAAGAATCACTTTCGTCGGAGTTTTCAGAGAGAGACTGTTTCAACTTGTAGTATGTGCAAACTAGTCTGCTTATACCAAGAGCAAGCATCCAGGACTTGTGATTCCCCGACTTTAAATATATTGTGTTAAGTTTAAACCACGTCCTTTCATGATCGGTGGTATGGATAATTCCAATATCACTTGACTCAAACTTGTAATCGCCTGTATTCAATTTTGAGATAAGATTAAGGATCAACGTTTTTACGTTGTACACTAGAATATCATTAGTTTCCGGTCTTGTTTCTGAGAATGTTGGAGGTAAGGTCTGCGAGTCAAGGACTAAGGCCATTTCTTCTTCCTGGAACTCTTTTGTTAAGAGGCCCCAGTTCATTAAGCTGTGAGTTGCAGAAAGGTTTAAAAACGTTAGAATTTGAATTTGAATGGAATCCCAGGTTGTGTTATGGTTGTTTAATAAAATTTTCACACCCAACCCCAATAATTTATTAACGAAGGAAGCATCTTGCGTTGATAGCACTATGGCCAATTTGTTGATCAATTTTAAGTTTATGGTGACAATTTGGTGGTCAGACTTGAATAGTTGCAGGGAGTCCTCGATGATAGGGTACAAGATTTTGTAGTTATGATAAATATGCAAATAGTTTACCGAAGTCAGGCACTGGTACAAGTTGTGTAATGCTTCAAACATTGTAGTGATTAGCGAGTTATAGCTGTTGTTCCACTGTGAAATAAGCATGGAGAGCACCCGGGTCAAAAAATGGCAGATTCCGTTCCATTCTTCGATAGTTAAGTGTTCAATAAAGTAATCGAGGGCCAATATTCTATTGAAGATAATGGCAAAGTCCAAGGCGCATGGCTCGAGTACTTTTTGCTCTATGAAGAAGTTGTCTACGATATTGGAGGTTATTCCCAAGAGGGTCTTGTACTTCAATTGAATCGAGCTGGACTTCTCAAGGATGAGCTTGAGCGATAGGGCAGCCCTAGAGAGTCGGGTATCTGTGGCTGCTATTGGGTTTGCTTTGTATAAGGAAGATTCGAGTTGTATCAACTCAAAGATGGCATTTATGAGTAGTTTCAATTGCTTTGCCGTGAGGCTAAATCTGGAGGACGAAAGGGTATCAAGGAGAGAGAGTGCATCATTACGCTCTTTGATCTTGGATGATGCCAATGATAAGGTGATCCTGGATATATCTAGAGTGGACATGGGGCATTGGAGGAGTTACGCGTGCGACGTGATGCGTTTGAAATGGGGGGATAAGTGAGTAGAGACATTTGGCGATGGGACTCGCGGGACCTAGCGAGAACTGGCGGGACTTAGCGAGAACTGGCGGGACTTAGCGAGAAAAAAGATGAGTTTAGTGAGAATTGACACTCAGGAGTGATAAGGCGCGACCAACAGGGAGAAAAGAAATAGGAATTGCGGAGTTGGGAGCATCATAGGGCTAGTAAGGGTAGTGATAAGTAAGAGCAAGTCAGGCATTGTTAGTCCTTCTTCTGTCTTGCGATAAATCATGGACACTGATGCTTCCTCCAGGAAACAGTAATACGGCATATTTGTTCCAGACATTAAGAATGTAACTTCTCTACAAGCAGAGGTATTTTGGAAAGTATCACTGAGTACAAAGACGGGGCCATCTATTCTCAGGCTTCCTCAGAATTCAGCTAAGTATCAACTAGTGTTGGGTCCTGTGAGAAGTGCAATGGGTTGTGTTCACTTGGTTGATCTGTATAAGACATGTATCAACCGCTGGCCACTGCGACATCCTAATCTGGAAATTTTTGGAACCATTCTCTACACTTCTGCAGTTGGACATTTTGTATAAGATGATACGGGGGTCTGTAAGTACCTCCACCAAATCCTTATAGGAGATGTCTTCCAAACCGGTTGTATGGACTGGTAGGAGCTTCCAGCTCTTTGGCTGCGAAAGAGACCCTTTTTACTTGGACCAAAACGAATGCGTGTGCACACTGTGTGATCTGATAAAGAAAAGGAACCGATCATTGTACCGTTATCTGTGGTTGGGGTTGGTGATTCCCCCCTTGTGGTTGGCTAATATCGTGGTGCTAGTGTATCTTATGTTTCGTTCTAGAAATGTCCAGCCCATGCGATATGATCTGTTTCTAGAAATAAGAGGCGATCGAGTACCTCAAGAGCCGGCATGCAGGAGCATCGACGACTATGAGTTCTTGAACCACCACTTCTATAACCATGAGCTGTTGCGGAACTGCGCGGGATGGTGCCTCATAGGCTGTGTCTGCTATGGCTTTGTTGCAACCGAAATCTGGCTATTGGTGAGACTGACACGTGATTTTCCTTCTACGAGACGGGACTAAAACATGTTCCTCTATGCCACCAAGCTAGTAGGCTACTTGATCCAGTCAATCCTAGCCCATAAGTTAACCGGTCGCTAGCTTGAGTATGTAGTTCCTAATAAATGCACATGTGGTCGCACATTCAGGTGCAGCAGCCCAGCCACCAACCACCACTAAATGACCAGGTGTGGATTGTATTCGTACCACGATGACTCTCTATACTCACCAATGCTTTAAGCACAAATCTACCTTGCCAGTTTCGACTTCCCCATACTTTCATGTTGTATGAAATAGCGGGGCCGTTTGACTCTAGTGCGTGCGGCTTGTGCGCACGAGTCAGACCGAGTCAGACCGAGGTCAATTCGACCCGTATATATTGTCCCCATCCCCAGAACTAGCAACCCCATCCAAAATGTTCAAAAGAGCCCAAAACAAGTTCTACTCCACTTCGGCCAACCTTCTCAAGACTCCACTTCACGAGGCGCACGTTGAGTTCGGGGGCAAGATGGTGCCCTACGCCGGATTTGAGATGCCTGTGTTGTACAAGGACCAATCCCACATCGAATCACACAACTGGGTCAGATCCAAGGCAGGATTGTTTGACGTCAGCCATATGTTGCAGCATACCATCCAGGGCCCTCAGGCGCGTGCCCTTCTCGAGAAAATCACCCCAATTGACTTGGGGAGCTTGGGTGTCAACCAGCTGAGTTTGTCGGTGTTGTTGAACAACGAAGGAGGTGTTATTGACGACTGTATCATCACTAAGCATGGCGATAACGACTACTATATGGTCACCAATGCCGGTTGCAGAGAAAAGGACGTCAAGTTCATCAAGGACGAACTGACTGCCTTCGACGTCAACCACTCCACATTCGAGGGTACCTTGTTGGCCGTGCAGGGTCCTCAGGCAGCTGAATTGTTACAGAAGTTCACCACCGAAGACTTGTCCAAGGTTTACTTTGGTGAGTCTCGCTACTTGGACTTGAAAACGGGCGGCGCAACCACCAGAATCCACCTTGCTAGATCTGGTTACACCGGAGAAGATGGCTTCGAGTTGTCCATTCCTTCAGGTACTCCCGCAGAGCAGGCCGAGGCCTTGTCGTTCTTTAAGGTGTTGATCAACGAGTACCCGGATATTGCCAAGCCCATTGGGTTGGCTGCCCGTGACTCGTTGCGTTTGGAAGCCGGAATGTGTCTCTATGGCCACGAGTTGACAGAAGAAATTACACCCATCCAGGCCTCGTTGGCATGGTTGATTCCAAAGTCCAGAAGAGCCGATGGCGGGTTCAACGGGTCCTCTAAGATTTTGGGTCAGCTCGCAGACAAAAGCAGCGTAACCCACCGTCGTATTGGAGTCAAGTCCAAGGGCCCATCTCCTCGTGACGGAAACAAGATTTTCAATGCCGAGGGTAAGGAAATAGGATACATCACCTCTGGGTCTCCTTCGCCTACTTTGGGAGGAAACGTTGCCCAAGCATACATCGACAAGTCCGCCAAGATTGGTAGCGGGATCAAGATTGAAATCAGAGGCAAGTTGAGGGACGGAGAAGTCGCCAAGTTGCCATTTGTTCCAAGCAAGTTTTATAAGGGTTGAGCGGCCGGGGTAATAGATTTTGCCTTGTCCACATAGAGGTAAAAATAGACAGCGATAGCCCAGTCAATTGTAGCCATAAGGGGTTTATTTCATGCATATGAGATGGCGCCCTTCCCTGAAGTCATTATGCCCTTTAGGGACGCTGCCTTCGTCTCACACCGTAATGTTCGCCCTGCTGCCGCTGCCACATGATAACGGCCTCAGGCGCGCATTTCTCCATACAGCTGACGATGTACGGTAGCGCCGGGTATCTGGTTTAGATTAGACGGTGAGAACAGTAAGAAGGCAGTGCCACCAATTGGCGTCCATCTTGGAGAGCCGTTGGAGCGCCATCGGAGCAAGGTGGGAGAGGTTTTATTGTTTCTGTTGCCTCTCCCCCTCTTTCGTCCCACCATTTCTGTCTGACTCGTAAATCCACAATACTAAGCTCAAAAAATTTTCGTCTCCAATGGCTCCTTCAACCAACAAGCTTGTTCGAACAATAACGGAAAACTACCAGCGGACTCCTATTGTGTCCACTTCCGCAACAATTAATCCAATCCGGACAACAATCCACCTCTAACAAACCCCAATTTTACCGATTCCAGAATAATAGGTATGTGCAGGCGTGTTCCTGCGAGTCTAAAACCCAGAAAATATCGTGCAGGAGTAGGAGGTTTGGGGCAGGTGAGAGAAATGGAGCAGGGATGGGGCTAGATTGGCTTCAAAACGGTGGCTAAAGACAGGTTGGATAGGCTGCTTAGGTAGGCACGCACACGTGGCGCACTTTGGGAGGCTCTAGGGAGCTCCGAAGGAGGCCAAGCCTTCTGATCGCCGCAGCACTCCTCCAGCGATAGCGACAGGAGCGTCGATGCCGAGAGTCACGTGATATGTAACCGGAGGTATCGCGCGAGCGCGTGGTGGCTGCAACCGCGTCTGTGGTAGCCCGTCCCATGGAGCCAGCGGGAGGCTCCAAAGACTGCCAGCACGAGCCACCAGCTGTCCTCCCACATCTCACAGTTGTAGCAGTCACTATTAACTGGCCAGGCTATCTTGGCCTCCGCCAAACCGTACTCCAACGCGCACCAAAACAAACATCATCGCGGCAGGCGCTGGCAGATTCACGCCATTGAGCAATTCACGCCGCGAAGTCACGGTCATTCGAATTACATCACCATTTCACGTCTAGCGTGGTTTTTCGTCTATCCCCAATATAAAGCCCGGGGTTCCCGTTTGAATCTGCCTAGGTCGTTGGTCTGAGAAGCGAACAGTAGTAGTTCGGTCAGGTATTAGTGTTTGTTGCTCCTCGATTGTTGTTGTCTGCGTCATGTCCTCCACCCCTTCGCCCACCAAACGGTCGGTGTTGTCCCCCAAGCCTTCCAACATCTCGTCACCCTTCAGGAAGGCTGCTCCTTTCACCAAGCTGTCTCCATTGGTGCACCACAAACCTGCACTGGTTGCAACACCAGCCAAGAAGCCCAAGCTCAACTTCACCATCTTCGAAGACTCGCCCGCCCAACATCCTGTGGACGTCGAGTTGTCGCCAGTTTCCAACAGGCCCAACCACTACGACCAGGAGAACATCTTGCAGCCCAAAAAGGTGGCAGAACCTGCCCACCGCCCCCACGCCAGAACCCCCTTGGGTGACTTGAACCTCAACCAGTTTGCTGGATACATCCATTACACTGGCGGCGAGTCCCGCCAGTTGGCCGAGCTCTACCAGCCCGCCAACTTCAACAATGACTTCAACTCCTTGCATAAACACACCAACATCCCCTGCTATTTGACTCCCAGTAGAGCCGCCAAAGACAAGTACTTGGTGAGATCAAACATGGACAGTGTCGACGAGCTGGAGGTAGACGAAACTGACGACGCCGAGCTCACCTTGCTCAGGAAACACCACAGGCTCCAGAACCGTGTGGCCACCACTGGTATGGTGAAAAAACACAGGAGGTCGATGTCGGTGGGCAAGAACGACGCCAAACTCAAACTCATAAGGAAGAATAACTTCACTATCTTGTCTAATTGATACCCAAATGCATACACGCCTAGTCAGTTGTAGTCGCAGCGCGAATGGTTGCAAGAAATTGCGCCAGAGGATTGTAGCTCGCGGTGGGCGACTCGCAAACTGCACTGGCCGCCGCCGGATTCTCGCTAGCTAGTGAAGAGCATATGGCCGTTCTCGCTATCTGTTCTAATTGCCGCTGCGACTCCTCAGTACTACAATTGTCAAAACCCATAATTCATTATTCTATATTCTAGTTACCAAAAGCCTTGTCAAATCCAGTGAACACAAATCTGTATCTGACATCACCATTGTGGCATCTGGTCAATGCCTCGTGACAGTTCTCTTCTGAAATGTCGATCTCTTCTATCCATGGCTTGACGCCCTTTTCGGCAGCAATTTCAAGCATCTTCATAGCTTCCTTCTTGGATCCCAAGAACGAAGAGCCAAACGAACCACCATTGCCAAGGAAGCTGATTGGAGATAACTGGAAACTATCTTTGGCTGGTGGCAAGCCCACCGACACGAAGTTGGCATCCACCTTCAACACATCCAAGTAGTCGCTCAAGTTCAAGCCATCCACACCAGAAGCACAGTTCAACATAAGGTCGAACGAGTCTTCGTACTTGGTGTTCCAGCCCTCTTCTTCACCAGTGGCAACGAAGGAGTCGGCACCCATGCTCAAAGCCTGTTCCTTCTTGGAAGAGGATCTGGAGAAGGTAACGACCTTTGCACCCAAGGCGTTGGCGAATTGAATGGCCAAGTGTCCCAAGCCACCAATACCAATGATACCAACGGTCTTACCGGTAGCATCTTCACCCAAGTTTCTGATCAAGGGAGAGAAAACAGTTAATCCGGCACACATCAAAGGACCAGCAACTGTGAAGTCCATCTTATCGGGGATAGGGAAGACAAAGTCCTCGTCAGCAATAGAGTGGGAGGAGTATCCACCTTGGGTGACATACCCGGTCTTTTCGTCGTGAGAGTTATAAGTAAGAACTTGCTTCTTGCAGTAGTGTTCGTTGTTGTTCTTACAACGAACACAATCCTTACAAGAAGCACTAGCAGCACCGACACCAACACGCTGACCAACCTTGAATTGGGTGACCTTGTCACCAACAGCCATGACATGGCCCACGATTTCGTGGCCCACGACGAGTTCCTTTCTCTGCATAGGCATCCATTGCTCTCTCAAAGTGTGGAGATCACTTCCACAGAGACCACAGGCAACGTTCTTGATGACAACATCGTGTGGTTGAATTTGCTTTCTTTCGTATTCAACTAGCTTTGGCTTGTTCCAGTTTTCGCTGCTGCTGACTGCGAAACCTTTGAAGTATTGTGGTACTGCTGACACGGACATATTGATAATTATTGATATTGATTTAAATTGAGAGAGGATGGCCGTCTTTTATACCACGGCCCAGCTGGAAAAGATTTTGCATTCTACGGATGATTACATATCCTTGTCGCTCATACATGCAGAAAATGGTGCTGTTCACCCAAACATCTGCAAGACTCGGTAAAACTAGAATTTTTTAGTCCAGGCACATAAAAAGGCCGCAACCGAAGGCCAATTGCCGCCGTTGCTGACGTGATTATAACTGCTCGGCCCTGAAGTTTGGAGGGTGTTATGCTGTCGGAGGTTGCGAGCACTGGAATTAAGTCCGTAACCTGCAAAGATCGCTCTACTAAATCTCTCCAGTGCTGAATAATCCGGCAGCACTGGCAAATTTGTGCAGCTAAAAATTTGATGGGGCGGAAAGTTGACATCTTCTATAAGGTGCATCATCGCCACCTATAAATTTTACCGCCAAGTACCTGAAAACTCATGGAAACGATCAGACCAACAGTGTTCTATTCCTAGTGTTCTATTCCTATGCTCGGTACTATCCATAGTGAACCCTGATTATGTCGTATGCAGTTTTGACACCGCTGATCTTTTCCTGTTATGTCAATTTTTGGTTGCGGATAAAGCCCGACCGTTGGAGTCTAACCTGCAAAGTATCTATTCGTCACAAGTCTGTCCCAGTTTCCGGAACAACTCGGTAATGCACTCGACCTACAGCATGCAATCGGCACTACAATGTACATTACATGCTTTAGATAATTAATAAGCGACTGATTTTGTTTACAGATTATTGACACGTACTACTTCTTACCCTTTTTCTTTTTCTTCTTCTTATCACCGCTTGACGAAGAAGTCTGTGATTCGGGAGCTGGCGATGAAGTTCCAGATCCAAATTCAAGAGCCCCCTGATGACCACCTCCAAGCTTCTTTCTTTCCTTCTTAGTTGGCTTGTAATAGGATCTCAACTTCATGGGCAACCATCTTTCCTCGTCTATCTCAAACTCCCCTTCAGGCTTAAGCACCTTGTTCTTAGAGAATTTAGGCACCTTTTGCTTCTTGGTACGCTTTTTGACGACCTTTGAAGGGGTTTTCTTGATAGTCTTTCCTAAGATCTCATGGACGGGTTTTTGGGGGACAATTTGGGAGGCTAACTCATCTACAGCTTGCGATGACACCAATTGCTCAAGGGACTTGGACGAAGCTAAACTCTCAATGGATAACAATTCATCGTTGGATTGGTTCAACACCGAGTTGATAATTTTATCCTGTCTCACAGTAGACAAGAATTGGATAAGCGGAGTGGCAGGTTCACCAGGCTTTTGGTTCAACAAGGCCACAGTCTTGGCGAAGTTGAAATAATGCAAATCATTGAAGGTGTCCTTTTCAGTGGCCAAGAGATGTTCAATCACTCGGTCTTCCTGTTTCCAGCCTTCTTTTCTCTCCTTTTCGATGCTCAAGAAAACACTTATTAACCCTGGCACAAGCTTAGCTTGTGTCAAGTTGACAGCGACAGCTGACTTCAACTCCCCGTAAGCACGGCTGATCGAATCTTCGCTCTTGGCAGCGAACAAGGTCAACAAGACTGTTACGATGTATTCATCTGTGAATTCATTTCTCAAGGCATTCAAATGTTTGTGGAGCTTTTTAGCGACTTGCTTGTCGAGTTCTTGATCTTCAAGGTCTTGGAATGATATGTCGATCTTCAATAAGACTTTGTACACCAATGGTACCAAATCACCAGTGAAATCCTTAAGATATTGGTTTATGAATTTATTGCTGATCTGCGAAGTGCTTAAAGTCCCGGTGGCGTATCTCAACTTCAAGCTATTCTTCTTGATGATTTGGTATTGGTACTTGGTAAGCTTTTGACCGAGTTTTTGTAAAGCTGTTTGATAGTCCAAGTCACGTTCGACCAAGTTTAAGTCGAGAGTCTGGGGGGTCAACAGGTACTTGTTGTTCTTGACAATAAGCTTGAGAATGGTATCTTGAATTGCATCCACATCAATGGAGTCCAACAATTCAATGCTCTTAGCGATCTCGCCTTGTAATTCGTAGACGTATGCACGGGTGAGTTTAATTGGAAGCACTTCTGAAATCAAGTCTGCTTGAGAAAGATCTATGTTTTGGGATTCACAGATCTGCTCTGCCTTTTCCAACGATTGCAAGGAGAGACTAAGGTCGTTATTGGATAATTGGATCAATGCCTCATTGAAGAGCAAGTCATAATTGTCACCATATTCGGAGTGATCGTAAGTTGATTGCAAACCAGTCTTGTGGAAGAAGTTCAACTGGGATATCACCGATCTTTCATTGACGATAACATCTACCTTGTTGTCATATTTGTTGTTCTCGATCAAGTCATGGTACAATTCCAAGGCCTTTTCGTACTCACCAATCTTGTAATAGTTCTGGGCTAAAATGTGCTTCAATCCCACTTTGAGACCTTCGTTGTCAATGTTGGTGCTATTGTACAATTCGACTAAGGCGTCTGATTTGCCAATTTTGTAGTATACATAACTGATCTCCAAGATTAAGGCAACAACATAGTCTTGTGGGATCTTCTGGATGATTTCATATGCCTTGTAGTATCTGTCAAGATTGATAAGGGATATTAAACAGTTCTTGAACGCTTTCAAATCGTCGTAGTTCTTGACTTTAGTGAGGTAGTCATACGAAATAGAAAATATCTGCTGGTGCTCCGAGAGATCTGCTCCGGGAGTCACATTCAACTTCTTGAATGCTTCAGCTATAGAGTTACTCATAGTGGTGTTAGTGGAGTATTGGTGGAGGTTGTTGGATTTTTTTCGATCGTTCAACAAAAAGTCGTGCGCCGGAAAATCTATACTGGTACCATAAGCGATAATGATACCAGTGCAATAGTGATAATGATACCAGAAGTAGTGTTTTCACACCTGGAAGATAGGCGAAGGATTCAATTTAGAAGAGGTTGGTTATACTTTAGCGTCCATGGTTCAGATAGTCAATGTTAGCTATTCAATTCTATATCCAACATGCCAGGCAAACGAATATTCAGAGAAACAAACTAAAAGAACAAATCATAGTGTGTCATGATCAAAAGGCTCAGAAATTCAATAAAATTTGCTAATAGATCCCTTTATTGGTATAATTCTTTTGTTTGGTGCATATCGCATGGGTGCAAAAGAATAATTTATCTAGGGTAGTCGTACTATTGAATGACGGGAAATTTACAAGAGCAGACCATATCCCTCATTGATTAGTCTTCGAGTATGCACTTGCCTAAAGACGGTATTGCTCTGAGTTGCAAATATATCCAAGGCATGATGCAGTTGAGTTTGTATCATTTTAGGGCGAACTGATTTACAGGGTTCCTAAATCGGAAGAATAATATTAATTTGAATCGGACTATAGTTGAGAAAGAATCTACTAGTCATTAATCTACTAGGCATGAAGTAGGAATTAATGGGGTTTTTTAGTTATTAGTTTTCAAATCACCGTGAAACCTGATAGACGTCAAATCTACTTCGACCCTCATCTTCACACCAACAACATCACTGGATAGTATAGGTGTCTGGGAGGAGCTACAGCAAAGCTTTAACCCATTGGCTACCTCTCTTCTTATATGAATTAGTGAGTGTATTCATATACTTTTGTAAATTCGGAGAAAAACTTACAGTCAGTAACAAAATTTGCCTAACTAGAAGAATCACTTGCAAAACTTGAACACAACAATAACACCTTTTACTCTGTTTACCACTTGCTGCCTTATTACAGATCTGAGCAAACACAACCGCCTGGTTTCCTTATCTTTCTTTAGATACAAAACGTGAGCGATAACACGTGAGACCATCGAAAAATTCCTCCATTCAAATTCTCAATATTTTGTATCATACTCCCTAGATACGCCATGCTTTCCAAACGTATTGTGGCTATTCGCCCTTTAAGCTCTTCTACAGCAGCTTCTTTCCAGCACAAAAACCAAATACTCAACAAATTTAACCAACCACAGAAAGACCTTGAGACTCCTTTGGAGTTGGCAAATCAATCGACCCTTCCAAAGACCCAACCAAAGCTTCTCAAGAAGGAACCACGTCAACCAACATCGAAAAACCCCTTCTTGTCAGATCACAAGATTGAAAATGATCCCAACTACAAAATGTCTGGCTTGATGCAATCCATAGGTCAACTGGTTATTAAGATTTTCTCAATCGATATGGATAAGACCAGAGCCGGACCAGTGGCAGGATCTCTCTACTACGGAGAGTGCAAGAAGCAAGCATTATACTACCCAAACGAACCACTCTCTGACACCGCCAAATTCTACTATGAAACGTTGAACCTTCCAAGATCCTTCAGTCAGTGGTTCCAGATCACAAATCTTCATTACTGGATCTTATCTGTCAGAATGAGAGCCATGCCTTTCAAATACGGAAAGAACTACCAACAAAAACTAGTCGACAGATTTTTCAGAGATATGGAATTGAGAATGGCTCAAGAATTGAATATCAGTTCCAACCGTATCATCGAGGGATACCTTAAAGATTACCATACCCAAATGTTAGGATCGATAGTCAGTTTCGATGAAGGTTTAATGACTGACGACATAACATTGGCCGGTGCTTTGTGGAGAAATGTCTTCAATGGTAACCCAGATGTCGACATGAGACACGTGGAAGCATTAGTGGGCTACGTTAGATCCCAACTTTACGTGTTGAACAAGATGAGTGACCGTGAGTTTGGTTTTGGAAAGTTCAAATTTGTTCCACCTAACGAAGTGGTCAAGCCATTGACAAAGGCACAGGAAGAAGAATTGAGAGCCAAGGTCAAGGCTGAATTTGACTCGCACAATTTGCCATCCCAAAGGAGTGTTTTATCATTGGATGAATAAACAATTTTAATGGGGGCAGCGGGGCAAGCATGTTATGAATCTTATTGGTCGAGTTTGGGACTTTCTCGATTGTCTGGTCACATTCATAAGAGCGAGCAAGCATGCCATGCGGCTCGCAAGCATCCATTCCATGTATATAGCATTGGGCCGCTTACATAAGGTGTTACATAATATAATTTATTTAACTTGGTTAGATGTGTAGAAGTGAACCTTGGTCAGCCTAGATCTGACCAATACGACCTGATTACCTTGGTTATACCGATGGTGTTAAGCAAACACCGACGGACACGCACATTGCGTGTCCGTCCCATGAGCTAGCTAGCTAGACTTGATGCAACGGGGTCCTAAAGTATTCCTGTACCTCAGAGCTTTCCCTTTTCCAAGGATTCTTGCCAATCCTTGCCCTTACTACCTCTGATCATCACGTTCATGATGGCGTAGTCTTTGCCCTCGACGGCATTCTTGGACGAGTTGTCACCTAACATGATGTCCTCGTAGAATCTGAAGCCAAATCTCTCGTAGATAGGGATGTTGTCGGGGCTGGAACTTTCCAAGTAGGCGATGTTCTTGTCGGACTTATCAATGAAGTTCTTGAACACAAATTCGAAGTGCTTACGCACGTTACCCTTTCCACGGGCAGAGGGGAGCGACCCCAAATAGACCAAGGTATAGATGTCCTTATCGCTGAATCTGGCATCGTTACTTATGATACGTTCACACGAGTCGTGTAACAAGGGCAACATTCCGTAGAACACTTTTTCTCTGCCCTCGGGACCAAACATGTCCCACACTTTGCCGTAGCCTGCTGACATGAGCGTGGGGAACGAGTCCAAACCGTCTTCGACGGAGGTTGGCGTGGACCACACAGCCACCGTCTCGAAGGTGTCTTCAGTCTCGTTCATTCCGAGGCAGAAGCCCTTGGTGATGTGCTGGTGGACGTAGGCCTCGTAGAGAGCCAATTCGCATTCGTCTCTGTACTTTTGGTCAGGGATGTGAGCAGTCAAAAGCTGGGCCAAAGCGTCGGTACGGAAGGAGTTCAAGAGGCAGAAGGCGGCCTTCTTGACGTCGGCGTGGGTCAAGATCTTGATGCCCTTGGCGTGGGCGTCCTGGACAAGACTGGAGGTGGAATTGGATATATAGGCTTTGGACTGGGTGGACATGGCGATAGTGTCACGTGATATACTGGAGATGGGGATGAAGCTGGCTAGTAACGAGCTGGTCTGTGGTGGACAGACTGGCTGGCGACAGCTAAGGCTTATATAGAACGGTTCTGTTTCAGGCCTACGGCCCAACTAGCCGTTCTGATGCGCCTTCCAGAACAAGCGTCAGCGCAATTGCACCTTCCATTTCTGGCCAGTGGAATGCGCATCGGGGTACAGATTAGAGGAGGTGGAAGCGACGATTCACAGGGGTGATATTCTGAAATCAGAACGGATGGAGACTGAATCACGCCACAGACAGCGGTACAGTAGCCAGTATCTCAATTCAGTGGGGTGCCAGTAGGAACCAGGCGGTATCCTTACCAGAACTGCAGCCATCTGGTCCGCTACACTGTCGCCAGTCCGAGCGCAAGGCGCGATGCGCTCTTTCGTGTTAGGTAATCGCGGAATTGGGTCGACTCCGTTTCTGACCTACTATGATCTCCAGAATGATGGCTTAAAAAAGTCGGGATCCGAGCACCACTGGCACTCATTGCGCCCAAGGCTGCCAGTGACCCAAATTGTGGTTCGGAGTCGCCACACGCAACCACGCTCGGATACCCCTGGTCATTTGAGCCAAGCTTATTGCATCTGTGGTGCTCGATTTCCGCAATCCGGGGTAGCGCAAGAGAAGCCGTTGGGGAGGACCCCTCGCGGAAGAGGGGGAATTGGAGGTTTGCGAGTGATTGAAGAACTGTTGTTTGACGAAGTGGTGCAATCCGATGGGCCCACCACAAAGCAATGATCCACCACTCTACTGCTCCATAACTCTGAACACACACCAGGCCATGTAGCTTGTGGGGGGATGAAAATTAGTATGCTTACCTAAATGTAGTGGAGTAGAATTCTTACCGCGAGATGATCATCATGCGCGAGCTTGTTTTGGGGGCCAGGGGTGGACCTTCGTGACCCAGACAATTGCGCTTTCGTCCAGCTAGTCCCCACAAGAGGCCACCAGCCTCACATACCACTGCAAGAACTTTCCCGTAGTCTCAGCTAGAGATTCAGCTTGTAGTCTCAGCGAGAGACTCACCAGATGAGCTACCCGGACACATAATCACGTGACCGGATATCCATCAAGCGAGGATGGTCCACAGTGTCTACTCCAGCACCATGTTCAGCTCGCTCCTCCCCAAACCAAAGCATGCTCCCTACGACCCGAGTCTCAACGTGAGAGTCTCGCGTACAACCAGTCGCCACTCGTCCCAGCTTCTCCATCTCCCTAAAAGCTCCAATAAAACCATCATCGATAACCCGCATACCAACAACACCATTTCGAAACTTCACCTAAACCCGGACGGAACTTTGGACTATAACCTCACAATCGCATCTGCCACAGGCTCTAATGTTCAGGCGTCATATGAGGACACCATCGCCTTGAAAAAGCGGTTTCCCAAGCTAAAGCATCATTTTCCAAGGTACGATTTGCATACCAGTCCAGACAGCAGCCTTCAGAAAACCGTGCGAGAGACCAAAAAGGCCATTGCAGCACTCATGAATCGCGGGGCAGGCTCCTCGTCCAAGAGCACCAACGAAGTGTCGTACGTGAAGTACGAAAACAATAGTCTTGTGGAGGGAGAAGATAGGGGACGGGTGATCCAGATACGAGAGTTCCAGGAAGACCCAATGCTCCCGCCCAAATTCAAGCTCAGAAAGAACCGACACAAAGAACCGTCTCCCCCTCCTCCTATTTTGAAGAATACAAATGCCTCCCAAACGAAATTGACCAAGGAAGACAGAGAGAAATGGAATATACCCGCAGCAATCTCCAACTGGAAAAATAATCAAGGTTTCACCATCTCCTTGGATAAGAGGGTTATGGCTGCGAATGGTGGAAAAGAGGAAGAGGTTCCTGATTTAAACATTGAGAAATTTGGCAAGCTATCGTCTGCTTTGGAAAATGCCGATAAGGAAGCAAGAGAGGAGATCCGCATTAGAAATGAAATGATGCGAGAGTTGGCCATCAAGGAAAAGCAGGAAAAGGAGGCGAAATTAAGGGAGTTAGCTGAAGCTACTAGGCGAGAAAGAGGAAAAAGAGCAAATCATGATGGTGGGAGTGATTGGAAGAGAAGAAAATGAGGAGATATTTACCCAGGGGTTTGTTATAGAGTTAGTTCCCTCGTCGAAGTCTTAAATGCTTTTATAGATCAGTCAATATCACGACGCACCAAAAGTGCTCATGTGTGACTTGCAATGACTGGAGAATTCCAAATAGGACAATCGAAAAGATTCAACCAATTTAATAATAGGACATCCATAACCTACACCAGTATCTGATTGTACGAGCTTCTAAAATTACATTTAATAATACATCCTATTTATACATATACTAACGCTTTTTTGGAGGTCTTCCTCTGGTGTGTTTAACCTTAGACTTATCTCCTCCTTCGTACAAGGACTTGTCAAATTCATCAAGTGCTGTAGAGTTGACCCATTCCAAAACCCTTTGCAAGTCGCGAGTTTCTTTCTTCTCTTCCAATTCTGAAGTCAATTCTTTCTTTAATTTATTCAAGTCATCAAGTTCTCCCAATTCAAGGATTTCTCCCACAGTAGTGAGCTTTTGACGCTTTCTAGGAGCACTCTTGTTACGAAGTTGCCTCTTTTTGACACTCGACGGAGCTATGGTGTCATCATCATCGAACTCATCATCCTTTTGTAAAGCTTCAATTCTGGCATCGACTTTACTCAAATCATTCTCAATCTTTAATTCCTCTTCTTGGGCACTGTTCGTGGATAATGCCTTCTTTCTTGCTTCCATGGTAGACACGATCACGTCTTTCACAGAAACCAATTCTTTTCTCAAGGTAGATTCTCTCTTACCCCATGGATTGAGCCAATTGATTAATTCATCTATTTGCTCAGGTTCATCGTAATATCTCCAATTGGTACCATTGACTAAAGGATCAGGAAACTCTTCTATGGTTTTTCTTTGCAAATTGCTTAACTCCTTGATAAGCTGATTGGCTTTCAAGGCTCCATGACAATCCACTATCAATTCCTTAGTTCCTGCATTCAAACGATATATCTCATTATTCTCAAATGAAACACCATAGAGCTCCGAAACTGTCTTTGTGAAAGGTTCAGGAAGACTCTTGAAATCTAACTCTTTGATCAAATCTCCTGAAGGTTCTCCTTTGATTTTAGTTTTGGAATCTTCCTGGGCCTGTACTTGGACATTTTCGATTCCTTCTGTCAAAGGAACAGGAACTTCTGAAGAATGTTCCGTCAATTCAGATTTAATATGAACATCTTCACTTTTTATCTTTTGTTGTTGATAATTTTCGAATTCTAACTCATTATACTTCTGATTGTACAACTCACTCTCTTCGAAAGTTCTACCGAAATGAATTCTCAAATCATCATTTGATGGTCCTTGAACCCATAATCTGCCCATTAAATAGGTTTCGTCGAGAACATCATCTCCGTCGTCATCAACTTCTGCTGAATCTTCGTTTTTTTCCTTCTCTTTTTCTTCATCTTCATTTTCGTCATCATCATTTGTTCCACCGTAAAATGTAGGAAGACCATTATTCTCGAACCACCAATACCTATTAAATAAACGATCCTTACCTAAAAGCTTGACTCTCTGACAGTCCAACTCAGTCAACTTTCTCTCAATATCTCTCTTATCCTTTCTTAATTCCTCAAGCTTAACCAAGTAGTCCTTTCTTTGGTCCCAAGCTTTCTTAAAATCAGGATTCTTTGATGCAATTTCCTTCTCATCAACATTCATCTCAACAACTCTTAAGTTCAACCTATACCTTTTGACAGTGGGTGTTGCCGTATCTTCCTTGCCGTTGGACAAGTTTGAACTAGCTTTTTCAGGTTCATTTTGCTTTGACAAAATTTCCTGTATTTGAACATTTAACTTTTGGGCAGCTTCAAAATTTGTTCTGTAATCCTTGAGGTTATCCAATCTGTTTCTTCTCAAAACCGTTGACTCCTCTAAACACTCATCGATATAATTTCTCACTAGAGTTCCGTTGGCCAATAATTCAACCAAAATGGTTAACACTTTGAACTTCAAATTGATATCCATTTCTTCGTAGAATTGGGATTCCGCAACAGCAGGAGAAGGAGAAGTTGATTTCGGTGCCAATACCTTGTAAACTTCTTCAATGACAGGCTTATAAACAGGGATATATTCTACCATGGAAAGAACCCCAAGCAAAATTATTTGCCAGTTGCCATCTTTAAATGTCCGCTTACGAAGACGATCATGCCAAGGAATGTTTCGGTAATTGATCAAGGAGTACGCATTGTGATCGTTTGACGATTCACTAGAAAATTCGCTTTCCTCCTCATCCTCATCCTCCTCATCCTCATCATCACCTTCCATTGGCTCATCTTCATCTTCTGCTTCTTTATCTGCTTCTTCGTTATCATTTTCTGATTTTCTTCCAATTTTATTCTTCTTGGGGCCTTCTTCGCCACCTGATTCATTTCCCGAATCTTCGTCATCGCTCTTCAACGTTTTATCATTTTGATCTGTATCAGAACCTCTATCCACATCATCATCTTCTTCGCCATCACCAACTTGATCCGATTTATGAATGAAAGATTTCTTGGGAGGAAGATTGATTAACAAACCAAAGATTGTGTCGTTCTGTTTGGCTAACTTAGATTGCTGAATAGTTGGCGGATGATTGGAGACAATAGCACTCAAAACAGCGCACCAAATTTCATCTAGGAGTTCACAGCGACCAATATCATTAAACTGTTCCAAACTCCAACCCATAGAATAAATGAAATCGTCAAAGGTGAAGGTATCTAGTTTTAACACTGAGTGGTACACATTGAGGAAAATCCATGATTGCAATGCCTCTTGCACTACTGATAATTTCTTCGTTGAAAGTTCTTTAATTTTCTGGACCTTCTCTACCTTGGCACTATCTTCGTTGTTCTCACTAATATTCGTCTTGATATCCTCTTTATACTCCTCGATCAAGTGTTCGTTCCAAAGCAATGCATTTTCAGGCAATTCTAACGTGCTAGGTTGAGGTTTGGTATTTTGTATATGGAATTTGATCTCCAAATCATCAATAATGTGTTTTTTGGAAGGTTGTAGAAGGGTTAGAGCATTGAAATTTGCAACAGTGATTTCCTTTTCATTAATAACGCCATTGTCGTCGAGTTCCAACTCTTTGCGCAACGATTCTGGTAAAAAGTGTGAGGGGAATTTTGTTCTCCTGTCAGCAGGGATTTTGGCAAGCTGATCTGGCGGAAGCCCTACTCTTGGTGCCTTTTTATTCCCGTTCTTGTCCTCTGATTTTATCACTTTCTTTTTTCCAGAAGCACCTGCTTTACTGCTTGTGGTGGCAGCAGGATCGGCTTTCTTCACTTTCTTAGAAGCAGCTGCCGCTTGAACTGATTTACGACCTTTCGATTTTGGTTCTTCAAATAAGGTATCCCCATTTGGAGTTGAATCAGCAAAATGCTTCAAATCTTCAGGATATTCTTGAGGAATTCTGTACTTGATAGCGAATTTGTCTTTGACCACCCAAGGAGCTCCTACTTTATGGGAGCGTGACATGGTCAACTTGATGAAGGTTTTAATAAGCCATTTTGTGAAATGGTTACGGTCTCTGGAGATCTTATCGGTTGTGACGATCGATTGCAGCATGTCATGTAGTCTCACTACTAGATACTTCGTTGTCACGTTATCGGAATTGCCGTACTGCACCTTCTCACGAATGGTTCCACGTTGCTTGGAGCCAGGGTGAATATCGCTGTCGTCCTCCAATTGGGATGTGCCGACCGACTCCAGGTGACTAGTTTTGATGTAGATGGTTTCGCCTGGAAAGTAATCGTTGCGGAAAACCAGATACACCTTATCAATGAGCTGATCGAGTCTTGTTATTCTGTTGAACTGGAGAAAGCGCAAGATGTGCTCTCTCAAAGCTTCCGGGAAATTCTTCTCCACACCCTTGATCTCTCTGGTTTCACTCTCATATGCTTCGAAAAACGTTAGACAGGAATTGCCGGTGATTTCACACACAAACTTACGGCGATGGTAGTAGTCCATTCTGGCCAAGTACTGATCGTAGGTGAGGAACCATTCGCGTGATTCGGGGATAAAAAACACCTCGGTCGATAGATCATCGGGGATGTCTGGCGGTCTGACAAACGTCACTTGTTTTCTTTTGTAAAGCACCATTTCGTGTGTGGATGCGGATAATCAGATCGAATAATGGCTGTTAAAATGGAAGCCGGATGCCACAGTCGATCTGGGCGGTACGGAGCCTCGGGGATTTATCCAAAAGCTGATTGATCAAACGGGACCAGGGGGTGCCGTCCAGATGTGTTTGGAGGTGGTGAATAAATAATTGTAGGGAAGAAAAACATTATAGACAGAAAATCTCAGCTTATATCATGGCCGTGTGCAGGAGCTATCGCGTGTTGCAATCTTCACGTGAGGATAGGTTAGAAGGGCCAGGAGAGAGTGGTAAAGGGCTATTAGAGACGAGAAAAGGGCTACGACTCTTGCGGTGGACCTATAAAATCGTTGAAAATAGCCCGGAGACCAACAAGCGCTTTCCATAATTTACACTAGGCCGAACACGCTGTTAGTGCCAATCTCTTGGCCAATGGTGTAGGAGGCTGCTACATGCGCATGTAGTTCTGGTCCCGAGTACATTGAGAACTGTTTACAGTGTATTGCACACTGCAAGAGATGAAAAGGGGTACAGTGGCAGAGAGGCCGCTAGGAAGACTTAAGGGCTGAGCAGATAGAGAAATGGAGTAGCGAATTTTTGCTGTGCCCTGGAAGATAATTTGGAGCAATTTTGATTCATTCTCCATACTCAATCGAGTCGAAAGAAAAGAAATCAATAAATGGTGCGGGACTGTCACTGGCCTAGTTGATCAAAAACCATGTAGTTTTCATAGACTGGTGGACTTAGCGGGAATATGCCATGCTGTAGTATTCCTGCTATCTCTTTATCTCTGTTATCTCTTTGGGGTCAAACCTATCTGATTCATAAGTAAGAGTCAAAGGTTATACCACTTGCCGTAATCATCTGAAATGTAATAATCGTTTGTTTTAGTTTTTTTGTGGCAAATAGAGATTTGGAAAGATTCGTCCGTGTGGCAAGCCGAATATCGTAATGCCGAAAAGAATATACCACATATGTAATCTTCAAGAAAACAGTTCGGACGACACACAATGTAGGAAACCCCCTTGCCTTAATTATTTTGACATTGGGCGTAATTTCCAAAAACCGATTAGTAATTTAGAGACGATCAAAAAGAAGTCAAGAATGATTTACGATGAATTTTTTATTCCGAACCTGACTAAAATTATTAGTGCCTGGAATGCTTGAGCACCAGCATGATGTTAAGCCAGATTAGTACTAATGCCTCTTACAACACATTAATTTTATTAATTTTATCCTTATTCGCCCGATGTGAATTGTATCCTAGTATGTTCTTGGAACAGATATTCTCCTATACCTCCCTTGACCTACACTAAATCTATCGAGGGCAACAAAAGAAGTAATTTATGAGTTTGACTATAGTGCAAACCCAAGCAATTTCTTTTCACGACAAGATCTGTTATTGTGTGTCTTTACCCAGTAATTATTCTCTTATTTGTCTATTCTCTATTCATAGCTCTAAAAAATCCCAACCTTCTGACACTTTTGAAAAACCCATCTGAAGAACAGATTGTCCTTGGCCGGAATAATCCTGTTCTCATCTACGTACGAGTCGTATTGCTTCTCTTCAGGAGTCACTGCCCTCATGTTGGTAAACGCCTGAAACGTCGAGAACAAGAAGTACACGAATCTCTGCTTCAAGGACACCTGAATCCTCAACTCGCCCTCCTCACTGTAGGCCTCGTCACAGGTGGAGTAGGTCTTCAACTTCTCCAAGTCACGGGCCAACTGGTCGCGCTCGCTGTGCTCCTTGTCGTTCTTGTGGTCGGACATCACGTCTGGATGGTCGGTGATAATGCCGTACTCCACGAGATTGGCTGCACTTCCGATCTTGGCGAGGTAGTCATACTGGGGAATGGTGTTGATGGTCCATGAGTACAATTTCAACCGCTGGATGCGGAGCAACGGCACGAACTTGGTGACGAACTGGGGCGACCACGTCAGCACGTAGAGCAACGACACTCCCGTGATGCGGACGCGGTAGAGGTTGTCCTTCTTCAACTCGCTCAATGCATCGAGATAGAAGTTGTAGTTGATGTAGTGGATGGAGTCCTTCCAGCTGAGCGAGATGTGGAACACGTCGAACTGGGAGTACCCCAAAGCATTGGGGGTACCGGGAAAGTGTTCGCGGAAGAAGTCCTCCTGGTTCAAGTACTTGATGAAACGGAGGTCCCAGATCCCGAACTGGATGCGGTGGTACCACCACGCGATATCATTCCTGACTGCCAAGAGGTCGCTGATGAGGTGCTTGAGGATCTTGGTGGGGTTCAACCGCTTGATATCCAACTGGAGCTTGTGGCTGTTGGAGTCATGGTCGTCGATGTACTGCACGAACCACCTGAGAACGTCCTGGAATGTGAGCAACAGCTCACCAGACGTGGTCCTGAGATGTCTGAGGGTGTCTTCGTAGCTGGTTTCGAGGATGTTGTAGTTGGTCTCGTTGCCATCCGCATCCACAAAGATGCGCTTGGTGGTAACGTCGTGCGATATCACGATCACCTGGTCTCGCGAGAGCCAGAGATCGGTCTCGATCACGGTGGCACCCGTCTGGTAGCACTTATCAAAGCCTAGAAGCGTGTTTTCCGTGTAGTTGGCCTTGAAGCCACGATGGCCTGTGATGACTGGCGAGGTGTAAGACATGGCCAAAAGTGAACTGGTTTGAGTATGGCTGATGTGGTGGGTGGGGGCTCCTGAACGTGGGTGCTAACACCTATAAATATATCGAGATGACAGGCTGTGGCATCGAATAGTCTGGAGGGTTGAAAACGTGCTTGCGAGATGTGGGGGCTCGTTTCTTTTACTTTTCTTTTGCAATTATCCGCCTGCGCTACCGGGAAGCGAAATGCGGAGACGGGGGCGTTACGCTGGGGTCTTGAGCGTGACGGCAACGGGGACTTCGGGATGGCTGTGTTTGGGGCAATGGCTGTGTCGCTGAAAGGTTTCTCGGAGTTGGAGGAGGACCAAGACGGTATATCCGTGCCGTAGCGGTGAATACGGTGACTACGTCATCGGCACTAACGGCGAGTCACGTGCGCTCCTGTGCGACCACCTACTGGGTGGCAGCCCTTCTCTACCGGGACTGCTATTATCCGTTCCAGTCGGTCCACGCCTACACTCTGGTACGGATAAACTACTGGTTTGTTTAAAGGGATGCTGTACGTCTCCACTAGTATGTAATTAGCCGATCTCGTACCACTCGTTGGAAGAACAAACGCAATTGCACCACACGAATATTCAGTAGTGGCTTAGAATTTCATTCAGATCCATCGACTGGTTAATTGTCAGCTAGTATAATGCCTCAGGTTGTGAAGATCATATCCCGGCACTGGTGGTTTGGCATTGGATGGGAGTTTTTTTTTGGCTCTCTCAGGTTATTTCTGACCCTAGAAACACCGCGTTGCATTATTGTCTGGGAGAAACCAATCCATGGGCATGGGTCCTAAGTGCTGGTATATACTACTTCCAGTTAGGTATGAAGTATTTTATTCTATAACCTACGGTGTGAGGTATTTTTAGTGTCCGTTCTTCATAGTATTTCAGTATTGGCTCCATATTTATGGAATGTGCTCTTGTATGGGCAAGTAGAGTGGTTTGGTCAAAACAAGATTTCTCAATTAGAAGCACTGCCATTCTAGCCGTTCTCTCATCTAGAAGCTATAATAATTTCTGGCTTCGCTACAACCACTTTTCCCTCTAGAAGTTATAGTAATTAATAGTGCAAGCTCGACATAATTCCAGCTTTTCGTTACATCTACCTTTCTCTCTAGAAGTAATAATTACTTGTGCTTACATCTACCATTCTCTAGAAGTTGAATTTATATGTACTGGCTATTCGTCTACAACTTTTCTATTCGTTGCAATTTATATTATTCTGGTGTGTTTCCTACAACTTGCCTTTGTTGCCGGCCTGGTCCACTGCCAATTTGATCAAGGAATGGGCAATGCTCTCGGGGAATGGAAGCAAGATGTTTTCGGGGTTGAAATCCTCGCCGTCCTTGACCTCGTTCTTGTAGATCAACTTGCGCACGAACTCGATGTCAAACCACCTGGCGTCGGATAATTCTCTGTCGTGGCCCAAGTTGACCACCTCGCTTTCACCATCAAACTCGACCTCCCCGATACACCCGATCATTAAGTTACCAGGGAACGGCCAAGGCTGGGTCAACACCACGTTGATCTTCTTGCACACCACGCCAGTCTCCTCCCAGATCTCTCTTTTGGTGGCGATTTCCACAGTTTCCGAGGGCTCCATAAAGCCTGCAGTACATGCGTACATGTTGGTGTGGGCATGTCTCTTTGCCAACGACAACAACACCTTGGTACGGTCGGTGTTAGTGATTGCGGTAATGATCACAGCATCCGTTCTGGGGAATGACACATTGGACACAGTGGCGCTCTGCACAGGACATTCGGAAGCCTCGCTGTTGGTACACTTCAACTTGCCTCCAGCGTGGACTGGAATAACCTTCGATCCACATCCTGGACAGAACCTATTTCTGGCCAACCAGTCCAAGAACATACGTCCGTGCGAGAACAAAGAAGCCTCGGTGTTGGTGAAGCCTATATGGTGCTTTCTGTGGGCAGTGAAAATGACGTCGTTGTCGGCAGCAGACTGGTTATTGTTGTTGATCTCGGAGTTGTAGAAATCTACCACGAGATCACGGACGGTTGGGGCGTTGGTGACGTCCACAGCATAGTAGGGAATACCCTGGTAGCGGCCCTGGTGGTCCAAGTAGTGCTCGCTTTCGCCATCGTCCGCTGCCTTCAAGCTCTTCAAGTCAAGCCCCACGCTCTCGTCCTGGAGCCCCAAGAAGAGGAAAGTGGGCCTCTCGGGAGCACGCATGCTGGCATCGTGGTTCTTGTTGGCCTCAGCCCAGGTTTCCACGACCTGGGTCCACTGCTGCAAATTTTGCAAGCCCTTCTTGCACACCTGGGGGCCTTCCAACTGGTTATCGCCGTTGGTAAGGAGCACCAACTTGTCATCCAACTGGCTGTTGACCAATGGGTTGGTGTTTTCGTAGAAGATGAACCGAGCCGAGGCGTGGCCTACGCTGTCTGTGATGAAGTCGGGGTCTTCCCTCAAGAACGACACTCTGTTGAGCACTTCGGTGCCGTAATAGATGTCGTTCTGTTGTTCTATGATGGTGGCATGGGCACTATGCGACATTTTGTAGTACTTGTTGTAGAAACGTCTAGCGAAGTAGTGGGCAAATGGTCGTGGTGGCGGTCTGATAAGCTTGAACATGATAGATATCAGTTTCATTTGTCGACAGCTTAGTAAGCGCGCTACCTTGTGCCGATCTGGCGGGGCAACGAAGCACTGACGGGTGGGGTGTATTGAGGGGAGGTAGGGTGGATTTGGGTTGTTTGGCGTGGATAGACCGTTCGAGATCTGCTAATGTCGGTGACTGGGAGCAGATAATTTCGCAATTAACTCCGGATTTTCAGCACTAGATGAGAGTCAATCTCAGCTAATAATCTGCCAATAAATCTGGCGAATGAATTAGCTAAATGGTCTTCGTTTCGCTAGCTAGTATAGCTAATTGGTTTTAGTTTAACTAGCCGATGTTAGTTGGACTAGTTCGTCTTTGTTTGTCCAATCAGCCTGGCTAGTGTATATTTATTCGGTAATTAGACTTAGCCAGCCGATCTTAATTTGTCTAATTTTAGCTAATTTTGGCTAGCTTAGTTTGGCAAATTGCCATTTATGCTGGCATGTCGATCATAACCGTCTACATCTGGTCCCTAGATGGCACGCAGCCGTGTGTTATTTACATGAATCGGACACCCGTCCTCTATGTACATACCGTTGTCAATCCTGAATGTTAGTAATTGCCTTATCAAAATGGCACGATATCAGCTGTCTAAGACGGTCTCCTCAATAAGTTTCGGAAGTCTAACGTCTGTAAATCTTTTGAATCATCACTTATCGGTGCCGCACTTCAATGAACATACCTTATCCTCCAGATTCTATTATACAATTAGCGGGAACTATCGAGCTCTGGTTCTCACAGTTAACCCAAGGTCACACCTCTTTTGATTGCGTTGGGCAATCCTTTGATCCACGATTTTCGGGTCTTCTTGTCCACAATGACAAAAACTCTTCCGGATTGTCTCATCCGGCCGGTTCTGCCAATTCGATGTACTAAGTCCACCGAGTTACGTGGAAGATCCATCAAAATAACATTCTTGATCCCCACAAAATTCAAACCCCGTGCCATTAAGTCCGTGGTAACCAAGATCTTAATCTTGCTACGGTCCATGTCATCTTCGATCAATGCAGCAGGCTTCAAAAATGGTTCAAGCTTGTCGGAGCGATCCAGGGCACTGTCGGAACCGGTTATTCCGATAACGTCCTCTTGGCGATGTCCGTACTTGGAAACCAACGATTCGACCAAAGGATCAACATCCTTCTTTTCGTTGACAAAAATAATAATACGCTTGACGAGTCCAGGCTCGGTACCATCGTTATGAATTGCGTACAAAGCTTGCGCCAAACATCTGGTCTTGGAGCCATTGTATGGGGAGACCTGGGCATCGATGATCTTGACATGGATTTGTTTTGGAATCTTGTGCAATGATGGTGTGGCAATGCTGATGATGGACTGGTGGTCGGGGAAGATCGTGCTCAACGTCTTTTTGAACTCTTTGGGGATCGTCGCAGAACAAAGAATCAAATCCTTGCACTTATTGAGTCTCCTGACAATATTCATGGTGTCTTTCATCCACGATTGGTCCATCAACGTGTCAGCCTCATCAATCACACAATACTCCGTGAAGTTGAAAAATCTAAAAGGACGATTGAAGTTAGTCAATTTGGCGAGACCAGCGATCTTACTTGGCGTGGTGACCAAGACGTCGATTCTTCCCTTGTTGTTTACAGCGTTGAACAACCTGTTGTGAGGGTCTCCTGACCCCCACTTCATGATCCGCAAGTTCAAGCTGTCCTTTTGGTCGGGCAAGCTCAAGAACTGGGCGTAGTTAGAGTGCACCTTCAATTCGTCCACGTCGTACCTGATTTTGTTGGCTCTGTTCAACGTGTCATAGACCTGTTCCACCAACTCATGCGTAGGCAACAAGATGATCGACCTCACGGTGGGCACTTCCTTGGCCTTTTCGTAGTGCAGTTCGGATCTTGTGAAATGCTCTAGATCGTCTTCCTTGAGCTTACTCAACACCGACGCGAGATACGCCCATGTTTTCCCCGAGCCAGTCTCGGCTGCAACCGTAAACACCTTGAGCTTGTTGCGCTCGTTGCTCTTGACCAACTCGTCCACGATGGCCTGGCCACCTTCTTTCTCGACACTGGCACTCTTGGCCTTGCGGAGTCTGGGCTGGTTGATCTTCCTGATAGCCGCAACTTGCACTGGCGAAGGCTTGATGTCGAGCTCCTGCTTGTCCTTAATGTAGGTACTTTTCAAGTTGTAAACTGACTTGATTTCCTCCACCATGGCGGCTCGCACGGTGGGAAAGATCCGGAGAGCGTCGAAGGAAGCAATGGTGTCGAGTCCAGTGCTGGACGACTCAATTGTCTTCTTCTCGGGGATCTGGAGCTGGGAGAACTTGCCGAACGAGAATATGCTCTGCTTTTTGGGGCCATCGGCAGGCCTAGGCAATGGCTTATTATTTTTGGACGAGGCCACGCTGCGGCAAAACGTCGCAGCCTGTACGGCTCCCCGCGGGCGTATGCAGCCGTTCACATAGTTCCACACCCTTGTAGGACGCCCTTTCAGAAACATGTGAGGTGCAAGCCAAATCGATGCAGAGGAGTGGGAATATGGCGCTCTTTATATACCATCACCAAAGTGCGCACCCGCAAAAATTTTCGCACCACGAACGCCGTCCTGCATCCAGACGGGTTCAGGTATACTGAAAATTTGATGGTGAGCCATTGGATCCCCAACCACACCAGGAAGATGTTGAGATTAGCTAGACTCGCCCGGGCCCAGGCAACTGCCAGCCCCAGCACCAAGGCCTTCTCGACCACGTCGGTCACCATGAAAAAGGCTGCTCCATCAACCCCAGCCAGAAAGACCAAAATCGCATTCAAGGTGCTGAGAGAACAGACCAAGACCAAGAAGCCAGGAATGACCCATTTGGAGTTCAAGGACGCTGTGGGCGCGCTCGGCTTCGAGAAGATGGCCGCAGACCTCTCTGCGTTGGAATTGAACAAGTTGTCGTTCGAGCACCTTGCAGCATTGAAGGCTCAAGTCACCAGATACGACGCCAAGGTAGAGCCCAAGTTGAAGACACTTGGCTCATTCAAGAAGCTCCAGCACCACGAGTTGTTCCAGAATCCAGTCTCGTTGGTTTCGGAAAACACCCTCAGGTTGGCCCAGGAACTGATCGCCAAATTGGACTCCACTGCCAGTAAAGACAACAGAATATGTTTGGTGGGACCCAACGGAGTCGGAAAGTCCACGCTCCTCACCCAGGCCAAGGCATTAGCATTGGCTCAGCACGAAGACGTCGTGCTCTTGCACATCGACAACGGAGTCAACTTGGTCAACGGTTCCAGTGACTACATCTTCAACCAGAAGTCTGGCAAGTACCAACAGCCCATGTTGACCAAGAGATGGATCTACAAGTTGCGTCAGGTCAACGAGGAGGTGTTCAAGAAAATGAAGTTGACCAGAGACATCTCGTTCCAGTCCAACAGAGTGGACTACAACTTGAAGAAGAACGTTAACACCGTGTACGAACTCCTTTTACATAACCACGACTTTGGTAAGTTTGCCCCCACCTCAGCATTCGCTTTCTTTGTGGACGAGCTCGTGGCCCACTCCAAGAACTTCCCAGTATTATTCTCCATCGACAACTTCAACGGTATCACCGACTACTCACAAACCAAGTATCACCACCCTGACTTCAGCCATATCCACCTTTCTGAGTTCGAGATGGGAGACTTCGTATTGAAGGTGACTGGAGGTGCATTGAGCTTTGCCAAGGGAGGAGTCTTGTTGGCCAAGACCAGCGACTTTGGCCAACACCGTTCCACCTTGGACGTTGCATTGGGCATCGAGGAGTACGACCCATACTCCAAGAAGAAGTTCTTGGACGTGGAAGTCGCCAACACATTGAAGCAAAACGGTTCCATCAAGCCGTTCGAGGTCAAGACCTGGACCAAGGACGAATCGAAGGAATTGTTGAAGTTCTACCAGGATGCTGGAGTGTTGTTTGTCAACGACTACAAGACTAAGGAGTCCAACCAGACCGCAAAGGAGATTCTTGAGGAAAAGGCTGCCGTCAGAGCCGGCAAGCTTGAACAACACGAGTTCGACCCAGTCAGACACTTTGACAGAATTGTGAATAACCAATACACCATCAGTGGAGGTAACCCAGCACACTTGTTGAAGGCCTCAGCATTTATATTTTAGGTACTTGTATATAGGAATAGAGCTTCCAGCGCCATGAAGATGAGTAGGCGATCACCCTTGGACTAGAGCCTTTCGTTTAGTCGGAGAGATTGAGGGAACGAAATGCTTAGCAGCTAGTAAAGACACCTCTAATAATCATCAGTGCGATATACCCCTACAGGTTTTGTCTGGAGTTCTCGAACTACCATTGAACCTTTGGGAGTAGGACGTGAAGTTGAGTCTTTTCTGTCCCCTGTTGGCTCAGAAGAAAATGCAATTTTGGATATGCAACTAAAACAAATGTTCAAGTAAATTATGGTTCATTCAGCTCAATTATACCCAATCAATTGTCAATCAGTTCACCAATACTATTAAGCCTCCTACAGACGATTAGCGGTGGCAATTGCCTAGAAGTGATGTCACTCAAATATAGAAAGCGGATATGCACCTCTAAGAAATTGAATGAAGCGATTTTCAATGGATCATATGGAGGGGACTGTGAACTGAACGACCGTGATTGAGTAAGGAACCTGAACAAAGGAAAACTTACTGATCCAATTCGCCCCAAGTGCCCGTTTGAGCCTTGCTATAAATTGACCACCCAAAGAATCAACCACCATTGCGACCACAGTACAAATAATTATTAAGCTAGACACACAACACAGCGTACAGAAAGGCTCAAATAGCCGGTAATTTACCTTTCTGTAGGGCATAATAGTCCAACGAGAACTATCCCGGGCCGAAAATGGCTGAAAATTTCGTTCCGAGTACGATCCCATGATCGTAATTTACAATAGTACATCTTGTACCCGAAACCCGAAATTCCCACACAAACCTTGCCAAGATCTCTCCGAGAAGTTGAGGTTTGGGGCAATTATTACTCGCTTATTTTCCTATTCTATCGTGGCTGCAACCAACAGAAAGACAATAGCTCCGATCCCACGTTTACATGATTAATAGGGCGATAACGGGCAGAATAGGATTGCCCCTGCCAGGTATCCATCCCATGCCGGGACAACTAGGGACTCGAATGCCGGGCTCTGGGTGGCTCTGCTACGATTGTGTATTATTGTAGACAATAGAGTTAGAACTAGATGGCCTTTTTGGTTGGCATCTTCATATGCGGCCATCGCACCATTGCATCAATGCGGAATTAAGCTTATTATAGATGTCAAACGTGGGGACGCATGCAGGTAATTACCGTTGATAGGCAAACCATTTCTGATTGGAGGCGTTACCGGGAGAGACTCTTGAGTATACCAGAGAAAGAGCGTATATGGAGCCTGGGGGAGGTCAATTGAAGCAGCAGCATGGGTCTTACAGTTGTTCTGGCACTGGCGCTGACGCTGTTCTGACAGCCCTGTCACAAATACGTCAATATGCGACCCGTCATCGCTGCCCCTTTTTATACCGTTTTGCGCTTGAACACCGCAGGCCAATATCACAGCTTCCACACGTGTAGCCCCGGCAGACCAATTTACGATAAGCCAGAACCTGGATCATGGCCACGACCGGGTAGCAGCCTATATAAACCGGCTGTTCTCGTCGAGATGAGCCATCCATTGCAACGGTAAAATGGTCAATTTCAGAACAGCTTTCACTCTGGCAGTGATCGTGGCCTCGGGTGTTCTCGCCCACACGGTGCCAGGGATCGACTCGCTCCGTACTCAGCTAGCAATCAGAGCAACCAACCCCATTGACTCCATTTACGACAATCTCGATGATGCAGAAACAGACTTCATCAACGACCACTACAAGAATTTGACCGCCTACAATTCGACCTCGTGTGACCAGTGTAAGAACAAAATCAGGTACGGAAGACACTTGATCGACACTTATCCTGACAAGCAGCACCTTGTCAGTCTCTTGTTGTTCAAGTACTGTATCTTCCAGAACAAGGGAAGTGAGTCTAAATGCGACAACACCGACTTCTTTGTCTCTACCCAGACCAAAGACGACGAGAACTTCGGCGACTCCTGGGACTCAGGAGTCACCAGTGCCACCAGTATCAGTTTTTTTGACAACGACTTCCTCCACATGTTGAAAAACTTCAATGTCTCCAGTGAGCTCGACTTGGAGTACTACTGTTACTACAGAGGTTCGAATGCCTGTAAGCAGCCCAAGACTCCCGACGTCGATGAGTTGTATGGTGTCGACTCGTGGTGGCCTGCGAAGCAGCCACAGCATTCTGGCGAGCCAGAATACAACCGTACCAACGGAGAATTGGAGAAGTTCAACGTGTTGCACTTCACCGACTTCCATCTCCAAATGAGATACACTTTGGGCAGTGAAAGCAACTGTACTCAGGGCCTTTGCTGTATGCCTGAGTCGTTCAACAAGGATTTGGTATCTAAGGGTCATAACTTCACCGAGTACTACAAGCAACTCGACCCCAAATTGTCCAAGTACGCCTACTCTTTCTACCCAGACGCCAAATACGTGAACGATACTTACATTGCTGGCTCTTACTACGACTATCCAGCCCACAGAGGCTTCAACTGGAACTCTGTTCCAGCTACCACCTTTGGTGCCTACAAGTGTGATTTGCCAGAAGTGTTGATGAACAACAGTTTGCACTACATCAGCAAGGCCCACGAAGACAAAGATTTCGAGTTCACCATTTTCACGGGAGATTTGGTGGACCACGACGTGATCCACTGTGACGCTAACACCACCAAGACTGCTGAAATCAAGTCTTTCCAGTTAATCAAGCACTACTTAAAGAACATTACAGTGTTGCCTTCATTGGGTAACCACGACACCTTCCCATACGGCCAGTTGTCTCCCATCAAGTACAGTCTCAACAACACCTACGACTGGAATGACGAGTTGATGAGCGAATTGCTTGTAGAAAACGGATGGTTGCCAGAAAGCAAGGCTCAGCAAATCAAGACCCACTACTCCGGGTTCTCCTACGTCACCCCAAGAGGTTTGAAGGTCATTTCCTTGAACTCAAACTGTTACTACCAGAAAAATTTGTGGTCGTACATCGACTTGAGCACCAATGCTGATTTGTTTGGCCAATGGGAATTCTTGGTCAATGAATTGGTCGAGAGTGAAAAAATAGGCCAAAGAGTATGGATCATGGCCCACATTCCAGTCACCGACTACGACACCTTGCCAATCCAAGCCGAAATCTTTAACAAGATTGTTAAGAGATTCTCTCCTTACACCATCGCCAACATTTTCTGGGGACACACCCACAGAGACCAGTTCCACATTGCCTACTCCGGTAGTGAGAAGAACTCCTCTGAAGTTGTCAACATGGCCTGGGTTGCCCAGTCAGTCACTCCTTACACCAACAACAACCCAAGTTGGAGATACTACGTTGTTGAAGACCAATCCTTCAACATCTACGATTCTCTTAATTACTACGCTCAATTGAACACCACCTTTACCAATGGAGGTGCCGAGCCTGAATGGAACTTTGAGTACTCTGCCAGAGACACCTTTGATCCCGAAAAGACCTGGCCTGAAACTTCTCCACTTAACGCCTCTTTCTGGCAAAGTTACGTGGTGGAAAAGCTTGCCCAAAAGAACAACACTGAGTTCCACCAGTTGTACTCGGATCTTCAGTACAGAAAGAGTCCATACGTTCCAGAGTGTAAGAATGGCTCGCAGGTTTCCACTGACTGTTGGAATGAAAACTACTGTGTGGTCGCCAACTTCTTGCCTAACGACTATGCCGACTGTTTGATCGACTGATTGCTTCGATACTATACCCATATTTACTTTCTTTCCTATTCTTCGTCGTCCTGTTATTTCGAAAGCCTAGCTACTCTAGGCCAATAAAAGTTCCTTTGTCTTTTTCTTTTATTATGTCTCTGTATTCCAGCATCTCGCCTGCATACAATTTTTCGCAGCCACTGTCACCATCAGAATTGGATGCTTGTGGGGGCGAATTTGAGCGAAGAGTAGTCTCAATACTCTAGATTGTTTGGAGCTGGGCAGGTAAATGAGTTCTGGTCTTAGATGGAAGCGCCAGGAATGATTGCAAAAAATGGAGAGTTACTAGCCGTCTATATTTAATGGAGACAAATAATTCATTACAAGGAGTAACTGAAGTTCTGTGATACAGTCCTAGGTATGCCCCCAAAAGTAGAGTTGTGACAAGATTAGCGGACAATCAAGCCAAATTTTCTGATACGAATCGTAGGTAAATTATCTACTTGTATTGATCAATATACATTCCCTTACTTAGTTTTAAGGGTAAGAACATTAGTTGTAGCCCGTTTCCGCATCCTTGTGACGTAATTGATGTAAGAGCGATGAGACTGATAGTCATATAGTGTAGGCAATATAGGTCCAACTAAAGGTTCAGAAGTAATAAATGCTTATGGGTCTGCAATAGTTCCTTCTGTTTCTTGGTTTCATCACAACAGAGTGTGAAGCTGTGGCTAAATGTATATTATCTCCAATGCTACACAGGCTAAGTAACCTTTGATAAGTGAGTATTTGTGTAATCCGTAAATACATATGCCAGTCTTAGCCGATTGTTGATGTGATGGAACTACTTTTACTACCAAGCACTGGAATCGCTACATTGAGTAGAAAAGATCGGAAATACTCCATTTATCTAAGTATGTTCCAAGAAAATGGTACCAATTTCCAGTAGGAGGACCTACGTCTAATACCAGTTCACTGGGAAATATGCTCATTATTTTAATGTATTTTGATTCCTAAGTATAAAGAAATTGAACCAATTTGAGTCATTTAATCGAAAGAGACCATAGGCCACCAACAGCAAAATGAATTCAGCAAACGATCACGATTGGCGCCAGCGAGAGGGCCCTCTGTTCCCAACTATAGCCAGCTTTCACTCGTGCCAGTACTGAGTGTTACTATGAAAAGAATATCAATGAATAGCTGCACACAACAAAGAATGCACGCTAACCTATATTACAATGCAATACATCCCAACAAAACCTGACCTCTAGCCTTGTCTAAGTGAATAAAGTATCTTCTTCTCTCAAATATTCACCAATATCACCCTGTCTGAATGCAACAATAGCAGTGGGCTGTAAGGACCTGGCTTCATTAGTGGATTTGGCACTCACACCGAACCCTAATGGGGTATCATTCATCGAGTACACTATCACACCGGCGTGCTCTGGAATGTCGTCTGACATACGGCCAACGTGGGCTTTTAACACATGGTTACCGTATAAGTAAGGCATCTCACCATTTTGTTTAATCCATATTTTGAACTTGGCGTACTGGGACAAATATGGCAAGGAAGTTATGTGTAAACGGAACTTTCCAGTCTTTGTGAATTTACCGAAACAAGTTCCAACCGACATTAATTGTTGTCTGGAGACCGAAGTAGCGAATCTGGCCACTTGATCAGACACATAGTAGACACGATCTTTTTGTAAACGGAAGACATGGGGATTGGAGGGGTTGTCGATCAAGAAGGAGATGTTTCTGCCAATGTAGTTGGCGAGCTTCTCGAACACAACCTTGGTTTCTTCTTCGGTTAAAGGTCTCATTGTGGATGGTAGACTATCACAGTGGAAATTTTTCAGATAGCGATGGGATGGATGTATGTCACGTGACCGGCGATGGCTATATCTCCATGAAAAATTCTACTCCAGAACACGCCAATGAGTGAATCAGTACCACCTAAGGAGTCTTCGATTCCTATCCCCGAGTCTGCAGAGGTCCCTGTTACCCAAAATGATCAACTTTCAGCCGACGCTGTTGCTTCGCTCGACAAAACGGTTGACGAGCCAGCTTCCAAGACTGGTCAGCAAAACAAATGGTCTCGTACACGTGCTGCAGACAAGAGAGAAGATGGTAGCAAGAGACAGAAGAGACAACGGGAACACAAGGTCACGTAGGTATGTTTTTCCCTGCCAAATTTGAGCAATTTATACTAACAACTCCAGTGAATATACCACCAGAGTAGATGAAAATGGGGTTCCATTGCCTAGATCCGAAAGAAAACCAAAGAAGAAGGTGGCTGTCATGATTGGGTACTGCGGAACCGGCTACAACGGGATGCAGATCCAGCCAAACCCCGACATCAAGACCATCGAAGGAGAATTGTTCCAGGCATTCGCCAAGGCTGGAGCCATTTCGCCTGAAAACTCGGACGACATCAAGAAGAACGGCTTTATGAGATGCGCTAGAACCGACAAGGGTGTTCACGCTGCTGGAAATGTTGTTTCGTGCAAGTTGATCATCGAAGACGAAGATATCATCCAAAAAATCAACAACGAGTTGCCAGAGCAAATCAGAATATGGGGCATCCAAAGAACCTCCAAGTCGTTCGATTGCAGAAAGATGTGTTCATCGAGAATGTACGAGTACTTGTTGCCAACCTACACTCTTTTGCCTCCCAAGCCCAAGACGGTGTTGAGCGACTTGATGGAGTCCAAGGACAAGGAGCATCCTGGTATCCTCCGTGACGACGTCGAGGGCAGAGAGTGGTGGGCCCAGACCAAGGAAGAGATCAAGAACAGCGAGTTAACAAGTGAGCAGATTGAGCAGCTCGAATCCCTTTTGGAGAGCAGCACCGTTACCAACTCCAGCATCAAGACCTACGACGACAACGGAGAGATCACTGAGATTGGCAAGCTCTTTAAGATCTACAAGGGGATCGAAAACAAGCGCAGAAGAGCCTACAACGTCAGCAAGGAACGTCTTGATCTTTTCAGACAGGCCATGAAGCAGTACGAGGGTTCCAACAACTTCCACAACTTCACCATTGGTAAGGCCTACAGGGATCCTTCAGCCAGAAGATTCATGAAGGACACCACAGTATCTGACCCCTTCATCATTGAGGGCACCGAGTGGGTCAGCATCCATATCCATGGCCAGTCTTTCATGTTGCACCAGATCAGAAAGATGATTGCCATGGCAGTCTTGGTGATCAGAACTGGATGTCCTATAGAGAGAATCAGAGATTGTTTTGGCCCAACTAAGATCAACGTGCCCAAGGCCCCAGCCTTGGGTTTGTTGTTGGAAAACCCTGTCTATGATGGGTGCAATGCCCAATTGGAGAAGCTTGACTATGAAAAGATTGAATTTACAAAGTACTCCACGGAAATGGATGCGTTCAAGAAGAAGTTCATCTACGACAAGATCTACGGCGAGGAGGTGAAAGAAAACACCTTCTACGGATTCTTCGGCTTTATTGACACCTTCAGAAGTTCTGAAGGTGACTCCACCTCGGAGGCCAAGCATGTATTCGATTTCTTAGGTGCTGTTTTCGACTCTGGGTTGAACAAAAATGGCCAAGTGAAAGAAATCGAAGAAGACAAGAACGTGGGCGTTGCCAGTGCCAATGACAACGTTGATTAGTCAAAAACGTAGTCAAGCATTCCTCTAAAATAGCTTTGGGTACATCTGTGTATATCTAGCATGTAATGAACAGAAGAGAAAGATTAGTGTAAAACGATGGAATGAACATTATTACCAGTACGGGTTTGGCAATTTCATTGAGTTGCTTGGATCTGGGTGCTTTTGAGTAGAAAGTACAGCGTGAGCACCACCAGTTAGTCTAACCAGACCACTTCCTACGTTGCAGCCTACCCTCCTTCTACGCCTTTTAATACAGTTTTATTACCTAAAAAACATTATAAGCTATGTATGCAATGATCCCGAAGATACAAAAAGAAGCAATAGCAGTTGATGACTACCCTGCTGATGCTGAGTGCTCAGAGCCAGGTTGGATTACGGTTGTTTTGCACTTGTTGGGCAGGAGCACCACGTGACACTTTGGCTTTATCCTGTTCAAACTGGTTGGATACTGTTGCACGAGAGTACTTGTTGTTGGCATTAGCTTGGTAGATCCCGGCACCGTTGACTCCACCTATGTCCTTAGCGGGTTCTTCCTCCTTGTTTATGATCTTCTGGTAATCGTCACCAAAGAGGTTCTTGTAGAATACCTTCTGGGGGTCTTCTTCGGGGTTCCCGGAATCCTTATCTCCTATAGTTTGTTGATGCTGTTGTTGTAATGCTCTTGCTTTTTGTAATGCCAATTGGTGTTGGTGTTGAATGGCGGCTTGCTGTGCGTTGGGCTGCGCTGATTCCTGGGGTTTGGCTACCTGCTGTGCTTGCTGCTGTTGTTGCTGTTGCTGTTGCTGTGCTTGTTGTGCTTGTTGTGGATCTTGACTCTGGTCTTCGATCTTGCCCTGGGCTCTTTGCTTTTCTTGTTGGAATTTGTATAAGGTCCAGTCGAACACGTAGTCGTATCTGTAGTTTTCCTTCTTGAACAAATCTCTGAACAACTTTCTCAAGTATGGGTAGTCTGGCTTGTCGTCGAATCTCAAGGTTTTGATGTAGTTCATGTACTCCAAAAACTCTGAAGGCAAGCCCTTGGTCAAAATGTTATTTGGAGTGGTTATTTTCTTTTCCATGATTCTGTCATACTTTTGCCTCTTTGTAGCGGCCTTCAATCCCTGCCATGGCAAGGAGCCGCGGCAGAAGTAGATCAAGACGTACCCCAAACTCTCCAAGTCATCTCTTCTGGACTGCTCTATTCCCAAGTGGGTGTTGACACTGGCGTATCTTGCAGTACCTGTCAAGTTCTTGTTTTCTCTGTAGGGGATGTGGGAGTGGGTTCTGGGGTCACGGTACTTCTTGGCCAACCCGAAGTCGATGACGTTGACCTGGGAGCCTCTTCTGCCGATACCCATTAAGAAGTTGTCGGGCTTGATGTCTCTGTGAAGGAAGCACCGCGCATGGATGTACTCAATGCGGCAGATCAACTGGTCGGCCAACAACAACACCGTTTTGTAGGTGAACTTGCGGTTGCAATAGTTGAACAAGTCTTCCAACGAGGGCCCCAACAAGTCGATCACCATGGCGTTGTAGTCGCACTCGGTGCCGTACCATCTGACGAATGGAATGCCGACTCCGCCACTCAACGCCTTGTATACCTTGGCCTCGTACTCCAACTGGGGGTGTTTGGCCTTGGTGTTTTCCAACTTGATGGCCACCTCTTCGCCTGAGATGATGTTGGTGCCGAGGTAGATGTCTCCGAACGAGCCTGACCCGATCTTACGACCGATTCTGTACTTCTTGCCCACCCTTAAGTCCATGGTGGTTGTGGTGGCGTTGGACTGGGAGGTGATAGTTGCTGGATGCGCCTAGCGTGGAGGGGACGTGGGCGGCTGGTGTTCACGTCGATGACGTGGCTGTGGAGGAGGAGCTGATGGTGGGGTAGTTCTGGCGAACTGGTGCTGATGTCTGATAAGGAGTATCAACCGCTTACCGTGTAGGATATTGAACGAGAATTTTTCTGAGTACAAACGGAAAATTGCTTTTTGGGAGCGCGTGGAGGGGGGATGGATAGAGGGAGAGGATTGGGAAGGGGAAGAGGGAGAGGATGGAGCGAGATGGGGGGAGATGGGGGCGATGGGGGCGATGCGAGAGGTTAGAGAAGTACGGATGTTTGGCTGGGGAGGTGGCTGGGAATTGTACAGTAGTACGGATGGGAGTGTGGAGGAGTAGTGGTGCACGTGAGGAGGTTCGGCAGTGGTGCGACATGCGACACGGGGCGTAGAGGTGGCTGCCGATAAGCGGGCGGATTCAACGCAGGATCCACCGGGTGCGAGGCGTGGGGGAGGACGGTGGAGACGGTATATATGGCGGTGGTGCCTGGCGTGGACTGTCGGTGGGTGCGTCTGGTGTATGTCTGGCATATATTTGTCTGACGTCTGGCATGTGGCGCCTGGTGCAGCAACAGCGGCCCTCTGGCCCGGTTGCTGTCAGCGCACGGTGCGGATGTCTGGTGTTTCGGACCCGTGACACAACCCCACGCCACCTCTTTCTGGCCAATCGCCCCTGTCCCGTGCCCACCACTCCCGTTATCTTGGCTTGGCCCACAATGGAACGCCCGGGCCCGGCATCTCCCGCAACAGCAGCCGTTCCGTCCAGTCCAACTGCCAGCTCAGGCATCGTACTGGCCATGCTGGCGCACGCCACACATGCAAATTCGCTTCTGCTGCCAGACGTACGGCCTGCAGACGCGGATTCATGTGCCGCATTCCTGCTAGACGACATACGCCGCCATCGCGACAACGGTCTCGAAATTGGCAACCATCGCCAAACGCCCTCTACACTCAATCCGGTTCTGACATTACTTATTAGTTATTACTAGCCCTACTTACTTACTTGGTGGCAGTGGACGACTTCTTAAACTTACCCAAAATTCTCTTGAAGATATCGTTCTTCTTCGCAGCCTTGTCGGTCTTAGCAGACGAGTCTTCGACGGCGGCCTTGGCGGTTTCGCCTTCCTTGCTCAATGGGTCGGCCTCTTCGGTGGCTGGGGCAACGTCCTTGACTTCAGCCTTCTTGGCGTCAACGCCTTCAACAGTTGGCTCAACTGGCTCAACTGGCTCGACTGGCTCGACTGGCTCGACTGCCTCAACTGCCTCAACTGGTTCCACAGTAGGCTCAACCTCGCCAGTGACTGGCGCAGCGGCAACTGGCTCTTCAGCAGCAACTTCCGGAGCAGCGACTGGCTCAGCAGTGGCAGCCTCAGCAGCGCCTTCGGTGGCAAGAACTGGCTCTTCAACTCCAGCAGTTTCGGTGGCAACTGGCTCGTCAGCAGCGACTTCAGCGGCACCGGCAGCTGGCTCTTGGGCCTTGGTGTCAGCTGCGGCTTCCTTGGTGTCTATGTCCTTGGCCAACGACTCCTTGGACTCGGAGGAAAAAATCTTGGAGGCTCTCTTTACCCTATCCTTGATACCCATGGTGAAGATAAATGACTAAAAGTGGGCTATTTTTGCGGCTATCCCCTGGTATAAATAGTCGCAGGGGTTTGGCCAGAAAACGCAGGCGCAGCTCCGTGGTACCACAATGCAATTGTTTATTTGTTTGGACCGGGAGACGAGATCCCCGGTCCGCCGCAAAAAGCGGCACCCAGCACTGTCGGGGACGGGGTGGAGCTGGCATTGGCAGCGCAGGCAGCATGGGATGGTGACGCGGGTGTCAATGTCCTCCGCGTGGTGGGTGTTTGGGGGAAGTGTCGGAGGTGTCGGAGGTGTCGGGGTGTGGTCACCCCCAGCCGTGTGGCTGACGTTGGAGGATCCACGGAGGCGGCTTACGGGACTTGTTATCGCTATTGTGTGCTAGCACATTCCTGGGCCTTCAACTGGCGACGCTGGCGGGGTGCTCTGTGCTACTGTGGATGTCTCGTGCCGACGGACAGTCGCGTGTGACCACCGCCACTATCTGGCGGTGGCGCTAGTCCTACTGGGCCCACAAGTGGCGGGATAGTGTTCTTGTCATGCGCGCGGCTGGCGTCTCTTTTTGCAGGGCCAACGGCTGAAGCACGGCAGAAAATTAAATGTTTCTGTTGCGAGCCCCGTCGCGTGGGCCTAAACAAAGTCACACGATGTGCATGCAGGACCAGTATTATTATTGGCCTGGGTGCTAATAGTGTTGTGAGGGAGGTTTTAGCCCCCAATGCGGAAAGCATGACTTCGGAATGCACGGGAATTGCAGGTATAGCAGACGCAAGTAGACGACGGGAATTTGGCTGTTTTTCCGCTAGCCGTGCCGCAGCTTATCGGCTATGCCTTGGCCGTCTAGGACTTCGTCAAACGCGCACTGCCATGTTGTTGTAGCGACCAATGCAGGATGCACCCAGCACCTGTTGTTCGGGCGCCCGCGGCGTCTAGGCCCTGCTTTCGAAACCGCAGGGCGGCATCGTGACATATGGTCACATGCTCGATCACGTGACTACAATCATATTCTGGCGGCCTACTTCAGGTGTTCGACTTTCCGGTTTTGTTGTAGTTTCTCCATTGGGGCGCCAGCGATGACATGGAATTGACACAATTTCAATGGTTGACTGTTTCTGTCAGATACCAAATAAGACATCACCCGCAGGCTACGTGGTCTTTTCCAACTACACTCAAACCCGCCGACTCGTATCTCGTAGCATCGCTCCCCATCTCCCCCAAGCCCTACTGTTTTACAGAGTGTAGGCAGTTTTGAACAGTGAACGAAGAATCGCCCTGATGAGTGTATGCTAGGCAAATGTCGCGTGTCCGGCGACATCTATTGATGCTAAGTTCACCATCTCGCTCCATCGCTCCATAACCACACCATGAGCGAAGACAGGGGATTAACCTCACGAACTAAACTAAGACGAGAACCTATCAACTCTATCATCTCCTCTCCCCAATCTCCTCCGCCTCCCCATTCTCCACTATCTCCACTATCTCCCCATCCATCGCTCCTCCATCTCCCACGACATTGTCGCGTGTCCCGCGTTTGTTTACTCAAATCACCACCATCCTCCTCCATGTCTCCTTCCTCTGCCACGGAGTCTGCGGCCACCATGTCCTCGTCCGTACCCACAGCATCCTCGTCGTCGCACCAGCTCAAGCGAATAGAGACGCGTATTGAGTCGCTATCGCGGTCCTTCGCCAAAACACCCACCATTGCCTCCCTCACCACCACACCTTCAACCTCAGTGACTCCCACCAATTCTGGGCCCAGTTCGGCGGTCAGAAAGCCATTGTCGAAGTTTCTGCTCAACACATTTGACACTTCGTCTGCCGCCAAAACCAATGCCGCCAAAGTCAACAAACCCACCAAGTCGTTCATCAAACAGCACCACCTAAACCAATACAAGAACACCCTTTCAGCCAAGGAACGCGCTCGTCACCACAGTCTGGCCACCGCCGTCAAGCTTCTGCCAGAAAAGTATCGCCTGAGCTCTTCTGGGTCCAACGTGACGCCAAAAGCCACCAAGAAATGGTGCCTCCAGGACTTCGAAATCGGCCGCATTCTCGGCAAGGGAAAGCTCGGGAAGGTGTACTGTGCTAAGCACGTGGAGTCGGGGTATATTGTGGCCCTCAAGGTGATGTCCAAAAAGGACTTGGTGGAGTTGAAGCTCGAAAAGAACTTCAGACGAGAAATTGAGATCCAATCGCGGTTGATCCACCCCAAAATATCCAGGCTCTATGGCTTCTTCAATGACGACAAGAATGTGTATCTCATTTTGGAGTACTCCATCTATGGCGAACTCTACCAGCATCTCAAGGTCAAATGCCGTTTCGACAACCCTACTGCCTCCCACTATATCTACCAGGTGGCACAGGCATTGTACTATTTGCATTCAAAAAACATAATTCATAGAGATATCAAACCAGAAAATATCTTACTATCCCTTGACAATTGCATAAAGCTAAGTGATTTCGGCTGGTCCGTATACCAAAATCCAACTTCTTCTACAAAAAGACTCACCATTTGTGGCACCCTAGACTATTTGCCCCCAGAAATGATCGAGAGTAATGAGCACGATTATAACGTTGACATCTGGTCCTTGGGTATCTTGTGCTTTGAGTTTTTAACAGGAAAACCGCCATTCGAAGAAATAGACAAAAATGCAACCTACAAAAGAATTGCCAAAGTCGATCTTCAAATTCCAGAATACATAGATGACGATGCGGCTGATTTGATAGTGAAGTTGCTACAGAAAACCCCTCGAACCAGAATGGCATTGACCAAAGTATTCACACATCCCTGGATTCTTAAGAATAAACCATACTGGCCTGTTACCGAGAAGTCCATCAAGGAGGAAACTTCTACAAGTTAGCATAGCCTTACAAGCCTTGTACACTATTTTATGAACTACCCTTCATGTGACGTATATCGGTTCACATAAATTGGATAGTATTAGCAACATTAATAGAATTCGTAAATCTACAAAATATATTTTGCACCAAACACCTCTTAGATCTATCAAAGAATCCTAACTAATATACACGGCCCTAAGCTTGCTGCAGAGAGGCTGAAACGTTGGCGTTTGCCGCGGCTGCGGCTCTAGCCTGCTTCTGCTTCATCAACATTTGTTGCTGCTGCTGTTGTTGGAATTTCAACACTTGTTGCTGGAATGCCTGTTGTTGTAATGCGTTATGCTGAGCAGTAGTTATAATGGCTTTCAGTGGCGCTCTCACTTGATACATTTCTCCGGGAATTGCTGAGAACGACTGGGTGGAAGAATCTGAGTTGGATGAAGGAGCATCCACATTTATCAATGCACACCGACCTTGAAGACCCCCAATGGAGCCTGAAATCGCCTGGTTCGCGAGTGTTTGCTCTGCTGATTGAGATGCACTACTTCCTCCGTTAGCAGTACTGGCGTTGTTGCTGTTGTTGTTTCCAGAGATAATGAATGCATTGGCATAAAATTCTCTTGTTGAAAGAAATCTGTGTCGGCTCCTGACTGGAAGTAAGACTTTCCTTTCCAAAGGTATTGGGTTATTTTTGGACAAACCTTCCAATACCAAGTTCGTCTCCTCATCGGGATCGAGGATCTTGTTGTAGCTTCCATTGAGATCGTCAGACATGCTGTCACCAACTCCGTTGAACTCGGCATTCTCCCTTCTTTGTGCCGCCAACGCATTTGAGGCGGCAATCTTGGCTTGGTTTCGTTTCTGGTACTGTTGTAATAAAACATCGTATGGAGCACTTCTTCCCATGACTGCTCTTTTTGCACCCATGGAATGTGTCTTACAAGTCAATGATCTTGCACAGAATCCACCAGAAGGCAATGGTACACCACATTGCTTCTCTACATCAACAGGACCCTTTGGCTTGGCTGTGGATTTTGGTTTTGCTTGCTTTTTCTTCTTGCCAACTGAACCAACGGATTCCTTTTTAGACGACGTTCCAGCTGCTGCTGCTGCCGCTGCCGCTGCTGCATTTGCGGCTTCTTTCTCCTTTTGAGTCTGTGATTTCTTGTACTTCTTCTTAGGCTTGGATACGCCGTTAGTCATACTGTTGGGGGTGCTGGGCACTGGGGTGGAGTTTCGAGATGAATCCACTGATGAAGGCTCAATATCCAACAAGTTGTTGGCTCTTCCTCTCTTTCTTTTCAACGAAGGCGTTCCCTTGTCTGCACCTTCTTCCTTTCTTTGTTTCATTTCTAAGCACTTGGTCAAATGGCTTGCTAAACTCTTGTCTCCGATGGGTCTGTTGCACGAGTTACAGATCTTATATCCAATGTTGGTAGATAAGTAGGACCTGTCGGGGATCGAACCAGCAATGAGCGATGATCTTGTCGAGCTTTCTGAGTCAGGTTTGGTGCTGATGTCGACTTTTTTATCCAAATAGACTCCTAATTCCTTCCAAATAACAGGTTTTCTCTGTTCGTGGCTATCCTTGTTGTTAAGTGAACGTACGGCTGCTAATGTTATCACTTGCTGCGATCTCGTACTGGCCATTCTATGAGGGATGATGGGTAGCGGCTATGGCGTGGTGCGCTTAACCTTGGTGGGATGTAACTTGGTCGTTGGTAGTGCTACGGGGGTCAAAGTAGCGCTGGTCGGTAGCCTCAGTGCAGATGCGTCTGGAGGGGTGGGATAGGTTGATCTATGGAGGACTGCTGCTTGCCAGTGGATGTCGACTGTGTAGGAATCCGCGCTCAGGGTCGTTCAACGTTGGATGGTCTCGGTCACGTGTCACTGTTTGTATGTCAGCAGTCTCATTTTAGTTGGCAGCAAAACCGAGACAACTCTACAGCTCCCTCAAGCGTAATCACCATGCTAAGACGTCAGGCCACCACCATCAAGCTCACTCCAGAAGACATCTTGGAGTACGATGACTCCTTGGCCCAAAAACAGCTCCAGCGCCAGCAGGAACAACAAAAAGACCAGGCTCACCGCAGTATTTTGCAAGAAAGAGACGAGGGCAATACCACCCAGAACTACAAGGATGAAAGGGGACGCGATGAGCGTATATTGAACAGAAGTTGAGCTGCGAGGTACTGAGAAGACGGCCAACGTGAAAGTCTTCACCTACTGCATCATCCACAATATGGTTACAAATCCGTGTGCTATCGTCCCACACTATAATAAAGTCCCTGAGAACAGCGTGCAATAATGGCTATTATTGCCATGCTTAACCAGAGATGGCAGCATGGACGGTCAAGAGTGAGCTGTGGCCAGCCTAGCTAGAATCCCACCGGAGGGGAGTTTACTTCTGGGCTGCCAGAAGAGCAGGATTTCCTAGAACACCACGATTGAATCACTCCTTTGTTTGTAGTGAGTCGCCACACTACGGAATATAAAAAAAAATACATTGGGTTAAATATTAATATACAAATGACAGTTGGAGATAATAAAAATAACCTGTCTAAGTTATGAAACAACAGTAAGCCTTCTCCCTCTTGGCCTAATTTGAGGAAGCTGGTCTGCATTTTTGGTTTTGGTGGTATCTTCCCCATGACAATTCTTGAAGTGTCTAAAATAACTGAGTAACTTGTTGTGTTTCATGGTCCAACAACCAACCTCGATCACGGAAAAGCACTTGGGACAAAGCATGGCATCTACTTCACGTACTTTGAATTCTCTCTGTGAGCTCGAACCCTTTCTTTCACGTTTAGTTACACGATATCTCCCAAAGTGGATCCCATCGGGAGTCAAGTAGTTGTTGGAAAAAATCCCATGCTCCAATGTTAGGTGTGAAAGATAGCTGGAGTTCTTGAATGGCAAGAACTTCACATCCTCACAGTAGGGACAAAGTCCACACTTACTCTCGTTGACCAATTTACCTTCGCTATTGGTTTCAAACCGATAGTATTGAGGCTCATATGGGGCATCAATTGAGAAAACAGTGCTGGTCTTGTAAACAATGTTGGTAATACTCCCGTGAAGCTCATCGATTTCTCTATCATATTTCACCCTTTGGTGGACACAAGAAGACAGAGAGAGTCGACCCTCAATATTAGGCTCACCACCGAAGTTTCTGGGATTTACTTCAAAATCACCACGATATTTATTGATCAAAAAAGCACTCTGTCTAGTGACTGAATTGATGGAGCCACAATAACCGTGATAGTCAATTGAACATTTCAAACATGTCACCATTGTGTTATCAAACAGAACGGTGATTTGAAGAAGGGCCTTCTCGTTCACTTTGAAACGATCCTGAGCTAGAAGGATTACCGGTTGCTGCAAATTCTTGGGGGACTTTTTGGTAGTTGCACTGCTAGTAGCCTGAGGGCAAGCTTTGGTCTCTTGGTTGAGCACACAGGCGGGAGGAGCTGGAAGGGGATTTTCAAGAGCAGGCAATAACACAGGACACAAAAGTTCCGCAAATTCAGTCATTTGACTACTATCAAAACTAAGGGGGTCCGGAATTAGTTGTGTATCACTGTTACTCAATAAGGAAACATCAATTGAATTTGACTGCTCCGTAGATCCTGCCAATCCGTCCGAGCTGTAACGAAAGCATTGTTCGAGGTCATATGCTGAGAGAGTCAGGGAAGCTGTAGCATCAAAACTGTTTTCGGGCGTGATTTGAGCTTTCTCTACCTCGTTGGTAGTGTAGTTATTGTAGAAATTGTTGCAAATATCTCCGGAAAATGCAGATTCAAAGAACCGCTCGTCGAAATTCTGAATATCCGCCAATTCAATTTGATAGAGTTCTTTCGCAGGCATTGATACAGTTGGCTCTCCAAAGGAGTAACCTTTCTCTATATCTTCTGGATCGATAGGTAGAAAGAAGTCTTTTAGGCTCATAATATCAGCTTCAATTGAAGCCTCATTACTGTCTTCGATGTAGAAATCTTGGGGAAAGTTTAGGTCTGAATCTTGATCTGAAGTCATGTTAGTTCAACACGAGTTACTGAAGAAAGCCCACATATTTATACAGCAATTATGGTGTTAGCAGAATGAATAATGATAGCTGGTACTTGGTAGCTGGTAGCTGGTAGCGTAGCAAATGACGAAAGTACTTCGTGTGCAAAAGAAATGGTTTCACTAAATTTTTTTGCACCCAAAATAGACGCATTTTTCACAAAAAGGAACAATTTACAAGTAAAAATATATTAACAAAATCGATAAACTTACTACGCCAACTGAAGACTGCGCATCTAGTGAGAAATTGGGAATACGATTCGGGTTAGCTAACCTCCATTTTTCGATATATAATTTCCTCCGATCTCTTTCTTGAGTGTTGGTTTCTCCTTTGAGACCAAAAACTAAAATCCTATATCGACAGAAACTTGCCTGCGAAAAAAAAACTAACTTCAATCCTAGGGTTTACGTGAAGCGATAGATAACGCTGCATGACCGTTGGTGAAAGACGTTGTAACCGAACTTGGTTTAGTTCGTGCTTGTACCAGTTTAAGCATAACAAGAATCGTATTTTCTAATTATAGAACAAGAACGTATGGATGAATACAAGATAAAGAAACGAAATATACCAATTAAAAAAGAAATACCTGTTTTAGTACCGATCCACCTCGAATGGACACGAAAGGCTAAGAATGTTCCTAATTAGTAATTGATTATGTAATATACTAATTACTTCGCCTTTCTTTAGTTGTATTTTTAGACACTGTACCCTTTTTGGGGAGCACTTTCTACTTTTCGGTACATAGAACCCTGCAGAGTCACTCGATTAGAGAGTAATCGGTTATGTGTCAGTTTCCTCCCAAAAATCTTCTAGATCAAAAAAGAATGTCTTCCAAACAACTTTGAGCACCTTACCCAGACACACCCAGACACACCCAGGCACAGCAGCAACCATGTTCCAGCAAGTTCCAACACTTCTCAATCCCTGGCATGTTCTAATTGGGGCAGTCTTTTTAGCATTTAGTTGAAATCCATCCAAACGGTTCAGCTTACATTCACTCCTGCACACACCCTCCACATCAGACAAATTTTCATTTCTTACTAGCCATCACCCATAATGGCGTTTGGAATCCCCCTCTTGGTGCTTTGTAGCGCTATAAACGTCTTCTCCGGCGGAAAACTAGGCTATTATTTAATTATACTTGCTGCATTTTTAGCTATCAAATCGCAAGAGGCTTCCAAAACCAAGAACTCGAGATTAGATGCCCCACAGTCTTCTGTTAACTCCAAGGATGTCCTGAACAGTAAGGAGTCTCCTATTTATGCCGTGGACTTCACGTCAACTACATTCACTCCTACCGAGTCTACCACCATTCCAAAGGCCGTGCCTCTCAGATCAAGAGCAAAGCGTTCTCCAAAAGTCATTAAGGCAGCCAAGCCCATCCCAAATAACCTTGCCGAGGCTTCGTTGACCAAATCGTCGGTGAACTTGCTTCAGTCGCAGGTTTACATCTTCTACACCACTTTGACGGGTTCTTCTCAAAGAGTGGCCCAAGCATTGCACACAAAATTGACCAACCTCGATGGTTTAGCCAACCCCCCAAAGATGTTGAGTCTTGACGACGATGTCGATGATCTCGAAGAGTTCTTCTTGAAAACCCCAAAGAATGGCGACACCAAGAGCATTTACTTGTTGGTGCTCCCATCGTACGAAACGGATTCCCCCATCGATTACTTCTTGGAGCACTTATCAGAAACCTACAACGATTTCAGAGTCGACAAGTATCCTTTGAGATCGCTTTTGGGCTTTGCCGTGTTAGGGCTTGGTGACTCTGAGTCTTGGAACGGAGAAAAGTTCTGTTACCAAGCCAAACTTGCTGACAGATGGTTAGGCAAGCTTGGGGGAAGAAGATTGTTTCCTTTAGGTGAAGTTTGCATGAAGTTCGAAGGAGAACCAAAGGCTCAAGATTGGATTCAGTCTTTCGCCACATTGTTGGCAGATGACGAGCCATTCTACTTGGATAACGATGACGATATCGACGACAGTGACAGAGAAGACGAAGAAGTAGACGATGCCGATACCCTTGTTGATGTGGAAGACATGGGTAACATTATCAGAAAGTCAGGCACAACCTCCATTGGAATGTCCGAGGCCAAGAAGATGGTGGCCAAGGACTCTCCTACTTACAAATCGTTAACGAAACAAGGCTACACCATTGTGGGTTCCCACTCCGGTGTCAAGATTTGCAGATGGACTAAGAGTGCGTTGAGAGGAAGAGGTTCTTGTTACAAGTTTGCATTCTACGGAATCAAGTCTCATTTGTGTATGGAAACTACGCCCTCGTTGGCCTGTTCCAATAAGTGTGTTTTCTGTTGGAGACACGGTACCAACCCAGTCGCCAAGCTGAACTGGAGATGGGAATTAGACCCTCCAGAAAAGGTTTTTGAAGGAGCTCTTGCAGGTCATTACCAGAAAATCAAGCAAATGAGGGGTGTTCCAGGTATTCAGAACGACAGATTCCAAGAAGCTTTCCAAGTCAAGCACTGTGCCCTTTCGCTAGTTGGTGAGCCTATCTTTTATCCTCACATCAACGAGTTTGTGGACTTGTTACACAAGCAACACATCTCTTCATTCTTGGTCTGTAACGCCCAGCACCCTGACAATTTGGCCAAGTTGGCCAAGGTCACCCAGTTGTACGTCAGTATTGATGCTCCTACCAGAACAGATTTGAAGAAAGTCGATCGTCCTTTGAACAGTGATTTCTGGGAGAGATTGATGGCCTGTTTGGACATCTTGAGAACAACTCAGAGCCACCAACGTACAGTGTTCAGATTGACATTAGTCAAGGGATTCAACATGAATGATATTGCTAGTTATGCTGATATGGTCATCCAAGCTCAGCCCTCCCAAATCGAAGTGAAGGGAGCAACCTTCTGCGGTTCTTCCAATGGCAATGGCAACCCATTGACCATGCAAAACATCCCATTCTATGAGGAATGTAAACTGTTTGTTGTTTCACTTGTCGAAGAATTGAACTCAAGGGGCCATTCTTATGAGGTTGCTGCCGAACATGCCCATTCTTGTTGTATTTTGATTGCTCACACCAAGTTCAAGATCAACGGAAAGTGGCACACTCACATTGACTACCCTAAATTCTTCCAATTATTGGAAAGTGGAGAAGAATTCAATGATTTGGATTACGTCAAAGAAACTCCCGAATGGGCAGTGTGGGGCTCGGAGGAGGCCGGATTCAACCCTGATGATACCAGGTACGATAGAAAGGCCGAAAAGTTGAGGAAAAAGTTGGAAAGGGAAGATTTGAGTAGGAAGATCCAGGCATCCAAATAGGGGAATTGAATTGCTTCATTTGAAGCGATGTCCACGCTTGATAATGATTCAATTAGCAGTCTTTGCTCATTTACTCGTTAGAGTTATTTAGGTACATTATATACGGGTTTGTATTATACGTTTCGAGAATAGATCGTATGGTAGTTCTGTCCAAAATTTGCACCCAAAGTGAGACAGCAATTACTTTCAATGAGAACATCCCAGTAAATTTATCTTGGTCAATTCTGTGTGGGGTAATCCAAGTATCGTTCTCTGACGCCTGTCTCTATTCTACAGACCTAGCCGTTAGAGAGACTCCGTGCAGAGTAAAAATGTGATCCTTTCATTTAAAAAACGGAAGGGTGCAGCCAACACGTTATCTGTTCGAAAACAATATTCTTACACAGCTGGCTATTATGCCTCAAGTAGTATCAGCCTATGGGCCACAGCAGATACACAAGAGCCAAGTTGCAAATGGTGGCTCATATATCCTCTCCAGCATTAGGTCACGTGCAACCCGTTACATCATGTAGATATCGCGTCGGTGTCAACATCTACACGGCAATGTCTTCCTCCAACGACGCTGAGTTCAATGTCAGCTCTCCCTTGAAAGCTAAGCCTGTCGCTGAGGTTTCTGGCATAGACCGAGTCCAAGAATCCCCGGTAAAAACCGCATCCAATGCCTCCAAATCACCCAAATTGTCCCCAGCAGTTACTCCATCTCCTACTGTCCGTCTGGTGAAGAGCGCCAACATTGCATTTATACATCCTGATCTTGGGATAGGTGGCGCAGAGCGTCTTGTGGTGGACGCTGCTGTCGGCTTGCAAGAGCTCAACAACAAGATCACCATCTTCACTTCTCACTGTGATAGAAGCCACTGCTTCGAAGAGGTGTCAAGCAATCTTTTGCAAGTAAAAGTATACGGGGATTTCCTTCCAACCACATTTTTCAACAAGTTCTATATTCTCTTTGCCATACTAAGACAGTTATATTTGACTATCAAGTTGATCGTCAGTGGAGAACTTAGCACCTTTGACTATGTTATCATCGACCAATTGTCATTCTGCGTGCCTTTGATCAACCTTTTCAGCAAACACGACTGCAAAATTTTGTTCTATTGCCATTTCCCAGATCAGCTTTTGTCGGTAAGAAAGGGGTGGATCAAGAAGCTCTACAGATTACCGTTTGACTTGATTGAAGAATGGACAACGGGGTTGAGTGATAAGATCGTGGTCAATTCCAACTTCACAAAGAGCATCTTCCACAAGACGTTCAATAGGTTATCTGTGGAGCCTGGTGTGATTTATCCATGTGTCGATATTACTTCTACAATTGACACCGAGAGTGATGCCCAAGTCGATGGGTTCTTTACCAAATCTCCGTTCTTTTTGAGTCTCAACCGTTTTGAGAGGAAGAAGAACGTTGAGCTTGCAGTCAAAGCATTGGCCAAGTTCAGAAAAATCCACTACAGCGGGACCAAGCCCATTTTGGTGATTGCTGGAGGATACGCCAATAACCACAGGGAAAACCAAGAATATTTATCGGAACTAGAGTCATTGTGCAGCTCGTTGGAATTGAATCATTACGTTCTGCGTGGTGGCTTGAAGTTCCCATTGCCCCCATCCACCGATGTTTGCTTCTTACCATCAATTTCAACAAACTTGAAGGCTTCGTTGATCAAGAAGGCGAAATTGTTGTTGTACACACCATCTTTTGAACATTTTGGTATTGTTCCTGTGGAAAGTATGTTGTATAAGACTCCCGTGTTGGCAGTAAATAACGGTGGTCCGTTGGAGTCTATTGTCAACTTTGAAAAGAGTAACCTTGAAGAGGCCACTGGGTACACGGAAGAGCCTAACCATGATGATTGGGCCAAGATAATGGCCAAACACATGGACTTGGCCCCTGAAGTCACCCAAAAACTTGGTGAGAATGGGCACAGACGAGTATTAAAACTATTCTCGAGAGAAGAAATGAGTTTGGCATTTATAAAGAATTTACAAGAAGCGAAGGCTACCAGTGCTAATTCGGTCGTTTTTGGGTTCTTGAAATTTTGGAGACTTGAGATCTCTATGGTCATCGTTTCATTACTTATATACATGTATGCTTGAGTTTTGGACAATAGAAACTATTATGGACTGCTGTTTCCTGATAAGAATGCAAATTTCATGGCCCATTCTTGCCAACGTTTATACAGTCCATGAATGAACTGACCTCCAGATTAGAGTTCCTAATCTGATAGACCAATAGAATGAACAGTATGATAGAAGACTCACAACCTTTGTAGTTCTTGTCACTTTTTAAACGGGCAGCAGTACGCTAGTTTGCGAGAAAGCAAATTGCCTAAACCTTCATCCTGAATGCATCCTTTACTGCTTTCCACAACCCCAACTCATTATCGGCTCTCTGGACGGCAACACGCCCATGACCAGCCCCTCCACCGCTCAGATTATCACCCCAGATATTGAGGAAGCCCCCACCTCCCCGTTCGATTTTAGCCGTGCCCTTTCTATTCTTTTTCTCAAACCAGTCGTCCATGGTAGAAGGGAACTTTTCGATCATACGATCAAATGCTTTCTCTATTTCTAGTTGTGTTACCAACTTGAATTTGTGTATGCTCGAGGAAGGGCATTGTAGGTTGTAGGTTCGTATCGAGTTATTCAATAACTTTACTCTTTCTTCAATGTACCCAATGTCCGATTGAGTGAGGTTGGAGGGGTTAGCCTTCAATTGTTTTATCGTCGTGCTGTAGATATCCAGTAGTGAGGATTTGCCACTGGAGTGAATACGGTCGCTCAAGTGTGATCGGTTGACCAACCATTTGAACCATATATCTTCCAAATCATCTTTGAGTCTTTTGATCGACCCGTCGATACTCTGTTGGGTCTCTATCCACGGTGGCAATACTTCCTGTTTGTTTAATATCTGATTCATGAAGTAGTTGGTGTCTCTGGAATTCTTTAGATGTTCTCTGTCCAAAGGCTTTCCCCGTACATGCTTCATTTCTGGGGCATTGAAAAGTCCTGTGGCTTGGTCCAATGAAGCGTTGATTTTGCTACTTGCGAGACTGCCCACGATATCAATAGCCGAGCTCGGTGAGTTACTGAGGAGCATGGATGGTCCTAGAAGTCGTTCTTTGTACATTTCTCGGAACTGTTCGGCTTCAGACTTCTCTTGATTTGCCTTCACCTTGTAATCGAGACTGTTCTCTCTGGCGTTCAAAATCTTCTCTTTGAAGGGTGTGGGGGGAGTGAAGATCCGGTCTCCACGTTTGGGAGGAGGCTTCAGGTCAAGAATCATCCGAAGATTTGCATCATGTATCGACTCAGTACCTTTCCAAGGCTGTGCCAGGGATATGTCCTTTGCATGCTTATTTCTGGCCAACAAGGGCTCACTTTTGATATAGTGCTGGGCTGCTTGAATCCTTTCATCGTGGGACGAGTTATAGATCTTCTGTAGTTGGGGGTTGGACAGCACTAGCGATGGGGTACCACCATGTTGAGGCTTTGATATCTTCTGAAGCTGAGGGTCTGATTTGGCTACCGATGGGATGCCTGTTTGCGATGTGAGCTTCTCGTCCAAGATTTGTTGGAACCGTTCTGCAATTGCAGAGGAGGTTGAATTGGAACGCATAAAGTTATGAATGACGGGTCTGGAACATCTCATTTTTCATTTCTGCGAATTTAGAGAGACCGGGATTCGCTGGTGACTCAAGAGACCTGGATCCAGATGGTGGCGGCGACCGGTTACGGGTGTAGATGGCAAAAATGGGATTGCCATATCGCGAATGCTCGATTACATAAGTGATTACTAATTAAGTATACCCATAGGTTCAAAGAATGCATTGTAGTGAGCTATATAAGGACGGGGTAAAACAAGAGTCCGGGAGGACAGATAAAAAGAAGTGAAGAAATGCTATGTATGAGTCGTTTTGACCCATAGGAAGTGTATGTAAAGGGTCCAACTGCACTGTGCTCTAACATGAGCCTATGTAGAGGCGTGCCAGCGCAGGGACCATCTTGTGGTCGAACTAGAGTGCGAGGAAGATCAACACACCCGAGCCCAACACAATGGCCATCAACAACAAGAGCTTGAGCGCAAAACAGAACACGTCCTCGCGCTTACCGCCTGCGGTCAAGATCAACTGCTTCTCGATATCGATATCGTCCTTGAGCTTGATCTTGCCGTGCTTGCACCCGTTCCACGAGGGAAATCCGTTGAACTGGCTGGCGTAGGGGTTCAGGTCTTGCTTGATGATGTTGTCCAAATTAGACGAGTCGACGGAGCTGATGGAGCTGGCGTGGTTTCTGGTGCCATGGGGCTTTGGGGGAAGCGACAACTCATTGACTGACGAGGCTGACCTGGCCCTGCTTGATTTGGTCTGAGGAGGTCCGTGAGCCGTCACTGACGAGACTCTTCTGGGGAGCTGAGGGGGAGCCACGGGATCAGACATGCTGGCGAGAACAACTAAGTGTGTTGTAGTAACTGGGTGGTGCTAGAAGCGATTGTGGGGTTGGGAAGTTTGTGTAGGTACCTGTGTGGGTTCTCTGGCTAACGAGTATCAGGGAATTCACGGAGGTGGTACTCTAAAGTAACAGGAATGTCGAGTGTCAGAAGGCTACACATGGCGACACTTGACTATATATAGAAAGGGTTTGGCGAGGCGGTCCCCGCCATGCAACAAATGCGGATGGTTGCAGAGGCTCGTGGTACGGCAACGGCTGTGCGGGAGTCGCAGGGGCGCTCCCGCGAGGCTCTCGCGAGGCTCCTGTGGAGGCGTTGAAGAGGTTCGGGGCTGGGGGGAACAGGCTGGTAGAACCAGAAGATATATCTCACTTCTCTGAAGCTGTAAGTAGCAGGATGGGGATGCTAGTGTCCAGTGGCCTGGCCTGATCTGATCAGGTCTGGGTGGGGAGTGGCAGCGTGACCATCTGTGATGTCATGATAGGCCCCACCCAGGGGGGAGAGTTGCGAGCGCGCAACGATCCATCGCGGTACGGTAGCGGGACCACCACGGGAGGGTCAGGAACGCTGCCACTAAGGTATGGCAATGACAGGGAGGCTGAGGATATGCTCCGTAGGGAAATTATCCCGTCAAGACTTCCTGTTGTGAGCATGGCGCTGGATAAGGAAGTGCAGTAAGATTGGCACGGAGGAGGTGTGGATGGTCCACCTCAACTCCTCTATTCGTACTGTCCATCCGCCTCCTCCAAGCATTTCGCTGGCGCTATTCTTAGAATTTCCAGACGTGTGTTTCAGGAATATCACCTCAACGTTCGGTGATGTGCAGTAACGCCAAAGTCCCAAAGTGAATTACTGATGTGGCCGTTGGTGGGGCTGCGGAAGGGCCTGAAACGGACCAGCACCAACAGATCATCACTGCTATCCAGTAGACGGCGCCAGCGGGCGCGGACCTCGCTGGTCTCGAGGCAGGCTGCCACTTCGAGGCCAGGCACACAAATAGAGATTTCACTGGCAGTAGAAGCACGCAAGAAGTGCATCGTACGAATTCTGACAGGGTGCAGCAGGAAATAGAGAGCACACGCTGAATTACTCAAATTGCTTGACTTCTACGTGCTTGGAAGGAATTTCACACACCATACCGCTCAAATGGCATGGCTTGCAACTACTTTGAAGCTCGAATAGCTTGACTTTCTTCGTACTTTGAAATTACTAGTCTGTCACACATCGCTTGAAATCATCCCCAAACACTTTGTCTCTTGCTGGGTCGCATATCAACCGCAACATCTGCTCTTCCAGCCCCGCCTTCAGTTGCAGCCACCGTGCCTGCAGCCACCGTGCTTCTATCTGCGGATCACAATAATAGACGAAACGAAGGATCCTCCTGCACAGAACTCGGCTTCTACTCTTTCTCTACCAATATGCCACCACCAAAGATTCTCGAAGACTCCACACGCTTTGCCTGGTCAGCTGCTACGCAGACTGGTCTGGCGTGGCATCATACTCGTACATTTACTCTCAATACTTCTTTATGTCTCCCCTCTGTCTCTCTGTGTCTCCCCTCTGTCTCCACTCTGTCTCCTCGCTTCGGCTGATGGATCGCGTCCTGCAGACAGGGGGGCCACGCAAGCATTGGACGAAAACTCTCCCATAACTCTACACAACCTCCCCAAGCACAAACACTCATCATGTGGTTATTTGAATGGTGTAAGTACTGCTAGAGGGAACTTTCCCCTGAAGCTGGTCAGATAGAATACTCAGTCACGACTGATGCCCCACTCCACACGAGTGCTCTCCATCGACGCATCCGTCTCCTGATCCTCGATTACCAGCCTGATCCTGACCACGCCTCCTTCAATCGAATTTCCATACTAACCTCCAGTCCAAGACGTCTTGTCCACTTTAGGATTATGGAATAAGCATGCCAAGTTGTTGTTCCTCGGTTTGGACAATGCTGGTAAGACCACCCTTTTGCACATGTTGAAGAACGACAGGTTGGCCACCTTACAACCAACCTTGCACCCTACCTCGGAAGAATTGTCCATTGGAACCGTCAAGTTCACCACCTTCGACTTGGGTGGCCATCAACAGGCCCGTCGTTTGTGGAAGGACTACTTCCCTGAAGTCAACGGAATTGTGTTCTTGGTCGACTCAGCTGACCCCGAACGTTTCGCGGAATCCAAGGCCGAATTGGAGTCTCTCTTCAAGATCGAAGAGTTGAGCAAGGTCCCCTTCTTGATCTTGGGTAACAAGATCGACGCTCCATCTGCCGTTGGTGAGATGGAGTTGAAGTCCGCTTTGGGCTTGTACAACACCACCGGTAAGGATACCGGTAAGTTGGCTGAAGGTAACAGACCTATTGAAGTCTTCATGGTCTCTGTTGTCATGAGATCCGGTTACGGAGAGGGTTTCAAGTGGTTGTCCCAATACATTTAGATGGACACCTCTCACTTCCACAGAGTCTTGCCGCCGTATTGAATACGACGTGCTGTTAATAGTGGGCTCCGGCTCTATAATGTATACTTATTATCAGCAGTGTAGTTCTACTAGGTGATTGTGGCACGTGACACAAAGTCACGCGATCCTTCCGCCACTCACATAAGTCATCGCTAAATTTTTTATATTACCACCATCATGAGTGAACATACCAACAAGGGAGCTCTCCACCCGGAGCAGAAGAAATGGAAGGCCCCAAAGGGACCTAAGCCTATCCAGCACAAAAATAAAAACTTGATTGGTTTGGGTAGAACCATCGCCAACCAAAGAAGATTAGAGAACCAAGTCCAATACTTGCCAGATGGTGATTTGAGATTTACTACCGATAAGAAGGAAGCAGACTGGGTTAAGATGCAATCCAAGACCCAGGAAAACTCTCTTGATGAGTTCTTGAGCACTGCACAACTTGCTGACACCGATTTCACTGCTGAGCGTGGACAACAAGTGAAGATCATCAAGATCGGAAACACTTCCATTGTCAACCAAACCGGATTGTTAAGTACCGAAGAAATGATGGCCATGAAGCAAAAGCATCACTTGTTCGAAAACAAGTTAACTATTCCTAAAAGACCAAAATGGACAAAGGACCAGTCCAAATTACAAATTGACAGACAAGAAAACTTGGCATTTTTGGAATGGAGAAGAGAATTAGCAGCATTAACAGAAGTCAACGACTTGTTGTTGACTCCTTTCGAAAGAAACTTGGAAGTTTGGAAGCAATTATGGAGAGTCGTCGAAAGAAGTGACTTGGTTGTTCAAATTGTGGATGCTAGAAACCCATTGTTTTTCAGATCGATTGACTTGGAAAAGTACGTGAATCAGTTGAGTGACCCAGAAAACAACAAGACCAAGAAGAATTTGTTGTTAGTTAACAAAGCTGATTTGTTGACCAGAAACCAACGTATCAAGTGGGCTGAATACTTCAACTTGAAGAAGATCGATTACGTTTTCTTCTCTGCCGCCAAGGCCAATGAGTTGTTGGAGAAGGAAAAGGAAGAGTTGGAAAATGCACAGAACGATATCATTAGTAGCACTGCCACCGAGTCCAAGGTGGAAGAGGAGGAAGAAGGTGAAGAAGAAGGCGATATTAATGATGACATCAGAATCTTAAAGATTGAAGAGTTAGAAGAACTCTTTATGAAGACAGCTCCTAAATTGGAAGAAGATCCTGACTTCCCCGACAGAAAATTGAACATCGGTTTGGTGGGTTACCCTAATGTTGGTAAGTCCTCTACCATTAACGCATTAGTTGGATCTAAGAAGGTGTCTGTGTCTTCAACTCCAGGTAAAACCAAGCATTTCCAAACCATTCATTTGTCACAAGATGTCTTATTGTGCGATTGTCCTGGTTTAGTCTTCCCTAACTTCGCCTACACTAACGGTGAATTGGTGTGTGACGGTGTCTTGCCAATTGATCAATTAAGAGAGCATATCCCTCCAGTATCTTTGGTGTGTCAAAGAATTCCGAAATTTTACTTGGAAGCCATTTACGGTATTCACATCCCTATACAAAGAGTTGAAGACGGTGGTAACGGTATCTACCCAACTGCTCGTGAATTATTGAATGCTTATGCTAGAGCAAGGGGTTACATGACTCAAGGTTTTGGTTCTGCTGATGAGCCAAGAGCTTCCAGATATATTTTGAAAGATTATGTCAATGGTAAGTTGTTGTATATCGTTCCACCTCCAAAAGCTAAAGGAAATGATGAGTGGGACTTGCCAAGTTTAGATGAATGCAGAGCTTTCAACAAGGAACTTTACGGTTTAAAGAACTTACCTGAGTCTAGAAGGCAACAAATCGAGACCGCTATCCACAACAAGAACTTGAAGGTAGATGATTTCGATTTATCCAACGACCTTTCTAAGTTGAATTTCTCTATGCATATTGGTGACGATTCTGATGAGGGTAAGGCCAAGACTTTGTTCTACGGTGGTAGACAAGCAGCCTTAGAAAGTGCTGGTGATGATTTGGATCGTGAGTTTTTCAAGATGAATGGAGTGACAGGCAAGCTCAACACTCCCTTCCACAAGAAGGACGGCGAATCAAAGAGTGGAAAAAAGCATAACAAGAAGAACAAGAAGCAGGAGAAGAAGGTGAGAGTAGTGGGCTATTAATGATTATTACTAATGATTAATGTATATTACGGTCGCAATGCGGTCAGTGAGACCATATTTAGTGTTGAATACATAGGGCTTATAGACCGTTGTAATATGGGTATGGATGAACAGTGTAGATTGACGTAGTTCCAAAGTCAGCACTTGTGGAATCCACTCCTATGGATTACTCGAGACGAAGACTAGTTAGTATCCAGAGTGCTCTAGTAATTTTTTTTGCCTTGCATCACCAAAAGCCATCGTACGTACTGTTGCGTCATCCACAAGCCAACAATAAACTACTCGAGTACTTCTACATCAGAAATTATTCAGAAATTATTTATTAGTACATATACAGCACGTTTAGTAGATTCTGAAAGATGGACCCATGGTGGACTTGATGACCAAGGAACCGACGTTTTGCCAGTTCTTCTTCAACAAGGAAACCAAGAAGTTGGAAGCCATCATGATTTGGTTAACCAAAACATCTTGTTCCATCTCAACGTGACCAACGGCAACAGCCAAACACAAGACCTTCTTCAATTGGAACTTGATGGTAGACTTAACATCTTGAACCTTGGAGTACAAGTCATCGTTGTGGGAGACTGGGGTTGGGAACTTACCGGCCTTGGACAAAGTTGGACCTAACAATCTTGGGATTTGCTTGATCAAGACTTCGGAAGCGATGAAAGCGTTGTACTTCTTGGCCAACTTCTTGATCAACTTCTTGTTCTTGTTCAACTTCTTCAAGTCATCGACGGACATGGCATCAACACCAACAGACTTAGCTCTGTCAACATCGAAAGCATCACCAAAAATACAGATGGTCATGTTTGGTCTTGGGACTTGAGGCAACTTCAAGGTACCAGAGAAACGCTTGTCTCTTTGAGGGTCGTAGTTCTTCAAACCGACTTGCAATTCGACGGTTTCCAAGAAGTTTCTCTTCTTGGTCTCGGTGGAGAATTCCAACAACTTTTGGACATTCTCACGAACGTGGGAACTAGTGATCTTAGACATCTTGACTATTGATGGTCTCCCAAATTAACTTGGTAAATTACTGATTCGACGAGGATGGTGAAATTATTTCGGGGAATTTCATGCCCTTTATACTACCTTCTCAGTGAAAATTTTGTGCGCAGAGATTTTCATCACGTGATATTCGTTTTCTCATTAGGGCTTGAGCCCGCGACAGCTAGCTTGTCGCACTCCAGTGCGACATTGCTGCAACAACGACATCAGAAACACGTCTCCACTGATAACAGACTATCGGACGTGTGGGTGGCCCCAGCATTGCAAGCAGTATGATATGTGTCCAGCGGATCCATGTGCGTTTGCTTTCGAGGTCTCTGGTGCGGTTTGCCCGAGGCTCGGAGATAGGCAATGAAAGGATCAAGAATCCCTCTACCAACAAGGCCACAACCAGACAACAGCGCATCGATGCCATCAACATGAGGACACAGTCCAAGTTGTTCAAGGTAGACAATGAGTTTGCTATTTTTGATCATTCGGTACAAAAGGTGCTTGATTTGGGATGTGTTCCCGGCAATTGGATGGCGTACTCTAAGTTTCGGTTGTGCCAGTTGCATAATTTACAAGAGGAAAACTTCAATGAAAAATGCCACATTCTAGGGTTCGACTTGTTATTTGGTACCCCGCCTCCAGGTGTGTCCTTAATCCAAGGTAACATCTTTTCGAAGATGGCTCACGAAAACATATTGACACACTTCAAAGAAATAGCATTGAGAGACTTGGATCGAAACACCAAGATAGAAGAAACAGACTTTAATGACCTGTACTATTACAAAGAGCAGCACGAGACTGCACTAGAGCAAGAAATAGACCGTTTGGCCAAAAATATGGGAAGACTCTCCGTGGTAGATATTCCTGCTGAAGTTGTGCACCAGGGAAAATTGAAAAGGAACCAATTGTTACAATCCATAGAATATAGACCAGACTTGATTCTTTCGGATCTCGGAAAGCCCTTCATGCAGCAAGATGGGTTCTTCAACCAAACCAACAGTCGCCCTTATCAGAGATACCATTTGAATGATTCACTCAATCGCCCAACCCATGAGCCTTTGAAGTCATCCATTGACTTGGCTGATGCTTCTTTATTCTTATGCGGTAACGTTTTGAAACCAAAAGGCACCATGGTGTTAAGATTAGCAAGGGTAAGTCCATCCGATCCTGAACTTTCGTTATTGCATTCTCGTCTCGAATCTGTGTTTGGAACCGTAACGAAATGGAGCAACGAAACTAAAATTAAAGATAACGTTGATGAAGACGAAATATTCTTCATATGTAAAGACAAACGCAAAGACAGCGAATTTGACTTGAAGAAAATGTTCTACCTTTAATGCATCACTGCACCATGTCAAAGCCTAGGCGTCATAGACTTCAGCTGCAACCATTCAATATCGCACAATATCATTACGGCTGGACCGGAATACGACTAATAAATGAACAATGTTTATGAACATAAGGAACTATAAAAACCTAACTTTTCGTATAAATCGCTGGAATGTAGATGAAATCTTCAAGATCGCTCATCGTATAATTCTCCAGACTTTTGTAATTCTATTTGGCTCCTTAATTAATTTTCAGCTTCTTCCTCCGCTGCTGCTTCTTCGAATTTTTCTTCCTCTTCTTCTTCCTCTTCCTCCTCAGGCTGTTCGACGACTCCGTTGGCTTCGCTTTCAACAACACCATTAGCTCCGTTTTCGTCTGCGAGCTCAATAAGAGGAGCAGCAGCTGCGTCTTCTTGAACATTCAAGCTGGAAACGTCTTCAATCAACCTTTCGATGATCTTGTCCTTATTCTTCTTTTCCAATTTCTGTTTCCATTCAGCAATGGCCTTCTCAACCTTGTCCTTACCCAAAGAGTAGTTGACTGCAAATATAGAAGCTTCGGTGTATCTTTCACTCTTGATCAACAACTCTAAGCATCTGTCCTTATTACCAGCTAACCACAAAGCTTGGAATGCTAAGTTATATTTACCGTTGGATTCACTTTCATCTGCCAATCTGGTAAGCCCTTCCTTGTTGTTTGAAGATGATAAGAGTAACAATAAAGATGAGTAGTCACTGGCCAACCAGAAACAATCTTCAGCTAATTTTATTTGCCATTTAGTCAAAGCCAAGTCACCCAACTTCTTCCATCTGGATGCATTAGACAATGTAGTCGATGGGTTTTCTTTTTGATTGGTAGACAACAACTCGTATGCTTGTGATAAGTTATTGGTTGAAAGGGAAATTTGGAACTTACTGTCGAAATCCTGAGATAACGAATATGATAAAGACAAGTATCCCAACTTTTCGAAGAATCTTGATAATTGGTTAGACTCAGTCTTAGAGAAACCATTGAAAATAGAAACATATTCTTCGGATAAGTTTTCGAAGCTGATGCTAGATAAGTCGGGTACTTCTTCCTCAGTTTCTTCGTCTTGTATAGTCTTAGAAGCAAATTGTTCTAAGTCACCACGCATGACTAAAGTTTGTAATTCCAATACTTCAGAATTAACAAACCAGGAAATAACATTGAATGATTTGTCAATTAAGTACAACTTACCTTCTTGTGCCTTGTAACCGATAATGTAGTACTTGTGATCAAAGTGGCCCAAATTTATCACTTCACCACCAACAAAGTAGTTCAATCTGTTTGTACTTGAAGTTGTGTAAACGAAGACATCACCAATGAATTTACCTGATAAGATGGATTCAGAAGTTGGCAAGGTATACAAGACATCGAAAGTGGATTCTGCTCCTTCTTCGGGGTCCAATTCGTCTGCAGCCAAGGCTTCTTCAAATACTTGATGGTTGTAACTCAAAAAGTAGACTTCATCGTTCTTCTTTGAGGCACCGGGAGCGTTATTCTCGCCAACACTGGTTGAAGTAACAATAGCAACCAATTCACCGTTGTCAGACCAAACGACATCCAAAATATCTTCATCTATGTCAACTCTTCTCACCAACTTACCATGTTCCCAATCGTAGAATGATATACATCCTTCAGACTTAACACCTAACAAGTATCCAGTAAAGATCTTTTCAGCCTGGTAAATTAATTCAAGAGTGGTATGTTCCTGGAAGTTTTTGAAAATCTTAACAGACAACTGGGATTCTCTGATGGCATAAGAACAGGTGTTTGAAACATCATGAGAATTCCAACTGAAATCGAGAGCATTACCGTAAGCTTTAGATCTCCATGCCAATGAGGTGTAAACAATATACTCCCCATCACCACAAACAGCAGCATAACGACCGTTTGGTGAGTGTGCCAAAGATTGCGGGTATATTTCAATAGAGCCCAATTCTCTTTGTTGTAAAGATAATGATTCACCATCTTTCAAACCCTCAGTGGAATTGGGTTTAAGAATAGATTGGAACACTTCGGTGTTCTTGGCATAGATAAGCTTGTTATTAGAATCCATGGAGAACAAAGGTTCTTCGTTACCTAACTTGATGATAACAAAACCGGAATCGAAACCAGCGGCCACAAGGTTGGACTTTGGTAACATACTGATACACCAAGCTCTCTCAAGACTGTAGTTGATGGACTTTTCCAATTTGAAAGTGTTGGAGTTCCAGAATCTGATGGTACCATCCTCAGAACCAGAGACGATCAAAGGAAGCTCAGGATGGAAAATGGCGAAGGAAACATTGGACAAGTGACCTTCTAATGTAGCCACGCAGGACTTGGTTTGGTAATCCCAGATTTTGATGGTCTTGTCGTCGGACGTTGTTATCAAGTATGGCTTGTCGGCCTGTGGGTAGTAATCAACGTAGTTGACACCCTTCGTTTCGTGGGCAACGAGGGTGAAGTTTGGCTGAGAGGAGCCCAAGGACCAGATCTTGACGGTTCTATCCAAACAAGCAGATGCAAAGGTGTTTGGATCCTTTGGGTTGAAGTTGACACTCATGACATAGTGCTGATGGCCTTCAAACACCTGTTCCAACTTCCAGTTGTTGTCCCAATTCCACAACTTGATGGTCAAGTCATCAGAACAAGTTAAGATGTAGGGCTTGGATGGATGGACCGAGATCCCTCTGATGTAATCTGGATGAGCTTCGAATTGGGTGATCTTTTCTCCGGTGTTGTAGTTGTAGACTCTGATCTGGAAATCATCAGAGCCAACCACAATCCAATTCTTACGAGCAATGAATTTTCCGGTTCTTACTGGCAACTCAGTGACCTGGATAGACTTGACAAGCGAGTTGGTGGCATAAGACCAGATTTCAATCTTACCATTATACAACGTGGTCAAGATCCATGGCTCGGTAGGGTGGAAGTCAATGCCCTTGACCCTGTCTGAACGGGTCGAAAACTGTTTTACCACGTCCAATTTCATTAGGGGAGTTGGTGGTGGTGGTGGTGGTGGGCGACGAATGTTGTGAAGTTGACACGCTCACGGATGAAAATTGGGCGGGGCACGCCTGATCCACTGCCAGGTGGGATCCCGATCCAGCGAGATTGGTGAGGAGGAATTGGCTGTGGGAAAAACAGGTCTAAAACTGTAGGACGCGAAGTAGGCTATCGGGAGTGGTGTTGTAGGTAATATTTTGGATGGGTAGTTTTTTTGGGGGGATTTTCTTCTTGAAATTTTATGTGGTGCAATTATTGGTAGAGTTTGAAAGGTTGGAGAACGCTGTGGCCTGCTAGAAGGGTCCTGCAAATTGTAGTTGGGTGGAATTGAAAGATTTTTGCTTCCAGTTGCCTCATTCAAGAGAGTGGTAATTAATCTGACTCTGAAATCAATAAATCTTGATGGTGAGAACACTACGAAGCAGGTTGCAGACCTATTTGAAGGTTATTCTAAGCTCTGGTTCAACCTGACCATTGCGAAAATTGTATCTGGAATCGTAGAGGGTGCTTTTTACTTATCTACAGCATTTCTATCTATCCTAACACAAAAATTCGACAAAAGGCAATGAATTAATGTATTACTGGCTGTATTGGCTCGCCTGAGCGGTCTAACTAATGTACCTGCTCTACGCGTGGTCTCTTGTCCTCTCTATAAGTCTTCTCCAAGGTCTCTAATGCCCCAATGTACTTCATCCACTGGACATCGAAGGTCTTGTTGGAGAATTTCTCCAACACCAACAGGGCCCCATTAGATCTCATTTCCGCCAATATGTCCTCCGATATCAACTCTCTATTTGTAATGAATAACCTGGTGAGCAAGTTGGAAAAACTTGGGAATTCAAGTTTCTTGTCTTGATATTCGAAAACGAGATTCTCATCCTCTGCAACCTGGATCGATGGGTCGAAATCAGGGTCCAATTCACTCTTGAAGAAAAATCCGGTATCATTATACCAGTCCTGTTCTTGCTTATCTTTGGCCCAGGGAGTGACGATATCCAAGTATGGACCAGCCGAAGCGTGACAAAGCGGGATCACTCTTCCCAAGTACTCAACAACACCAATTCCAAAATGCTCGTTCCACATACCGTTTAGTCCAAACTTGGCCTTGGCTAACCATTCCACCACTTCATCGTACGAGCAATCCACTACGAACTCAACGTACTCGGTCAATTCTAACTCGGCCACTCTGTTCTTGACACTAACAAGAGTAGCAGTATCGTCTGAAGTACGGCAACTGCCTAAGAAAACTATGGTAGGGAGCTCTTTGATTGGGCTCTTGGATTGTTTAAACTTGGACAAGAATTGGTGGTATTCATTGAGGATCAACAAATGGCGTTTCTCGGGTCTAAATTGAGCAATGTACAACAACTTGTTTTCTTTGGGGGCATTCGGGGCAGAAAGAGGAAGGTTTTCCGTACCACAAGGAGGGTAGAGGATTTCCATCTTATTTCCTATTCCTCTATTGAGCACAAAGATGCTCTCGAGATGGTTGTAAGTCCAGGTTCCGTTGGTTAACACGATGTCTACCAAGGACCCTAAGTAGGTGTAGAAATAGTACAACGCTGACCAATATATGAGCTTGGCTGCGTCCTTGACGTCACCTACGGATCTGGCTCCAATGATGTCTTTGAGATGCTTGAATTTCAATTTGTTGAACATATCATTTTGGATGATGGGATAGTGGACATACGCCAAGATCGGCACCTTGAGGATCCACAGTGCAGGGATGTACGAACCAGGCAAGCCAATGGTATCGATCCACACGTCGGGAGATAACTCGAACATGGCCTCCAAGGCCAAGAGAGCAGCGCCCCATAACTGGCCTACCATGGTGAGACGTTTCCAGTACTGGCCGTCGATAAGATGTCCAAAACGCCTCAAGTAGACGAAGAGCACCCTCCGGGAGTCAAGGTCGGTGATTTGGAACTTTTCTTCTGCCTTCTTCAAGATATCCAATGGCTCGGCGTCTGTATTGGTGGTGTAGATGACAGCAATGTTCTTCTGATCAGCGACCAATGTGGCCTTGACTGCCTGCCACAACACCCGCTCGCCACCACCTCCGTTGTTGGCGTAGGGATGGAAGAACCCGTAGAGAATCCGACGGTTGGGATCATTAACGTCTCGGCGACGCATTTCGGTGAGGAAGTCCTCATTGTAGTCGCTGGGGCAGACCTTGAGCTTGTTGTTGACGTAGTTGGTGTAGAACGAAGGCTGCGAGCTGGCTAGCACGAGACGTCTTCTGTAGCTGGATCTCTTGTGTCCTACTTGGAGGTAGATGGGCTTGGAGTATTCAATGACCGTTTTGATCTTGTCTTGCCAATTTGTGGGAGGAACAATGAGATAATTGGGGAGCACCGACGTGAGCACCTTGTAGGCGAAGTACACGAGGGCCAATGACCCGAAGAGAAGATACATGGTGAAGAAAGTGTCGCGTGGAACGATAAGAAATGGAGGGAGATAAAGTAGTGGTGACACGTGACTACAGAAGGTCAGAAGACAGGGTTAGCTGACTAGGACTGCTTCTCAGTTGGCTTAGTGACGAGTGATGGCCAGCTAAGGATGGAAGAGTCAAGAAGTAGGAGGTATGGGAATAGTGAAAAAAATACAGTGGTTTTTGAGAGCCAGAATGGGGTTCCGCAGCTAGTAAAGGCTTTATTTAAATTTTCAGCATTATTTAATTAGTAGCCGTTGGGGTATGGTGATGAAATAGGGATACTCACGAGTCTGTACTGGCATCATTATTTGTAGGAGGTTCAATTTAGCTTGTTCATATAGTTTTTTGATCTCTTACTGCGGAGTCTTCTCAGGCAAATTATTTAGGTCATTGTGTATTCGTGTATCAGCATGGTTGAGGTTTGTAGAAAATAGTGTTTCTAGTGTTTTTCATTAAAAGGTTTAAATGTGCAAAAGTGCATCGCCTTCATTCTATCAAATAATGCTTATTTGTATCTAGGCAAATTGCATAAGTATGTAATTATGTCTGAATTCAACAGTTAAAGATCAGTCCAAACCACTGAAGAATTAACAGCTGATACACTATAATTTGCACGGTAAACCAACATCTTTGAGTCCTCGTAAATAATTAATCAAACACTGCAATTGTACCGCTGCCACCCTCCAGGAATTATGGTCTATTCAGTTGTGGAAACACCAGTTCTGCCCGAAGCCCATAATCACCACAGACCTCGCCTTGTGGCCCAGAAGTTTTGCTATTATTATTATTACTATTTAATTCATTACTAATTAACACTTTTATAGGATTGGCAGTGCATTTTCTGAATGTAACTGATTTCCAACAACTACTGATTCGTTTCAAACATTTTCGACCAGTTTTCAGAGTAAAGTAGAGTTCACTCTAGCCATCTTGTGCCGGTGCACAAGTCAACCCCCTGGGGCATTTTTCTGAAAGAATTCGGAAACTCCCCCACCAATGCTCGTAATGAATTCTCGCAATTGGCTATTGTGAGACATCTTCCCGGCCCCTTCCACCGCAGGTCTGGATATGGCCTTATCTACCAGCTATCCCTGCGCGCAACGCCCCAAACCAGAATTTTCCTGCCCCCACGAGGCCAATGGGACATGCCATGGGAGGACTGAAAGACGGAGGAACACCCGGAGTGACGCCCCCACGGGCGTGTGTCATCCTTCTGCCATTTCCTGATGACACATTGCAGATCCACTATTGTCGTCTCTGCTTCTGGCGCATCTCCGATATGCCCTTGCCGCACGTGAGGTTCTCTGCTAGGAGCAGCCCCTGCGAAGCCTGCTTCCCAATCGGGGTAAATTGAATTACGCGTACTTCAACAACTCTTCTCCAACTACACAACCCCAGTAGGCTTGCTATCGTCTGGATATATTACTGGACCAGTCCGTGCGTTTTCTGCCCAGCACTAGCCGCCATTTCTAGCACGTTTTCTTCCCTGCCAAATCCGCCATTTCCACCACCCTGCCAACGATCGCCCCAGTGTCGTATCCCCCAGGCCCCTCTACCTCCCGGCCCAACATGAGCAGAGAATCCGTATCCACCACCATCACCCAGGCTCCAGAAGACTTCAACAGCGTCGGAGCTCCCGTCAAGCTCAAGACCCCGTTGAAGAAGGAGGAGTTGGAGAAAATCGCCAAGCAGCTCAAAAAGAAGTTGTCCAAGGCCTCCATCACCGCCAAACAGTCGTTTTCGCCCGGCAAAATGGTCGCTTCTAGTGTGGCGTTGCCCAAGTCGAGTCCCTTGAAGAGCTATGCCCTCAAGAAGCTGTTGGGGTCCTCGCCCATAGGCGCAGGCCTCTTGTCGTCGTCCCCCAATAACTTGTACTCGCCCAACGGCAAGTCCCCAACACACATCCGCACCCCAGCCGCAATCTACCTCTCGTCCTCGCCGTTGAAGAACATCGCTGCAGATGACACCGAGGAAGAAACCATGGACTCCCCCACCAAAAGGAGGAAGTCGTCTCCGTTGAAGGAAAAGGCACCCCAGATGATTCTCGAAGAAATCTCCAGGCCCAACACGCCATCAAAGCAGTTTCCAGCGGCTTTGAAGCCTTCGTTGGAGTTGACAGCATCCAAATCAGAAAACAAGCACAAAGAATCGCCCCAGCAAACCACCCCCACCCTTCTTAAGCGCGAGTTGAGCGTGAACACCACGCCCAACGTACTTCTCAAGACCCCCACCCAACCCAGACCGTCCGCCAACGACAGCGGTGCTTACAATGATGAGGAAGGTGCCGATTTGCTCATGTACTTGGCAACTTCACCTTCCCCAGCAAAGCCATTCTTTTCAAATACTCCCAGAGCCATCAACATCCACCACCCGATCAACTCCTCCGCTCCAACTTCCGCGGGCTCCTTTCCCATTTCGCATAAACCCACTGCCTCTACCGGCTCTACTGGGTCCTTCATTGCACCTCCTCCAGTGACCCCAAAGAGACACGGGAACACCTCCACCAGAACCCCGCAGAATAGACTCACTCCCTCGATGAACTTGTTCAGTAACTTGATCAATGGCAACCTGGGTTTGCCTTCTTCTGGTTTAACTCTTACCCCTACTGGATTCAATATGAATGATTATGTAAATTTCTTCACTCCATCCCCTGGAGGTGCCAACATCCACAGTGCCCAAAACAAGAACTTGTTGCGAACTCCTGATTTCAACAACTTGATCAACAACGCCAATTCGGCGTCGGCAAACTCAGAAAATGTTGCCAATGGGTTACTTGGAAAACCCAAGGTGGATGGCAAAATACTCAATTTTAATAAGGTCCTTTTCGGAAATGGCCCAGGATCTGAGACTCCAAAAGAGTAATTACTAATGGTCTTCAGTTCTTGGGTGTATTTCTAATGTTTTGTTCCTGTATTATATTAATAAATTAATGTCTAGAATACTTGTAAGAATAATTTTATGGTAGTTTTCATCCCAGTCACACCAACCATGTCTGGTACCCGTTTTGGGTGGCTGAATTGATATTTAACTTTGAATGAAACTTCCAATTCCCCAAATTTTTACAATTTTCTGAAATTATTCACAATAACGAACTACTAATTTGCACCCACTTTCTCAACTTAAGATTGTATCATAAACATCTGAAAACAAGATAAAGTTTGTAGATCTCGCCAACTAAGACAGCGGGCTCGGCTTCTGACTCAAGGAATCTACATGCAACCACAGTCACTCCAACTATGAGCACGTTATTGTGAATATTGCACCCAATATCACACTTTTTCCTGTTGATGACAATTGGGCGGAATACTAGCTATTAGAATAGCCCAAGATCTCAAAGGTTACTTCACGTCAACTACTCTTGATTCCCTAAGCCTTTAATCGTCCCTCAAAAGGTTGCCACAACATTTATACTATGGGCAATGTTGCCACAATACATTTCAGGGCTTCTCAATGGTTCCATCTAGCATTCGGGAGATTCCAGAGAAGAAACGCCGAGACCCATCGTATCCACCTAGACAAGTATCCCAAACCCGAGCTTTATCTCCCAGAGTGGCAAAAAATCTCTTGGTTATTCCAATTTACCTCTACCATCCACCTGGTAGCACCTCGAACCCATTGGTCATTATGCCCCTGTTCTCCGAAACTCTTCCTCTAGATCGATGACCTCACCAGCTGTAACACAGTTGGATCTCTTGCGGGGGATCATTTCGCCATTCTCCTCCTCCCATCCTACCTATGCCAATCACCATCTACCATTAGCACCATTGCTAATTCGCACCAGGCTCCATCGGACTTTTGGTCCCCGCCATTCGAGGCTTACCAGCTCAGTACTGGCCCAGTTCAGCTCTCAGCAGCCTCCTCAGACGTACCGACGGTACGTGTTCGTCCATTCTTCCTGCCGTCACCAGCCTCGCCAGCTTCTTCAGCCAAAGCCCCTAACGTCCTGTTCTCTCCCTACGCCTACCCCTACTTTTTTCTCGCTGCGGTGTAAAAAATTTACATCCCTATACCATGTCTCTAGAACAGGCCCCAGAAGTGCCCAGCGTCAGCGACCTCAAGCTCACAGAGCCTGTAGAGGCCGAGAAGCCAGTGGAAGCCACTGGCGAAGCAGACTCCGCCGATGCCGACAAAAAGAAGAAAAAGAAGAACAAGAAGAAAAAGAAGCTCACCAGCATAGACTCGCTGTACCCAGATGGCGTGTTCCCAGAAGGTGAATGGCAAGAGTACCCTCTCGAGATCAACAGCCACAGAGTGACCTCGGAAGAGTTGCGGTACTTGGACCGCCAGCAGAACAACAAGTGGGAGGATTTCCGTAAGGGAGCCGAGATCCACCGTAGAGTGAGAAGAAAGGCCCAGTCATCCATCCAACCAGGAATGGCCATGACTGACATCGCCAACATCATCGAGGACTCGGTGCGTGCCTACGCTGCTGCGGACCACACCTTGAAGGCGGGAATTGGCTTTCCTACGGGGTTGTCGCTCAACCACGTAGCCGCCCACTACACCCCCAACGCTGGCGACAAGCTTAGCTTGGGTAAGGACGACATCATGAAGGTGGACATTGGTGTTCACGTCAACGGACGCATCTGTGACTCTGCTTTCACCATGACTTTCAACGACACTGGCAAGTACGACGCCATCATGGAGGCAGTCCGTGAGGCCACCAACACCGGGGTCAGGGAGGCCGGGATTGACGTGAGATTGAACGACATCGGTGCAGCCGTGCAGGAGGTGATGGAGTCGTACGAAATGGAGGAAAACGGCAAGGTGTTGCCCATCAAATGCATCAAGAACTTGAACGGACACAACATCGGTGACTTCATCATCCACTCGGGCAAGACGGTGCCCATTGTGGCCAACGGCGACATGACCAAGATGGAGGAGGGCGAGACCTTTGCCATTGAGACGTTTGGCTCTACCGGAAATGGGTACGTGCTTCCCGAGGGCGAGTGTTCCCACTACGCGTTGAACCAGAACATCAGCGACCTCCGTCCTCCCACCGAACGGGCCCTGCAGTTGTTGGCCAACATCCAGCAGCACTTTGGCACCTTGCCATGGTGTCGTCGGTACTTGGAACGTACTGGAGAGGACAAGTACTTGTTGGCGTTGAACCAGTTGGTGCGGACGGGGATTGTTGAAGACTACCCTCCTATTGCCGACATCAAGGGCAGTTACACGGCCCAGTTCGAGCACACCATCTTGTTGCATCCACACAAGAAGGAGGTGGTGACCCGTGGAGACGACTACTAGTGAGTTAGCAAGCACAGGGAAAGTCTGGCTGATAGGAGAATGATCTAGGAGGACGATGACTCGTTCATAGGAGCATTATCGGCTGTTGGTGATGAATAGGTATGAATCGACCTGTTGCAATGGTTAAATACCATGTAAAAATCAGGTCCAATCACTAGTGTAGGAATATGAGTTGACTAGTAAGTAATGAATAGGAGCCTGAATCGACTAGTATAGCATGACGTTATTCGATTCGTTACATGCCACTTTGTCTTCAATTCTTGTTCGAGCATCGCCTCGAAATCATCTGTAATACAGCCCAGCCGTAGCCCCGTAGCCGTTCCAATCAACCCCACCACCCGTCTGTGGGCCTCTTGTGGCATACTCATGTCCGATCATGTGACCGGAAAACATCCCAACAAGACGGGTGCCATGCCGGGCGCGGTGTGGGGCCCGTACGTCACTACTGCCGGATCTGGCATTACCATCTTCGCTGCACATGATAGCAAGGGAGGGGTTCTTGTGCCTGCCTGTGCTGCACCGGATGTTCGCCAGCATGACCGAGCATGGCTTGTCAGATCTAGCCATGTGATCAGCACCCCCACCGGAACTCGTCCAGACCCAGCCACTGATGCCGCCAGCTAAATCTGGCAGTTGCACCCTCAGCAACCACCTCATTCTGTCCCTAAACTCCCTAGCCTCCCTAGCCTCCCTAGCCTCGCTGGCCATCCTCTCTAACCCACGCCCACTCCGTCACTAGCCTCGCTGGCCCCACCCCGCCGTTAGGCGACTCCGCCAGAGTAAAGGCGACCTTATCGCGTATTTGCTCCTGCACACCGCCAACCCCCCGTTATAGGAAAAATTTTCAGGGAACAACATTTATAACCGGCAGTGTTTCTCACCACAACATTTACACACAAACCAGGCGACCGCAAGCTCTCCACTGAAATCCATTCCCGTTAATTGGCCCCAGGTGAATTGACTAATTGACTGATTGATTGATCCCTCCTCGTCCGCCGTCCTCCCGATTGATTGCCGTCGTGTTTGTTAAAGCCACCGTGTTATAGATCAGTGCCAAAAATTCAGAATGGAAGTCTCCCCCAGCACATTGGAGTTCAGAGGTATGTAGCATCGCCACCAGAACCAGGACCCAGTACTAACATCCAGGAACCTTCACCAAGCAAACCACCGAATACTTGAAGTTGACCAACACGGCCAAGTCGCCACTTGCTTTCAAAGTCAAGACCACCGCGCCCAAGCTCTACAGTGTCAGACCCAACGCCAGTATCGTCCAACCTGGCGAATCAATCGATATCTCCATCAACTTACAGGGCTTCTCCCAACCCTTGCCTAAGGACTACAAGTGCAAGGACAAGTTCTTGTTGGTGTCGTTGCCATGTCCCGAGTTATCGGACGTGTCCAAGGTCGGCGAGGTCTGGAGTGAGTTGGAGGCCAAGTACAAGCCCCAGGTGGTCTCCAAGAAGTTGAGAGTCAACTACGTCATCACCGACTCCGACGACTCCAGCGCCTCCCACACCACCAACGGTAACGGCCTTTCCGAAGGCGACATCACTCACATCAACCAAACCGTGATAAATGACGCTTCTACCGCTCAAGCCACCCCTATCAAGCAATCCAACGGCATTGCCGCCAGTGGTGCTTCCAGATTGAGACAGGAAGACTACGACACCACCCATGACAGAACCATCCAAGGTATCGACGCCACTCCTCGCGCTGTCCCACCATCCCCACCAACTGCCCAAGCCCCACCAGTCCCACAAGTGCACCAAGCTCCAGCCCACACCGAAAAATTCGACGAAAAGGCTCCAGTTCACACCACTACCACCACCTCCTCCTCGCAAGTGGCTGCTTCCGAGCCAGCCAACACCATCTCAATCCAATTGGCCGCGGTCTTGGTCATTCTCGCTTTCCTCCTTGGTTGGTTGATCTTCTAATTGCTGATTTCATCCTATGCGGGCCCGTTTCCTCCATTATGAATCTCTCCTCGATAGCCATGTATCATTAGACGCAACCAATCCAATCGATGACCTTACGCGACCTTGTTGTCTTTATTTCTCTGATTGTTTTGTTAGTCCGAATATTCGTATACTTTGTCCTCCGTAGTGAGCTAGCGACCACAGATACAAGAGGTGTCTGGTTGCTGAACAGTTGCACAGTACTTTGAAATTTACTGAACAGTTCTACATAGTACTCTGGAAAATTCGATAACTGAACATCTCTTTAATTGTACACGACAATTGGTTCAATAAGTGAACAGTACTACACAATACTATGAACTACGTATGATACTTGATTTATTTTCCTTGGAACGGTATTGAGCATTAGTAGATTGGTAACGTATTTTCAGGAACTGTTAATAACCAGCAAAAATTCATGGAACTCCACTATTAGCGAGTTGTGCTTTCTGTAGCTGTAAGAAAATAGTCAAGATAGAGTTTTAAGCCCCTCCTACTTTATCAGGATTTCACTACTGTTCAATCTTGGTACCAGTGAAATTATGGACTAGTAGCACAATTAAGTAAGAACATGAAGGACATAATTATTTTCATCTATATTTTAGTGCTTAGTTTTGCATTTAATAGCTTGCCAAAATTCAGAATATGCTGGCTAGACTAATGATGGTTCTGGTTATTGCAAAAGTTATACACGGGTAGTTTATACGTTCAATTTGAAGGATCTTTTTCTACTCAAGACCCTGGAATTACTATAACTGAACAGTTCATAATTGTATACGAAAATCGGTTCGATAACTGACTGTAGTTAACTGCAGATTACTCTGGAATTCGAATATTCTTTCGTCTTTCTAATCCACCACAGTAGCACACTAATCGCATCACGTGCGCGCACCTCTGTGTTTTCAGCCAAGACGGGAATACCAATACCGGTCAGCACAGGCACACCACAAACACCTCCAAGCCCTCCACGCCCTCCACGCCCCACCGTCTTCTCACCGTCGCGTCTCAGCTTCTCACAATGGGTACAGCTACTATAAAATCGGGGTCCATCAACCTCCTCAACACCATCATTGGCGCAGGAATTCTTGCCATGCCATTTGGGCTCAAGAGCAACGGGTTGCTTTTGGGATGCTTGTTGATCGTCTGGTCGTCGTTGACGTCCTCATTCGGGTTGTATTTGCAGAACAAAGTGGCCAAGTACACCCAGCAGCAAGGAGCCATTTCGTACTTCAGTTTGGCTCAGATAACCTACCCCCACTTGTCGGTGGTTTTCGACTCGGCCATTTCCATCAAGTGCTTTGGTGTAGGGGTCAGCTACTTGGTGGTGATCGGTGACTTGATGCCCAAGATCATGGAGAGCTTGCACGTCGCGGAAGAGTCGTTGTTGATGCACCGCAACTTCTGGATCACTCTCTTCATGGCCGTCATCGTGGTTCCGTTGTCGTACTTGAAGAAATTGGACTCCTTGAAATACACCTCGGTTGTGGCGTTGTTCTCGGTAGTGTATTTGATCTGCTTGGTCATCGAGCACTATGCCGTCAACGACATCCCTATTGAGAACAAGACCATCACCTGGTTTGGTCCCGTGTCCTTGAAGTCCACCCTCAGCTCGTTCCCCATCTTCGTGTTTGCCTACACCTGCCACCAAAACATGTTTGCCATTATCAATGAGTTGAAGCCGCTGGACAAACACGGCTCCACCACCAGACAGTCCAATTTGATTATCAGAAACGCCATCACCACCGCAGCTGCTTCGTACTTGATCGTGGGTATAATCGGATACTTGAGTTTTGGAGACTCGGTCAATGGTAATATCATCACCATGTATCCAAGAGACTCGATCCTGTCTCTTATTGGCCGTCTTTGCATCGTTATCATGGTCAGTTTGTCTTTCCCATTGCAATGTCACCCATGCCGTGGCTCCATCAACCACGTTCTTCACTTCCTCACTGTAGGTATCACGTCCTCCAAGACTAGATCTACCCACCAGGCCCAAGGCTACACGTCATTACAGTCAGACATCGAGTCTTTGAACTCAATCACCAGCGAGTCTATCCAGGACGAATCTTTTATCTCCACAACCCCAGTGGAAGGTGCCCAGGATACCGATGGCCACTCACCTATTATTGTCCCTTTGACCACCAAGAGGTTCTACGTCATCACCACCATCATTGTTACCTTGTCCTACTTGGTGGCTATTACCGTCACATCTTTGGAACATGTGTTGGCTTTTGTTGGATCCACTGGGTCCACCTCCATTTCGTTTATTCTTCCAGGTTTATTTGGCTACTTATTGATTAAGCCAATAAACGGCGCCACAGAATTGAATAGATTGGAGCTTTGTTGCAAGTATGGAGGCTTGGCTTTGGCTATCTGGGGTGTTATTGTCATGATTGTATGTTTAGGTGCTACAATCTTCTTGGGTGCAACTCATTAATCGTCATTCCAAGTACAAACTTGCGGGCAACTTAATAGTTCATACAATACTATATTACATAATATACACTAAAATACATACTTGATTGTATTTGAAAATCTTCAAATAGATTCAAATTTCTGATCATCAAAACTCATGCGTTCGATGACTGTTTGTTCAATCAAGCTGGCATAGCCAAGTTCTTGCAAAATATCCTCTTTCATAATTGCAGCGTCAACAGCATTCCTGTTCCTGATTATATGGCCCTCGACTTTTGCCTGCTGCCAATAATCGGTCAACTGCGCCCAATCAATGGTAAACTTGAGACGAAGCTTGTAGTCTCTCAAAGTATTATAATAAGTCAATTGGAATGCCAACTCTTGGCCTGACACAATAGGTTCGATCGGGTATTTGAGACTTAACTTGTACACATCAATATCAAGCTCTTTGAATGAATTCCATGATTTCACAAATGATTTGAAGTTTTGCACATTCAGGAAATTAGACGGAACTACTTTTTGATTAACAAAAGATTCAAAAAGCCAATCAATATGAAGGTTTAAGTCCTTGAAGGGTTTAAAACTAATGCTCTGTTCAACCTTTGAACGTTTTTGGAATTTCAACCATGCAGAACTATCAAACAAGAAATGCAAAGAGTCCGAGGCAGGGTGAAAGTGAAGTCTGGATACATGTTGCAAGATCTTGAACTTCAAATTCAATACCTTAACTTCTTCAAGCTCGTATTTTCTGTTGTTGTTTACAATCGATTCCTCTGCTAGTATTTCACTTGCTAAAGTCTTTCTTATTCTGTCGTTCTCTGAAATCCTAGTTTCAAGATCATTTAAACTCTGAGTTTTCAACTTGATATCCTTTTGTAGCTGGATTAGCTCAGTAGACGACTTTGCCAAATTGCTTTTCAATTCCTGAAGCTTCTGGATATCCAACACATTCAACTGTCCTTTGAGTCTCACTAAGCTTTTTAGTTTGTCTTTTGATGAAGCATAGACCTTCAAGGCCTTATTGTATATTTCATCCACGCGTGTGATGTCCTGAGTGAAATTAACCTTGTCCTCTAGAAGTGCATTATACTTGGTCTCAAGTTCTTGGATCAAATTCACAGTTAACTGTTTTCTCCATGCATACCATGTGACCTTTGACTGATGCCGAGTAAAATCTTTGATAAGCTGCAACTTGACGTTCATACCAGCTCTTTCTTGAAAGTTGTATGAGTAGTACTCCCGAAACAAAGCTGGGTTATTGGATTCTATCATAGCATTATACTCCGAGAATACCTTTTTCCCTTCTTGGATATTCTTGCTCAATTCCTCGCAGCTGAATTGGTATAGAGCAAGAAGTTCCAACTTTGAATATGCCCGCATGTAATCAGAGAGTTTGGAATCCTCTTCATCGATGCTATTTGTGGTGATACTTATTCTCTTCGTTAAGTAAACATCAATATCTAAGTCATCGTAAAATTTGATCCCAATATCTTGCATAAATTGATTCAAAGTCACTGGGACGTAATTATCATCTTCGTATTCCTCATCTTCTTGAGAATTTTCAATTGCATCCGCATCAGTTAAAGGAACTTTTGTTGTGGTAGTTATCAACCTTTGTTGGATACTTTCAGTGGAAATATTTGCTTCATTTTGATCAGGCTCATCAATTTTTGGTTTTGATAAGACTTGATTCTCTTGAGTGAGTTGCATTGGTTGCGACCCATAGTCACTAGATTGTGATGAAGGAGATTGGATGTTCTTTGAAGGATCTTTCTCCTCTGGTTCATGAAGTCCATCAGAAGTCACGGAGGACGTATGCAGTTTAATAGGCGAGGCTTCAACAATTGCCACATTTTCCTGGTCGCTACGTTCAGGTGAAGTGGCTGTGTTGGGTTCAAAAACCTGTTCTTTGGAACCTTTGCCTTCATTCTCAGTTATGTTTGATTCATCGGTTTCCTTCATGGTATCCTTATGTACAAGTGTCTCGTTGGGTATTATTGTAGAGGCGACTTGTGTAAGGTCCATAGCAGGTTCAGCAGAGTCTTGGGGTACCAATATGGTACCAGCTACTTGTGTAAACTCCATAGTTTGTTCTTCATCCTCTAGGTCAGGATGGGATTCTGGCGGTATAATTTTCTTTGGGGACTCCAAGGAGTTGGCGAGCTTCAACGATTCCAACTTAGAGTTCAATTCTTGGTTGTTTGATGTGCTGGTATTAGGGTCGTCTTGTGGGGAATGAACATTATTTTCGATCTTTGAAGAGGATTCAGTTGACAATTCTTGTGGTTCTGCTACTGGATCCGCCCCAGGGATTATGGGGGTATTTGAAGGTTGTGTGGTTTCTATCTGGGTAGTGGTTGATTTTGTAACCGACCAAATATTGGTGATATCCATCGTGACTTCGTCAGGAAAAGTCATGGGAACATTGGTGATGTCCATGGTGATTTCTTGGGCATCATCGGTGTTTTTAAGCTCCAATGGGATGGCTGGATCGACTCTTTGGGTACCCGTCAATTCCATATCGCTTTCTTCATCTGCATCTTCATCTGAGCTGGACAGACCCGGTTCTGTGGTGGCTACTGGCTGTGGACCTGGCGACAGGAGGGTATTGACACTTATCTGACCTGTTAATTCCATTGTTAATTCCTCGTTGTCCACACTTTCCAGATGCAATGATGGCCAGGCGGTGGGCACTGCAGGGTGATCCAAACTAGCGGTGAATTGCCCGGTTAATTCCATGGTTTGTTCCTCTTCTGGCACACTTTCAGCACCTGGCACCGATGTAGCTCCTTCTGGGTGTTCATCTTCAGATTCAGGTCCGTTGTGGTACTGGCGTAATGAATCCACCACCAAATCAGCCTCATTCTCGAGCTTGCTGAAGCTGTCATCTTCCTCGAGGTCCGAGCTGTCCTGGAGGAGCTCCAAACCGTCATCTGCTGGCAAAACGCCCTCTTCGGCCTCACTGCTCGAGTAGTCCTGACTGCTGGGAGGCTCTGCAATGGTCTTGCGTCGTTTGGGGTCGGAGTAGGGTACGAAATCAAACTTGTGGAGAGTCACCTCGGGGGCAAACGAGACCCGTCGTTTGTTGGCGGGAATGGGGAGCGTGTTGTCCTTGAGGATGCTCTTGGAGGGGTTCCTTGCTTTGTCTGCCATGGCTGCCGCCAGCGGGTCCTCGTTTTCTTTATCGTTCATAGGAAGAGATGTGTTGTGTTTACATGCGACGCGTTTCGGGTGGATTCTGTGATAGCCGCGGCAGATCAGGGAATAGTTAGGAGGTGGTGGTAGAGGGCAGAAGAGGTCAGAAGAGAGAAGAGGAGAGCAGCGCTCAAGGGTTGTGGTGGAGTGTTAGCTCTAAGTAGTATAGGTGTGCTTGGTGCTCTATTACGGGACGCTCTGCTAATAGTAGTCTTTATTCGCTCTTAGTTAACAGCCCAATGAAGAAAGTATGTGTTCGTATTAACAACTATCATTGAACGTATACTATTCTCTGGGCAGTGGTGGGGGGAAGGGAGAACCTCCAGTGCCCCAGCCGTTTTGGAACTTCGCTGTTGGTGGTGTGGCACGTAGTGCTGTGTTAGCAACAAAAGTGTTGATGGGTTTCGCAGCCGTGATGGACAAAGGGAAGTAAAGTCAGTATTTAACCAGCTGGAAACCGTCAGATGTGTCTACACACGGAAGCTGCCAGAATTGCAAGACTGGGAGTAATCGGGAATGCCTGAGCCACCAGGTGTAGCCAGTGAGCGGAAGTCAGACAAGCCGTAATCTGGTTTACTGCTTTACTATCAGGCTGGGGCCAAACTCACCAAATGGCTCCTAGCAGCAAGTGGTGACCTTCTACAAACAAGAATATATTCGTTCACTGAAGCTACCTGTGGGGTTCAGACTTGATGCTACCCTCAGGTCACTAACTCTATGCTACTTCTCTCCTCTCTCATGCTCAAAAGTGTTTCGTCCTCGATATCAAACTGGTTGGGGTTGTATGTTGTCAGATCGCTGATGGACTCGAACCGCAGCTGGATCAAGTTGGCGAGAACAAACCGGTCCACCAACCCGATCATAACGTGTCCGCTGCTCAGGCTGCTATCCATGATAATAAGATAGTTGAGGTGGAGCTTCTCAAACGCCTCCAAAATGAACACCACCGGGGTCAATTCATTGGACTTGATCAACAGAGTTTCGGTGGAAAGATTGACCTGCACGATCTTGCCGAGAGACTGCTCGTAGTGTAACTGCTGCGAGAGCACCGACTTAGGCAAGTTTTCGATCTGAAAGCTGACAATAGCATCAGAGCGTTCCACCGAGGCCAACTTGGTATAAAGATCCTGTTTTCTCACGTACCCTAACGACACAGGATTGGAGTGGTTCAAGATCACCGGGTATCCCTCGTGTGTGTCGTCGTTAATGAAGCTGTACAAGCTGTCTATAGTGTGTGGGACCTCAGGCACAAGCGAGATACACTTGACCTCTGCCACCGGTACCATGATGGATTTTACCTGGACATTGGGGAGCCGGCTCTTGAGAGTCGAAGTCAACCCCGTGAAATTCACCAACCCGTCTCCCTTGCCCTCATTGGGGCTCCCCCCGTCACACAGTCTATTGAAATGGGTCTTGAGCCAGGTATCATAAATGTTTTCGTTGCTCAACCAGTCATTGACGAACTTCAGGATGACTACTGACAACATGATGGGAAGTACGTACGTGATAGCACCAGTGAGCTCGAACAAAATCACCACCACCGACATCGTGAATTTGGTGATCCCCGCCATGAAGGCACCAGCTCCAATCACAGCGTATGATGAAGGTGAAACGATACACGATTTTTCTGTGCAGCTGGCCAAGGAGTCCCACGAGAAAAGTGTCTGAATCGACTGGGAAATTATCCCCACAAGTCGTCCTGAAGTTGCACCTAGAACCAAAGACGGCATTAAAATACCCCCTGGCAATTCAACCCCGAACGTGTAGGCCGACAAAAAGAACCCCTGGATGATAATATACCCCAATTTTAATGCGGTAATTCCGTTGGAAGGCAGGCACATGAAGTTAGACGAATTGGAGTCTAGTGTTTCTTTTGGACAATCAGTGAAAAGGATCTTTAAGTATGCGTTGAGAGGAAGTTTCGCAATCTCGATTGGAAAGTTCAAAACACTGGTGATGAGCACCAATAGAAACATCTCCAAATAAGTACCGTACTCTTCAGATACCTTGAGTAATTGGCATAGCTTGCTCTGAATGTTTCTTCTGAAAGTCAATCGTGAAAAGAAAGAATTGAATCTAATGAAAAGGTGGCCGTATAATCCACCCATAATGCCTAGGAATATGAACGGAATCATTTCCACGAATAGCCAACTGAAATTACCGAAATTGACCTGGAACAAATCCTTTTCATCGAAATGAGTACCGTTGGTGAACGCCTTAAATCCATTCACTACCACAACTGCTACCGTGGAAGAAATAAACGAATTCCACATGATTCGGGTAGGCATGAAAAAACTGGGAAGCCCTTCTAACACGAATAGCACTCCCCCAATGGGTGCATTGAAGGCAACTGAAATTCCGGTGGCGGTGGCCGCACTAAGCAATTCCCTTCTAACGGCTTCATTGGAGTATTTGGTGTCCACAATTAATGCGTACAAGCAATTGAGAAGACAGCAGGAGACATGCACTAAGGGGCCCTCTTTTCCCAACCACAATCCCGAGCTGACCACCAAGATCAATCCGGCAATCTTATAGAGCAATGTTCTTACGCCCAAGTAGTCAGCGAGTCTATAGTTGAGGCCGGAAATAATGAGTTTGATTTCGGGAATCCCGGACTGCTTGATGAGGGGGACTTTCTTGACGGTTATAAATGACACTACTGCCACCCATATCAAGGCAAAGATCAAATAGATAGGGAAGTTGATGAACACATTGGAGATCACTCCGTTGGCATCGAAGAGGAGCCGCGACCAGTCGTACCAATCCTCTACGGGACAGCTCAGGTACGGGTCGAGCAAGGACCATTTGTCGATCTTGCTTAGACAAACGCCCTTCTTGAGATCGTTCAACCACACGGAGGCTAGATCGATGAAGGTAGTGATGTACCCCAAACAGAGCGACAGCACGATGAGGGTGAGCCATTTGCGGGTCTGGAAGTCGGACGTGGTCGGCAACACCAACGACTCTCTGCACCAGTCAATGTAGGTGTTGTCTTCGTAGAGATGGACCGGAGCATATGTCGGCAGTTTGGAGGCACCAGGGGAGTATTTTAGCGTGGGGAGGTCATCGTCGATAGCAAAAGATACCTCGGCAGACATCTTGTGTGGATCTCCTCGGAATGAGAAGGCGACCTGTGAGTAGTGGCTGGGATAGTGCTGGATCCAGTTGTGGGTGCAAGCTAGGTATGGTGGAGAATCCAAGTGCACTTTTCGCAACGGGCAATTTGCAGGTTGGGCACCTAGGGCCCCAGGTGAGATTTTTCCTCAGCCAAACCATCAGCTACCATAAACAACCAGCGATGTCGTTTCTCCAAGCCAGTTCGACCACGAGCACCAGTGCTACCACTGGCCAGGAATTGATCAATGATATCACCGTCAACAACCCCCCTGAAGACACGGTCTCCGACTTGTCGTTTTCGCCTCAGCAGGACTTGTTGGCAGTGGCTTCCTGGGACAAGAAGGTCCGGATCTACGAGATCGACCCCAGCTCCGGCAACAACCAGGGCAGAGCGTTGTACGAGCACGCAGCGCCTGTATTCAGCACCAGCTGGACGTTTGACGGTACCAAAGTGGTGAGTGGTGGTGCCGATAAGCAAGTCAAGCTCTTTGATATACAATCACAGCAAGCGCAACAGATTGGCGCCCACGACCAGCCCATAAAGTGTGTCAAGTATGTGGAGTGCGGGTCCACCAATACTCCGGCAGTTGTGTCGGCATCGTGGGATAAAACATTGAAATACTGGGACATGAGATCGCCCCAGCCCATCACCACGATCAATTTACCAGAGAGAGCTTACTGTATGGACACCAGCCAGAAGTTGCTCGTGGTAGGGTGCGCAGAGAGACACCTCGCCATCATCGACTTGAACAATCCCCAGCAGATCTTCAAAACCACCCAGTCTCCCTTAAAGTACCAAACCAGAACTGTCGCATGTTACCCACAAGGAAACGGCTACGCTGTGGGGTCCATCGAAGGAAGATGTGCCATACAATATATCGACGATGCCGAGCAAAGTAAGTATGGGTTCTCGTTCAAGTGTCACCGTAAACAACCCAACGCCACCACCTCCACCACCTCGGCCATCCGTGGGTCCACCAGCAACGAGTCCCACGCGTACGCCGTGAACTCGATTGCATTCCACCCGGTGTTTGGTACTTTCAGCACTGCTGGGTCCGATGGAACCTTCTGTTACTGGGACAAGGACGCCAAACAAAGATTGAAGTCCTTCCCAGGCCTCGACCAGACCATCACTGCCACCACCTTCAACAGAACCGGTACCATATTCGCGTACGCTTTGGGGTACGACTGGTCCCAGGGCTACATGGGCAACAGACCCGACTACCCTAATCAAATCAAATTACATGCTGTCAAGGAAGAGGAAATCAAGCAGAAGAAGAAGCGTTAGGCGAGAATTCCACCATGAGCGGCGCAGGGGTTGGGTGTTCCGAGATGCATGCCAACGTGTAAAAAGCTGTCACATCGATAGCACGCATGTCCAGATATGACCACATATCTTGTATATTAATGACGAATAGAAGTTCCTTTAGTAGGCGATGTAATGTGTTGGAATAATAGCTGGGGCTGAATAGGACAAATTAGGTAATATTTTGCTACAAGATACAAACGTTAACCATTGACTTATTCTCTAATGCACCTTGCCCTAACGATACTGGTCGCAGAAGGATAACAATTGTGCGATGACAACAACACTAGCAAGAGTATGAAGCTATACGCTCCTAATAGACTAACAAACCACGTTTAATCTAATCTAGTAGAGATGTCAGGATGTCGCAATCTGCGAGGCATGTCTTGGAACAAAGAGCCAGTCAGATACCAACCAGATGGGGAACTTCTATCACTTCTCAGTTTCAAATTGGTTCCTAAGGGGTGCCCAGCCAAGCTGTGACTCGTCCACCCCTCCAGATTGCCTAGATCGAGCCATGGAGGAGCCCCACCTGTCGTCACTACGACATCGCCACACGTGACGCTTAGTTGCGACAAACTCCCGCGCTAAATACCAACGTTGGTTGGTCCAATCCGGCAATTTTTCACCACAAGGGTATTGTTTAGATACGCCAAAGGGCACGATGACGGGTCAGAACAGTCACACCACGGCCAGGGGCCCACCAGCATACCCCAAGAGGGTGCTCGCAAGCGAGCCGTTTGCCGTCCAGATGGAGACGGTGGACAAGGCCCTCATTGAAGTGCAAAATCAGCCATCCAGCGTGTACATCAACGGAAACCGGGGTAAGAAGAAGCCCAGTTTCGCCAAGGCAGGTGTGCCGCAGGCTCGAGGAGTTCCTGCCTACACCATGGCTGCGTTCCAGAACTCAGCGCCCTTTGTCTCCCGAGGAGGCAGTTCGTTTGGAGGCCATAACGACCAGGACGCTAGCCACGATGGCAGCGTGGATGGGTTCATGGCGTCAGCCAAGGGCACCCCGATCTTAGGGGAGCCGGTGATGAGCGGCAGCAACAGCTCGTCCACCACTGTGGGCAGCAACAGCGACAGCACGCCTGGAGCCGCCATGGCTACGTTTGGGTTGTTTGACCCGTTCAAGCCGTTCGAGACGTATGGCGAAGTACTGTTTGCGTCGTCAGGACCGCTCGATCTAGCGGGAACCTCCAGACTCACCTCCATCTGGGGTACACCCAGCGGCAGCGGCCAGAAGCTCAGCGACACCACGGTGTGGGGCTAGCATTTATTTCAGTCACGGATTTTTTCCGGTTATTTCTAGGGTTTGGTTGGTTTGATTTACAACATGGTCCGGATATGTGGGTGTCACAGGGTGACGTGTATTATTGTAATAAAAGTACGATTAGCGAGGTGTAGGATGAGGAGGAAGAGGAGAAAAGAATTTCCAGAGTAGGGGATTTTCAGACTAGGATAGCTGAAAAGTAGGTGGGTGGATTTCCACACTAGGAAAGCGCCAGAGTAGGCAGCGATGGACTAGGGGTGATTCAAGAGTAGGTGGCAGAATTTCCGAACTAGGTTAGCTCCGGGGTAGGATAAGAGCATGGAAAATTCCAGAGTAGTGTGAGGTTTAGCCAGAATAAAGTGGTTTTCAGAGCAAGATAAGAAGATGGTTGAACGGAGATGGAATAGTCCATAGTAGGGCATTTTCCACAGTGGGATCGTTCCAGAGCAGGGGATTGATCTTCCCGGAGTAAAAGATGTGTCAGAGTACAACTAGATTCTCAAGGATGTCAAAGGAAGGTAACCAGAATACTTCTAGCACGTCAGGATGTCAGAGTGAGGAGATGTCAAGATGTCAGCAAAACTTTAGGGATGTCATAATCTCAGGGTATGGGATGTCAATGTAGGCGTTAGGGTAGCGACGTTTTGCGGGGATGACAGAATAGGAGTCTAGTGATGGCAGAATAGTGAGCACGGATACCAGAGTACGGATGTTACAGTTCTCAGCACGGATGCCAGACTGTTGATGGCAGACTACTTGTAGACCACATTGGCTACGTATGCTTCGACGCATGTTTCGCCCTATCTTATCACTATCTCCCGTCATGGGCCTTGTCCCTAGCGAGCCCGCGATACCGCGCTTCCCCGGCCCGCGCACTGACAGCCACACCACCATCTGGTACCATTTGGCACCATCTGGCACCGACTGTCAACGCCTGCCACGCCTATTGGCTGGAGGTACTAGGGCACCCTCCACGAGGCGCCAGGGTGTCCCCATAATCTCCTTCACTATTGCACTAAGGATGTCCTCCACCGGACTAGTGGAGCGTGCTCCCGCCCCAACGGCCGCCCAGCACTCGGCGGGACGGCGAAAGCTGGGACGGCCACCCCCGACCCCGACCCCGCGCGCACGCCCGCACCATGACCCTGGCGCATCACGTGCCAGGTTGTTTAGGGGCACCCCCTCCACCACCAGTGGGGGGCAAAGCAAGGACAGCAGTGACCGCATCGTAGCCCAGTAGCCACCACCAAGCCCCACCTCACCATCAGCTCGCCTCAATCATTCGCATCCCAGGCGCCCGGGCGTCCCCTCTCGACTCCTCCCGAAAATGGCCCCAGCTGGCGACGGCGGCGGCTAAGGTGGCCGCGCACGACCGCCTCCCTCCCGCTGACGTAAGCAGCCTGCAGGGAGGGATTTTTCACGCCGAGACAACAGTGGCCGCACCGATGTCTCCATCTCCCTATAGCCTACCTTATCAGCTATAGCACCACCCCATACTCTGGAGAGACCCCTCCCCAATCCTGCCGCATCCACCGACACTTCGTCCAACCATCCCGTTTTTGCGCGTCTATCTCCCACCCCAACCCCCCTTCTTATCCAAACAACGTCCAGTTGTATGACCAAGGCGCTTACGGTCCATACCAACAATCCAACATCTCCTGCCCATAAAAGCCCCAGTTTCCATCGAGGTAGCGTGCCACAGCCAGCTCTCTACACCCCCATCGCTCCCAGCCCTTTTCATCGGTGGATTCCGTGCACAACCCCACCAGTATGAGCCATCACAGCACGCCCCATTTGTACAACAAAAGAACGCCAGGCTCCATGAACGACGCAGGCTCTGCAGGCATGATGAAAGGACCCGGTGGAAACGGTGCCGCCAGCGGAAACTCGGCTGCTGCCAATGCCACCGCAGCAGCAGCAGCCGCCACGGCAGCCGCCAACAACCGCCCGATCTTGGATGCCTCCCACAGCGTGTCAGACACCCAGGCAGCCAACGCCAAACAGTTGTTAAATGCGTACATCTACGACTTTCTCATAAAGAGCAGGTTGCCGCAAAGCGCCAAAATCTTCGCCAACGAGGCCGACATCCCGTCTGTACCGGCGTCCAAGTCCCATCAGTCGTCCAACAAGAACTCGCCCCAGATCAACTCAGGCAACCCCAACTCCTCCTCGTCCAACTCGCCCCAGATGCCAAACAACCAGTTCAACAAGGACAACAACATACCCCTTTGTAATGTGGCGATGGATGCCCCTCAGGGTTTTTTGTTTGAATGGTGGCAGGTGTTTTGGGACGTCTTCCAGGCGAAGAACGGAGCCAATACCTTGAACAAGGGCGCCAGTCCTAACGTGGCCCTTCAATACTACCAACTACAGTTGTTGAAGCAAAGACAGCAGCAGGAGATGCAAGGGCTAAACGTACAGGCTGCCATGATGGGTGCTGCCGGCATGCCAAACGGCGGCCCCAATGCTGGCCCTGGAGGTGTTCCCGGAGCAGGAGCGGGCCAATTCCATCCTCAACAGAACCCACATCCTCAATTACTCCAGCAGCTTCAGATGCAATTGCAGATGCCTCAGGCCCAACTTCTTGCACAGGGGCAACAGGGCCAAGCACAGCCTGGCCAGGTTCAAGGCGCCCAGGGCCTGCAGCCTCAGGGTCAACAACCCCAGATTCCTCAAGGCCAAATGCCCCAACAACCACAGCAGCCCCAACAGGGGCAGCAGCCACACATGCCACCACAGGGTCAACCCGCAATGGATCCCCAACAGCAACAGCGATTAATGATGCAAATGATGATGAAGCAACAACAACAAGGTGCTTCCCAACAGCATATTCCCATCAGTGGAAATCCTTTGGACCCCCAACAACAGCAATTATTGGCTAACATGGGTCCAAACAATGGCTTGCACCTTCAACAACAATTGTTCTTATCGCAACAGCATCAACAATCACAGAATAGAATTCAACAGCACGCTCAGAATCAAATGAACAATTTGCGTCAGCAAGCTGCTGTTGCTGCACAACAACAACAGCAGCAAGTGGCACAAGCGCAGAACCAGCCCCAACCACATCTGCATGATGGATCGAGCAATAATTCGCCTGCAAACGGCCAAAGAATGGCCCAAATGACTCCTCAGACTCAGCAGGCACCCGCTCCTCCTATGAATGGCATGCAGCAGTTCCCTCAGCAGCAGGGTATGATGAGTGGTCCTGGCTCACAGGCTCCCACGCCTTTCGCACAGGGACAAGCTCCACCTCATGTTGTTAGAATGAACAGCGCGAGTGGAAAGGCAGGAATGCCTAACCAAGGTAGCCCAGTGATGGCTAATGCCAATAACAACGGGGTAAATAATAACCTCATGAACAAAAATGTTAACAACAATAATCCTAATAATGCTAATGCCAACGTCAATGGGGCAAATAGAAATATGAACGCTCTTCAAGACTACCAAATGCAATTGATGTTGTTAGAGAAGCAAAATAAGAAGAGGCTTGACATTGCAAGAAATAATGGAAACGTCGACCAAGGACAGGCCCTTTTGGGTGGAAATATTTTACCTGGTCAACAACAGCAACAAGGTATTCCAGGTGGAGGTGCTCAACAACTTTCTCAAAAGGCATCACCAGCCACAGCTACCAATTCTCCAGTCATAAATAATAAACCATCGCCTTCGAGCGCAGGAGGAAAGAAAAAGAAAGAGGCACCTGCCAAGAGAGGAAGGAAGCCTAGCACTGGCGGGGCCAATGTACAATCTACACCAGTAAACAATAATGCTGCCAACACTCCTAGTTTACTAAAGAAGGAGTATAATGCCCCTCTCACTCCAGCTTCAGAGTCACAAAATGATCTCAAGAGGAAGAGAAAGAATAATGGTGCTCCAGATTCACCCAAGAAGCAAGCAACTTCCAAGGGAGCTGTCAAGAAGGAAAAATCCATCAAAGAGGAAACTGGAGATGAATCCAATCAAGCTAAGAAGAAAGATGACGGAAACATGTTACCTCCAGCAGTCACATCCAACTTCCAAGATCCAGTTGGTGCACCTGATCAAATATTCCCAGTGGAGATCCTCAGTGGTAATGGAGCAGGTGATAGTCATAACTTTTTCGGTACTTCCACTCAGCCAAGCCAGGGCGCTTTAGATGATATTGATTTCGATTTCAATCAATTCTTAGACGGCAATGGTGACAGTGGATTGAATGATGGAATTGGAGGGTTCAATTGGGGAAATGTGGATGCAATTGAGAATGGAGATTAGTCCTGTTTCCAATGTCTAGGTAATTCTGACAAGCCTTTTCTTCATTGACTTTTTGTTTTACACTTTATTTCTATCATGTTTCTTATACTATTTCTTTATGTACTATAAGTATTCTTAATTAATCCAAGTCGAACCAAGAGTTCAGTGATACAAATTAAAGAGTACCCTGTAAACGTTGCTTTCTGAGCTTCTTCTTTCTTTCTTTCTCTTCATCTATGACTACTCCTTCGAACCAAGTATTTGAGAGCCATACACCTACCAACACGGAGGCCAAAATACTGACCAAGACCGCGCTACTCAACTTAGTTGAAGGGAATACGTTCCAGCACCATTCATGTACTATCCACACAATTGCCAGGGGAATAAAGCCCCAGTTGGTGAAATAGAGTAAGGCAGGTAATTGCCAACAGTACCACGACAAAAATTGATAGTGCAAAGATCTAGCAAATAGTATGCCAATCACATTGGAAGTAGACAATATAAGGAAAACCAATTTTGGCCCTGTCTTGCTCTTGGTAATCAAGTTGTTAGGGGAAACAGTGGACTTAAATGTGAAAGCTTCCATGATCAAAACAGGCAAGTCTTTACCCACGATTTGAGGGTGCAAGTATCTGGTCAATACAAAAGTACATAATACAAACAAGTTTCCTGCAAGCAAGATGGTGGCAAATTCTCTGCTTAAGAAAAATTCTTCAGAGACAAACCTCCAATTCACAGTCCATTTGTACATGAATTGTCTAGAGAAATCGAAGGCTTGGTTGATGTAATTCCATCTGATGAGATTAGCTTCCTCATCATCAAAGAATGGTAACAAGAATTGCCAGCCCATAACAACTTGAATAAGGGGGATGATGACCAAAATAATCAAAAACTTCAATAAGTTCTCTCCGGTCAAAAAGTAGGCCACTACCAAGAATCCTGGCAAGTATAATAACGCGTTCATCTTGATGGAGATGGCGATACTGTAAAGATCAGCTGCCATTACTACCAAGAAAAACGAGGCCCATTCGCTGGTGGAGTACCAGTAGGAGGCTTGCTGAAGAATCACACACACTCCAACCATTGCTGCTGTGGTGAAGCAGTCGTTGAATAATCTGAGCACGTAGATGGAAAAGAGTCTCTTGCTACCTAGCAACAACATCATGGGCCATGGCTGAAAGTTGGCGATAGAAGAGTACGAGATGATCACCAACAAGTTGGTGAAGGTGAGTAAGTAGCCAAAAAGCAGCTGGGCCAACTGGATATTTGCACCTTGATTGGTGAGCATATTGATGAACTGGTAGATTTGGACGTATCCTCCTGGATACACAATGGGTCCCGTGTCTCCGCCAATAAGCTTGTAGTCCAATTCACCATCATTGATGAGACTGATCTGTTGCATGTAAGTGACAAAGTCAATTTCCGTGTAAAGAACGAATCCAATGATAACTTTGGCCATTATTGCCGTCAACATGAACACTACCGGGCCTGCCACGCGTCGGTAGAATGGATCATACAAAAGGGCATTGATTCCATCTTTGATATCATTCAACACGTTTTTGATGGTCAAAGGTGGTAATTCCTCTTCCTTTGCAGGGGATTTGGGAGCAGTAGTATCAGAGACTGTGCTGGAAGGCTGCTTACGCTGCCTGAGCTCTGGCTGGTCTGACATGGAGAGGTGGTGGGTGGTGTTTAAGTTGGAGTTGACGATGCCCAGCGCTACCAGATATAACACGGGCTGTATGCAGGATAATCACCAAACACGGCTCCAGAATTAAGAGCATAATAATTCGTTAACCAACTCAGCTGGACTGCAAGTGAGGCTTTAGAAATAGGAATATTGACACAGGTGGGGNGTTTAAATTAAATTAGTTTTGGGAATGGAAAATAGGTAAGTAGATTTATTTTAGTTAATCAAGTAACTTCAGGAACAATGTTTAGCCATGCAGTATACATGTTACTGTTTTGACTAACGTGTGGAAAGAATTTAAGAATGCAAAGATAATATTTTGGAGCCAAGTTGACCATCAGATTGATATTTCAGAGATTGAAATGCTACATTAAGAAAAGAAGATGTAGTATTCTATATCCAATTCCTAGTTAAGACTCATTGAATTTTCTGGAATAGTTGAGTGTGGTGAGCGCGCCTAGACCAGCACTCAAAGTAGAGCCACAAGTAAGCAACCAAAGGAAAGTCTGATTCGGAACCAAGTGATATTAATGCAGTTGATCGATGGTAGACTACAATTAATTAGCCATTTTTCAAATCCAGAGGCTAACAGTAACGATGATTTTGAACTGTCTATTAATACTATGTTATGTACACCATGACTACGCCACAAAAGACCTGGTCGATTTCTTCTTGAATATTCTCTGGACATCTCTTTTTCTTCTCTTACACTCTCTAGAGAATTCACCTCTCATCTTCCAGAACCATTGCTCGTATGCAGACTCCTCTCCTTCTTGAATGACAAGCTCCTCGGTTTCTCCCGGCAACTTTATTGTCTCAGCAACACCACCAATCTTGTTCAATTGGGTCTGGGTTTGGAGGAAAGGCGAGTCTAAATGTGGCCAAAAGAGTCCGTACTTTTGGGACTGCTTTAAAAGAGTCTCTTCTTGTTGTTTATCTCTGATCTGTTTCAAGAGCGCCTCCTGCTCAGCTGCATCGATAATTTGTGCCTGTTCATCCACGTCTTCGTCCTCTTCTGAAAGAGCCAATTTGAACGAATCCTTGGATTCGGGATTGAATAACGATCTCAAAGTCTCAGTATTGTTGGGGGCACCAAAAGTAGGAATAAATTCTTCTTCCGAATCATCAGCTTTGTTTTCCACTTCCTCGTAGTATTCTTCTTGATAGTTAGTTGGAACATTGTTGTCGTTGCTAGCAGCAGTGTAGTCTTGGTTGTAGTCCTGGTTGTAGTCTTCGTTATAGTCTTCGAAGTTCTCCACCTTCTCTTGCGGCTTCAAACTACTGAAGTCCACTTCATTACCTTCATCATCTTCATCATAGTAGGTTTCTTCTTGAGGTTTGTCAAGGTCGCCCTTGTATTGGCTCAAAATTTGAGTGGCCTTGTTGTAGTCATAAGTCTCGATGCCTTCATCTTCAACCAAGCCCTGGGCTCCACCTTCAGCTTCATAATCATATCTGACCACTTTTCTTCTGCCCTTGTTGTCAAAGATGATATCTTCTTTTTCAATGCCATTACCTTCTTCGATTTCAACCGGTTTTTCGAAATCATGCTTGTCTAAAATGGATGCTAAAATGGATTTGTTCTTCATCTCCTCCTGGATGAACTCCTCGTCTTCCTCATGTACTCCTTCTTTTCCATACGAGGCAACGCCTGCGCTATCAATACCGCATTTACCATCATTTGGACCTCCCAAAATTGGGTCGTTTACCAATACCCTTTTTCTATGTCTCTCAATGAGATGGTCATCTCCACTTTTCCATGCCCCGTCAACATATCTCCAAGTCAATTCAGTAGTTGATTTGTTTTCTAAGCCCCACAATTTAGTCTTATAGTTCTTGAATGTCTTCAATTCTCCGTTAATCAAGATTCTGAGCGTCTGTTGTTTTCTATCAAGGGCAGAACGCTCTGTCGTTCTCATTCTTCCTTTGATCACCTCACCACCTCCAGATAAACGTGAATATGCATGCACATGTGTTTTATTAAATGGCTTTGTTATAGAACCATATGAGTTTGTTCCTATCAACGTTCTAGATGGAGGTTTGTTCTTGGTGTTTCCTGAAATATCCTTGTACATATGACTGGATTTCATGAATCCGTTAGGGTTGAAAACGGTACGGCCAGAGGTCAACTCGCCGTTCAAGGAGTTCACTGGGTATAATGTAGATGCTTCTTTGATTCTGGCATCTCTTGCTCTACTGACATTATCCTGCTTGATTCTCTCTGACCGAAGAGCGTCTGGACGCTTGTGGTCCTTCTCCCAGGCTTCTTTGTAGTCGGGCTTGGCTTTGCTGATGGTGAGTTTCATTCCCATGAATAATAATCCGTTGAAAGACGACTTTAATTTATCAAACCCTCCTTCTGGGAGTTGGATGGTGACAAAGCCATAGTAGTGGTCTTGGAGAGGTTTGGAGTGGAGTTCAAGCTCCTTGGTGATTGTACCAAACTTGGCCAAACGGGTGCTGAGGGTCTGATGAGAAGCATAAAGCTTTGGGGAGATATTCCCAATATGGATACGTGTTTCCATGGGTGAATATATACAAGTTGGTGAAAGTAATCCAGCTATAGTTCAAGTGCGATTAGATACCTTAACGGAATGCCTGAGCTTCTAGACAGGGCTGAATAGTTGAATTGATGCCTACGGGCTCGAAATATATGTTGAAAAATGATGAGCGATGAGATCGCAAGTCTGATCATGTGACTGGGTATGGTTCTCGATAATCACCATGGAATCAAGCAACGGAAAAACACCAAAACCTACCAATAATTGTTCCTAAATATGAGTGGCTTAGATGCTGAGATCTGGAGAGGCTGGCAGACGGTAATGGATGGGTATAAAGATGCTGAAGAAGGAGTGGCCCCAGGATCTGATCTATCACAAGTAGAGGTCGAGGATGACCAAGAAGTGAACCTCTCAGAAACCATTCCACAGTTGCAAGCATTGATCGACAGGAGCGATAACAGCAAGGAACTAGAGCAAGAGATCAAGGTATTGTTCATGAGAGGGTATTGGAATGGATTCTATGCCGGGTTTGAGCAAGGAAGTGGGCAATAGGCACTCGACTCGAGTTATCCCAATGAAAAGCCAATTATCATAAGGCTTACGCGAATAGAAGATCACGGAAACCTAGAATGGTAAAAGAGAGCTTTCCTTCATCCATCGATCTACTTGCCATTAGTATCTTATCATCTATTGGTCTGTCAATTCCAAACTATATTCAGGCGTGGACTCAGCCAAAGCTTATATGCTTCTACAGGAGCAGAGACTGGGTCGGGCGTGGTAATTGCTCCTATTGAGGACAATTCGCAAAGATTATTACGTGAGGATGGAGTTACTACTGCTGAAAAATGGATAATTATTACCCCCATGAGTACGCAATTCCAGCATTTCTTTGGCTCGATGCAAGTACAGTCAACATCTGGGGCGATAATGAAAGTTTGACCTGTCCACGAATTTTCCATGAACTTCCCATGGATAATTAATTTGGAAGTTTATAAGCAAGATAATCAGTATTATCTACTAATAAACACCATATTCAGTTATCTACTGTCACCTCTCCACAAGGCATTTCGAGCTAACTCTTCTGTTCGCATACTCTACAGAACTACAATTGTCGATAGTTAATAATCTATGATTTACACTAGCTAAAACGCCGGGAGTAGCCCTAAACCACTCAAGTGGCAGCCCACAAGTCAGACAAACCCATGAGGGAGGTGACGGTACCAGCCAAACCAACGTCACCCTCGGAAAAGTGCAAGTAGTCCAAGGAGTTAAGGGCGACGAAAGCGTCCAAGAGGTCCCAGACCCACTTTCTCTTAGCCTTGTAGATCTTCTTGTCAACGGCTTCCTTCTGCTCGGGCTTCTCCTGTTCAGACTTGTATTTGTTCAATGTGCTGATGGTGTGCACCGAGTTGATGAGACCAGCAATCAACCCGAGCAACCAGAATCTGGAGCCCCAGGTGGACACGGTGGGGAAACGCTTCTTGTCCACTATGCCCAACAACTTGAAGAACGTGATGGAGTCCAACCCCAAGTATGCGGCGTAACTCAAGTTTCTGAGCACGGTGGTGGATCTCAACACAGGGTCCAACAATTTGTTGTCGTAGGTCTGGGCCGCGGTCTGAAGGTGGTTCAACGGCTTCAAGAATCTCATACCCTTTCTAATGAAGGTGACGTTGCTCTTCAAGTCCTTGAAGAGTCTGACCCACTCGGCTGGGTATCCCTTGCGGGCGAGGTAGTATCCTAAGAATCTGGACAAGTATGCCACCAAACGGAAGGCCTTCTCCCTCTTGGGGGTACTGTCCAAGAACTTGATTAACTTGGCAAACGTAGGGTGGTAAATGACGGCGTCGGCAACCATGATGATGATATGGAGATTGAGGGATTGGTGGATTTCGGAGTCTTATAGCTGGGGATCTTATGTGGAGGAGATCACGAGGACCGAGGCCCGTTTTTCGGGTGGCCGGGGAAGGGCCCAGCACGTGAAATGGTGGGGCTTACTGGATGGCGGATCCGTGACGGGTGGGGGTCCCGACATACCGAGAGCTAGTCAGGGTTCTGCGCTACATTGTCTAGCATGGTGTGGCTAGTGAGTGAATAGTATATTGGCTAGCGATCGCACGACTCTACCTTGGCTTTGCTCGTGGGTAGCAATTTATGCCAGTCGCAAGTCTGAGGGTGAAAGACAGTGAAGTATGGATTATAGCTTTATTGACAATTTAAGTGTCTTTTTTGTAGTACGCAATCTCAGCTTGTGGTTAATACTATTGTATCTGCTAAAAGTACTCGGTGGCTCGGCCAATAAATTCCATCTGGATAACTGTGAAACACTTCTCTATTTGGTGCAATAGATAGTATCTAAGGCAATTATTTGTACTATTCGTCGTTCGCCTTGCTTTGCACTAGCCAGTATATAGCATGACATGGAAGACTAAAATATAGCATATTGCCAGTTATCCCTCTACAAAATTTATTACTCTTATCTCTCTGCTTCTTGGTGAATCTACACCCGGTACAGTTAGTCTTGCTAGCTGCCCGGAAGCTACATTAGCCTTGGTTAGCTAGTACATGTATTGTTGCTGTATTTTCTATCTTGCTAGCCAGAAAGTTTTTGTAGCTTATCAGCTAGCTAGCAAATGCATAATTCTCAGCACTAGTCTCCAACTCTAGCTCGGGCTTTCCTGCTGTTCTGTCTCCGCGAGTCTCGCTGACTTCCTCATTTATAGTGAAGTCGCTGCTATCGGAACTGCTGCGGTCAGAGGTCTCCGGCTCTAAGGGACCATTGATCACTCCAAAACTCTTTTGTCTTTCCTTTCGCTGTATCGAGTTGACCTCTGTGGGCTTGGAGCTGACGTTGGACTTTGAAAAAGGGTCATTGAAGTCTTGATAGTGCCTCTTGATACGAGGGTTGCGGAGCCCCAGTAAATTCTCATGGATCTCAAAGATCCCGTCAGTCAAATTTTTCCCATCAACCAAATCCAACATGTTCGAGCCTGCAATGTGAGGGTGGCTGGGTCTTCTAGAACTGTAATCATACATCAAAGAATTGACCGATCCATTTCGATACGCCAAGTCATCGATAGTTGCAGACGAGGCATGTCTACCCGATGGATTTGCACCCACTGATCCAGAAACAATTGACGATGTGGACAATGCCAAGAGTGGAATCGTCTGGTCTACCGGTAAATCAGACGTCAGCGAGTTTAACGAGGTGATTGATGACCTGCGAGACATCGCGGCGGAGTTCAAGCCTGATCCTATACTTTCAGGTGGTACAAGAGGGGATCCTGGAGTATCTGTGATGTCTATACTTGCCCGCTCATCTGGAACCTCAAGCCTATTGGCCTGATCTTCCTCTGTTGAGTCTTTGTCTAGATCCAGTAAAGCTTGTTCCAAGGACCTTTTGGGTTCACGAGGAGACAAGTCCTCAGCAGGCCTTGCATTGAGCTGCTTGCTTAGCATGTCCTTTACAGGAGTTTCCTGCAATGGTGAAGCTGGAATAACATTTATGTTATTCACAACTGGCGGACTGGCCCTACCTGGGGCTGTAACGCTGATGCGCAATGGTGACAATGATAAGGAGTCCTCTTCCTCATACGCTGGTGGAGGGGCGATGTTTATAGCAGTCGAAGGATCCAAATCGGGATTGAATGGTGGTGGGTTGACAGATGGTTTTCTGAGCAAATGAATAGGTCTTTGGATAGGCGAGTTCAATGGACTCAGGAATGTTCCTGGATGGGGTGTAGCTTGAGGGGATTGGAGTGGAGTGGGAATTTTCTTAGGTTTGTATAAGTTGGCCTCAAGATGCATTTTTCCGTCTCTTTCTATCGGGTCATCGTTATTCAATGCAGAATTGAGATGGTAGAATGTTGGCTGAATCATTGCATCTAAAGAAAGAGTAGTATCCGATCTGTTTACACCAGGTAATAATGGATTTGGTGGATGGGTTCCATCGATAGGCTGGACCTCGGGTGAAAGCGGTGGGGAATTCTCTGAATAATTAGGTAACGATATGTTACTAGGGGCAGATCCGTTGTCATATGCTGGCAATAAAGTATTTCCGTGTGCTGCTAATGGCGAAAGAATATGAATGGGCGAGTCGATCGATATTTCATAGTGCTTCCGCTTTTCTGGTTTTTCGGGGTCTTTCCTGGAGATTCTTAAGCAAATCTTGATCCAGTGATGGGCTTGAATGGTGTCAAGGGAAGTATCCGGATGGATTTCGTGGGTGAACTTTTCATTCAACACTCTGGGAACATACAATTGAAATTCCAATTCTTTTGGGAGCACTTCATCATCGACATCAGGGGATTCGGAGTCATCATTGCCACCACCTGCACTCAACAAAGATTTGCCTTTTTTAGCCTTGTGCTCTAACAACAAGTACTTCTTAGGAGGTTCCATTCTATGGACCTTTTTATTCTGGCAGTAGTATTCTAAGTTTTCCGTCAAGTAGACTCTGATTCTGTGGAGAGCCACCTTTCCCCACAACGGCACGAATCTAAATGCTAGAGGAAGGTAGGAGTTGAGGATCACCGACTTACCTCCCACCACGATATCGTACCTAAGCTGGTCTTCCCAGTCTCTGCTGATGACAATTGGTTCGTTTTCTTCTAGGTTAAATTCCGCAGGCGTTCTGACGATCTCTATAGGTAAACGTGCGTTCAAGTTGGACTTGAAGGTGCCTGCTCTGGTGACGGTGGCTTCGAAGTGGTACTCGACTGAACCAAAGGTGACGGAGCATGTTTCAGGTGTGGAAGGCGGAAGCGGATGCTCGAAGTTGTAGATATAGTCGCCGGGAGCAAAGTGGCCTGTTTTGGGGTCGGACTCGCTGGCGCTGGCGGTGGTGCTCAACTCGTTGAAGATAGAGCCTGCTTCAGGAGCAGGCGACGCTGCACGGCGGACGAAGCTGGGGGAGAGGTTGCGGGTGAAGAAGTTGCCAGCCTGGGGGTCCATGGACGGTGAGGAAGAGCGGGAGAAGGTGTCTGCGAGATTCAACTGGGAGATGTCGTGGTCTGCGTTGTAACCAGCGGTGGTAGAGCCGTCAGGCTCGCGGTACACGTCAGCACCGTTGTTTGGGCCCGAGAACTGGCCCTGCTGGAAGAACGGCCAGGTGTGGGACACGATGTCGTTGATCTCGCTGAACGTGGTGCGCTTGGGGGGGATACCCTCGGGCCACTCCGTGCGCTGCTGGCCCTTGAACGTGAGGGTGATGGACTTGACCTTGCTGGGTTTCAACACCCGGACGTAGAGGGTGCCCCTAAGCAAGGTGGGGGGCCGTTCGGCGAATTCGTTGGCCGTGAAGCCCTGGACAAAGAGGGTCTTTTCGGCTGGTATGATGTACACTTGCATGGACGACGTCTGGGTCAACGGTTTGTCGGGAAGCGTGGGGATGTAGGTTTCGACGTCGCCGGCTGTCCCTGTACCGGTGCTGCCGGCGAGCGTTAGCTGCAGTGCCGGGAAGAGCGGGCTGTTGGGGATTCCAGACATGGTGGTGGTGGAGAGAAGAAATGTATCCCCTAAATCGCGATGATTTTGTCCCCGGACTGCACAGGCGTGCGAGGAAAAACGGGGAGGGCCAGGAAATAAGATGGAACGGGGGGAATAGTGGAGGAAATGGAGAGAAATGGGGAGGAACGGAGCGGGAGGCAAGAGGGAAATGAGAGGTTGGAGGATTGGGATTCGGGGGTAGAAAGGCGGTATAGCTGTCTATTGTTATATTTATGGAGGTCGTAAGGTTTTTCTACAGGAGCAGTTTTGGGATTTTTTGGTTTTCTTATTCCACACCAGCGATCTAATTCCGTCTCCTGTTGCATCGTTGCTGCCGCCTCTCCCGGCACAGACCCTGCCTTGCCTACATCTGCCAGATCTCCTTGGCACATCCGCTGATGTGCGCGTACTGCACACAGCATGACACCATCACGGCATCTCCGCATCACCAGAATCAGAAGTCACCCCGGACCAGATCCATCTAATAGTATACTTGGGACCCCAGACCCCCAGGCCCCATACGCCTACCACCCACCCCAAACAATCATGCTCCGCAGCATCCCCCACAGCGTCACCCGCGCCGTCCACTCTACCCGGCTGTACCGTACCAAAGGTGCCAAAAACAAAAAGCCTCTGGCAACAGCCGGATCCGGCACCCTGGTGGCCAAGAAGTCCTCCCGCACCGTCCATCTCGCTCCCCACGAGTTTCCCACGCCCCACAATGTGCAACATGACCCCTCACTGTTCACCACCATCCACACTCCCTATGGCTGGGTACCAGTCCCCAAGAAGTGCTACTCGTTCAAGTGGACCAAAGACCAGCTCGACCTCCGTATACAGGCACAGTATGGCACTTCCTCGCCGTCGTTGTCAGAGTTGCAGCAGTTGGTGTGTGACTGGGCCTCCACTGTAGATACCTCTGTCATCCCCAAGACCGAAAAGCCCACTGCCCGCGAGTTGGCCCAAGTGAAGGAAGATGCATTGTACCGGTCGCAGCTCAAGTTCGAGATCTACGATGGCGAGGGCAACAAGAACGGCACCGTCAACAAGAGACCATTCTTGCAGAAAACCACTCAAGGAGACAAAACGGTGTTGCGAGGCACCGTCAACTTCACCCATGCCTGGAACTACTTCTACCTGATCACATATCCCCAGTACAGCGAGTTGCCCCAGGGTCAGGGTACCAAAAAGGTACTGGCCCTCTGGAACGAGATGAAGATGGATGAGAAGGAGGTGTACCGCCAAAAGTATGCCGACTTGTTGAAGGAGGGAAACGACATCTACAAGGGCAAGATCGTCACCATCGAAGAAAAAATGAAAATCAACCGCACCTTCAACAAGTATAAGGAGACACAGCGGGCCAAGGTCGCTGCCAGACAAGAACGAATCGACCAGATGATGACTGAGGAAAATTAAGGAGACCCGCGGCTTGAAGGCTGTACTAGGCCATAACTGACTGTCTCAGAAAATTCAACTTCAACTATGAAATATAAGGTACATGTCGCCTCACTCAAGTAATCAATTTCATGGTAAGATTACAAATGACAAATAATTGGGCCCATAATTGTTTTCATGGTAGAAGAATGATTCAGAAATATTTGGGACTGCTTGAAAATCTGTCTACGGCCAGGGAAATAGGGCCAACATTTTACAGTGTCTCCTAGTTCATTTATCTGGACCAGGGTTCGCTGATTCGCTTGTACATATTTATGGAATGATTGATCGATCACCTCACTACAGAGAAGACCACATTTCTGAATCCAGACAAAATTCCCGGTATTTTTAGTTCAGTGTGCATTCTAATCCAATAAAAATCCTTCAGGCTTTAATAATCATGAACTATATGTTTAGAGATAAAGGTAAGTGGCATAATTACCCCTCAAAGATGAGGACTTGCTGACTATTTCTAACCAAAAACAGGCCCAAGTATGTGTCAGTAAATTTTTGGTAAAAGTAGTAGATCGAGAAATTTATCAATTTCGTTGCTCGAGAGTACTAATCGTGTAGGACTTTACACTGCCGTATAGACGGTTTCGAAACTACGAGGAATAAGTCTAACTCCATCATGAAACAATCTTACTAGGTAGATCAGAAACAGAAACTAAGAATCTGGTGAGATGATGAGATTCAAATCTAGTCAACTTGCAGTTTCGGGAAGCAACTGCACACAATTACATTCCCACCCAAAGCCATTTTAATCAAATATCCCTGTAATTCTTGTAAGCTTCCTAGAATTTTACTTTTACATGCCCATAACTTACTTCATGAATGGCTGCAAAATTTAATTCTCTATTATTATTTTTGACTGAAAGATCAGAAATTGCAACCTCTTATCAGGCGAATAATCGAGTGAATATGGTTGTTTACCATCTAATAGTGATGAAAAGGCACTAGAAAATACTTATTAGTCTGTTTAGGAACTTTTGTAATATTGCTTCCCTCATACGCTTCCTTCTTTCCCGAAAGCAACACGGGAGTTACAGTATGATTGTCACCATGAAAGAATAAATCCACGCAATTGACCAACGATCTTTCAGAAGTATCGTACAACTTGAGAAGATAGTTAGCCCCGTATACTCTAGCAAGTTTATTCAATTCATCAAAACATTCATCTCTATCCCTCTCTCCTAAACTCAAATTCACGAAAGGAGGATATTGATTCATAAACGTATTGTACCAGTAGAACAAATCTCCGTGATTTCCACTAAAATGCGCATCTTGCAATTGCAAAAATGCATAGTAGGTATCCTCTAAAAAATCAAAAATATCTTTATAATAATTCTGGTTAGACTCCGAAACATATTGAAATTCATCATGCAATATCTTGTTTTGAAATCCATTCACTTCATATTCCACGTCAGGATACAATTCTTGTCCCATCAAGAAATCTAATTTGGTCTTTCCTAGTGCGTATGCGTGATCCTTAATAATTTGGTTACCATTGAAGTACAAATCTAAGCATTCCACCAAAGTCTTCTCAGAAGTGTAGTATAGATCGCGGGGGTAATTAGCCCCGTATGCCCTAGCAAGCTTGTTCAATTCGTGAAAACATCTATCTTGGTCACCATCTCTCAACCCTAAATGCTCGAAAGGGAGCTCCTGCCAATGAAAGGCATTATACCAGTAGAAGATATCTCCCTCGTTTCCTCTGTCATAAGCATCCTGCAACTTTAACATGCTTTCGATAGTTAATTCTGGGTTATGCGGTATTTTAATGACAAGATCATCATAATAATAAAACGCTTTCTTTGGCCTGTATTCTAATTCAATCAAGTTGTAATCTTGATGTGACATATCACAAATCTTCCTAAAATTTTGTTGACGTGCTTGCTCAAGTACCTTTGCTGCCTCATTCTCGAAATTCACTTCGATCTTTCTTATGTACATTTCAATAGCTTGGGGGACAACTTTGAAGTACATATTCAAACAAATGATAAATTTTAGTTCGGTAGAACCATGCAATTTGTAGAGATAACTGAGCCCGTAGCTCCAACTGAGATGCGACAACTCTATTATGCAATCGAATGTGGAAGAAGATGGTTGTCTCCCGAATCCATCATACTCCAAACCCCTGACAATGTTGTACCAATAGAAAACATCCCCGTGATTTCTCCTTGCATGTGCATCTCGCAAGTTCGATATTGCCAGGGCTGTGGCTTCATCTCTTGAAGGATTCTTAATCATCAAATCATGATAATAACTCTTAGCCCGATCAATTGTAGAATTAAAAGTCTGGTTATCGAATCCACTAACTGCGTAGAATGGAGTGAAGACATCAGCAGTCAGATTAGTAGAGTGATTGGTAAAACTCAACTCAGTTTTTCCTGGCATGTAAAAATGGGGAGTAAAGCTTTCGTCGCCATAGATAAAATCATCTAAGCATTCGATTAAGTCCGATTCAAATGTGTCATACAAATTGTAGGCATATTTGGGTCCATATGTCAAAACTAAGTGTGATAAGTGCACGGCACAACTTACATAAGCGGAAAGTTCAACCATACCATCCAATCCGGAACATACGTCATCCTCGAATCGACCAAGAAATTTGTTATACCAGTAGAATGTGTCTCCAGCATTTGCTCTATCAACTGCATCCTGCAATTTTTCCATGGCATTGCTGGAAGTTTCTAAGTTTCGTGGACTTAAAACAACCATATCTCTGAAGTAATCAATTTGAATTATACTTTTAGCGAACGATTGGAATCCTTTAAAGGAATACAACTGAGCTGAAGCAACGCTCAATGCTCCAGCAATTGTAGTCAAATTTGAAATTCTCATGGCATGTAAAGTATACGCAACCTCAATTCATCCAACGGGCCTATTCAAAAATATCTGTTTTTACTGCCCCTAGGAACTTGGTGTTAGCACCTGAGGGTTGTATCAAAATAGCAGGTATTTAGCGGCGGAAGCTTGTGAGAAGCACAACCACTATGATTCCAATTATGCTCAGGATGGAAGAACTAATTGAAAACTACCTCAGTACGTTTAATTGTACCTACATGGCCAATTTTGGTGTCGAGGGTTATCCAAATACGAGGCGTGATATTGAATAGCAGGTGTATCACAATGCAATGTAGCAGCGGAAAAATGCGCTACTTACGTCAAAATTGCCACTGGGACCCTGTATGTAGCAAAGTGTATATAGCCGATAAAGGAGTATCAAAATTTAAAATACTGATTCATAAATTAGCTAAATATTTCTTTGGCATATAGAAGGACAATTCCATCCGAATTAAGATTCTTTTGCAAGAATTGGTACTTGTTCTGGAACACCTTGCAAATTGTTTCCAAAATGCACAACTGATTTCCCTGGCATATAGGCACTCTCAACTATGGTTTGGTTACCATGGAAGAATAAATCCAAAGCCAGGGTTAAAATCTCCTCGGAGGTATCATATAATTTGTTAACGTAATTGACTCCGTATACGCTAGCGAGTCGACTCAACTCATCCGACCACCAAACGTCTGGCTGCTCGGTACGTTCTCTCCTGAAGTACAGGTACAGTTCCGCCGTCAACATATTGTACCAATAGAATACATCTCCGTGATTACCTTTCTCGTGGGCCGCTTGCAACTTAGCCATAGAGTTTGCGAAATTTTCTGGGTCACCTAGGTTGAAAACTGTCAAATCCTTATAATAAATTGACTCCCATGGATCATCTAACTGGGTGGTGGCATGGTTTTCAAAGCCACGAATGGCGTACATATGAGCTGAAACAAAGCTCAATATTCCGGTAAGGGTGGCCAACACTGCAAATTTCATGATGTATAGAATATCAGAGGAGATATAATTCTGCGCTAGGACGGGTTTATATAGGGATAATTATTTATAGAATCTGCTTGCAGTATCTTTCAGGGATAAAATTAGCATCAGACTTTGGGGGCAAACTATAGGCTTAGCATCAGAAATGATGCATAGATATGACTCATGATAAAAACAAGCCCTAGACAATAACCTATAAGCATTGTGTACCTAGACCGAAGGGGCTGAATTAGGGGGTGGATGCCTTACATCATTTCCATTTGTGTAAGAACACAATAGAGAATACGACTGTGAAATGTGACAGGATGCGTCATAATCATGTCAAAAGATAAAACGCGGGGTTGCACCTGGGCAAAATAAATCCGCCTGTCAAAGGCTACAAACATCCGTAACTCACTACTCAAAAACAAGCTATCGATTTGTTATGGTGTCTATGTGAATATAAATCTTTTATTATCACCGTTGCACTACGCAATTGACAGATTCCTTGGTACTCCAGCGACTTAGCAGATCTGAATGCAGAATTGAGACTATATCCTAGAAACACGCAATACAGATAATGTAGGACTAAAGTCCAGAAGGCACACCCTACAGTATCCAGCTTTAGGGGTGGGTGGTTGTTGTCACACAGCAAGCTTACTGCTTGCCCTTGACCTCAACCAACTGGCCGTTTTCATTTTGCTCAAGCTCTCCGAGCCACTCGTACAACACCCCCAAGTCTCTGTTGGCGATGTCTTCCCTCTCGCATGCCTTGTCGTACCAGTGCTTACCAGCCTCGCCCAAGAACAAGAAGCGGTTGTTGACTGCGGCGCTCTGGGTGGCCAAAACTAAGTCCTTTCTGGTCAACTTGGTGATGAAACCACCTGCGAAATCGACCTCAGCAGGCAAGTTGTTTTCGCTAGGGTAAGCACCCTTGATAGGACAGTTGTCCACCGAGGCCCACGACTTTCCGGTGGAAACAGCCACCAACAGCGCGTACTTCTTCAAGTCCAACCCAAACGACTTGGCCAACTGGAAGGAGTCGGCTACCGCCAAGTTGGTTACCGCCAACAAGTAGTTGTTGGACAATTTCGCAGCCAAGCCTGTGCCGTGGTTTCCACCACAGGGGAAGATGTTGGTACCCATCTTGGTTAACAATTGCAACAACGAGGGCGAGATGGCGTCGTGTGATTCTCTGGACAACATGAACGACAACGTCCCCTTACGCGCACCAGCAACTCCACCCGACACTGGGGTGTCGATGAAGTCGAAGGCAGGGATCTCCTGCTTGACGTAGTTGTGGATGTCAATGGAGGTGGGGATATCGATAGTGGACGAGTCGAGGAAGGTGGTGTGGGAGCCGGAGATGTCGGTCTTTTTGTAGTTTTCCACCAACTCCTGCACCACTGCCTTGACGTGCTTGCCCTCAGGCACCATGGTGATCACGTAGTCCAACTGGGCGTCGACGTCGTGGACGAACGAGGCGATGGAGTCCAACGACTGGAGCTGGGCCCCGTTCTCGGGGGTGGTCTGGCGCACGGTCTCCACAAACGTCTGGGTGTGTTGCGGCAAAGTGTCGTACACGTACAACTTGTCGTGGGGGTCCAACTTGTTGTAGATGTGTCTGGCCATGTGCTGGCCCATCTGGCCAAGGCCGATGAAGCCATAGTTGGCTAACGCGGGTCTGGCGACGGAGAAGTGACGGGTGCAGTGTCTTAACATGGTGATGGCTTCTCAAATCATGGCCGTGGTGGGGCTTTTATACAAGTTCCTTTCCGCGGAACTGGGTGCAATATCATGTGGGGAAACCGGCGGGCTGCGAACGAAGATGCCACGCCAAACTGGAGCGTGCCATTGCTGGAGCGTGCCACTGACCACCAACACGTATCCGCGCCAATGGCAGGGCAAACTGGCCCTGCCAACGAGCTCGTGGTAGCTGACTCTGTTCTGACTTGCCTACAACCTGCCAATGGCACTTCTACCGTAGTGCTGGCGATAAGCGTGAGACCAGACCCGAAAATCTCCCTCGCTGGATCGCGGCTAGGGCCCGCGCTAGCGATAGTCTGCCTGTGTAGTCTAGCCGACAATGTGCCCGAACGTCTGGGGCTCGGGCTGTCACGAGATATTAGCATGGAGTGCATGTGGCGGAAAGTTCTGGCCGTTACAGGCAGCACGGATCGGGTTTGGCGCCAGTTAGAGGGCCAGAAGCAGTTAGAGCAGTGCTGATATGACCAGAGGGCAGTTGGAGCACATTTGCTGAGATGACCAGAGACCACTTAGTACAGTAATGAGACGACCAGAGGCATTCTTCGAGGTTCTGCCGTTTGGCGCGGTGTACCTTAACTCAGCTGATTCGATGTGTTCGAGTTTTTTCAACTCGAGCACCATGGCCAGATGTTATCCTACATCAACAGGCTTCTTATGGGTATCTACCTCGTTACTCAGTGTACATATACGCTCTGTAGGAGTTATTTGGAAATACCAAAGGGGACCGTAAAGTTGAGTAAATGTTGTCATGTAGAGGAATCCAGAAGATCCATACGTCTTCGAAATCTGATCCGATTTAATCTACTGTATTAATTCAGTTTCCGTCCCCAACGAGTTGGGCCCATGTGGCAAGACAATCCCAGTCAAAGACGACCTCAGAACATCGATCTAGCACTAATTTACAATATAGCACCTATTGTTATTGCAACTGATCTCGTTCACACAGCCATTCCCAGCCTCTGGATACTTTCCTCTTTCCTAGGATATTCAAAGTTGGAATATACATCCGTACTCCACTGCGATGATCCCAAGGTGTTGAGGGTCAGCTACGACTCCCGCCTGTTTGCTTTCTGGCCCTCACAGGCCCTCAACCCACTGATCCCAGCCTCAGTTTCTCGTTCGCAGCTATCGCGGCAATTGCGTCAAAACTGCCGATGGCCCAACGCTATAAGAATCACCCATTCCCCACCCACCCCTCTACTCCCTCTCCAGCCTGAACCATGTCGCCTACCACCGAGCCTGCTGCGGTTTCCACCCAAACCCCCACAAAAACCACCTACAACCTTCCCCCACCCAAACCGGCTTACTACCCCCACCCAGGGTCGCCTTTGTATGCCGACAAGCAGCTCTACAACAAGATCGCTGACGCCAAGAAGTCGTTAGTTGAATCCCACTTATGCCAGCCCAGATCGGCCATTGCTGTCAAAATCCCCGCCAGGAGCGTGTTCCGCATCACCACACCCGAAGGCCCCCAGGTTTGTGACTTGAACATCTGGAACCAACACAATCCCAGAGAACGATTCTGGGCCGCCAGAACCAGACAGTTGCACTCCGCCCATGTGTCCACCCACGACAGATTGTGGTCCAACTTGCCCTACTTAAGACCATTGGTTACCATCACCGCCGATTCCTTGGGAGGAAGACACGATGAGTGGGGTGGCAGGGTCCACGACACTTTGGGAACCAGATGCGATCCTTACGTGGACAAATTGATCAGTGGCGAAGACAACGATTTCCACTGCCACTCCAACCTCACCCGTGCCGTGTTGCCGCACGGCTTGACCGAGTTCGATGTGCACGATGTCCTCAACGTGTTCCAGGTCACTGGATTGAACGAATATGACCAGTACTTCATGGAGGCCTGTCCTGCCAAAAAGGGTGACTACTTCGAGTTGTTCGCAGAACAGGACTTGTTGGTGGCCATCAGTGCCTGTCCTGGTGGAGACTTGTCTCAGTGGGGATGGGGTGAAGACAAGGAGGACTTGGACAGCCTGAAGATGGTGGACTGCTGTAGACCTTTGGGAATCGAGGTGTACAAATTGGAGGACGAGGAAAAGGTCTTGGAAGGATGGAGCGCTCCTGAGGTTGCCAACTATAAAGGTAAGCACGGCTTGAAGAGTCCAGACAATTAATCTGTGAACAGCTTGTAAATAATAGATATTTTCAATAAAAACTACTGGCTTAGACATATTAACAAATCATGGCTAGCTCATTTGATATCTGATGCTGGGCTTGGACAATCCAGTCCTTAAATGCGATTCTGTTTGTGAGCTTAAACATTATTAGTTTATTATAAACCTCTGCTTTAGTTTTCATTATACCTTCTATACTTAGTCATTGCGAATCATTTATGACGTACAATTAAAGCAGGTTTCTTTTGAATTAATGCTAGAACTATACAGTGTTATCGATGCACTCACCGACCCAGTCACTAATCATGTCATTGGTAATAAATCCAGCAATATCACTGCCTCTATAATGGACACTACCCTTTTCAACAAAGGTCTGGAGGAATTCAAAGCTCTCTTCTATCTTTTCTTGGGCCAACAATTGGGGGTCGTTGAATTGCAATTCAAAGCTTTCCACAACACCATGCTTGCCAACATGAAACGTAATGGTGAAGCCCAACTTGTGGTTGGTAATTTCATGACTGAACGACTGTGAAGATCCATATCTCCAAGACCATTCTCTAAGCTCGTCAGAAAGCTTGATGATTTCGTCCGGTAATTCAGTCGTTTCATCTATAATAAAGCTTGAGGCTGACCTGTCAGTGTTTGCTTCAACAAAATCAGTCAACCCGAATAACTCATTTTGGTCGTATTCGTCTGCTTCATGAGTTTCAATGGTCTCATTCTTTCCAAATGAATTGGTAAATCCTCTACTGACAACCTCTATGAATTTCAGTTGGGAAAGTCCCAAATTCGTCACTTTTGATTTCACAGAAGCGATACTTGCTTTCGACTCTACCTTGCCTATTGCATTTTCGTCTCTGCTCAAAAGTTTGCCTAGAATATCCAATCTCAGATTAAGCAACATGGTTCCATGATGGTAAGACTTACCTTTAGAAAGTTTGTAAGCAGATCCACTAATTTTGTAATTTATACCATCCGTTACTGTAACGATGTCTCCTCTTTCATTCACCTGGATCTTGTGTGGAGACTCTTGACAATTATTGACGGCTTCTACAACTAACTCGGCGAATTGAAATCTATCAAATTGCGCTTTCGTTGTCATAAATGAATAGTTAACGTTCCCCATGTCGTGAACAACTGTACCTCCCCCAGACTTCCTCCTCACCAAAGGTATATGCAATGAATTCAATAACGGAATGTTCACTTCTTTCCAAGGGTTCTGGTTCTTGCCTATAACCACACAAGGAGAGTTTGTGTAAAACATCAAACGGTTGAAATTGGAGCCGCTCTCTGTCGGTATGGGCATATTGTTGTAGACATAGTCTTCTATTGCAAGGTTGGTGTAGGGGTTGGAAAGTTTGGATACGAATATCGCTGGCCTCTTCAACTTGGTCTGTTCTTCAAACGATATGGGTTCCTCCTGAACTTTGCTTATATTATTTGACGTAGCATCCTCGATAGTTGGATTGAAACCACTTAATTCTTGTCTTTTTGCAACGATTTCCGGAGATTCTTGGTAGTGCTGGAAGTCACTCAACCCGAAGTCATCGGAGTCTGCAGCAGTTAAATCGTCTTGAAAAGGTAATTGGACATTATTGAGAGACCTTTGGGCCGTTCTATTAAGCACTAGAGGCCGTAAGCGAATGTAGGATTCCAAATGCCTGAACATTATGGTTTCGAATCAGTTGAGCATTTTTCGATCTATACGATTCGGTCACGTGCCACTCATAGTCACTGGAAGGATTGGAATATTTATTAGAATAGTTACTCTATTGGAGCTGGAGACCAAAACTGCTGCAAAACATTATATGAATTAGCTCAACCGTTTCCTTTTTGAGATTGTTCCTCCAAAAATGACGTCTCTTTGCCAGCTATTTTTGGGCCGGATCTCGAAGATTACACGTGCACGCACCGAAACTCCGTTCCCATCATCGCAGTTCATCTATTATAACCTCCGTAAGTGGATTTTAATCAGGCTCACCCACTCCTACAAGGTCTCTCAGACAACATGAACCGAGACTATGCCATCGAGAAGCAATTTCTCACCAGATCTTATGATTCATCTTCTGAAATAGAGCTGCTCTTAGAGGATAGATACTCTATTACAGGTGGTCAAAAACCGTTCATGGTATTTGGCAAGCCTGAGAAACAAGCACCTATAAAGCTAGAAGATAATAATACCATCCCAATTACCAAAGAACGAAAATATAATACCAGAACAGAACTCAAGAATTACTTTCAACAGACCTTGGCTAACCAGAAGCGACTCATTAAGAAAATTCAAGCATATAACAGATCAAAATCCGAAAAGCCATTTCCTGTGAAAAAAATGTTACATCACTACAAGATTCCTGAATTCGAAGATTTCATTCCTTTGAATACTTTATGGCAAAAATATACACAAGAATTATTGTTTCCTCAGAAAAATATCCCACCAATGAGCATAGTACTTCCACGATTAAGCAGTGCAGACCTTAATGGCTGTCTTTTGACAGTGCTTAAGTCCAAGAACCACAACTTGGTAGGAACCAGAGGAATTGTGGTATGCGATACCCAACATTCTTTCATAATATGCGTACCTAGAAATGAAGATTCCAAAGAATGGAATGAAAACAAGCAAGAGTTCAGTCCCCTGGAAATGATGGGAGGAATCAGGGTGGTGTTGAAAAAGGGATCACTCTTCGGATTTGATGTGGTGTTACCGGGAAGTGAAGAAGAATGCATTGGTTTCACCATAATAGGCTCGAGGTTTGAGTTCAGAACTAGCGATAGAAGTGGGAAAAAATTTAAGAATCATAACGTAGATGATTTATAGATTAAAAATTAGCATTGGCATTTTATGGAACTTTAATGTAGGCATCGCACCTAAAGTTTTATGATATCTTTTTCCTCAAATCGTTAAGTTGAATTATCAATAATTCATCCTTGTGAACATCCAATTTCTCTAGTAATTTTTGGATTTGATCTAGCACCACTGTTTTGTCTTGATAGTTACCATCAAGTAAACCGGAAATTTCTTCAGCAAATGCACTTCTGTCAATGGCATTATATGCATCTGTCTTGTCGTATTCCTCTGATATTCCAATGATGCTGGTGTTTGAATCGACTTCTTGAATGTCTTGTCTCAAGTTTTGAATCACTTCTTTGAAGTCCCCGCTGAATTGGGCAGTGTCTTCAGATATAAATCTAGTTAATTCCCCAATCACACTGTCCACATAGTCTTCACTGGTTTCTGGTTTGTCTTCTTCAAAAACACCCAATCCTCTGAGACTCTTCTTTGGGGGCGCAGGGTTGGACAAAGATCCCAACGTTTGACTCAATTTTATGAGCTCGTAGTAGTTATCATAAATGATCGACTTCTTGGCCAGGTCATGCGAGTTAAAGTTGTTTGTTATGGAATTCCTTACTTTCAAGATGTCCTCAATTTTAGATGTTTTGATAAATGTCTCGAGCTGTTTAGGATCTTCCAAATCCACATTATCTATTGTTGAAGATGTCTGTCTCGCATCATCTTGCTTGGATTCTGGATCTTCCTCTTGTTTCTTTGCTTCCTCCTCCTGCTTCTGTATATTGTAGAACTCTTGAAGTGCCTTTCTTCGAGACAGCACCTTTCTAGTGGCTAAGTTTGGTGAGGAAATTTGAGCAGGCGACTGAGACCCCAAAGCCGGAGAAGAGGTCCGCGAATTGGGTTGTCTCTTGTATGATAGTACTGGAGTATCAGGCATTAGAGCTCTGGAGTATAGTTGTTGAGTACCGGGGAAATAATTGGATCGACCATGTGATTTTTAGTCACGTGATCATAATCGCTGGATCATAATCGCGGGATCGAGTCCAGAGATTTATCTAAAACTACCTAGTTGTTTCTCTTCGTCTATTATTCTATATACACGGAGTCTGGAGTTCATGTGTAACAATAACGCTTATTCATTGATCCAGGACTCCAAATATACCAAATCTGCCTCATCGGTCTCCTCAGGAATCACCGAGAAATGATCGAATAATGAAAACGGCTGGTTTTGCAAGGAAACCCTCAAGGATTCACTTGTCAAGGCCTTGTTTTCCTCATCTGCGTACGCCTTTCCGTATCCAGCCTCCAACACACTTTGCCAGGTAGCTTTGTAGGTGTCATTTGTGTAGTTTACCAATTCCAATTTATCGTCATTGACAAGAACATCACACAAGGACCTGATGTCGCTGATAGCCAAATCAATGTTTGTAATTTTGTTCGAGGTGATAAAATTCATGATTGAGTCTAGGTTGACAAAACCATTAAACGTGATCGGATAGGTAGCCTGGAGAATGTTTGTGTCTGGCTTGAGAGGCTGGAATGCAGTGGGGTAGGTGATAGAGGCTGCATATCTCCATATGACAGTCAATAATGAGTCGATGAACTCGGTGTCCAATTCGGAATCAGTAAACCAAGGTCCACCTGTGACTTCTATGGATGGTTGTAAGTTGTACAACATGTAGATTTTTCTTGTTGGATGCTTTACCGATTTGATGGACTTGATGTAACGTTGGTTTTCCAAGGACTTTAAGCATCTGACCACAACGTGCTGGTGCAAGTTGGTCTTGGCCTTGATGGTCTTGGTCCAAATACCCTCTCTTGCCGAGGCTTCGATGTAGGAGTAAATCATGGCTTCGTCGTCAGACATCTGGGTGATCTTGGAGGCCTCGGCCATCGAAACAGCTTGGAACTTCAATTCTTCGCCCTGCTTGACCAACTTGATGAGCTTATGGTTGAGCAACTCTTGGACGAACTTAACTAAGTCGTTAAGCTTCATGCCCGTGGACTTGACGAGGTCCTCTTGGCCGAACAACGTGGACGCTGGAGACTCCAACATCTTGTTGTAGAGTGTCTTGGCACTATCGGTCAAGTCTGCCATGTTACTTTAGTTGTGTTGATGGTTGGATCACCTTCTTTAGTGGAGTCGATCTATGCGATGTTCTGGGTCTACCCTTTGCTTTTTGCTGCTAGGTGTATTGCGGGTGGTTCTCTAATCACGTCTCCGTTATGGCTTTCTATGGGCTCTATTGGTCCCTTGGTGCTTCTATGGTAGGCTTTGGCTCGTTTATTTCTGTTCGCGATGACACTTTTTTTTACTGGAACTGATGATCATCAGACTGTGAGACATGGCTAGTGATAGCATATTGGCAGACCTCGACGAATTGGACACACCTCGGGCCAAGAGTGTTGGATTCAGGAAGAAGGTGGTCAAAGGAAGGAATGTCAGGTCCAAGGTGCTCGAATGGGAAGCACCAGCCGCGGTAGACGGCCCTGATCTGAAGCTATCCTCTAGGGCAGAAGACGAAACTGCAACGACGAAAGACCCCTTGCCATTCGAACTCCCTGAAAAAGCTCTTTCTGATTCACCAAAGGACTCTTCGACGGGTGCTGTGAGCCCCAATGCAATAACAGTGACAGCACCACAACCACCACCAACACATTACAAACAACCTGGCAACTTCAACACTCGCAAGATTTTGAACAGAATGAAACGAAAGCTTCATGTCGAAGTGGAAGAGGCTAGTGAAGCATTTGATGAGGATCCAGAGAATAACCCCATGGTGGAAAATCTCGAAGATTTGGATACGGAAACTATTTCCAGTATTGCCAACTTTACAACAGTAAGGAACGATGCCAGCGTTGGCCCGGAAGAGAAAAAATATGTGCCAGTGCCTGGAGAAACTGAACCAGTTTTCAAAGTCACTGAGAAAGAGCTACGTGAAGAATATGACGACAAGTTCAACTATGATGATGGAGCAAATGATAATAATACCGAAGTCAAATACGATGCTGACGTCGATAACGATATAGATATGGATGAGGAGCATGCAGGCAAATTGAACTTGGGCGGATTGGATAAGCCATTCGAAATCAACCAAGAAATGTACGACTTGGAGCTTGGAGTCACCAGCGAAGAAGACAATATCCCCGAAGAAGCAGCAAGCAAGGTTGCTGATGGTCTGCGTACCTTTAATACTAAGTTACATGAGGTATTAAGTATTCAGAATCAGGTTTCCGCTATCAATGATTTGATATCACAGTTACAATCGGCTCAAATATCCATTAACAACGAAAGGCAAGTTCAGCAGGCTGAGCTTGATCGAACGCGCGAAAGAAAGAACACTTTACTTCAAGAATTAGCACAGTGAAGATCAGATTTAGTTGTCACATCAATTATGACCTCATGCATAGTGCTTATGAATATCTGCAGTGTATAGCCGTTAGTTCGAGCGATTCTAAGCGAGCTGACGTAGTTCTACTCGGGCCAAGCTGTACCCGCGGTGCTCGGTGCCCGGGCTCCAATGACTTGATTTTCGGACACAATTCTCCGACCTGCACCAGTAAGGTCTAACAAAGCACGGCAACCTATGATCAAAACCAGGTTAAGTTTTCCCCTACTATAGCAAGCTCCTACAACAACCTCTGTAGTGCAAGGTCATCATTTCTACTATCATACAGGCAAAAATCTATTCATAAATACACCCATTTGACATTAGGTTATATGTGGTCTCACATTTACTCTATAGTAGTTTTGGTCCCGAAGATTTCTCACCGCGCTTAATGGCCAATTACTCAATTTGTTCTGAGTCACCTCGTATCAAATTTCCACCCAACCATATAAATTCCCCCATCTTCGTCCAACTGACAATGTCTGCTTTCCATCGCTCTTTCAACATGTCTGTCAAGTCTTTAGGTGCTACCAGACTTTTCTCGTCGTCCTCATTCAAAGGATCACCTCGTCATTTGGTCAGCACTCTTCAATTGTCTAATGAAGAGTTCGCTGCGTTGGTCAACAAGGCATCTCACTTGAAGCAGATCGCCAAGTCTGATGAGCCATCTGTTGCTAATCACAACAAGCTCTTGGGTAAGTTGGTTGCCATGCTTTTCACCAAGAGATCTACTAGAACCAGAGTGAGTACTGAAGGAGCTGCTGCCTTCTTTGGTGCCCAACCCATGTTCTTGGGTAAAGATGATATACAATTGGGGGTCAATGAGTCTATATTGGACACCACTAAAGTGTTAAGCTCCATGACTTCTTGTATTTTTGCCAGAGTGAATAGACACCAGGACATCTTGGATTTGTGTGAACACTCCAGTGTTCCCATTATCAACTCGTTGTGTGACAGATTCCACCCATTACAAGCCATTGCTGACCTTTTGACGATCAAAGAATCATTTGAGCCCAACCAAGCATTAAAGTTATGTTGGATCGGGGACTCAAATAACGTCATCAATGACTTGGCCATTGCTTCTTTGAGATCTGGTATCTCGGTGTCCATTTCTGTCCCCGAAGGTATCAAATTTGATGGTGAAGTTCAGGCAAAAGCACAAGAACTTGCACAAGCCTCCAACTTGTCTTTTGAAATTGTTAACAAGCCAGAGCAAGCCTTGAAGGATGCCAACATCATTGTGACTGACACATGGATCTCTATGGGCCAAGAATCTGAAAAGGCAGAAAAACTCAAGCAGTTTGAAGGATACCAAATCACCAAGGAATTAATCGAAGCTGGTGGTGCTGCTCCCAACTGGAAGTTCATGCATTGTCTTCCAAGACACCAGGAAGAAGTGAACGATGAGGTGTTTTACAGTGACCGTTCGTTGGTGTTTGAAGAAGCTGAAAATAGATTGTATGCTGCCATGGCTGTGATCGAAGGATTTGTAAATAATAAGGGTGATTTGTTGAAGTGATTTTTAAGGGAACTGTCAGGTATATAGACATCAATAGACGAAATGTCATGAACAGATGTAGGGAAAATTTTCGTGTTCTGCCCCAATAGTAGCTTCCGGAACACTTGAAGCTAGTCCAGATTAGTTCGCAAGTTGTAATTTTGTTCCTCGTTCATAAAAAGTGACATTTTTGTCCAAAGCTGCCGTTCTTATGTACCAATACTGCTGGTCACCATTTGAAAATTAGTACTAAGTTTAGACTATTAGAATAGATCGTTTGGACCGGCAAAAAGAACAAGTTGATTTTGCCCAGGATCGAACTGGGGACGTTCTGCGTGTTAAGCAGATGCCATAACCAACTAGACCACAAAACCATTTGTTGAGCTGCAAAAGCACTTTCTTCAAATCAATATCATGAAAAAAGCAATTTTCACGTGACTTTCGCAACCGAAGAGGAGGCCACCATACACTTTACATAGCATAAAAACTAGAATATTCCTTCACCCATAAAGGAAGAGTAAGATTTCACATACCATACTACCTTCATTCTTAGATATCCTACACATGTGATACTTCTTATTGGTAGTTTTGTTTTTGCAAACAAAAAAGAGATCCTTGCATAAAACAAGATGATTCGGTCACATTTTCACAATCTTGAAGTCTATTAGCAATCAGTGATTTGGTGGACTACCAACCATTGGATTTTAGAAATCTCCAGAAAAAGAAAGGGGTTCAATTACTGTCTTTCTTCCTATTAATACTCTGGATAGTAACGATATTACCTTACTGCAACTTGCACATTCAGACTAAATACCTGGAAAATTGAAGCTAAGAACTATGACCTATAGATCCTAATGGAAGCCCGGAATTGGCCATAATGGTGCGTTATCCATTGCAAAAGGTATATAGTCAGTAGGTTATAAATCACTTCCCAATTGTAAAAAATTCATCCCAGAATATTTATTTCGTAATTCTGCGAATCTTTGTTGATAGAGTTGATATTAGATAGTTGCATCAACTTCCTCTAATACTTCACCATTGGAACAACAGTCAAATACAAAATTCAAGACAGATATTTACGGAAGTGAAGTTTCTGAATTTGGACAATACTAGAGCCAAAAAAAAAAACCAATCAGCCAATCAGAATTAATTTTTCTATTACATTCAATATCACGCTGTCTAATGGGATAGTCTCTCATTAGAATCTATTGCGTCCATACCAACTTGAACCCTTTCCTAAGTCCACCCAATGCGGCTGTGCCACGGTAACGAGTGGCTTAGACTAACCAATCTATGCACTCCGGGCAATTTAGTAAATTGGATGTGTGGAACACTACGATACGCATCCCAAAAAAAATTTATTAGTAAGGCGGTTGGTGATTCACGGTGATTCACCTGGATAACAATTTTGTGGAATAGCAGAACCAGGAACAGGTTTATATCATCGACATATCCCACCCAGACCAGACAACAGGACATATCATGGAAAGTACAGATTCGATACAGAGTTCATCTCCAGAAAACTCAGTTCGAACGGCAAGCACCACCAGCGAGGCTCCTAGCTCAGGGGTCCACACTTCACCTAGCTCTGATGACGAAGTTCTCTACCAAGGCAGAAAGGTTCCCCGGTCGACCAGGCTCAAGCAGATGAGAGAATCGCAAAAGCTCTTACGAGATAAGCGGAGGAATAAGGTCAAGGCACTCGAAGATGAAAACAAAGAACTAAAGTTGGAAATCAAGCGTTATAGGGAATTTGCTGCTCTAAATTGTGCCATGTCAGATCCACTCTTCAGGTACTACCCCACCCGTTTCTTTCCGGAGAAGGTAGAGCAGCTAAACGTTAAGTTCGTCAAGACGAATAACGCTGTGGGCTTGCGAGACAAACCTTTTGATAAGGTCAACAAGTTGTACATGGGAGAAGGCAAGAACGTCACTACCTACATCCTTGAAAGCACCTCCAAAATGATCAAGGAAAAGGACAACTTGCAGCTCAAGCGCACGGTGTTCAGATTCATCCCTACCATCGAACTGGCATTGACATATGTGGAGTATCTAGAAACGTATTTAAAGTCTCAATCGATACCTGAGCATTGGTCGGAGGGTTCGAGACAGCTTCCGGATGGTGTGATATCGTTGTTTGAGGTGGTGGACTACTTATTGGCATATACTGATCTCTTGCGGATGAGTATGGAGGTGTTTGCTACCTTTGCTGCCTCCCTTTCATTTGCTACTCACTGGGGCCCTGGGATATTTGTGTTTGACCTCTCCACATGTGTGAAGGCGGCTATCAATCCCATGTACGATGCCGCATTATTGCACAACGTTCTTGAGAAACAGGTGGAGTCTATCGTTGGTTCCGTTTGCGAAACTGGAGAGATCACTGCCTCTGCTCCGAGTATATTCAGCAACAGATCATTTGACCATCTTGATGTGTGAAAAATACCCCGTATGCTAGACAAAGAATATGACAGGGGCCACAGTTTAAAGCCCAAATCGTGGGTACACAACTGAATAGACATGGCCTGTACATAGGTGAACACGAATATGAATATGATATCTACGAACTAATAAATGAATTGAAATGCAACGATTTTTCACTATATATTCACCTTCTTCTCCACACTTAAAAATGTTTCTCTGTAGGATCGGCCCAGCAATTTTCCGAAATTGATTCAATACTACTCCTGACTCCCAACTGCCGTAACTTCTGAGTATTGTACTGAACCATCTCGGGCAACTTGTAATTTCTCTCACTCGCATATCACATCAAAAGCTTCCAACATGTACCAAGCCGCACAATCATAATATCTCATCTCCATCGAAAATTTTCACACCACCACAATGTCTATACCCCCACAAAATACCATATCCTCGGTGGAGGAGCAACTTCTCAAGCCTCTCAGTCACTATGGTCCTGTTACGAGCTTGAAAGTCTTTCAAAACTATGTGCTTGCGGGATACGGTCCTATTTTGAAGGTGTTTGAAGTTGTAAATAACGAGACTCAATTGATATCTTCTCAGCAATTGTTCAAGAGAAACAAAATCCACCACATCTGTATCAGTCAGTCTGGGGACAAAGTGTGCATTAGCGGTAGCAGATCATTCCGTGTTTTAAGCCTTGTTGATACCTTGAATAATACTCCCTCTCTGGAAGAAAAGGCCATCAACGAATGGATCACTTGCTGTGAATTTTTGGACGATAACACCTTGTTGATTTTGAATTCCCATAATACTGTCTACACCGTGGACGTCAGTTCCAAGGCTTCCCAATTTATACTTTCTGATAAAGTCCATTGCAATGAAAAATCGATCTTATACAGCGGATCCATTAGGTTACTAGATGACGGGAGGGTTTTGATCGCTGCCGGTACTGTCATGAATGGAGTAATCATTTGGGATTACTTGACTAAGCGCATCATTTACAATTTTACAGAGCATGAAGGTTCTATTTTCGGGGTCCAAATTGATAGTACCGGAAAATTCATGATTTCATGCTCCGACGACAGATCAGTCAAGCTCTACGATCTTCAGAACGGAAAAATACTTGCGAATGGTTGGGGCCATGGTTCCAGAATATGGAACCTCCGGTTCTTCAAGGATCAAAGCAACGGCTTGAGAATCATGAGTACTGGTGAAGACTGTACTATTAGATTGTGGAGATACGAACCAGGACATGATTTGATACAAGTAGAATTGTTGGAAAATGCTCACTTAGGGAAGCACATTTGGTCTGGTGATATAGATGACGAACACTTGAAACTCTTCGTAAGTGGAGGTGCTGACGGAAAGGTAAGAGTGCATGATTTGATTGGCAGAAACAATGTCCAGGAATTCAGCTTAGAAACCATCTCCGCTAAGATTGGAAAGGAATTCCATACAAAGGAGAACATTAAGCAATATTCAGAGTTACCACACTTGAACCTATTGATCATTATCACTTCACACGGAAGCATAATCCAATACAATCAACTGTCGAATGAGTTCACCTTGCTCGAATTAACACCCGAAGAGTCTGCCAAATTCTATGATTTTTCAATCATGAAAAGCTTGTGTGAAATTAACGTTATCTTGATCGCCTGCCGCAACGGTGACATCCTACAACTTCGATTTGAGGGAAATGCCACTCAGCCTCAAAGATCTTGGATTGAGGAAAGCCAGTTAGGAAATAGCAAATTGACTAACTTGTTAGTAGCTTCATCAAACTCGTCGCACTATAGTTTAACTGATTGTCCAAACACCAAAGTGCCTTTCATCTTGAGAAAATACAGTGATTCGGGTGTTGAGACTAGCTTCTTGCAACAGCCTCAACAAACAAGCTTCACTACCACTGACATGACCATTGATTCCACAAACAGCTGGTTAATTTTGGGCTCAAGATACGTATCCTTGGCTATTTATGATATTTCAAATGAATCAGATCAAGTCACTATCTTCAAAAAGTTGTCACAAGGTGATACGATCACCTCCGTCTCCATTGTCAGGAGTCAAAAGAATTTACTTACGGTCTTATTAACTGTCAGAGATGGTGTGTATTTGTATGTGAACATTTCCAAGATTGATGGAGAATTCCAGTACGAGATTATCCACGAGAATAAATTATCGAGAGGTTTTATTGAGGGTGGCTTTGTTCAGAATAATCAGCTTATCTTGTACGGATTCAAATCTTCATATTTTTACTTATGGAATGAAAGCAAGCAAATCGAAATCTATAACGAAATTTGCGGAGGGGCTCACAGACAGTGGGAATTTTTCAGGCAAGATTTTAATTCCAAGTTTATCTACATTAACAAATCAACCTTGTGCATTAAAACCTTCAACGCCAGATTTGTGAAGGACTTCGGGGTAATAAATCCCGGCACTCATGGAAGAGAAATCAGAAGTGTATGTATTTCACCTGAAGCCAAGAACGGATCAAGATTGATTTTGACTGCTTCAGAAGACACTACTGTGAAATTAGGTAAACTCCATTCCAATGGATCTGTTGAAAGTTATTGGAGTTTGAATCATCATGTGTCCGGTATGCAAACCATCAAGTTTTTCAATCAAACATATGCAGCGAGTTCTGCAGCCAATGAAGAATTCTTCATTTGGAAATTCTCTGAATTGGATGCAATCCCCATTGTTATTGAGTACTCAAGACTCAAGCCTTCTGCTGACATCCCTGATTTGAGAATAATGGACTTCGATGCATTCGAATATGAAAATGGTTTCATCATCACTACAGTTTATTCTGATTCTACAATCAAGGTTTGGTACTTTGATATTAGTGAGAAAAGATTTTTCTTGATTATAGAGGATCGTTACACCACTTGCTGTATCTTGAATGTCAACTTCTTGTTCTTGAATAATCGGGTTTTACTTCAAATTGGTGCTACCGATGGTCATCTTAGTATTTGGGATATCACCAACAAGGTTGCTACTGGAGGAGAAGTCAAATCATTGGATGAGATGATCATTAAGCAGCAATTACATCAAAATGGTATCAAGGCAATTTTGCCTGTCAAGCAGGCTGGTTCTTATGAGATTATTACTGGGGGTGATGACAATGCATTAATTTTGTCTACATTGGCCTTTGATCAAGAAAAATTAAAGCTTGAGGTCAAAAGCTTTATTGAAAAAGCCGCAAGTTCTACCATCACCTCCATCTCCAGTAGTGGTGATGCCAAATTTTTGGTTACTTCTGTTGATCAGATTGTTAGATGTTGGTCGTACAAAAATTACGAATTAAGTTGTGAATCCGCTAGGTATACCACAATCGCAGATACCGGATGCAGTGACTCGGTGATCGATGACGGTCAAGTAATCTTAGCTATTGGAGGCGCAGGTTTAAGTACTTGGAAATTAGCATAGAGTATAGCATATACTTTGTCAATTATAGATACACATTACCAAGGAATAATTTATTACATTCTTTGAAATTTGACATTTGATAAAGTTTTGTAATTAATTAGAATTTGTGAACATTGCCGAGATGTTCTTGCATTAACTCAAAATTGGATCGAGTAAAAAATCAGGCGTACTTGAGAAGAATCTAGTTGTCAGAAAATTATGTTTTCACTCTTACTATTTATTATCTATACAACTCACTGGAGTCTAAATACACACCGCGACGAAAAGCCCCACAAGCTTACAAGCTCAACAATCTCAAGTTAAAGACAGTTTCTTCAATAACTTGTTCTTCATCGATAATAACCTTATCTGAGGCATCGGTATAAGCAGCCAAAGGCTTCTTAGAAGACTTGGAAATAATGTCTTCGTGGGTCTTAACAACCTTTTCAAAGTCAATGGTGTCCTTGACTAATTTGTACTCAACTGCAACATCGTCGGTGGTGTTCAAACCGGCCTTCTTACGGAGCCTTTGAATACGGTTGATCAATTCTCTCGCTAAACCTTCGGTCTTGAATTCTTCGTAGACATTGACATCTAAGATGATCAAGGTGTCTTTTTCTGCTCTGGCTTCTTGACCATGAGCAGCCTTTTCAGCTGGCAAGCCACGTTGGACCTGCAAGTCTTCAGTGACCAAGTCAATACCATCGACAGTGATCTTACCGGTTTCAGCAAACTTTTGGACCTCTTCAGAGGAGACCTTTGGTAAAGCTGCCTTAACCTTCTTGGCATCACCCTTCAACTTCTTACCCAAAACTGGCCAGTCGGCAACAACAGTGTATTCAACGTTGTATTTGGCTTCATCAGAGGTGATGACAATGTTTCTGACGTTCAATTCATCAGCGATGTATCCCTTCAAAGATTCAACATCCTTCAAGTAACCTTCATCGGAATGCAAAATGACCAATTCCTTCAATGGTGTCTTCAACGAGATGGTCTTCTTTTCTCTGATGTTTCTACCTAAGTCAATGACCTTTTGCATACGGCCAACTGCAACCTCGATAGCACTGTCGAACAAATGTTCCTTGACCTTTGGATAAGACAAGAAATGAATAGATCTGGTATCATGAACTTCAGGGTTGACAGAATATTGGTTCAATTCTTCAGTTGTGAAGTATTCTTTTATTCTTTGGTAGATGGAATCAGCTAAGAATGGGGTGAAAGGAGCCATGGCTCTGGACAAAGTCAACAAAGCTTCGACCAAAGTGTTAAGACCCTTCTTGGTGTCGACAATATCATCACCAGCATAACCCTTGATACGACGACGGTTGAATCTGATGTACCAGTTGGTCAAGTCATCAATTAAGGATAATAATCTTGGAACAACAGTGTATAATCTGTATCCGGCCATTTCTTCGTGAATGAACTTGATCAAAGATTGGATAGAAGCTAACAACCATCTGTCCATGACATTTTCAGAGATTAAGGTAGGGTCGTACTTGAAATCTTCTCCGTTGGTCTTCTTGAAGAGATCAGCAGCATCCTTGAAGAATTTGTAAGAGTTGTACCATGGCAACAAAACACTAGAGACAACATCCTTGACACCCTCTTCCTTGAATTTCAAGGTTTCAGCTCTCAATACTGGAGAGTTGATCAAGTATAATCTCAAAGCATCTGCACCGTACTTGTTCAAAACAATACCTGGATCTGGGTAGTTCTTCAAACGCTTGGACATCTTCTTACCGTCAGCAGCCAAAACAATACCACTGACAATAACGTTTTGGTATGGAGCAGTCTTGAATAAGTGAGTACCCAAAACAGTCAAAGTGTAGAACCATCCTCTAGTTTGATCCAAACCTTCAGAAATGAAGTTAGCTGGGAAAGCGTTTTCAAAGGATGCCTTGTTTTCAAATGGATAATGCTTGGAAGCAAAAGGCATGGAACCAGATTCGAACCAACAATCGAAAACTTCTTCAATTCTCTTCAATTGACCCTTACCCTTTTGGGATGGAATAGTAATGGAGTCGATACTTTCACGGTGAATATCGGTAATATCATCGCGTCCAGACAACTTCTTCAATTCATCAATGGAACCAACACAGACAACTTCCTCAAAATCATCAGAAACCCACAATGGGATTGGAGTACCCCAGTAACGGTTTCTAGAGATGTTCCAGTCTCTAGCATTGGCAATCCAGTTCGAGAATCTCTTGTCCTTAATGTTGGAGGGAACCCAGTTAGTTCTCTCCACATTTTCCAACATTTCAGGAACAATTTCGGTAATACGAACAAACCAAGCTGGGATTGTTCTGTACATCAATGGAGTGTCCGATCTCCAACAGAATGGGTACGAGTGCTTAGCTTGGGAGTTAACCAAGATTCTGCCCTTTTCAGTCAACTTCTTGATGATAGCCTTGTCAGCATCTTTGAAGTATAAACCAGTGAATTCTGGAACCTTGTCGTTCATCTTACCAACGTCATCAACAACCACTGGAGGTTGTCTGTATTCGTTAATGATACCATTTGCAGTTGCAGCGTTGAAATCCTCTTCACCATAAGATGGGGCCTGATGGACGATACCGGTACCGGAGTCGGAGGTAACATAATCAGCAGCAATGACCTTGAAAGCATGGTCCTTGAATTCTTCATAGAAGTAGTCGAATAATGGGACGTACTTGATATCAACCAAGTCCTTACCGGAGATCTTTTCGACAACCTTGTACTTGGCAGCAGCAGGCTTCTTGTATAAAGTCTTGAGCAATCCCTCCAACAAGATGTAGTGCATTTGCTTTTCTTCATCGAAAATCTTAACATACTCGAAGTTGGGGTTGACAGCCAAGGCGATGTTGGCTGGTAAAGTCCATGGAGTGGTGGTCCAAGCAACCAAGGCGGTCTTCTCGTCGTCTAATAATGGGAAAGAGATGGTGACTGCGGGATCGTTGACTTCTTTATAGTTCTGTTGAGCTTCGAAGTTGGACAATGGAGTGGTCAAACCAGTGGAATAAGGCATAACTCTGAGACCTCTGTAAACGGTGTCCTTTTTGAATAATTCCTTGAAACCCCACCAAACGGACTCCATAAATTCGGGGTACAAGGTCTTGTAATCGTTGTCCATATCGATCCATCTTCCCAATCTCTTGATGGTGGAACGCCATTCATCGGCATATCTCATGACAATAGCACGACATTCGGCATTGTACTTATCAATACCCATAGCATAGACATCCTCCTTGGAAGTAATGCCCAACTTTTTGTCAATCTCGTGTTCGACTGGTAAACCGTGGGTATCCCATCCAAATCTTCTTTCAACGTGGTGACCGTTCATCGATGCATAACGTGGGATGATATCCTTGATTGTGGAAGCCAAAATGTGTCCATAATGGGGAGTACCGGTAGCAAATGGTGGACCATCGAAGAAAGCGAATGGAGGCATATCCTTCGTCAATTCCAAAGTTCTTTGGAAGGCGTCAATGTCCTCCCATTTTTGGATAATATTGTCCTCCTCTCTAGGAAAGCTGAACGGTTGGTTACCCTCCTTGTCAGCCATGTTGGTGATAGTGCAGATAAAGGTTGATATTAGTGATCGTAATCGTTGAAAAAACTGGTGAAAAAGGTGAGGATATTCTGCTTATATAATCGATGAGTCAGTGCGATTCAGATCATGCTCTCCACATTAGTCTGAAGGGTCACCACGGGATAAGGGTCCATCATGAGTCATATGAAGGCCCTAGCGGCTGTCGAAGTGAGCCTTAACCATGGTCCTCGAAGTGTGGCGGTGGCACTTTCTGGTGGAGTGGATTCCATGTGTCTTGCGCACTTATTGGCTCAGTACAAGGCTCACCATAACCCATCACTTAAGGTTCTTGCAATCACTATTGACCATCAGTACCGTCCTGGGTCTTACCAAGAGGCTCTTGCTGTAGGGAAAATAGTCAAAAAATGGGGCATCCATCATACTATTGAAAAATTGACCTACGACAGAGACATTAGCGATATCTCCAATTTCGAAGAGGTCGCTAGACAGAAGCGATACGAGGTGTTCGAGCGTGTGTGCAAGTCAAATGACATTAACAGCTTGTATGTGGGACATAACTTAGATGATCAATTGGAGACCTTTATTCAAAGACTTTGCATGTCGTCCTCGATCTTTGGTTTGGTGGGCCTCCGATCAAGCTCTCCGTTACCGGTACTTTCTCCAGGCCCGAGTAGTCATCAAGTGTGGGTCCAACGCCCTTTGCTTGAATTTAGCAAATCACAGCTCATAGACATCTGTAGAGAAAACAGTATTGAGTGGTTCGAGGATGTCACCAATAAGGACACTCATCTTACACAAAGAAACCTACATAGGTATCTTCTCAACGAGGTAATCCCGGAACGAAAGATTAAGGGCATTCAAAAATCAGACTTGAAGCAGACTCTTGAAGAAGTGGAACTATTGGCCAATTCTTTTCGACAGAAGGCTGATAGGCTAGGAGAATATTTACTTGCAACACATCGTCTCACGACCGATAGCCGCAACGGCTCACTAAACCTTCGTGTCCCCTTTGGGCTATTTTATGACAATGGTCTAGTAATTAGCCAGCTATTATACAGATATCTCCGCCCCATATCGTCTGTCAAGCATTATTATTGGACATATGCAAAGATAGAAAGGCAGTTGGTTCCGCGGATTACTCAACATGTCCTTAATTCTCAAGGAACCCCATTAAAACTCACATATTTGAACCTCCTATTCGAGGTACACACTGAGAACCAAGAGGTATGCATTGATATTGTAAGGCAGCCCATAATCAAGCAGAATTCTTCGGAGCTTACCATTCAGGGCAGTGACGACTGGTCCAATTGGCATTTGTTTGATAATCGGTTTTGGGTAAGAGCCAAAGGTGGTCCAATAAAGGTGATACCTTACGAAAACAAAGTACACAAAAAGGCGTTGAAACAGATAAGCACGGCCATTCTCAGCTCCAAAATGGATGGCACTCCGTTGGTCTTTAGCGAGAGTAACCCCTTAGGTTTGCCTACCTACGAAAGTATTAACGGCAAAATTCAAGTGGAGTGTGTTTTGAAATGATCTAATGATCAAAAAAGACAGGGCAAGGTATAGGGAATATATAGAGCATTTTCGAATTATAGACTTCAATTTTCTAGTAAATCCAGTTCATCATTCCATGCACAACACTAATATGGACAATTGAGAATTATAAGGATAAATATGAGCATTAGTATCCAATTTATGGTGTATGCTATTGTGATCTACTTGCTGATAGTTTCAGCGAGCTTTCTTGAGAACCAGATTGTCTGGCTATGGGGCAGGGTAAATACATGATTGATTTAATTCAAATGAAACACCGGGCTTTGCTTTTTTTCATAATGAGAAGTAAATTATAATATACTGTTTATATATCTATTGCAATAGATAGTCAACCATCATAGTCAAACCTTTATTAAATTCATAGTAGAATAAGTTTTGATTTGCTGATTATTAAACCACAAAATCAATAGAATTCCTGTGTATAACACTTGGTTAAAGTGAATCAAGTTCTTGTTTTTCTTTCCTGTGTAACAGATCCACTGGGCAGTAGCTTAAACAGTAGATTTGATTATATAATCACTTATATTGTGGACCTGTTCTGGGGGGAACTCGTTATCATCGTCCTCTATTCCCCCCTGGCCTTTCAACTACTGAGCTAT